GCTTCAAACCAATGTTTTGACTAAATGGATTGTAGGGTGAACAGTACGATTTTCAAAACATTGAAAAAACAATGAAACATTTCATTAGTGATTCGTGGTTGGAGATCGATAATCGTATTGTTTTTCCAAAAGATTGAAAAGGTAATTATGGGAGCGATGTTTACAAATTTCGGGAGCATTCTGTACGAAGTAGTCTTGCATTGAAATGTGATTAATAAACTACAACTTGTCACGAAAATTCCGTTTCGATTGCTCCTCGAACAACACTATTCGAGGCTAAATCAACGTATGACCGAAGGGTTCAGCTCTAATTTGCAACAGTTGACGGGTTGTGTTTATTATTTCCCGCAAACTGCATATGGTATAGTTTAACAGTAAAAGCAAAAAAACACTTTGCAACTCGTTGACGCTAGTAGCGTGGGTTCGGCAAAGCTGATTGACGTTTTCATTTGTTCAATGTGGATTTGGCAGAGAGAAAAATAACCGAGTAGCGCTGCCTTTACAGATGTTTTTACAAGAACGTTAACTTCCTTTCCAACTGGCCACAGCTGCGAAAAAAAAAATGGTGGGTCATATCGTTAAGTGTTTCCCTTGCATGCAGCTCTTTCTATCATTCTTTCCGGTAAAATAAACACCGTAATTTTTAAAGTCTTGGAAATATTGCTCGCTCGCTATAATCTTTCCGGGTTAACCATTCTGCTCAGTCTTGAACGAGAGTAGACTCACGCGTATTTTTGTTGTTTGACGAGACTGTATGCGAGTTGCTTTCGTTCAAATCTTCTTCTCGATTACCCAACACAAAACTGGCATAAGGTTCTCGTTCATTAATCCGGTTAATTCCTTCGAAGAGCCTAAATAGCTAATGACGAAGTTTGTTTTGTTTATTTGAGCTCTGCAAATTAGGAAATTAATGGGACTAAAAATAAGTGCAAGAAATTTAATTTGCCCAGTTCAGACTATAGCAACCAATTATTTGCTTGCTTTTAAGTGCCGCGCCGCGTGGAAATGCATAAAATTTGTCGACACTTGGCACGTTGAAAGGTCGGCGAATGTTCCAAAACACGACCTTTTAACCGTCGAGATAAGATCTCCAAATGAAGTAGTGATAGGAAGGTCGCGGAATGTGTTTACCACAAGATTTATTGAAAGGAAATGAGTTTTCGAAATATAAACAATGTGTGTTGGGATTAGTCTTAATACAAAATACGTCTGGCGAATTTGGTGGCGAAAGCTGCTCAGCCGAAATTGCATACATATATAATGCTAAAATGCAATTCTCGCTAAAATTTTCAGGTTCAACTTAAATGCCAAAATTAATTTACTGAAAACGATATGCCAAAACCACATGCCTCGATCATAACTATGATCGGGAACTTCATGAAATATGACTTTGCTGACAAACTTCATTGTGAATACCTAATGTATTGTATATTAATCGAATATTTCGTCAAGGTGTTCCACTTTTTCTCTCTTTAGTCTAGATGCAAGGAATGTTTGTTTCATACATGCGAGCTTTGCTTCAAAGCCAGTGAGCGCTAAAATTATCAGTATATGGCTTAAATATATGCCTACCACGACAATTGATAGATGGAAGATAGTGTCATCATATCCCCGCCATAGGTAAAGACTTATTTGCATACACTGCGCAAGAGACATGATATAACGTAAACTCTTTCACATCTACGTACTTGTCACCGTAGCGACAAGAAGCACGGTGTTTGTTAAACGCAAGCGTATAGTTATTTTTTCTACACGTCTTTCAACTGGTAACTCCATAACAGTGAGTGCTCAGGTCATATTATGTCACCTAGGGAACTATACGCTAAATTATCCTAGAATTCCCGGTTATGTCGACGGGTAACTGAACTGAACTCACGCAGCCGAAGGGCTCGAGCCTCAGCCCCAATGCAATAAACTATACCCTTTACTGATTTCAGTTGTTTAACTAGAGTTCACCATGAATTTATCATCAGAAAAAAACAACGCCACGCGAAGCAGTGAACTGCGGTGTCCTATCTTCGGGATTGGACAAGTTCCCAAAGAGTACAACAGAGGGGGATGTCGCAGTGACACGCGCAAACTCTGTCATATCGCTTTATCAATCTATGTGCACAATCCGGAGCTAAAAATTAAGAGCCCGGATCTCGCAATTCAGCGATCCTATACAACAACGTTTTACCCATTAAAGTGAAATATAAACAGGAAACAGGCAAATTACATCAACGCGATGGAATTTGGATAAACTCGTGAACCTTTTAAAATACAGCTCAGCGCCCGGAACGAGCTCCATTCATAAAATTACCACTGTCGCTATCAATTTTATCAAACCTAATTGGCCACTTCAGTCCTCAGCCTTTGCAATTGCGTGCAATCGTTTTAACAGTTGGCCAAAATATAAACAGGAACTATTTAATTGCAAAGTTTATGTTGGCTTTGTAAACTTTCAAACTTTGTTCCATCAGGGTACGTTATACCAAGGCCGGAACGTCCTATTGTGACTGTCTTATATTCCTGCGGTTCAATGCTGAGCTTTGGAGTCCCGCTGTTTTTTTCACGATACAAAGGTTTTCAATGGACGTATTTCAGACAATTCATATGCTCGCAGACCGGACGCAATACACAGTCCCCATCAATAGTCAGACTAGCCAGTTGTCTGTCAATTTTAGGTGACCATAATCATTTCACGAACAGCCGTAAGTGCCTGAAAACAGCCACGTGGAATATGAACTATAAATTGGCATGTTTCGGAAGTTGGAAACTCGCAACGCGGCCTGAGTGATACTGAGACTCGATGAGAGTTGCAAGTGGGAATTAGCGTGAGAAATTCTTTAAACTCTCAGCGACGTCTGTTCGGAAAACCAGAAAGGAAAACAGAAAAAAAAACAGCCCTTGAAATAGTTCGCTGAAAACAATATTGTTTTCGCAAACGAAGTGTCAAGACTCTCTTCTTTCACGTTCCTGTAATGGATTGAGCACTCAAGTGAAGAGTAAAAAAATCAATCGGTTTTATGTTGTTCAAACTTTTTATGCAAACGTAGTGGTAGGTCAACCGAACAATATTTTTGTTTTTTGAAATTTGAACGAGTTCAGTGGTCCCTGAGGGTTGCGCATTCTCGCTTGTGAATTATATTTTGAACGAGGTTGAAACTTTATTTCAAGCAGGTGTTAAACCGCGCTGATTCTGGAGCAACGACTTGCGATAGACAGTTGTTTGTTGAAATGCAATTCCTTAACAAATATGGATAATTTTGGTGGCTTGGGATTCCAAAGTGAGGAAAATTCCATTTCAAATAGGATGCTTAAGTCTAAGCTGCCTACCGCAAAAGTAACCCTTAGCAACAACATTCCGACCAGGTTCTTTGTTAATAAAAAAGATTGAAAGATTTGCATTTAATGCGCTGTAGATAATACCGTGTACCACTCAAGTTATGGATCCGAAGGTCAAGAAGTCAGGCTCGATTTCACATTTCCCAATCTGAATAAAAATTTGCGCAATGTCCTCTGATACATTTGTGCACACCCTTTATACACCTTTCAAAGACGGTATCATAAGTTCAAGTAAAAGTTTCATGCGTATTAATAGCAAGATGATTCATTCTCCTAATAGTAATTTAATGACCTTTGATTCAATGCCCATCTTTGAACTTTGAGAGTCTCAAAAATGCGCCAGTTAACGTCTGTGCCGGAAAACTATCGTTTGCGAAGTTCCCAAAGTCATTACAGCGCCACGCTAGAAGCGTGTGTGGTAATACATTTAGTTTGCTTAAGAACAAAATGTAAGATGTAATTGATGAAGTAGCTTAATAACGCGATTCGTTCGGAACGTGCGTAATAGGTGCGAAACACGTTTTTTATTTCAATTTGATGTAAATTTAGGTTTGTTTGAGAGGGCTTAGCGATTTATTCATCTATGTTAGAGTTGATGAAAGACGCTGACAGTGCTTCGCTACATTTTGAGTTGAGAATTTGAGGCGAAGCCGGGAAACGTGATAAAACTTGTCCAAAACAAAACATTCATGTTCGTATAGCGTGTTTCCACACTTGCAACTCTCTCCCCCAAATCAACTAAAATTTTAACAGTCGAATTTACGTAGCGAGGTAAATATCTCGAAACTTAATAATGCACTTTTATTGCGTGCTTTGAAGTTTACCGAGACCCCAGACATTACGCCGACAGGTAAATGGAAATGAGTTAACATTGATCATTTCATCTGCGCTGCAGATTTCAAGAGCTCGGATACATTTGTGGGGTCGTTTGCGACGTTAAGGACGAACAATAACCATATATACATAATCCCAACATAAATTTTGCCGAAGGGGAACATGTACATATCTGGAAAGCGAACAGGAGGAGGTGAATGCAACTTTAACTGGAAATGATAGCGTTGTAAAAGCTGCAAATTTTTACTTTTGTTGCTTCTAAAAACAACAGCATGGAATCGAGGTTGGAAACAAATAATTTGATTGAACTATGATCCAATGTCCAAACGTTCAAATATCCCGTAACGGTGCCTCTTTAGGACTCTGTATACGGAAATATAGGGATTTTATTTCGTTAGCAATGTTCTTGTCGAAAGTAAAATTTTAAGGGAATCCATTTGGTAAACATGCGTCACGCGAAAAATGTTGATCTGACGTGGAAAGCAAACTTATAATCTGATTTCTAATACGATCTTGTTACACAAGCATCACATTATAGTTGTTGTTGAAATAAAACACGAAAAGTGTGAAAAAAACAACATGCTCCAACTGTTGTCTACCAGTGAACATACTACAGATCAGTAAAGATCGATCTCCGTCCCTGTAGACATATCATACCGCGCCTTACGCTAATCAGTCTCGCAGTTCCCAAGTGGAAATTATTCTGCGCACGAGATATATCCATGTCATCTGCTGATTTACATACAGAGCGCGGCTGCTCGTACACAGCAGCTTCAGGAGAAGCACCGTCGATACACAATACATTTAACATGGAAAACGATCAAGCTCTATAGACTCACCTAACGCAATGAAGAAAATGACCAAGGTTGACGATGTACGTCCTGCCATGGCTCTGTGTTCGAAGACGACAATCCAATATTTGGAGCTACCTGGTTCTGCAAGCCTGCTTTTAACTGCTACGGAGCGATAAAAGACGTCTGTTCAAGTGCCACGCAATGACAGTTTGAAGTTAGAGGCCAGCCGCTATCGGTTTTCATCCAAATCGACAAATTCCACGCATACCAGGGTGCTTGGTCGCGGAACGGTGGGTTTTTGACAAACTTGACACCGTTAATGAAATTTGCAGATGTAATAATTGCGAATGGAGTTTCAGCCTTATAGAGATATTTATCTCAGATTGGCGAAGCACAATGAGACTACAGCGAGATAACATTCACACTTACTCACAATTGAAAACGGCTTAAATAAATTGTTGATATAAATAGCGGGTGCCGGGAATTGAAAACCGCGCGCGCACGCACGCACCCGTATTAGAAAAACACACAATGAACGCATTTGCATAGCGCACGGTTTCCTCAGCTATGCTGGCCAAATATGACGTCCGAGGCCGCCTTTTATCACAGAGAGCGATGAGTCGTAAAGTCAGGCGAGACTTCGTAAAACGGCATCGGTCATGAAAGCGATTAGAGGGATGGCGGGCGTGTAATATGAATTCCAGTTGCGAATTGTTAGAACCCTAAATAGATCAAAGCTATTCTCAGATGTGGGGATCGTATTCACATTGCGATGAGTCGTGAATCGCTCCGAAGCATAGCGAGGGTATACGCTTGACATAGGGACCTTGAGCCATTGTTCAGGGTGGGCTGATTGTAAACACGGATATGCATGAAAGCTGTCACATTGAAATCTGTTTGACTGTGTGTTTGCACGCGTGATTGGCCTGCGAGGGAACTGCATTCAGCGACTTGCCCGTTTACAAATGGCTGCGAGCGAGCCACGGTACGGATTGCTCGTTACAGTTTGGTTTCATAATTCTCGAGCACACAGACTGAACCTTTTGACACGAGTGGGCGCTAGAGATGTGTAAATGCTTTAGTGAAATGATGCTAATGACCCCAACATACAGTCATATTTCACTCGCCTTGCTGTTAAACTGTCAAGCGACAAAACGCAATATTATCGCAACAAACATGTATTCATTACACTGGAGCCATTTTGAATGATGGAATATTATTATATTGAACGACCGTCGTCCGTGAACCTTTGACTGTAAACAGCAAAGCTTTTTTCTCAAAAACAAATGAGCAGATTCATTCGCATTTAAGCTGTCAAATGACACATATTCAGTATTTTTTTACGATTGATCTGGCCCAACAAGACGGCTGTTTTGCATGATATTTTCCCGCCCGTTTTGAAGGTTTTTTTCGGCGTCTTTTGAATTTTCAACTATTTAAGATGTTTGCAATCTTGTTTGCTTGTCAGTGCGCAATGAAAATCGATTGGATTTTCGATAAAAGCCATCAAACCCGACTTGCACCACGACACGCGGAAGTAATACTGTCACAGGGAGCGGTCAATATTGATAGCATTCATCATACATCTTTGTCAAAAGTTTTTTCCTTTTAATCATTTCAATTCCATCCCACTATGGGGACGAAAATGATGCAAACCCAACCCAAGGTAGTCTGGCTCATTTTCGGCACTTACTAGAGTAGAAAATGAATGCCGTAGGCTATTTTCTGTTCGAAAAATAAAATTGACAAATCTTGCGATCATGCATGCACCTAAAAGTCGCCGACAGCTGCCGATATTGGGTCGGTGACAAAGGAGATGTATTCAAAATGACAAAACGTTTCATTTGTCGCTGATCACCGACAACGGCCTTCGTCGATGATCGCGATATATGAAAACTGGCTTTCATTAACCAAGTCAGTTTTCTTCATGCGATATTTTTCGCGCCAAGCGCCATATCACTTTTGTCTTGAGCTCAGTCGCTACCGCAGACATCTGGAATAAATTGCCCAAAGACAAAAGAATAAATTCGCTGTAGTAGACAAGCAACGTATAACATTCTGGAAAACCCACTGGCGATGTCACTGTCGACTTGGGTCCCAAAATAGTTTGATTGACGGGAATCGTGCAATAAAAAGATGCAATCATGAACGATGCCAATGCATTGAAGATTGATCGTAGATAAATTGCGATATAAGTGTTGAGCCAGGCTCACGATAGTCGAAAGAAACGATGCATTTTCCATTGTCGGTATACTGGCCTAACAGTCTGTCAATCCGTCTTAAAGTGCGCGAGTTACAAGGTTTACTGGGACACAAGATGTTGGTTTTGAAAATGCAAAATCCTAATCAGGTTATGGTGTTATCTTAACGAACATCCCCCTTTCTATTACGTTTACATAACATTACAATTTGGGGCGACTAAATTTAGAAAATTATCATTCAAAGATATGGGGCTTTTAGCCGCACTTGAGGTTATATGCAAATGCATTCATTATTCGACCTCCCTTGAGCTAGTGGAAGCAATTAGGATATCTTTGCTAACAGAAGTGAGGAGTAATTTCTTTGCATTAAAGCGAAGAATTTCTACAACTAATTTTAGAGTTGGTACAACGTATATTTAGCCTTCAACTCAGACCTTATCGAAGAAACTGCACACTAATATGTCATTTTCAACAACACCTTACGTCCTTACCACCTACACTTAACCTAATCCTCTCTTAATCTTCTTGTGATAATCCGGAAGATAAGAGGTTTCTAGGCGGAATACGAACTAGGTCACTGTTTCGAAACCCCGACTTTCTTTAAATAGTAATTCAGAAGGACTCGACTACACCTCATCACTCTTCAGTATATAATCATACCCTCTTTCCTGGCGTCTCTGTACAGCGTTTCCTTATCATCTCATCCTAATCTTTTATTTCTATTTCCCTGCATTCCTATTGTATGCTCAATCCACTTCCCCGCCTGAACTGACCAAAGGAACCCGTGTCCAGACTCCGTAAAGGTGAAGCAATAAACGTGTAAAACGTACTTTCGGAATTTTTTTATAAATCAGTATTACACTCGTATTAATTATATAATTAGTATTACTTTCAAATTTCATTAATTTTGGGATGCTCATTTCAGTTATACTGATAAATATTCTTATAGTTTTAAATTTATTTAATAGGAAGTATTGCCTATATTAAATCATGGTTACACTGAGTTGCAGAATATCAAACACTATACCTAAATTAGCATGCATTGAAATATGTTTTTCGGCAGACCCAAGTTATGGTTTTAATTCTAGATAATCGGCTCTCTATTGCGATTTTAAAAAAGGCAAAAAATCCCATGTAAAAGCGAAGCCTGTAATTACATGCAATTATTTTCGTGATGTGGAACGCGTTTTTATACGATGTTGAAAGTCATCGCATTGCATATTTTCATCTCTGTCCCACGTTACAACTCAGATAGCAAGAACCAGTAATGGTCATACCTTTAATGTGACGACAGACATTAAAAGCAATCCATGAGAAAAATGATTTTACGATTAATTGATTGCTAATGTTATATTCTAATTTGTTACTTAGAAAAGCTGTCATGTTTGATGTGAGAAAACACGCTAGGTGTTCCCCAGAAAGAGCTTTCGCCATTTCGTGTCGAAAACCGAGGTACTGCGCCGAAGATAAGCCTCGTCGCATTCGAAGATATTCTAATTTCGTGCAAACCTCGACCGAGCCAACAGCTGTGTTCGAGCTTCAAGCTCTTTGCGCTAAGCATTTCTGGAAGTGTCCAAAATTAGCCAAGAACGGCGTGATTGAAGAAATTTGATAAGCCTTATCATTTTATCGCTTGAAGTAGGTAGGCTAGTTTATTGCAAACATTTGACCTGACCAGGCTTCAATAAAAGGAATGAGCCTTTATGAGGACTGCGTGCTTCACTTTTCGATTGATAATAAAAAAGACACACAATTTGTGCCCGAAAAAAAACACAGTTTCAGCTTGTGCATACATGCAAAGCCTGGCTTGCTTCATTTATGTATGCATGCACTGGTGCATGATTTGCCCGCCATTATTGCCTCGCTCGAGTGGTGATCATCACTCTACTATAAAAGCGTATCCCTTTGGACTGAGAATTCGAGCTAACCTCTCAGACACCCCCTAAAGATCAAAATATTTCTCAAAAAGCGTCAAGTCTCGGCTGCATGGGAGCACTTAAAAATCGCCACAAATTCCAGACCAATCTCGAGAATATCTTTTCAAAAATCCCGAAAAATCCAAGAGATTTTCAATATCCCAAAAATCTAGGACACTCCTTGAACTTGAGAAACAAGAGAACTATATATGTCTATGAAGTTCAGGGCAGAAGCAATAGCTGCAAGACGTTCCTTGTCTAGGAGTTTATTGCATGAACTCAAAAAGCTATCCTGCCATGCATGAAATCATCTAACCACAGCAAGCAAGATTTGTATAGCATGACCTGTATACTTAACCTTCATGCAAAATGCAAAATTATATGATTTATGGTAGCACTTGAATCAGGGCATCTAAAATTTTGTTTGGGGCAATCTGGACACTATAAAAACCGCGTATGTCTCGAGATCTTTATTTCTAACTGAAGCCAAGGCTAGCTAGACACGTAACAAAAGCTAAAGGCTTTCGGATAAGGAAACCTTAGGAGAAATTAATGAAGTCTTAACGAAAATGCAAGCGATTGTATCGCGTTTCCTTGCATCTTGCTATATACGCATAGGGCCGATTTCCACCGCCGATACTTTTCGCGCGAAGGGAATTTATTTTTCTGCTTTTCGGCAATTTGTTCCAGATTGTCGAGTGCTCTGAAACAATGGCAGAGATCCGTTCTTAAAACTCAGATATGTTAAATTCGGGGTAAACGCTTCCATGACATCCTGGTCGGTATAAGTGTATAGCAAATTGCCGTGGAATATCGCCTCAGAAGTCAGAAGAGTTGGCAGACAATGGCAAACTGTCATGTAGAAAGATTTACTTGCCTAGTGGAGCCGCCATGACGGAAAGGCTGGATCGAGCTCAAAGTATATGTCAGCGTTTTGCATTTTGGAGGCCGATAAATACTGATGCGTTTTCACAAAACATAAAACTGTGCTGTAGGATGCTTGAAGATGTGGAATTTGGAGGATAAACTATTAGCCCACCTTGGCGATTTAAATAAACAACAACCTATCGATAATTTAAAAAGGAAAATAAAAGAAAAAAGCAAGTTTTCAAAGGAAGAAACACATCTTGAGAATGTGATGTATGATTCAAAAAAGGTGTCACGACTGTAGACTTCCTACTTTAGATTTCATATTAAGACAGAACGACTGAAATAAAGTCGGAAATGTAACATTCCTCATTTTCGGAATTGTTTTTGAACTTCTGGGTGCAATTGGATTCCGGCGCAGTATTTTTGTCGCCGCGAAGCGAGCCACGAAGCCCGAATTAGTTGTCAAGAACCAGAAGGATTTCCACACGATCATGAACAATACCAAACTGGATCTGTTAATATGTACTTTAATGCACATTCTTGACGCCAACCGTATGTTCCATCCGTTCGCGCCTTGCTACTTGACTGTACAGCCACTGATTGCCGCATATTTTCGGGTTTTAACAAAGGGTTATCCTAATGAGTTCCCTCAAGTTTCTGTTGACAACTTCGCATTGTAATGGATGAATTAAGTTTGACAATGTAAAAACGCCTGACAACGGCTATAATCAAGGAGAACGACAACAGTCGTTTACGTCTTAATATGGAATTGTCTTTCCACAAGACAAAAGCCGGAACAAAACTGTCAAGGGAAACCGCAAAACCATGCCAAAAACGCCAGGTGTTTATAAGTTTATTACCCGTCTGGATTGTTGACTCTAAAACACGAGCACTTGATATTCAGAGCTTCAATATCATCCTTTCTTATTCAACAACCAAACATAATTTCAATTTCAAACAGGTAAATTCTCACCTCTCAGTTATTCAAAGATGTACATAATAAGATTTATATGCTCTATCTCTCCTATACTATACGGTTTGCTATTATCTACGAAATTGTTACCTCCACGATGTTGACACCCCTACGAGGTTTGTCACCATCCGCCCTTTTTCTTTTTCGGCCGTTGTTTTTTCTTGCTTGCTTGGGGCTGCTGTTGCCGGGGGGGTACAACTCCAGTCGTCGATGAGCCAGAGCCACCGGGAGTTCCGGGGGGAGAGGCCGCAGTTTTGGGACTTGGTGCTGCCTTCGCAGAGGGCCTGGACAGAGTTGAACAATAATCAGTCAGATGGTGTATACCGTTACAAGCGCCATTACTAATTCTAATATGTTCGATTCAAGACGATTTAGAGGTCGTTGTTAAGCACCCCTAACGACAAATGAGTGTACTTTCTGATTCATTTCGCTCTTCTGCAAGGGTTTTACCCATCGGTGGACAAAAAGGGTACTTACTACCTTATACTGATTCAGCAAAAATTTTTCCTAATCTCAGAAGACTTTACTCGTCGGTGGAAGGGTTTACCAACATATTTTGAACCGACTAAAAGTTAAATTATCTGCAAGTCATTGTCTCTTGTTGACACATTAGCTGGCAACGACTACAGCGAATCGGATCAATTCGACTAATAAATATACTTACGATTCTTGAGAAGCTGTAGCCCCTTGAGTGCCTTTGCCTGAGGGGAAATACAAATGAAATGTTAAACTACTGTTTTAGGTCTTCCCCTTATGACCAACTGCAGAAAATCAAGCACGAATCTTCCGTACCTATTGCACCGGTAGCCTTCTTCTGTCGTTTGCCTTTGAAATACGACCTTTCACGTCGAGGTAGCCAGCGTTCTGGGTCAGGATCTACCTCGGGATTGTAGTTCTTCGGTAGCTTTCCTGAGAAACGACATGAAGTTATCGATGGTTATGCTGAAGTTGAAAATTTTCTCAACTTTTCCCCCGCCTCAGGCTGTGTATTCGGCTATTCGCTCAATCGCACGTGGAGGGAATATTTGCATGTTATCTTAAATTTTGCCAGGGATGAATAAATTAGTTCACCTTGACTACACTCGATTCAGTAGATAACATGCAAATATTTCGCAAGCGAACTACTGGGTCAGTCAAAGAAAAACTGATATTTTCCTCTCCGTCACATGTTTATTACCTGGTTTCTTTTTCCTTCGTCGCTTCACAACAACATCTTGCCTTGAATGATAAGGTACAAAGATGTTAACTTATGTTCATGAACTGTCACACGAAACAACTTTCAACTGCAACTTGCAATGCAAATTAGACTATAAAATTGATTTCTTTAGAGCCTCTGCAAATTACATCATGCGAAACTTTTCCAAAAGGAGTTTTTTGGTGTGTAAAGTTTTTTCATGTAACATCGCTTTTACAAGAAGGCAGAAACTTCTTCGGGAAGATAGCAACTTGAAGCCGGAAAACTTACTTCTCCTCTGTCTTTGGTTTCTCTTTCATCCCGTCCGAGATCAGTTTTGCTGTTTTTCGCGTATAACGCGTGCCCAGCGATACTTCCAGGGCATTCACATCAACCTCGTCTCCCTCCAGCGGTGGCAGCTTCATACTGTATCTGTTTTTCATAGCTAAGGAAAACTGACTTCACCGACCGTATTCACTAAAGACATGCCCACCCCTCGCTTAGAACAAGCTTCGAGCCTGATTATGTGCATAGTGCCAACGACAACAGACAGGATGCATAAATTATCGACTGCGTCTCAGTGGACTCTGTATGTAAACTGGAACGATAACTCGTTCGCCATCTTTGAAGCCAGTTAATATTGATGGACCAGTGTCAGTGTATTTTTATTGTTTTTGTCAATACGGTTGACGACCGCACCGATACAGAAAGAGACTGGCACCCCGATTCGGCATCAAAGATGGCGGTCAAATAAGCGTCAGTTATCGTTCCAGTCTTTTTTAGAGTTCAGTGCTGCCTGTAGTTTAAATGGTTTGCAATATTGATCTCATCCATTGTAGGTGAAGGATACTGCTCTGATTTTTTAGGATCAATCTGAGAGTACGCGGCAACCAGATGTGCGATGGTCTTCAGATCATCAGGATCTAAACTGTGACGGTAAAAACACAGCTTTTAGAGAAGCGACTAAACTTTCCGTTACACGCCTAATTATAATGGTATTGAAGATCTCTTACTTCATACACAAGACTTTATAGGACTTACTCGTGCAAATACTCGAGAACTGCGACAGCTTCCTTGGTTTTCCCCCTTTTTAACTTGTACGCAACGTTCTCTCGTAAAAGCCTCACTAGTTCCTCTTGGTCACCAACCGTCTAAGCATGCGCATGAGAAAATCAGGTTTAGGCACTGGATTCTAGTTAAAGCCTTGTGATCTCAATGAACACAGGAACGATAAACTATAACTGCCAAATTCGTATATATTTTTGGATATCCAAAGGTAAACCTTTTTAACGCCAAAAGAGACACTGTGATCCTTACCTTATTTGTCTTGGCATACGCTACTGCGTCGTCGAGCACTTGTACAGCGGCGTCTATATCACCAGCATGCGTGTAAAGGTTGACCAGTAAAGCGACGACCGCTGGACGATGTTTGACGGTCTCAATAGAGCGTAAGCGCTTGCAAGCTTCGAGAGAATTCCCAAGGATGAGATGAAGTTGCACGATGGCAAGAGAGACTTGCATTGAACACCTCGCGCGGACCTCCACGTGTTTCTGAGAATGCCACAAAAGTTTCGCAAAATTAGGGATTTAGGGTAAATTAAAATAATTAAATACCAATCCCCCCCGGACCAAGCCAGCTACTGTACTGTATGTGACATTTTCAGGATATACATAATAACCTTGGTGATCATGTAACTCAACGTCTAATACTTGTAATATGGTTTGGACGGTACTTTCCCCCCTTCTTCGTTGCATTTTGTCATTTTTTTGTTCCTAGTACCCGGATATTCCTACCAGCAGATACGCCCGGTGTCACAGTCTAGAGGAAGACTCAGGGGGGGATTACTCAGACCACTACACTGCCACAAAGTTCAACCCTATTTTATCGCATCAGATTTTGATTTTGTACCTATTTAAAAACACACACAGAAATACACTCACCTCAAGCATATTCACAGCATCCTGATGTTGTTTCTCACGAAACAGCAGAGCCGCTTGTATAAGAACCGGGAAATCGCTTTCAGGATATTTCGCTTCGAGCTCTTTTGCAGCCTTGCGGCATGCATCGCTCTGAAAAATGAAATTTTTTCAGAACTTTCCTAGATCTGAGGACGTTATGCAAAACAGTTAACTAATGATACAATTTATATAACCAAACTTTACATTGTTCTTACCTGGTTACTGTACATTAATACCAAGCACTTGTTGAAAGCAATATACTGTTTCTGGCGATCATTCAATTTTGTCTCAATACCATCAGCAGTTGCAACCTTAATCTTTTTCTTTGAATCAAATATATCCCTGTCCTGTAAGTGAATGTATTTTACTTCATATACTGTATTTTCACTTACATGCCAAAAATTTGTAATTTCTGAATGATGTCTTTTTAAGATGAAGACTACTACGCACCTTATTCAAACTCACAACATTGTTTGAAGCCACTGCACTGATAGCAATATCATTTGGTCTTAAGAGTGAAATATTTCAGGAAATACTGTATTAAGCAACATTACGAACTTGATAGAAATTCAAAGCATTATCATCCGCACCTGGACTTAAGAACTTGATTGTATAATTTCATAGCCTCGTCATCTTTTCCCAACATTTGACATGTATATCCACGCTGCACTCTAAAAAAACAAAAACTGATTTGGAATAACAGAGCAAAAAGTGGAGTACCTTCAACCTGGAGTGATGCAACTTACAAAATCTAAAGAACTAACTCAAAATCAAGCATGCATATCCAAGTAATTCAAAAGGTTGGCCACCTCAAGAAAAAATAATATCTACAAGGAAGATATTGATTCTGATATTGTGTAAGGATAAAAACTCTTTAAATGGTACCTAAGCACTCCAAGTTCAGATTCAATCTCTTCTTCAGTGACATCCTAAGAAAATGCAAGAAATTTGTCATTAAAAAGTCCAATACAAGTCCACAGTTTAAAAGTTGATGGGAAAAAACAAGCTTAAAAAAACTAACCCCTTCTTCTTCCATTGACTTCTTACAGAGATCTACAAAAGTGATTTTTTATAATATTGATTTGTCATGGTAAGCACATTTTGAATGAAAACAATTGGGCAACCGGATTGTCCACAGTATACCTTCAGCCGTTAGCAATTTTCTGCCAGCTGTTTCCATCTCGCCATCAGCAATTGATAGGCATGCTGCATTGTAACATAGCTCATAAGTGTCTTCTCTTAAACCTTCACAATTCTAAACAGCAGAAAAATTATCTAACTGAATACCAAAGGACATAATTATTCAATCTGTTATTTGTTAATGTTGGTTGAATTAGCAAAAGTTTCAGTCATCACAAAAAACTCACCACATCAGTTTGTCCTAGCGAACGGGATGCTGCAACAACTGCTGCAAGGTTGGTCTCACGCTCATCACCAAAATCATCCTGAATCAATGATACAAGATGTATTCAAATAAACAGTTTGAAAAATGTACACCATAATGATAACATAATATACTTGAAATATAATGCCTTGCCTGTGAATTTTTTATGAGGTCAGTGTATAGTTCATAACATTTCTTATATTCTTCAAGTCGATAATACTATCAAATAGTAAAAGATATGTTCATCAACAATCATTTCAAACTCAACATGAATATCTAAAATTAAAATCCAACTTAAAATAGTATTAACTAGAATCTATTGTTCATTGGGAATTTTGTAACACATTGTTACTCTTACAAAAGAAATTTTCATAAAATGTAGTATATCAAATTCCTAGAATAGATGAGAAATGCATTTAATACCACTTGTGCAAGAAGTTCTTTTTCTCTTGGTGATGGGTCTGCAATAGCTTTCAACAATTCCAGTGCTTCGGTTGTTTTATTCAGCCGATACAGACAATAAGCTTCTTCAAAAGGCAGTGAGATCCTGAAAGAAGTTTGTCTTTTTTAGACCTTGTAATACTCTATCCTTTTGGGAAGTGTAAAGAAGGGGCACTGGGATAAAGTGTCCCCCTAAAGTGTCTTTCTGAAACGTAAAATTTTCATCTAATTTCAGATTTTCCCAGTGGACAAACAGTATTTAAACATTCGCGTAATGACTTTGTTTTGATAATTTGATACAATATTTACTACTTCTTGGGAGGCGAGGGTAACAAATTTTGTAAACAAAGATTAAATTTAAGTAATTAACAGATCTATTAAAGGCGTACTCACCCTTTTTTAACACGAGAGGACTTCAAAATTTGCGAAGCATCGTGAAATTTTCCTTGCTGCATAAAGCAGACAATCTTACATTGAAATGCATCTTTATCATTTGGTACTTTCTCGAGAACTGTAATAAAAGATCACGAACAAAAAATCAAACCCTTGCAGTTTAACCCGACAAAAACTCAAGAGGTACAGCTAGTGAATTCTAAAGATAATGATCTCTTACTTTTGTTGGCAATCTTCAACCCTTTTATATAATTTCCACTTTTTTCGCACTGTTCAAGATCGCTGAACAGTTGGGAGACCTCGCTTGCGGCAGCCATATTGGAAAACTGAACACACGAGCACCATTTGTTCAGCAAAAACACGTCAGAACATATGCGCACGCTTTTCCGAATGTAAAAGACACGTCGACCAGCAGAACGTATATAGTTCAGTGAGTTCAGTGTGCTAGAGTGAGATGCATGATGGGAGCGACGAAAAAATCATTCCCATCACGCACAGTGGCTACGAAAATTATTCCCAATTCCCATCATGCACTTTTATTCATTGGGTCTAAGAAACATCAAACTAGTCCATTATAAGAAAACTTTTATTTCTAATCACTCTTTGATCCCACTAGGAAGGAACTTCCCAAGACTATAAAGGGCCAGGGTCACTAACTTTCAAAATGATCTCTTGACTCAATAGTTTCTTGGAGTCATTAATATTTCAAATGCGGCATCATCACAAAATTTTACTGATTTGTTTGCAGAGGAAATCACACAATGTAACTAGGAAACAAGGTTGTGGTTGTTTCAAAGCATCTTTCAAAGCATCGTTGTAATTCCCTTCAACAATAATCTATATTCCCCATTCAAGCTTAAACTCTAAGTGATGTTCTTTTGGAATGAACCCGAACAACATCTTTCCTCTCAAAATCTGCTTGGCAACAAATGCATTGTTTTGTTTGTATTGCACATGTCAGACATTGACGACACATTACATGTTGACAAGGTAGTTGAAACAAAACATCTGTTTTCCCCTCATGGGGACATCCCCCGTGACTTGACCCAGTTGTTGTTTGATTGAAGGAAGATTCAACTATGGATGATGTGTTAACACTTGGGGTATCCGTTGACTTTTGTCCAGAATTTAACACATTTTCTAGTGCAAGATCCAAACTGCTTGGTTCAACTGAAATATGCTTCTCTTTCCCTATGAATAAAACAAAAAGCTAAGGAAACTGCCAACAATGTTTTTTTATTTACCGTTGCTACAAATACATACAGCTTGTATAAAATTAATATCAATTTAACTAACTTGCATTAGGACTAACCTGGGTTTTGCCTTTTCAAAGATGGTTGTTCAACATTCATCTCACATGCCTTTCTTTTACCAGAGCTGATTTTATGCTTGTGTTGCCTCAAGATAGCATCAAACTTTAGTTTTGCTGTACTTTTGCAATCTGATGAAGAGCCCACAGTACGACCAAATTCGTCCAACTTAATATTAGCTGACAACAGAAATCTGTCGATCCTATATTTCAAAGCTGCATTTGGGACAACCTTGGAGCCTAGAGGTATGCCTGTGAAGGGATCACTTGGCTGCCGTCCCCAATTTCTTTCAGTTGCAATGTGCTTCTCCAAAGTGGAGTTATCAATGGTATTTCCGGAGGGCAAGAGAATAGGTAGTGTCATAATGTTAAATGTGATTGGATCAATGAATTCTGCTGGCACATTATCAACTGACGACATATCCGTACATGGATCATTTTGACACACAGGTTCCGAATCGTTTGTTTTGCTAGAGGTAGCAGTGCATTCCTTAAATACAGTGCCTTCCCTCTCTTGTTTCAACCTCAAAGTTACACATCTTGCATAATCTGCCACAAATTTACTATTATTTCTTGCCGGTTTTCCAACAACCTCCAAAGCACCAAGACATGGAACAGAACCTTTGTGAACTTGGGTGATACGAATCCACAAATGCGAGGTGTTGTGAAGTCGATTGCCTTGCTGTAAATTGCAGCTTTGGATACCAGATGGTGAGAGACCAAGAATTCTACTGCTAAACTCATTGCCTTTTGCCTCTTTAGAACAAGGATTCACAAAATTACCAACTTTTCCTTCAACCATCCGAACTCTCAAAATCTGATTAAAGAGAGTTTTCAATTCTTCTTTGATATTGTTTGCATTTAAAACATGCTGATATGAATGAAAAGCCTGATCATTTGGTTTGTTAGGACCATTTTGTCCATTTACATTTGGATTTGAACAGATCTTTCCCTCACTTTGTCTACCACAACATTTTAGGCTTGCTGATAGGATTTCTAGACCGCAAATCTTCTGTGCACCAACTTGGGGGTTCACATTTATGGCGATCACGTCGATTGGAAACGGAAAACTGATCAAAATAGATACAACGGGTTTCACAAATCGTTCGGCCAAAAATCCGCGCCGTTTTTTAACGTTGTCGCGAGAAATAAGGTTGCTGACTTCGTATCCATCGCTGCTGATTGTATCGCTCTCGATTCGCGTGTCCCAAAGAGCGTTGCTAAAATCTGCGATCATCTTCATGCAAAATAGGAAACAATTTTAATATTTCACTCCTACAAATGTCCGCCATCTTGTGTTTTCATCATGCGCTGTCCGCGCAGTGAAAAGGAAACTATGAACGAGTTTCCGAGTTAAGGTGGCTGGTTGGGATTTTCGCGTCTGATTTTCGGCTGATAAGCATGGTGTGGGTTTCAGGGTGAGGTTTCTAGATCATCGACCACTGACCACACACGGTAATTCATGACATGACAACAAAACGAATTAAAGAAATATACTTCGTGATGTTTATTTACAATATTTTTACATCATAGAACGCCAGCAAAAAATTAGAAAGGCTGAATAACAAGCCTTTTTTGAGCAGTACGAAGACGTTACATTTTGACTTTTACCTGTAAAATATTATACATTTGTTTTCATATGTCTTGTAATAGCGGCTAAAATACGACTTTACAAAAACAGTTAAAAGTTCAGCCATAATTTTGCGTAACACACTATATTTGAAATCATGTCTTTCACCCGTAGAAGTTGTACAAACTAGCCAACGAAACAGATCAAATATACTCACAGTTATCTAATGTACCTGGGACGCCAGAACTAGGGACATCAAGGACAGCTGCTCTATCGGCCTTCCACTAGACAGGGCAGCTACCCCCATTATTACAAATACAGTAAACGAGCCTCACGAATAGCAAGATTGCCTGGTGATTACCCTAGTAACTCCACAGCACCGAAATTGTGCAACAAACAAAGAAGATAAGAAAATTTGAATTGCTGATGTTTTGCAAACATTCTCAAGCATGTGAAAATACAGAAGTACACTGTCATCATCTCCCTTGACTGTCATCATCTCCCTTGACTGTCATCATCGTTCCGGCGTCCAGGCACAAAAATATTTCGGACACAACGAATTTCACAATGTCCTAATGACTGTACTATTACATAGTAAATTTTCAAACAGTTCAAGCATTTTCTCAAACAGTAGAATGCGTCAATACGACGACTTCGTGGATAAAACGCTAAGTGTTTTGGCGTTCAGCGAGCCAGCCAAGCTCCACAACCAGGCGCGTTGAATGTTATAAAGTGATCATATCGCAGTGTGAATTAGTCAAATAGAGGACAGCTTTGAGGTAGCGTCACGCTTTAACACTGTAGTATGATAACTTTATGGTATTATACATTTTACAAAGTGTGTGGGCACAAAACTGGCAGAAGTGGGAAATGGTAGGTCAAACAGATCTGGCGAAATTTCACACCACCAGTGGTCAGCATTTAGCCAGATCTGCTAAAATTTCAATTATTAGCATAGATGGTTTCAATTCACGTCCAAGTCCGACAAATTGGAGAAAAATTGAAAAAAGAACAACTATAAATTTTATCAACAGATAAACGGTAGGACCCTAACGAGTGCACTACTAAAATGGCCGCTTTGACGTCACGTAAAAACCATCTTTTGAGGTATGCTTACAACATTGCACACATGAATAGCTATCTGGACCGTCTAACTAGCATTAGTTGTGACTGGTGGCACTCATAATCGGCCACAATGACGAACTGCTACACTACGTATTTAACTTTAGAATATCAAGCCTGAATTTAACGACTTCAAGTTCGCACAGACAATTTTTAAACGGGATATGTTACAACCAGGTGATCTTGCACGCAAATTTTAGGCAATCAGGGCTCAGAAGAGTTGTCGAAATAGAAATTCATTCGCAGTATTTAGTCGATTATATCTTTTATTAATCTTTACGAAATTTGTCGAAATGTTGTGCTTATTTTTAGTTATAAAAACTATATCCCTTAAAACCGAAATAAAGGATATTTCAAGATATTTCAAACCGAAATACAGGATATTTCGAGTATCTTGTTTTAACTGCATAAAAATTGATTTCACAACTAGCCCTAGTCCTTTCCCGCCATTTCAGATCACCTGGAAAACAATTCTATAACTTTATACGATAAATCTTCATCTACGTCGTAATAAAAAGTTCTCGCAGTTATATACTTACCCAAATTTCTATACTATATATATATTTATACCTAGATTTTATATATTTACATTGCTTTTAGTCTCTTTCTTGGTTTATCTGTCTTCCTTGTTCTCTTGTTCTTTCGTTCTTCATCACTTTTGGAAAGAAGAAAAGAGAATTGTGAAGACCAGGGACCAGTTGTATAAAACTCTTGACTACATATTGCATAGGTAAATCCTAGTTAACTCAGAAATACACGACTCTGATTGGCCAATTCTGTCCTCAACTACAGTTAAAAGTTAACCTTCTTTGTTGAATGTCGGGTAACGTATACTTGAACTGTAGTCAGAAAAGCAGGTCATAGGGCACTTAGGTTCCTAGGAATCCATGCAAGCTCACTCTTGCGTCAGTTCTGAAAACCGATTTCGGTAGATTTTAGTTACACCTTTTTCATAACCTATTGGTCATCATGGAGTTTTCAAAAACCAACCCCTTACCTTGCATCTTCCTCGTCTTCATCTGGATCGCTCTCACTCCCCCCTGACTGCTTCATTTCATCGTCTTTAACATTTTCTACATCAATGTGTTCCTCTTCATCCCCACTTACTCCTTCCTCCTCTTCCTCACCTCTGCTATCCCCTTCGGTAGTTCTCTCCTCGTTCGAGTCATTTGCAGACGGGGATCGTGGGGATATCTGTTCGTCTTCTTCTGGTGGGTCGACCGATGACGTCGTTACTTCTTCAGACGTTACGTCATTTTGGGTGGCCGTTGGTGACTTTTCTCTCTTCACATGAACATCGGCTGGGTTCCAGATTCCAGTGTTTGTATGTGTTTTCTTCATTGCAGAGCGATTCCACTACAGGTTTGATAAAACAGATATTAGGATGAGAGCATATAAACAATTTGGTCTTTGATTTTAGGAAAATCGGGTCAAAATAAAACCAGAAAGTGGTGAATTACTAACCATGTTTTTCGGCTGTTCTGAGGTTCCAGCACCTTGCGGGATCCTCCAGTTGTTATTCACGTGATCTTCCCTTTCGAGAATGCGCGAGTCACGTGCAGGTGCGTGCAGGTAATTCCGGTCCGGCCAGAACCTGCTGCTCTCGGGCACCCGCGGCAGCTTCTTCGCGAATTTCAGAGGCGAGTTCCCCTGTGGCGTCATCTTGCCGTTGTAGTGGGAGCCTGGGACCGGCGCGTTTTCCTCGCGCTTGCGCTTCGCCATGCGGTTCAGAAGGCGTTCGCGAATCACGAGCTTGCGTTCCGACTGTGGGTAGTAACCGTTCGGTTGGAAGATCTTCGTTCTTCTTTCGCCCTGTTCGTGATCTTTTGTGCTCGTCAGCCGATTCATGAGGAAGTCCCGAATCGTCTTTTTTCGATCATCGTTCTCCATCCCCCCCTGTATCGCTTGCAGATTTGGCATCGACATGCTGGCGTCGTGCCGGTCGCGCGACAGGGGCGCGGGCTCGTAGCGTCCACGTGGGGAGGGGGGTGACATGAGCGGTGGGCGGTCAGGTGGAATTTTGCGCAGGTTGGGCATGGATAGACTAGAGAGGGCCATGAGATCACCTTGACTCTCAGGATCGCTTTCAATGTCGTCGTCTTCATCCGAGTTTACTTCGGACTCGTTAGGGATGAACTGTAGGTTAGGCATAGACTTTGTTTTAAATCCCAGGTTTACCGCTGGCCGTTTGACGCTCGTCGCAGACGAGGATTCCCCCCGATTCACGTCCTTTCCATCTCTGTGCAACTGTTTCAGTGATTCGCTTGTCCTTAGCCCACCGCCAACGTTATGGGTGTCCCCGGTGGGTAAGGAGGAACAACTGGGGGTCTTCATCAGATTTAACCCCGCCACTGAACTGACGTTCACCATGCGGGAATTCATGGGTACACTGCCTGCATGCCAATAATAATGGGGCGACCAATATTCCGGGAAGTATTTGTAATATTGCCCTGAGATCGGCATATTTCCGCCGCCGGCCATCCTCGAGCTACCGACCGATTTGGGTTCGTTTATCGGCGGCACGTGATGCTGACGCGACTCGGAAATTTTGCTATGCGATTGATTGTCCACGATGCCATTCTCTTTCCTCTCGGGCCCATCCTCGAATCGGGTCTTCGAGGGACTGCGGGTCGCTGGTCGTCGGCTCTGGCTCGTACTGACTTCGTCGATTCGTCGTTCTTTTTTAATATACATAGTATCTCTTGTTAGCGTCGCTGTATCCTCCATGTTTTTGGATCGCAAATAATCATCGACGAAGCTATCAAGCAGCCATTTGAAAGCAATGTAGTTGTTCTCGAAACGAAGTTGTTTTTTGGTTGCTTCCCAGCGATCTTTAATTCGCTTGGCGTTTGAACCATAACCAATAAATATTGAGTGATCGGTCGAGGTTTTGTCGTGAATATCCATCACTTTCGTTGGCTTTATCGATTGAACGTAACTGCAAAAATCAATAAAAATGCGCTTTAGTACAACGTGAATGAATGACGGAGGGTGGTTGGGGGGGAGGTGCAGCAGGAATAGCTGCCCCTTTTTACCTTTTAAAGCAAAGGGGCGAGGCGAGGAGGCAAAGAATACCCCTTCAATTTAAAGAATGCATCGCAATTGATTAATGTAGCTACTTTAAGACGGTATTAAGCTATGCAACTTTTCTTGCAACTTGCAATACAACTCTACTCCTGAGGCATCTAAAGTTGTCAAATACGAACATTTCTTACGATCTGTTACCATTTTGTAAGATTTTTGAACACTCTTTACCAATTTACATCTCTCAAAATTACAATTGCAAGGAAAATTGCATAGTGTACGCTGCAGCGCCTTTAAACAACGATATGCAGCTCGAATGAGATAAAATATTAGCACAATTGTGCCGCGAAATCTCCCTGACACAGAAATCATCTAAAAACCAGATGAGGGGAAGTTCAACTGCCAACGTTTGAGAATAATCTCGAGTGTGTATCAATACAGAAGAGGCTTCCACGAAAGTCTGTAACCATCCACATTCTCACGGTTGCATTTCAGGGGTCCGCCTTTTTCAGATCGAAACACCGAAAACAACACTTTTCATAACAGCTGTTGTTGCAATGCCCACTGTAGTGGATATATAAAATACATAAACTTATTCTATTTTGAGGTCATTTAAAATTCTTCGCATCATTTATAAAAAAATCTGTCTGACCGTCCGAGTCAATTACCGTGTGATTTTCTGAAAATCACCTTGAAATCCAGAGAGCTGAATTAGTTGTCAAAATTGCATAAAAATCTCAACAACGAACACACCGCCCAGATTCCTTCTGCATACGACAAATAATTGATCATTTAATAATTTACAGATATACATAGAGAGACCATACGACGCCCGTGATGCTAATCTGCGCCGCGCACATTATTCTAATTTGATTACTTCCAAAAACACACACGATTGTCTGGTTTTCGACGTCTGTCTGACACAAAGACGTGATTAACCGATGACGCAGTTTTTTAAAACGTGCTACACTTCTTAGCGCGATTGCAAATACCGCGGCGACTTGTTTGTATTCGAGTGCCGATTATTTTTCGTAAGAGCACTATTATAATATTTGTAAAAACAGTATTAAGACGTACGATAACGAAAAGAGCGAATGATTGGAACTGGATAAAAGCCAGCAAATGTTATTCTTATCTTAAGTACTAGCTTATACTGCACTTATTTAACGCTAATCTTTGTTATGTAAACTAATTTACTAATATTATTATTTGAGGTGTTGCATTGAAAAAGATGAAGAAGAGTAATCTTTGAGCGTTTAACAGCTTTAAAGAAGCAAACCAATTTTTTAAATCAGTTAAATATGACCATTTTAGGGTACTGCGTAAAAGATGTGCATGACAAAGTCGACGAATTTGGGGATTTATTTCTAGGGAACTCGCAATTTTTTGTTTTCGTACACGTTTTCGTGCTTTTAGGGCTTGTTTACATGAGCCCGGTTATCCGAGATTCAACGAAGCGTGAGAGGACTTTGAGGTATTGAGATAAGTCTTTATGACACCAAACAAGGACATGCTATTGTTATGGTGATTATACGACTGCCAGGATCAATGTTATCTGCTCATTTCAATACCTCAAAATCATCTCACGCTTCGTTGAATCTCGGGTAACCGGGCTCATGTAAACAGCCCCTTAGTATGATAACTGGAAAAGTCTGGATCATAGGCATAGCAGACAGACGCCGGGAGGTTATCTCAATTCCTCACTGATAACTTATAAAGTAAACATCGTTTCATTGATATCTCACACATCAAATTTAAGAAGGAATTACGTACGCAAAACTTTTAAGAAGATGAGCAATTCTTTCCCTTCATTCAAAAGAACCAAACTCGTAAAACATAAGGTGGTAATAGTAGAGAATTCACTGGCACTGCTGATATTTGAATGTGTTTCAGTTTGTTTTCGAGATAGGTCGGCTATGCAAATTATTAGCTCATAAGATGCCAGCGAATTTGGTCTTCCTGAATATTAACAATTCTTTTTACGTACGTAACCTAGCTGTGGCCATGTGCCAAGACGAACAATCAACATGCTAAGCTGATATTTTAGTATTCAAAATTCGTCTGTAGCGTAGTTTAAGACGTCATAAATTGCCTACCAAACTCACTAGCCGAAACGAAAATGCAAGAGTTGAAAAATTGTTTACCACACCAATTTAAGAGTCTTTTGAAAATAATATTGCCCTAAACTAAAACTATCCCGAACTATAAAGGCACCTGGAAGGTGAATTCATCAACTTTCGCCTACTCCCATAACAACAAGCAAATTCTTTTTCTCGTAGGACGCATGGCAAAGCTTTGTTATAAGTGAATTATCCCGAATTACGGAGGCGTTTCCTCATTAGTCTTAGAATTCCATCTCCTTTGTTCACTTAATCTACCATCTGGCTAAAAATCTACCATTCAAATGATTTAAATATTACAGACAGCATCCCACTCTGACAGCGTGCATTGGTATTTAATTGCCCATAACAATATGCAAAATTTGAAACAGAACAAAAACACAAACACCAAGGCAACACACCTTGGAACACCCCTTTGTAACAATGACACCCCCAATTTGCAGAGGTTGATAAACTGTTATGGTCATGCTAATTAATCAATGAGGAAGACCTAATTTACAGGTACAAATATGATTAAATATTTTGACAAAGGCTACTTGTTCAGTTTCCAAAACAAATGTGCAAAAAACACTTTGCTGAACTCAAATGGAAAGAAAAATACACTTTATCAGGCAGAGAAAACCTCTAATAAAATGACTTATGTTTAACTAAAAACCTTTGAGAAACAATTCAGGAGCCAGGATGCATCTCTGAAGAATTAGTTTAGAGTTAAATTTAGGACTGCCTTTTCCTCTTTGTCTAATTTGTATGTTGTTAACAAACAGGAATTATAATAGGTCACATTTTGTATCAAAGTCTGAGTGATTTATATCAGTGTTAGACATCAGTGCATGTATGAGAATTTCCTTTCATTGAGGGTTAAGTAGCTTGTTTGAGTGGATATTGCAAACATGCTGTGAAGAAAAGTACTGTACTGTATTATTATTCATAATATGTCAATCAGTTATGCCTGCTAAATAATGATAATAGGTTTATAACCATCATCATAAACAACATTGAACTCTGGACTCAAATAAATCTTGGGTTGACTGTAAACTATAACGTATAACTGTAACTTATTACACACACTCAAACATTGATTATTGGTTGATTATATGCACATTTTGAATGAAAATTACTATATAAATATGAACTCATTGGCTTCAGAGCTAACCGATGCATTTATTTTATAAACTTGTACATAGATTTCACCTACACATCATCTAAAGACATACTGTCTACCTCATTGAAGCACTTAGATGCATGAATACCTCCAAAGTCAACATGTGAGCATGTTAGTTGCATATCTTTTTTCACTTACAAGTATATTTATTTGGCATAAGACACAAAAGCATACTGAAGTGAGTACATTGTAAGCATGGGTAAGACATTTTGAACAGCTCTACTGTTCAAAAACAAGTTGAATATTTTGGCATAACCACAGAATAAAATTATATAGCTAAGTGCATCTAAGTATCTTACCTATGAAATGAGTAAAATTAGTCTACTTTTGGCATGCTACAAATAGCGTGGAAATTGCTAGCAAATAGGCTAACCCAAACACAAATCATCCTGTTTATACACTTGACAAGTTGCAAGCTGGTCTCTTTGGAAAGAAACATTTGCAAGGTCAACATCTATAGTTAACAGCATGGAGTTATCGCCTCATCTCATCATCGGATGAAATATCACAATCAATATACATACATTGTTGGAAGTCATTTAACCAAGTAAGGAAGCCAGTCAAAAACGGCAAAGACATGCCAATATCCAAGTCTATTGAATGTTCTTTTGTACACAAAGCACTAATCACACAGGCAGTCAATATTTTGATGGCATGTTACCCGAAATTTACTCCGTCTACTCGAGTCTGTCATATGCTGTGGTATTGAACATGTCACATACAAATATCAATCAAAATTACTCAATCAAAATTCAAACCTTCAAAAATTATTAAACACACCCCAGGCGAGTATTGTCAAAAAATACTCAATGAAATGTTCGTGGATTTCACAACACCCCCCATTTCCGGCAAGCTTGTTTGGTTATTTCAACAAAACGTTACTACGATGGCGTCGAGGATAATAGTTCTGCTAGACAACACAACATTCAGACGAAGCGATTTTCTTATTCAAAGTTTGACCAACAAAGAGAAGAGTAACGAACAAAATTTCGTTTGTAATTTGATAGAGGAATACAATAATTCTTCAGGCGAGTTTTTATATAGACATTACCGCAGATTTCACAACACCATAATGTGCTCAAGCCGCCAATATCTTATCGCGAGTTCTCACACACAAAAACTTGAAAGGCACTTTAAGTAGCTAAACAAGGCCTTGTGTTTACGCGAGTTTTCCCCAAAATGAACAGGCAAATTCAGTTAGCGAGAGCGCATTTTGTTAAGGTTTTGTCTTCGTTTACTGTTACCATACGACGGCTTTGTCTAGGGCAATGAAATGCGGGTATACAAGAAAGACAATAGAGTTGAAAACAGTGTAAACACCGCATTGCGAAACATTCAACAATGAAGAGATTTTAACAAGCGACAAATCACAACAAGACAATGATGCCAAAACGCATTGTAGCAGAAGCTCAATGAAGTGTACATGTTATATAAACTGTACAATACAAGCGTGTTCGCTTGAAATTCCGTGACTATTTGTTGTAGTTTTCCTATAGACCACAACAGGGCTTTAAACACCACAACACGCAATAGTAACATCGCTCGGACTAATTTGCTACACTCAAACGAGGGCATGAAACAAAAACATCAAACAAAAAGTGGTCTTAGTAATTAACCGCAAAACAACGATTTTCCATACCTATTCAGGGCTGTGGCCCAAACAATTTCACCAGCTTGTGTCTCGAAATCTGACACGTTATTTGGACGACGGAAGGTATTCGTCGAGGCTGTCGAGTGAGGCCACATAATCAGTAAAAAAGGCCAGGCTGCTTTATGAGTATAAACTTCGACTTCGTGCAAACGAACAGTTACTTCGACTGAAACGAAAGCTCACGATGCTACCCTTTGCTATGGGCTAATATTTAAAGGAAACGGCACATCCATTTACAACGGAGTGTTGCGTATTGCGGAAGCAATTAGGGCGAAGATTACAATGCGTGTCCTGCCACCCTGACAAAAGAAAGCCTTGCTGGAACGAAGCCCTACCACAGGAATGGCCAAAGTAGCTGACCAGAAAAAGTGTGCTTTGGCTCATTCATTGACGAGAAAATACAAGCGTAATCACTTACCTGTGAGATACAACATGACTTGGTCCTCTTATAGTGGACGTATAGTGTGCCATCCCTCTAGTTTCAGATTAACGACGTTCATGCAGCTATAAATATATACACGGCTTATACACACGGCAAACGAGTTTTGCTGTACTAAACGCACTTGATGTCTTTACGGAGTTTTGTCTACTGTACCCTCTCGTATTCCACTTCAGTTCGATACAAAACGAAGCAAACACTTTCCACGATACCCGGTACACTATGATCGGCTTGAAAAGCGTTAGATTTTGCAGAAATCCTCAGAAAAACGAAGACTTCTCGCGACATTTATACGCTCCGACATCAACAACACTTGAAATTTGATGACATTCGCAGAGAAACGAACATTCGGTACACGTCTAGCACTGGTCAGCTGATTGACTGCCTTCTCCCCGGTAGTTACTTTATGTGACCCCTATTATAATGTATCACATATTATAGTGTATCACATATTATAGTGTATCACATACCTTAGTCCTCCTTAGTCTCCCTCAGCCATCCTTAGCCCTCCTTAGACATCCTTAGCCCTCCTTACACCACCTTAGCCCTCCTTAGCCCTCCTTAGCCCTCCTTAGCCCACCTTAGACCTCCTTAGGCCTCCTTAGCCCTCCTTACACCACCTTAGCACTCCTTAGCCCTCCTTACACCACCTTAGCACTCCTTAGCCCTCCTTACACCATCTTAGCACTCCTTAGCCCTCCTTAGCCCTCCTTAGCCCTCCTTAGCCCACCTTAGCCCTCCTTAGCCCTTCTTAGGCCTCCTTAGCCCTCCTTAGCCCACCTTAGACCTCCTTTGGCCTCCTTAGCCCTCCTTTGGCCTCCTTACACCACCTTAGCACTCCTTAGCCCTCCTTAGCCCTCCTTAGCCCACCTTAGACCTCCTTAGCCCTCCTTTGGCCTCCTTACACCACCTTAGCACTCCTTAGCCCTCCTTAGCCCTCCTTAGCCCTCCTTAGCCCTCCTTAGCCCACCTTAGACCTCCTTAGGCCTCCTTAGCCCTCCTTTGGCCTCCTTACACCACCTTAGCACTCCTTAGCCCTCCTTAGCCCTCCTTAGCCCACCTTAGACCTCCTTAGGCCTCCTTAGCCCTCCTTTGGCCTCCTTACACCACCTTAGCCCTCCTTAGCCCTTCTTAGGCCTCCTTAGCCCTCCTTAGCCCACCTTAGACCTCCTTTGGCCTCCTTAGCCCTCCTTTGGCCTCCTTACACCACCTTAGCACTCCTTAGCCCTCCTTAGCCCTCCTTAGCCCTCCTTAGCCCTCCTTAGCCCTTCTTAGGCCTCCTTAGCCCTCCTTAGCCCACCTTAGACCTCCTTAGGCCTCCTTAGCCCTCCTTAGCCCTTCTTAGCCCTCCTTAGCCCTCCTTTGGCCACCTTACACCACCTTAGCACTCCTTAGCCCTCCTTAGCCCTCCTTAGCCCTCCTTAGCCCACCTTAGACCTCCTTAGGCCTCCTTAGCCCTCCTTTGGCCTCCTTACACCACCTTAGCACTCCTTAGCCCTCCTTAGCCCTCCTTAGCCCACCTTAGACCTCCTTAGGCCTCCTTAGCCCTCCTTAGACATCCTTAGCCCTCCTTAGACATCCTTAGCCCTCCTTAGCTTACCTTAAACCTCCTCAGCCCACCTTAGACCTCCTTAGCCCTCCTTAGACCTCCTTATACCTCCTTAGCCCTCCTTAGACCGCCTTAGCCCTCCTTAGCCCACCTTAGACTTCCTTAGCCCTCCTTAGCCCTCCTTAGACCGCCTTAGCCTACCTTAGACCTCCTTAACCCACCTTAGACCTCCTTAGCCGTCTATACATCTTATTTCTTTCCAAAAATACAGGGTGTATAAAAAAAAATGTCCCAAATGTAAAATTTCCGTTTTTCAGGATATTTTGCAGAATTTGGCAATTTTTTGTGTTCCTAGAGATAGTTAAGACTTATCTGGTATACCTAGGCCAAGTTTGGTTTTTCATTAACAAAATTATGTTACCGGGGGGGTGGTTCCTTTCCACTGATATTGAGAGGGCTTGCGCGCGAAAATGTGAAGCTGAAATTGAGATATTATTTAGCTGTCTAAAAGTAGGAAAGCTTTTTAATAAACTGTCAAAGTTTCAGGAAAAATAATGCAAACAGGGAGCAACGCGCGACCTCTAAAAGTGACAAATATTTCATTGCGCGCAGTGGATTAAATGCATCGTTGATTTTAGCGTGACCGATCTCATGCAAGGCTTGGCAGATGAATAAATTAAAGCAAGAAACTGAACAAGAAGACGAAACGATTTAATAACAAGATTTTTTTCTTGATGTTAATCCTCAACATTTCCACCATTTCTTTCTAAGCAAACTGCGGCTCGTCTGAGCATGGTAAACACTGAACGGCGAACCACATTTGTCTGTCCTGCCTCAAATTATCCATTTCGTTCGAAATTCTTTCTTGCAAATCGCCTATACGCTACCACCGGCAAATCTAGGCGAATGGACAGACAAATGGTTCGCTGTTCAGTGTTTAGTATGCTCAGACAAGCCGCAGTTTGCTTAGAATGAAATGGTGGACATGCTGAGGATTAACATCAGAAATAAATCGCTTTGTTTTTGTGTTCAGTTTCTCGCTTTAATTTATTCATTTGCCCACCTTGCATGAGATCGGTCACGCTAAAGTCAACGATGCATTTAATCCACTGCGCGCAATGAAATATTTGTCACCTTTAGGCGTCGCGCGTTGCTCCCAGTATGCATTATTTTTCCTGAAACTTTGACAGTTTATTAAAAAGCTTTCCTACTTTTAGACAGCTAAATAATATCTCAATTTCAGCTTCACATTTTCGCGCGCAAGCCCTCTCAATATCAATGGAAAGGAACCACCCCCCCGGTAACATAATTTTGTTAATGAAAAACCAAACTTGGCCTAGGTAAACCAGATAAGTCTTAAATATCTCTAGAAACACAAAAATTTGCCAAATTCTGCAAAATATCCTGAAAAACGGAATTTTTACATTTGGACATTTTTTTTGATACACCCTGCCTTTTAAGGAGGTCTAAGGTAGAATAAGGAGGGCTAAGGAGGTCTAAGGTGGGCTGAGGAGGTCTAAGGTAAGCTAAGGAGGGCTAAGGAGGGCTAAGGTGGTCTAAGGAGGGCTAAGGAGGGCTAAGGATGTTTAAGGAGGGCTAAGGAGGGCTAAGGAGGGCTAAGGATGTCTAAGGAGGGCTAAGGAGGGCTAAGGAGGCCTAAGGAGGCCTAAGGAGGGCTAAGGAGAGCTAAGGATGTCTAAGGATGGCTAAGGATGGCTAAGGAGGGCTAAGGAGGGCTAAGGAGGGCTAAGGAGGGCTAAGGAGGGCTAAGGTGGGCTAAGGAGGCCAAAGGAGGGCTAAGGAGGCCTAAGGAGGGCTAAGGAGAGCTAAGGATGTCTAAGGAGGGCTAAGGAGGGCTAAGGATGTTTAAGGAGGGCTAAGGAGGCCTAAGGAGGGCTAAGGAGGGCTAAGGAGGGCTAAGGAGAGCTAAGGATGTATAAGGAGGGCTAAGGATGCCAAAGGAGGGCTAAGGAGGCCTAAGGAGGGCTAAGGAGAGCTAAGGATGTCTAAGGAGGGCTAAGGAGGGCTAAGGAGGCCTAAGGAGGGCTAAGGAGGGCTAAGGAGGGCTAAGGAGAGCTAAGGATGTCTAAGGAGGGCTAAGGAGGGCTAAGGAGGCCTAAGGAGGGCTAAGGAGGGCTAAGGAGGCCTAAGGAGGCCTAAGGAGGGCTAAGGAGAGCTAAGGATGTCTAAGGAGGGCTAAGGAGAGCTAAGGATGTCTAAGGAGGGCTAAGGAGAGTAAGGAGGCCTAAGGAGGCCTAAGGAGGGCTAAGGAGAGCTAAGGATGTCTAAGGATGGCTAAGGATGGCTAAGGAGGGCTAAGGAGGGCTAAGGAGGGCTAAGGAGGGCTAAGGAGGGCTAAGGTGGGCTAAGGAGGCCAAAGGAGGGCAAAGGAGGCCTAAGGAGGGCTAAGGAGAGCTAAGGATGTCTAAGGAGGGCTAAGGAGGGCTAAGGATGTTTAAGGAGGGCTAAGGAGAGCTAAGGATGTCTAAGGAGGGCTAAGGAGAGTAAGGAGGCCTAAGGAGGCCTAAGGAGGGCTAAGGAGAGCTAAGGATGTCTAAGGATGGCTAAGGATGGCTAAGGAGGGCTAAGGAGGGCTAAGGAGGGCTAAGGAGGGCTAAGGAGGGCTAAGGAGGCCTAAGGAGGCCTAAGGAGGGCTAAGGAGAGCTAAGGATGTCTAAGGAGGGCTAAGGAGAGCTAAGGATGTCTAAGGGGGCTAAGGAGAGTAAGGAGGCCTAAGGAGGCCTAAGAGGGCTAAGGAGAGCTAAGGATGTCTAAGGATGGCTAAGGATGGCTAAGGAGGGCTAAGGAGGGCTAAGGAGGGCTAAGGAGGGCTAAGGAGGGCTAAGGTGGGCTAAGGAGGCCAAAGGAGGGCAAAGGAGGCCTAAGGAGGGCTAAGGAGAGCTAAGGATGTCTAAGGAGGGCTAAGGAGGGCTAAGGATGTTTAAGGAGGGCTAAGGAGGCCTAAGGAGGGCTAAGGAGGGCTAAGGAGGGCTAAGGAGAGCTAAGGATGTATAAGGAGGGCTAAGGAGGCCAAAGGAGGGCTAAGGAGGCCTAAGGAGGGCTAAGGAGAGCTAAGGATGTCTAAGGAGGGCTAAGGAGGGCTAAGGAGGCCTAAGGAGGGCTAAGGAGGGCTAAGGAGGGCTAAGGAGAGCTAAGGATGTCTAAGGAGGGCTAAGGAGGGCTAAGGAGGCCTAAGGAGGGCTAAGGAGGGCTAAGGAGGCCTAAGGAGGCCTAAGGAGGGCTAAGGAGAGCTAAGGATGTCTAAGGAGGGCTAAGGAGAGCTAAGGATGTCTAAGGAGGGCTAAGGAGAGTAAGGAGGCCTAAGGAGGGCTAAGGAGAGCTAAGGATGTCTAAGGATGGCTAAGGATGGCTAAGGAGGGCTAAGGAGGGCTAAGGAGGGCTAAGGAGGGCTAAGGTGGGCTAAGGAGGCCAAAGGAGGGCTAAGGAGGCCTAAGGAGGGCTAAGGAGAGCTAAGGATGTCTAAGGAGGGCTAAGGAGGGCTAAGGAGGGCTAAGGATGTTTAAGGAGGGCTAAGGAGGCCTAAGGAGGGCTAAGGAGGGCTAAGGAGAGCTAAGGATGTATAAGGAGGGCTAAGGAGGGCTAAGGAGGCCAAAGGAGGGCTAAGGAGGCCTAAGGAGGGCTAAGGAGAGCTAAGGATGTCTAAGGAGGGCTAAGGAGGGCTAAGGAGGCCTAAGGAGGGCTAAGGAGGGCTAAGGAGGGCTAAGGAGAGCTAAGGATGTCTAAGGAGGGCTAAGGAGGGCTAAGGTGGGCTAAGGAGGCCAAAGGAGGGCTAAGGAGGCCTAAGGAGGGCTAAGGAGAGCTAAGGATGTCTAAGGAGGGCTAAGGAGGGCTAAGGAGGCCTAAGGAGGGCTAAGGAGGTCTAAGGTGGGCTAAGGAGGGCTAAGGAGTGCTAAGGTGGTGTAAGGAGGCCAAAGGAGGGCTAAGGAGGCCTAAGGAGGTCTAAGGTGGGCTAAGGAGGGCTAAGGAGGCCTAAGAAGGGCTAAGGAGGGCTAAGGAGGCCTAAGGAGGTCTAAGGTGGGCTAAGGAGGGCTAAGGAGGCCTAAAGAGGGCTAAGGAGGGCTAAGAAGGTCAAAGGAGGGCTAAGGAGGGCTAAGGAGGGCTAAGGAGGTCTAAGGTGGGCTAAGGAGGGCTAAGGAGGCCTAAAGAGGGCTAAGGAGGGCTAAGAAGGTCAAAGGAGGGCTAAGGAGGGCTAAGGAGGGCTAAGGAGGCCTAAGGAGGTCTAAGGTGGGCTAAGGAGGGCTAAGGAGGGCTAAGGAGGGCTAAGGAGTGCTAAGGTGGTGTAAGGAGGCCAAAGGAGGGCTAAGGAGGCCTAAGGAGGTCTAAGGTGGGCTAAGGAGGGCTAAGGAGGGCTAAGGAGGGCTAAGGAGTGCTAAGGTGGTGTAAGGAGGCCAAAGGAGGGCTAAGGAGGCCTAAGGAGGTCTAAGGTGGGCTAAGGAGGGCTAAGGAGGCCTAAGAAGGGCTAAGGAGGGCTAAGGAGGCCTAAAGAGGGCTAAGGAGGGCTAAGAAGGTCAAAGGAGGGCTAAGGAGGGCTAAGGAGGGCTAAGGAGGTCTAAGGTGGGCTAAGGAGGGCTAAGGAGGCCTAAAGAGGGCTAAGGAGGGCTAAGAAGGTCAAAGGAGGGCTAAGGAGGGCTAAGGAGGGCTAAGGAGGCCTAAGGAGGTCTAAGGTGGGCTAAGGAGGGCTAAGGAGGGCTAAGGAGGGCTAAGGAGTGCTAAGGTGGTGTAAGGAGGCCAAAGGAGGGCTAAGGAGGGCTAAGGAGGTCTAAGGTGGGCTAAGGAGGGCTAAGGAGGGCTAAGGAGTGCTAAGGTGGTGTAAGGAGGCCAAAGGAGGGCTAAGGAGGCCTAAGGAGGTCTAAGGTGGGCTAGGGAGGGCTAAGGAGGCCTAAGAAGGGCTAAGGAGGGCTAAGGAGGCCTAAGGAGGTCTAAGGTGGGCTAAGGAGGGCTAAGGAGGCCTAAAGAGGGCTAAGGAGGGCTAAGAAGGTCAAAGGAGGGCTAAGGAGGGCTAAGGAGGGCTAAGGAGGTCTAAGGTGGGCTAAGGAGGGCTAAGGAGGCCTAAAGAGGGCTAAGGAGGGCTAAGGAGGTCAAAGGAGGGCTAAGGAGGGCTAAGGAGGGCTAAGGAGGGCTAAGGAGGTCTAAGGTAGGCTAAGGAGGGCTAAGGAGGGCTAAGGAGTGCTAAGGTGGTGTAAGGAGGCCAAAGGAGGGCTAAGGAGGGCTAAGGATGGCTGAGGGAGACTGAGGAGGACTAAGGTATGTGATACACTATAATATGTGATACATTATAATAGGGGTCACATAAAGTAACTACCTTCTCCCCACGCGCATGCTCTTGAGATAAATTTAGTAACAATCGATAACCTCACCCAAAGTCTCTGCCAAAGTCAGAAATACTGAAATTGACAGAACGTATTATTTGGAAGGGTCACTTTCTAGTGGAAATATTGAAATCCTAAATAATTCAGTTCTTCAGTAAAGTCAAACCAAATATAAATTTTTTAACAGTTATCGTTTCTGATGTGAACTCTTAAAAAATTAGACAAAAAACGCTTTATTTTTTAAAAATAAATCAAGGAGATTGTATGCTATGAGTACTTAAGCCGTCTAAAGGAAATTTCTTTGACTAGATAGGAAAAATATATTTAGGGAAAAAAATTAGAAATTGTTTGGAATAGTATAACGTTTCTTGATCAGTTTTATGTGAATGTTATCGAATTGCGCAAAATGCGCGCAAGCGCGGGAAACACGGTTGACAGCGTGGGGGAAGAGGTGACTGGAGTGTTCAGTTGTTTGTTTATATAAAATGCACAATTGAAAAGCGAAATTACATTTACTCTCTGCAGATCGGCGAATTTGAAAGCGTTGTGAGATTGTTGGTACTAAATAGTTAGACATGGACGAAGAAGACAAATATGAAGATCCGATCGAAAGACGAAATTTGCGTTTCGAATATCGACAGCTGATAACTGACACTGAACGTAAGTCTCCATTTTGCAGATGTTTCTTCAATAATGAAACATTATATTCATTGTGATTGCATGTTTTTCGTAATTAATCGTATATAAATATTTTATAATAATTCGTATATATTTGATAATATATCGTATATATTTCATAATGGATTGTATACATTTCAGTATACATTTCATAGTTAATGATGAATCGATTTAATATTAAATGTATATGGCATTTCAATAATAATGTTATATATTTCAATAACTTCATTTATATGATGGCCTGGGTGGACTCTCGAGCCTTTAAGATATAAATTTTATAACCATCATGTCTGACTTTCATCAGAGAAAAGAGATGAGCATGTGCTGCCTGAATCAGATGGTCTAAATCAAGTCTTGGATGAAGGAAATGAGTTGTTTAAGAAAGGTATTAAAGAAAAATTTACTGCAATAAAGGTTTGCTCTCTTCAGTTTGCAGTTGCCTTTGCTTACTATTTTTTTGTTTCAAGTTCGCAGAACAAGGGAGGCTGCTTTAGATGCCCAATTACTTGTTTTGGTATCGAATCTGGGTTACGAACGAGCGCAGCACTTGCAGACCGGTATTGTCACATTTGAGCCACGGACATTTGCAGAGAAACTGGTATGGATGTTTTATGACAGTTACTAAAACACTCATTGGTGTGAAAATCAATCAAAATGATGAACAAGTTGATAATTCCTATGCATTGATGATTGGTAGTTATCTTTGTATGAGAACCTTCCTTTTCTTTAGATAACATTTATGGGTGGCCGTCGTGTTGATGAGTCAGATGAGGAGGGCAATGCAGAGGATGTCAGGCTTGAATCTCTGCATTGGAATACAATTGGACAGATTGCAGAAAAGTCATTTCGCAGAACGGCAGCAATTGAATTCATGTATGTGAAGCCATCTTAATAATTCTTGGTTCTAACTGCTAATAAGCTACTGTACTAACAGTCATCCAAATACCATATTGTGTTTGAATTTTATGGTATGTCCATTTTGATCTGTTGAAATGGTTATCCTTAAAACATGACTAAAACATCATGATGGAAAACATCAGTTCTCAGGTTTGGCAAATAGCTGAGTGTTCAAGGTTTTATTCTTCACTTTGGGCAACATTGTAACATTATTGCTTTATTGAGGACCAAGCACTTACCTTTATTCATTTTTTTCTGCATGCCAATGTAGGCATGGCCCTGTCTCAATGGATGCTCCAAAGAAGAAAGTAAAAAATGTGAAAGACAAGAGTGGCGACAAACCAGGTGCAGCTGCCAAAATCACACCCCAACAGGTTTGTTCCCTGTGCATATCTAGTGGCGTGAAACTGTGCATTGAATTTTGGTATAAAAAATCTCTCATTTGGAAAACTTTGTAACTTCTTAAAATACAAGACTACTAAATTTGATTAAAGGTTACCACTTTACAAGTTTGTAGGGCCCTGTAGTGCCATAAAAGGATTTTAACTGCAAACTCTTTTTGGCTGGTGAAACACACAAGAGCTTAGGATCAGTTTATATGTTTTCTTTTCCCATTGCTCTGATGTAAGTCTGGTCTCCATCTAGTCCAAGTGAACATGTCAAAGTGGATGATGTGATAGAATATTTGATATGTGTTTGCCGTCAATACTTACCGATTTGAATACAGAAATAAGGACAAATCTGAGGCAAATTTAAATCTGGACTATTTTTCATTGGTGAAAATGACTTGTGAAAATGGAAACAAGGCTTAAACCTCTCTTCGCATCGTAAAACACATTCGCATCTGTCAAAAGAATTGCAAGTTGCAACTGTAGAATTACATTTGTGGTTTGTGGCAAACAGATACCATTTTGTCTTTTTCATGCTGGTATGCCATTCATGTATGTTCAACGTTGTATTAATTCACGTTGTATCGTGTCAGCGTTTGTTCTGAAACGGCCTGAGGCCGGTTGTTCGAAAGGCGTTTAGCTTAGCCAGAGTTTAAAAATACTCTCATAGATATTGTGAATGCCTGAGCCTGCATCTTATGCATTAAATATGTACTTCCATTGAAAATTAAACTATTTACATCGAAATATTTCAGCTCATTTGTTCAATAAAATAGATTGTTTTGACTTTCGTTTTTCATTTTGAACATATCCAACGTTTAAGCTAAACGCCTTTCGAGCAACCGGCCCCAGAACAGACCACGACATATGACCGACTACCGCCGAGGCCTTCCTCCACAATCACTAGTCTTAAAAGTTAAATTTTTCAATTTTAACTCGAAAGTCATGCGTTCATTCACGAAAAACCCGAGATTACCATACTGTTTCGAACTGCCTAAGGTTTAAAAATAGAGTCGTTTACAAAGGCTCTTATTCCTTGAGTGGGCGAAAACTGCCCATTATAGATCACTGCAGGAGTTATACAGGAAATCCGAAGTACATTTTACACACAATTACCTTTGTGTTAGTTTTATTACTTTCGTTGTCCATGAAACAGCTACACGAACGCGCGTTGGAGTATCAAAGATCTTTCTATTGAGGTCTTTCCATTCTCAGACCAGTATTCTCCCCCAAAACGGCGACCAACGCTGAGTTAATCCGCCGAGATATTTGTTAACTGAAAACTGATTAAAACTTTTTTACTCGCAAAAGAATGAAGACCTTAATGTTATAATGATTGTTTTACTATCAGGTTAACCTGCATAGCTATACGCCAACGTCTTGTGGAAAGGAGCAGTGTTTGAGGCCGGGGCATTGTCGTATACGAGCTGTGCATTCGGTATTAATGCATGGCACTAAAAGCCAATACCTTCAATTGTTTTTAGCTGGTTAAAGTCGACGATAACAATGAGGAGTCAACGACTAAAGAAGTCCAAAGGGTGTATGAAGCATTGGCAAATGTCACTGAACCAGGTATATCCGGTTTTTTCACTGCAATGGTATAAATATAGTATACAGAACCCAATAGGGTCAACGTCTACGGTAAACGAACTACAGTTCCGCGTACTGAAATGTTTTATTTGTGTATACAGGAGATGATGAAGAACCCAAATCAGTGTCTTTCTTCAAGTTTGTCACAAACCCGGATTCATTCAGTCAAACTGTGGAGAACATATTTCACTTGTCTTTCCTAATCAATGTACGTCACAAAATGGCCGTAAATCAAAATATAACTTTCAACGAATCTCTCTTCGTCCAAGATTCCTGTTTTGTTTTGAGGAATGCTATGAGATATGATTTAAGGTTTCTGCCGAATACAGGCTAAATTAGTTTTCACATTTTTCCCACAGAAAGGAAATGCTGCCATTGAAATGGACGAAAATGGTCTCCCTATCGTATGTAAGTATACACAGAATGCAAGCCTGCTTTCTCCCTGGAAAATGGTAACTTACTTACAGTTTATTAGGATTGCCCTATCATTTCCCAAACAAATTTAAGCCTATTTCAGGATATGAACTCAGCGATTAAGGGCCCTGTTACACCATGCAGCTTTCCTTGTAACTTGCAATGCAATTGTTATTTTGAAGGATGTTAATTTGTCAAGAGTGTTCGAAATGCTAAGAAAACGTTAGTAGATCATAAGAAATGTTCGTATTCGACAACTTTAGATGCCTCAGGAGTAGAATTGCATTGCAAGTTGCAAGGGAAGTTGCATAGTGTAACACCGCCTTAAGCTATGAAAAAAAATATATACACGGCGTAATATTACTATCGATGACGCGGGTATATTTATTGCAGATCTCGCAGATCCGTATTCAGAGAAAGATTATGGTAATGAAGTTATCAAACGAAATCAAGTCGTTATGCCGTTCACAATGGAGGATTGGCGGGTAATCGTCTCTCTTCTTTATCGCTTATAGTACAACAATAATCGTTATCCCCAATTTACAATACAATTACCACATATATGTAATTGTCATCGGCAATTTTCAATTTGTTGAATCTTGATGAATTTCATATAGCATTTTCTAATGGCATTTTGTTTTGGGATGTTCAAGCCTAGATCCTTTTATATTGTACGAGTATCTCTATATTAATATTTCTCTATCTTGATCTATTTTTATAGAACATTGTCAGCACGTTTAAGATAAAAAAACCCGTCATTCCAACTCGGAAAACAACACAACAAAATTCAACGCAAGATAGCTGTATGGAAGAAGACTGATCCAGCAAGACTCTCGCACTTTGGGCATTATCTAAACCTATATTATAGATGTGTTTAGAAGAAAACTACCGTTCTTCAAGGCTATATTTTAGCGCAAGTTGAATGAATTTTGATTAGCCGAACGAATCCGGTTGTATCCTGTTGTGGCGAAGTTGTTGCAAAAAACGGACTCAAAGACCTTGCAAACAGTTTTCAAAGCTAACATGTATTATCCATACCATGCAGGATTATACGAAATATTGTAAAGTATTTGTTTACGAAAAGTTTTGTTTCGTCTCGAAACAGAGAACGATGTTTTGCACATTATTAAAGTTCATAATGTTAACCTAATAATATAGTTCTCAAAGTTAACAAGTATTATCTACCAAGATTATACGAAAAAAGGACAAAAAGAATCTGAAAGTATTTTAAAAGTATTTGTACAAAACGTTTTGTTTCGTCTCGAGAACAGAGAACGATGTTTTGCACATTTGTGATCATATTTTTACCGCGGCTTAATAAAAAAGTATGCTTAATAAAAAAATATGTTGTTGCAGTGGATGTGTACAACTTAAAGCTTCTCCGGATCAAGTAACGTCATGGCTGTCAAATTGTGTAATTTGCCAAAGTGAAACGTTGTCAGAACTGCTTTTTTTGGTTTTGTCAACTAGTTTGCCGGCAGAAAGTTTGCATATTTGTGGGAAAAAAAATATGTATATTATATAGCATATTTGTAGAAAAAATATATTGCAAGACATTTCGAATCATTCTCCGAGGTTTTTTTTGGTGAACAATGTGTGAGGGTGGATCATATCAGCATACCGCGGGCAACAATGCAAGAACTGCACATCGTACGCTTTTCAAAAGAACGTCATGTTTCATTTCTTGGCCTTCAATAGCCAATGTGGTCAATAGTCTAAAACGAATAATTATATATATAGGTCTTTCGACGCTTATAAAAAAGCAATTAAGATTAACAGTAAAACGTGTATTTCATTATTGACAGATGATGATAACCAATCAGAAATATATTTATTATGATTTCAAAAAAGAATTTTTATCATACCAGTAATAGTAACAATGATTGAGTTTTAATCTGGTCAAAAAGTAATTATACGGAACCATATGAACTAAGTGTATATTGTTGAATTCTAGCACTTGTGCAGGAATATTTTAAATCTGGTTTGGACGAATTTTCATCTCCGACTTTTTCATTGAATACGACGAACTTTTCCAATAGTACCAGGTTATTCCGGTAGCGTCGATCTGACCTGCACCCAAGTACAGGCCATTGAGGTTGCAACTATGACAGTTTTTGTACCACCAAGCTCCTTTCCAGGTCGTAGCACAATTACTACCATCAGCATCATTGTCGCTATCCTTGGTAGTGAACTGCATTTGATTGTGCCAAGCCAGAGAATCACTTGCGTCACCTTTTGAAAACATAAAAACCCACAATAAGCAATATGTAGTAATACTGCATGAATGGTTTTGTTTTTAAATTGTTATTTGGTATCAACGCTGGGTTTTCTAAAACCAAATTAGAAATGAACCCAGCTTGCATAGTATGACTGCTTTCTTTTACAACAAGGGCTAAAAACAACTAACATGTTAATTTGCAGCACAAACATTAAATTGAGAGCAAATCGGTGATTGCTTAAATAATACTCGATGTCTTCGGACGCGGTTTAGGTTCGCTTGCGCGGTGGCAATTGAAACTCAGTCAGATAATTTCTTTGTTTCATCAGGAAACTGAGATTTATATGTTGTTCTTAATTCACCTGAATAACTGCCAATATTCAATCTGTATTTGTCTGATTCATCAGCCACACTAAACGTTCCATATTCAGCGTAAGCCTCAGCGCCATTGAAATCCATCAAATCAACTCTTAGAACATTTTGCCCAGATTTGGACAAACGATGTATTTTATCAAGTCCCAACCAGAACTCGCCGTTAAGATCACCAAAGCCTGCTTTATAGTCTGACCATCCAAGGAAGAAATCTTCACTTCCATCTTGTCTTCTTTGAAACACGGTCCAGCCACCCCTGCTTGTGCTCATATCACAACTAACGTTGAAAGATCCCTGGCCATCGGGATCAATGGTATAAACACCATCTTTTCTTATCCCAGAACTATAGAGTTCAGCACAGCTTTTAAATATTGCTATAAATTGAATGGAAACAAATGTGATCAAATAAGAATGAAACCAGACCAGGCTTGAAGAATATTACAATGTTTAGAGAGTAAAACCAGTTTAGCAGGTGAAATTAGAATGGCAGACACCCTCAAGAATACCGCAAATATATCATTTGATGACATGGTAATAGACCTGTGGTCGGACATAATGAAGATTATTGAATAAATGTATACTGTCTGTTATCTTCATTCGTAAGTGATGTCGTGCAGCCACGCGATAGGTTTAGGATTCGTTTACAAACAAATAAAGCAATCAGAATGTAATAAAAAAATCTGAAAAAATACCTAAATTCCTGCCAGGTTTTGGACACAGCGTTTGATAAGCCAGTTTATGTTTGCGAAGATCTTCTTCTATTACCCGACAACAATTACCAAGGTGTTCCTCGCCTTTGGAACACAATATGTTGTAAGCGAGGGTACGATTTTCGATGTTAGATCTGATATCATCACAGCAAAGTGCTTCTGCACCATCAGTTTGCAGAAGAAGCTGCAGTAGGATCCCGACCAGAGCGATTCTCAACATTGCTTTGTCTTCAGTCTATAACTCTATATGCATGTACCTTACTTCAGTGGAAACCAACATGAACTGACTGGGTTGATTTAGGCGCTGGTAATTTTATGCAAAAAGGGTGTGAACTTTGCTCTCAATGTCATCTGACTTTTGGTGTCAACCAAGGTGCAAAACAAATCTTTTCAAATTTTGACAAATGTTTTCGAAACACATGCAAATGGCTTGATTTGTTTTCATGAAGGAACAAGGCATGACATGCAAGACATGAAATGAACCGAGCATATAAATATTAATTATCCATTGCAAACATTCACCTGCTGGTTCCTGAAAAGAGAAAACAGACAGAATTTGTGCTGTACGAAGGGTGGTATCAACACATAGAATTAGTTCATTGAAGAATAAACCTTACAAATATGGTAGAAAAACAGTGAAAGACGGCCAGATGTTTCAGAAAGAGGCGCTTTTGCTGCCTCTTGCCAACGACGGCGTTGCGAGGCAAGTTAGATGAAAAATTGCACCGTGTTCTTAAGAGGACCTTGATTCTCAGCGTGTCACTTGGTAAGTTCAAGGGGCTGTTCGAAAGGTGAAAAATGGATCTTTTTCTGAAACTGGATCTGACTATCTTCATTTTTGGACTAAAATTTTGGAGATTGACGGTAAGTTATTTGTTTCGTTGGGTTAAATGTTCGTGTTGTATTTAAAAGCAATATTAAAATCCTCGTTTTGTAGATGCGATCTGATTAGCCTTGTTGACTGCCGTATTTGTAGGCGGAACTGTCAAATTGTGTAATTTGCCAAAGTGAAACGTTGTTAGAGCTGCTTTTTTTTGGTTTTGTCAACTAGTTTGCGGGCAGAGAGTTTGCATTTTTGTATAAAATAATATATACATTTGTATATTATATAGCATATTTGTAAACGAATTTCAATGAATACTTCTAAATTCGCATTTTTATATAATTAGTTAATTTTAAACTCTCGACAAAATATATTGCAAGATATTTCGGATCATTCTCCGAGGTTTTTTTTGGTGAAGAATGTGTGAGGGTGGATCATATCAGCGTACCGCGGGCAACAATGCAAGAACTGCACAGCGTACGCTGTTCAAAAGAACGTCATGTTTCATTTCTAGGCCTTCAATAGCCAATTTGCATGGTCAATAGTCTAAAACGGATAATTATACATAGGTCTTTCGACGCTTATAAAAAAGCGATTAAGATTAACAGTAAAACGTGTATTTCATTATTCACAGATGATGATAACCAATCAGAAATATATTTATTGATTGAGCTTTAATAACAATGATTGAGCTTTAATCTGGTCAAAAAGTAATTATACGGAACCATATGCACTAAGTGTATATTGTTGAATTCTAGCACTTGTGCAGGAATATTTTAAATCTGGTTTGGTCGAATTTTCATCTCCGACTTTTTCATTGAATACCACGAATTTTTCCAAGAGTACCAGTTTATTCCGTTGGTACTAGTCTGACCTGCACCCAGGTACAGGCCATTGAGTTTGGAATCAAGACAGCTGTTGTACCACCAACCACCTTTGTAGCTCGTAGCACAATTATGACCCCAAACATCGTTGTCACTATCCTTGGTAGTGAACTGCATTTGATTGTGATTAGCAAGAGAATCACCTGCGGTACCTTTTAAAAACAAAAAAACCCACAATAAGCAATATATGTATAGTAATACTGCATCAATGGTTTTGTTTTTAAATTGTTATTTTGTATCAACACGCTGCGTTTTCTAAAACCAAATTAGAAATGAACCCAGCTTGCATAGTATGACTGCTTTCTTTTACAACAAGGGCTAAAAACAGTTAACAGCACAAACATTAAATTGAGAGCAAATTGGTGATTGCCTAAATAATACTCGATGTCTTTTGACGCGGTTTAGGTTCGCTTGCGCGGTGGCACTTGAAACTCAGTCAGATAATTTCTTTGTTTTATCAGGAAACTGAGATTTATATGTTATTCTTAATTCACCTGAGAAACTGCCAATATTCAATCTGTATTTGTCTGATTCATCAGCCACACTAAAGTTTCCATATTTAGCGTAAGCCTCGGCGCCATTGAAATCCATCAAATCAACTCTTAAAACATTTTGCCCAGATTTGGTTAAACGATGTATTTTGTCAAGGCCCAACCAGAACTCGCCGTTAAGATCACCAAAGCCTGCTTTATAGTCTGACCATCCAAGGTAGAAATCTTGACTTCCATCTTGTCTTCTTTGGAACACGGTCCAGCCACCCCCGTCTTTGCTCATGTCACAACTGACTTGGAACGAACCCAGGCCATCAGGATCGATGGTATAAACACCATCTTTCCCTATCCCAGAATTATAGTGTTCAGCACAGCTTTTGAATATAGCTATAAATTAAATGGAACCAAATGTGAACAAATAAGAATAAAACCAGACCAGGCTTGAAGAATATTACAATGTTTAGAAAGTAAAACCAGTTTAGCAGGTGAACACGGTGAAATTAGAATGGCAGACATAAGTATATCAATCAAGTGCATGTCAAAGGAAAACATCCTCATAATGAAGATGACCGAATAAATCGTATAGTTGTCTTTATCTTTATTCGTAAGTGATGTCGTACAGGCATGCGATAAGTTTGAGATTCATTCTTAAAAACAAATAAAGCAATCAGAATGTACTAAAAAAAAATCTGAAAAATTAACAAATTCCTACCAGGTTTTGGACACAACGTTTGATAAGCCAGCTTACGCTTGCGAAGATCTTGTTCTATTACCCGACAACAATTACCAAGGTGTTCCTCGCCTTTGGAACACAATATGTTGTAAGCGAGGGTACGATTTTCGATGTCAGATCTGATATCATCACAGCAAAGTGCTTCTGCACCATCAGTTTGCAAAAGAAGTTGCAGTAGGATCACGACCAGAGCAATTCTTAACATTGTTTTGTCTTCAGTCGATTTATCTGTTACCTTACTTCGATAGAAACCAACTCGATGAACTGACTGGGTAGACTTAGATGCTGGTATTTTATGCAAAAGCTATAGGTGTGGCGAAAAAGAACTAAACTCCACCCTTCATGTCAGCTGATCCTTAGTCCCATATAAGGTGCAGAACGGATCTTGTGAAATCTGACAATCAGAGATTGCTAAATATGATTTCATAAGCGAACAAAACAGCCGAATAAATATTATTCTGCAAAGCAAATATTATACACTTAATGTATGCCCCCGAGAGAAATAGTGAGTTTTGTTTTCCCAAGAGTCTAAATGTTTCCCGAGACGAAGTCGAGAAGTGCTTGGTTATATAGGAACAAAAACATTCATGTTGCACAACAATTTCAATTCAAAAACACTTTGCACAACAATTTCATTTCAACAACAGTTTTTCAATTAATTAATTAATTATAATAACTTAACAATAACACAATAATAACTTATTAATTATAACAGTTTTTCACTTGTTTCCCTGGCGGGAGACATTGCATTTATTTAAAGTCATGAGACCACGAATGAATCAATCACAATCAAAATATACAACACCTATATAACGATAATATTTATGATGGGTCTGATTGTCAGACAATAAACATTGCTTGCTGAATACGAGTTTGGCCTTTATACGTAGATTTAGTTAGCATATTGAGGAGTGGAAAACCTTAGAACTATGCAGAAGCATTGAGCGGAAGCATTGAGCATTGAGCATTGAGCAAGTGCATTTAGCTCATTCATTCCCAAGAGTCGGACGAGCGTGTTGTAACTTAAGGCGCTGTTACACTATGCAATTTTCCTCGCAACTTGCAATGCAATTATAATTTTGAGGGATGTTAATCAGTAAAAAGTGTTCGAAATGCTAAGAAGCGTTAGCAGATCGTCAGAAATGTTCGTATTTGACAACTTTAGATGCCTCAGGGGTACAATTGCATTGCAAGTTGCATTGAAACTAAGTTGCATAGTGTATAACAGTATTTACACCATTACATTAAAATGGCGCATTAACTATCGAGCATCGCTTTCGTGCATGAGAGTGAAAGCCACTTAATTGTACACGAAAATTCGTAGAACCGGATGTCAATTTTATTTTTCTAAAAACTCGGAGTCGCAAAAGACAAAAATACATTAAATAAAAGGCTAATTTAATAGTTTACAACTCTACGCTAAATGAATATTTTATTGATTTTACAGTGAAATTGTATTGAAAAGCTCTTTACTACATAAAATAGGTCCAAGCAGAGAAGACCATTGGTATTCACAGGTATAAAGAGCTTGAGAGTGTGGTGAATAACGAGTTATGCGTGGTTAATTCAAATACACCTCATCAAAGGTAAATATTTTGCTACATTTTTAATGCGTTGGCTAAATTCTACTGTATTAAGGGCCGGGTTTATGAATTTGCGATAGTGCATGTTCGGCCAAAAAAATCTATAATTTCGCTACACATATCAGAGCACCTCGAAAGTACACACTTTTAGTTATAATTTAACTAGGAAGTGTTGAATAATAATATAACTTCCCTCTTAATTACTACGATTAGGCGATAATTTCATCGGTAACCAGTGGCAACTGTTGATAATTAGTGATATACAAACTTAATTGAGGCTCTTTCCATGCGGTACATTGGAAGGATATATTAAATGATTCAATATCCTCTCACTCTCTCGTTAAATGATTGATGTCGTTTCAAAACAAGCCAAGAGTTCCACCGTGTATAAAAATATTATTCTAGTATGCAAACATTTACCAATTGACGATTTATTGTAAAAACAAACCGCGACATTCTACTTCAAGCGAGACGTTTAGCAAATATTTTGTAATTGTTCACAGGTCAACGTTTTGAGGTTTTATATTAAAAAAACTTGCCGAGACACAGGTCAGGCTGAGAAGTCATTATGTACATGAATGCAACAAGGACCTTTCAGCCCCACAGACACATGCAGGAAAAATTTCGCTTAGGGCTTCGGTTTAGATGGAGCAGGTATATCCCGGCTAATCGCCCGTTGTTTGCTATAACTTTGATTAAATCGTAGTATTTCTAAATCGAGGACCCTCTTATTCCAAAGCTCAAATTTCATCGCTTTTCGAGCATTTTTAGAACGGTTGAAAGAATCACTATCCGGTGGATAGCGCTATCCGGCTTTCATACAACTGGCCCCAGGACCTTATTGTTACAGCTTGTCTCGCACGATTAGTTCTTTACGCGAATACTCGTTGTTGCAGGTCGTGTTACATAGTGCAATTCTTCTTGCTAAATGCGATGCAATTCTGCTCATGAGGAATGTAAATTTGGCAACTACGAAACTTTTGTTTTTTTTACATCCCACGGATGTTTTTCTTATTTTAAAAATTTCCATCTCTCAAAACATCCATTGGCATTGGATTGCATTGGAAGTTGCAAGAAAAATGGCATCGCGTTACGCGGCCACTCAATTCGCAGCTGTAAAATTAAGTCCAACAAAATCCTGCATGTTCTAAAATACTAATATCTCTGCCTAGTTTCTACAATTTGGAATTTATCATTATAAAGAAAAAGGAAAGAAAAACAATATTTTACCAGCGAGTATCACATTAGGGAGTCAGAAATAACGACAGCGTTTTAATTGAACTTGGAATAGGAAAAAACAATTATGAGCAGGTGTCACATTATAAGGCGGTTTTTGAAAAGCTTTTAACGGCGTTTTTTGTGTATGATGCACATATGCATATATACATGTACACATTGCGTAAAAAGAAAGGAAGTCTATTTTGGTGCTTCACAGAGAAAAAGATGATTAACCGAAGGTTAGTTCACACGCATGGTATATATAGTCGGAGACTTAGTATATATAAGGGCTGCTTTTCACTGTCGCGTATGTTTTGCACGTACGTACGCCAGCGTAGGAGTTTCTAAGTAAAACCTTCTAAGTTGTTATATGATTAATTTTGCTGCAGAAAAAAACACACCAAATCTTCAACAGAACCCAACCCTATGCATCTATTCAATCGTAACTTTTTAAAAGTATCATTTAAGTGATTTTAAGTGCACGCGTACGTGCAAAAAACGCAACAACAGGGGGAGCAGTCCTAACCAAACCATACGAGCCATGTTTTAAAAAGCAAAGTTTCTTCGATTTTATCACTTAAACGACGTTGAAAACATTGATTTAATAGAACCGTTTGGAGTATTTAGAACCTTCAAATTTTCCAAACAAGCTGGAAATGAGTCGAAGCTCTAACTTTTGTCGTGCAATGGGCTTTTTAACAGGGAATATATATAATCTCAAGGGCAATTCTTCCTACAAAACTGCTCACCTCAATTCAACAACTCCAGGCATACTCTGTCAGTGAAATATATACCTCCTATTTGATATAAACTGCCTGAAATTGACAAAAAACAAAATTCGACGAGAATCGACCGGTGTCCTTCGAACCGTATTTCAATCAAAATTTCTGCCGTGTGTAATATTTGCTGGCAAAGCTTAATATCATTGATGGACATTGTACGTTTCGAATTGCTGGATGGCTCTATATTTTTATGTATAGACTTATCTATATCGAGCTAGGAGAGAGTTAGGGTGATGCCTGTATTCCGTCATCAGAACAGCAATTATTGCCCTCCCTAATACTATTAATATTTTTTTCTTCCAAACATCACGCCTATATGACAGAACCCAAGTTCAGATGGCATTATTTGCGACTCTAGTCACGGAAAGCTGCCTACGAAGCAACTATCGGATCACGAGTGACAAAAACAAAGCATTGCAAGGCCACTGCGACATTTTCAATACAACCACAGCAAATATTGGAAAATGTCTTCAGTTGTGTCTTGGAAACTGTTCATGCAAATCATTCCAACTCTGCCACCTGTACGATGGAAAGACAGAATGTCAACTTTGTTCAAGTGATAAACACTCACATCCAGCCGCGATGACAGACAACGAAAATTGTTCGACTTACAATTTTGAAATCGAAGCTGGGGTAGGTAGACGAGCAGGCGACCCAAAATTCAACCCACGAACCACGGCTTTGATGAATTTGCTTCTGTTCAGAGTCATTTCTATCAAACTTTGAGTTTGAAATTCTTAATTTATGTCATGTTATGTAAGAACCAATGAAAGAATGATTGAAAAGCAAAACAGTCAAGTTTCGAGTCAGGATGAAAAATACTATACATCCATTCACTCGTGTTGAAAATGAAGCAAAATTAAAAAGACAATCCTATGTACTCCTTTCGGAGAAAATTTTTCATATAATTAAAGTTCGTCAGATGGCCGACAAGTCGAATTGTAGCGCATTACCAAATAGGTTTAAAACTGTAAAAAAAAATGTATAAAATTGTAGAGCATCTAGGTCGATTTTTCAAAACATGTGCACAAATTATTGAATTTGCTGAATTTTAAAAATAATTCTGCTGAATTTTAAAAATAATTCCATTAAATTACGATAGACATAGTCACCTGTTACATAAAAAAAAAAACAAGAAAAAAGTAAATTAAATATTCAGCTTGTCTTGAAAGCAAAATCGACCGTCAAAATATTGTCTGTAACATAAGCACTCTCAATTTTTTTCCTTTTCAGATCTCTGAAAATCATTGCGAAGCGGGGTGTACATCCCGCATCAACTGCTGTCTCATATCGACCCCATGTTACAACGGTGGCACCTGTGTTCCCCACAGTACCCTCCGATTCACCTGCAAATGTCCGTTGCACTACCGCGGAGACCGCTGCGAGATACTGGACTGCGCTCCGGGCTACGCCGGGGAAAACTGTGAACGAGAGATTAAATCGTGCAAAGATGTTGCAACGTCATCCGGTATTTTGCCTCTTTCAAGAATTTATACAATTCTAGATAGCTTTTTGAAGACTTTTGAAGTTTTCTGTGATTTCGAGAATGATTCCCAAAGCGTATTGTGGTCGTGGACACTAGTGCAATCCTACGCGTTTTATGAAAACGGAAAATTCCGGTGGGCATCATTTTTAAGAGAAGATCCGCCGATAATAAACGAAAAAAATTGGCATTTGTTTCGTCTTGGTAAAACGAGAATGGAGTCCTTGAGGAAAGAGTCAACAAAATGGCGCGTCACTTGTTGCTACGATACGACCGATGGCGTGGATTACCGGGATTACGTGCGGGCATCATTCTCCGAGGTCGACCCACTAGTTTTTGATGGTGAAGAATGTGTGAGGGTCGATCATATCAGCGTACGCGGGCAACAATGCAAGAATTGCACAGCGTACGCTTTTCAAAAGAACGCCATGTTTCATTTCCGAGCCTTCAATAGCCAATGTGAGTTTAAAACGACCGGATACAAGCAATGTTTGAACGAAAGAAAGTCGCATAAAACAATCGAGAGCAATTTCGGCTTTTACAGTTGTGCGAACGAAGAACACAGTTGTTCGGCTCATATGAATGCAACAACACAGACTTGGTTTGGAGCTGTGCATAACTCGAGCTTGACTATTCCCGGCAGTTAAGAATTGCTTTATTGTGTATAATGAAAGCTCTTGAGAAAAATATTGTGTTATATAACCAGGTTTAATATCTCGCGCGAATATTTGACCTAATCAGAGGGCAAAAGGGTTGTCGAAGTAGGAAGTCGTTTATGCAGTATTAAATCGATTATATCTATTGTTATTCTTCATGAAACTATAGTCAAAAACTTAGTGGCTTGGTTTATTTATAACAATTATAGCTCTAGCATAAATTTGAAAGTGGATATAGAGTATATTTCACTCCCACTAGGCTTCTACCAAGTATGTTATATTATTCGTATTATATATGTTATATCATATTAGCTCAGCTAAGTTCATAAGATGTTGAAAGCCTTTGCGAACTATTCGCAAAAATCTTCTTTCAAATATAGTTGACTATACACATGTTAAGTTGAGAATATAAATTACTAAAAATAAAAGGCTAAACATACGGAATGGTGTAACTCACGGTTGTGACGATTTCTAGCAACAAGCTTTCGCCTTTTTACAGCAGGGTGGCCTCTCTGCGCCTGCGCTCGCCAGCTTGAATGGGTCAGCGGAATTCGCAGAAGCACAAGGAGCCGTACATGTCGAGTCAGCATCATTAAACTCAAGATGTTTTGAGTACCTGGAGTTCTTGAGAACGCCGAATATGTCATAGCTTACTGCTTGGAAATTTGACTATAGAGGAAAATATAGATTCATTTTAATGTCTGCCTGTGTACAACCAAGGCCCTGTGACTATGATACAGCATTTAAATCACCTAACTTTTACATGCTGTAATGGCCTCGCAATTAGGAATGAGTGGGGATGAAAGTGGGCAGTAGGGGATGAAGGTGGGTAGTAGGGGTTGAAGAGGATTGTATGCAAGGCAGTTGACGCAAAGGTAGGACGAAAACGTTGGCAAACATGCTCACACTGATGATTTAGTTTGCTTGAATTATAAAGAGTGCTTCATGTAACTGCCGAGATTTTTTAATTCAAATCGAAATATTCAGTGCGTGCGCAAACGGCGTATATCGGCCTAGTATGATGTATCTCAGTTTTTTCTACAAAAACAGCACAACATGGCTTCTTGTCCCTATGATAGCGAGCACAAGGAAACATTCGCTCTCGACTCCACCCTCCCCCACAACATCACAGACTACTTACATCAAAAGAGTGTTCGTGGTCAAATTTAAACGTGTCTGAGCTTTCACTCATTGTACCTGTAATTTTAAAGATAAAATCAAAATAAATAAACGGTGACACAACCTTGGCTTGATTTCAAAAATCATACGCTGTACTGCCTGTACAAACCTTTGTACTTGACAGAACAGCTACTATTATTGTCGGGGGTTTTGTTGCTTTTGAACAGACGATACGTTGCCGAGACGAACTTAGAATCACCTGAAGATTGCAAACAAATATATCTCATTTTGGAGTTATTGAACAGTACAATGACAATGATGATTTTGTATGGGGTGAAAAGAGAAAATGTCTATGATTCTTCGTTTGAACATGAATATTTAAGCATATTCTATACAGGGTGTCCCAAAAAAAACGAAAACTATTGAAATCACTCATTGTTAAAATTTGAATGCCGTGCTAACGAATTTCAGTCCGTGGGGATTTAATGCAACTTATAAAATGCTAAATGCTTTGTGTTGCTAGAGAAAGGGGACATGTCGAAGGTCATGGTCCTTGAGATGCACATCTAAATAATTTATCCATATTTGTAAATTGTAAATATTGTTAATAAATATAATTTTTGCGAACAAGCAAATTTTACTGCATCCTATGCATACGTAAAAATGAGTATGGTATACATTTATACACCTGTGGGTCCCAACAGAGTGCTTAGGCATTCAAACTCTAACAATTGCATTGTTATGGGTGATTTCAATAGTTTTCGTTTTTTTTGGGACACCCTGTAGTAAAATTGATTGCTAGGTGAATTACCATAAATGATTAACAACGTGTCACGGTTGAGGCCATCAATAGTCAGGCCAAGGGCACAGACCGTCGCATTTCTTCCATTTTATAGTTCTTTTGTTTCCTTGCTTTGTCTTAAATATTTGTTTTTTTCAAGTGGCTAATAAAAGACAAAGCGGTTTTAGCTGAAATCAGTGCGACGATTAAACTGGTTGAAATGCGACGATTATTCTTACCCCTTTCTCCAGAGAATTTTTGAAAAATATATATATTTAAAATAGATAGAAATCTTTATTTAATGAGGGTAGACACGAAATAGCTAAAAATAACATATTTCGCAAAAGCAATACCTAAAACTTTTGAGAGTTCTTCATTACCAACAGCCAAATCACGACTTGTGACCAAATATGGCCCAGAAAAACCGATTTCTTTAGCCAAATCAACGAACGATTTCCAATACAAGGCACCAGCAAGACATTCACCTACGTACAATCAATTTACGCCGAGTGAAATCTTGTACAAAATCTGATAACTTGTCAACAAGCGGTATTTGAAATAGATTGAAGCTTATTTTAATTTGATTTTTCATCAGTAGTTTAGTGTCTCTGGTTTCTTACTAACCCCATAGTTCTTTGTGGTCTTTGATGTTTTGAGGAAGTTCACGATCAGCATAAATATCACTAAAATACAACTCTCCACCATCCTATATTAAAAAGGGGAATTTCAATATAAAGATGATGAATTGTCATAGTGGTCAATCCAGCTAGGATTTCGAACTGGTGCTGGTAAACTGAAACACTTCAGTTTACCTTTAACACTCTAAAGGCTTCTTTAAAAACTGATGGTTTATCAGGAGATAAATTGATAACACAATTGGAGCTGAAAAAGAAGCCAAAAGTTGTATTATTTGGCAACTAATAGTGTACATACATAGTATGGTAAGAACCAATTTTAACTTGAATTGTATATTTAAAGATTTTTCACGTCTTTAAAATTTAATAACTTTAATGAACTTTTTTGTGATCTTTCCTTCCAACCTTTGATCCACTTACATAATCAAGTCACAGCTTTTGTCCTCAACTCCAGCTGCTTTAAGATTCTCAATATATCCTAGTTTGAAGACCACATTTGGTTTGTCATATCCAAATTTCTCCATGTGGTAAGGAATGTGCTTTTTGGCAACCTTTAACTGCAAATACAATTTTTTGTAAGGTGTTGTTACATACATTCTGTGACTTCAAAGTTTGAATGTATGTGCCACAATGCAAGATAATTGAATTCAAGAGAATTGATACAAATGTTGCATCAGGACTGCCTTGTAATTATACCGAAATGAATATTAAATGAATATGAATGGAGAACAATATATAAACATGGAATATTCGGGTTCTTGAATACGTTTTTAACCTGGTAACACAGAGGATCATCATTATTTGCGGTTACCTGTTCTTCAGTCATATCAACACCAGTTACAAACCCATCTTTTCCAACAAGTTTACTCAAGATAAAGCAATCACGACCAGCACCGCTCCCAAAATCCAACACACTTATGCCTTGCACAGCTGTAGGGAAAACCAGACCACAACCGTAATACCTACACATAATAGAATGTTGATCCACAATCACATTAGCTGGTTACATGCCTATACACTCATAAAATAATAATCACATTAACAATGCCAATATTAAATGTGCCAACATGAGGAATGAAGCATTTACATGAGTTCTGGAGGTGGTAACCTGCCAACCCAGAGTTACACTAGTAATTAGTTCTGGAATAAATAGGCCAAACATTGTTATTGGTGGCTCTTTGATTCCTTTGTTTTAAACAAAGCTAGAAAACAACTGTTATGTTGATAATATTTGGTATATTTATTCGGAAATAAACCTACCCCTGTCATTTCCCATGCTTTTGTGATACCTTGTACCATAGACTGGAAGAAAGCTTGTAACAAGATACAGTGTGCTATAACTGGTAGTCTGGTACTATAAATATGGTACTATAACATAGGTGCTCCAATCCACACAGGGATTGATGTCTCTGTTTACAAACACATTTTACAAGCACCGTCTGAAAACAGGCACATTTCGCTTGTACTCAAGTATTAAAACAATTCCAATTCTTTTTGCTTTACCTTTTATATTTAACAGTCTAGAACAATATAACTAGAGAGAAGGAGTATATACATGTTCATGGAATGCATGCATTTGGCATTCATGCGCACATGTCCCAATTCCTCGTGGCATTTAAATGACATTGTAAGTTTGTAACATATTTCTTAATATTAGGGGCACATGTTAGACATGATGACCCAGGCATGCAGTAGTTTCGATCGCACGTAATATACATTCTCCTACCTTGACAAAACCTCATCATGACACAATTCTAACGCTTCTTTGACTTGCTTCGGCACTTTACCAGGCGCTTGAATACAAGCATTGGTCTTTACATCGTTGTTGGTTTGCAAAATTTTCCCATAATATTCCTTTACACTCTCTTTGATTGCGTCTGCCATCTTTTCCCGTTAAAGACTTAAGAGATCAGTCAATGCAAAGTGATTGTGCTGTTATATAGTAAATGCATTTCAATTGTACGCGTAATTAAAATATTTTATTACAAAATTATGGCCACGACGAATACACGTGTTGTGTTCGTGTTCGATCAGGAAATCTGGAATGTAACCTCGTGTCATTCACGTGGTGTTTAAAATTGTTCAGTAAAAGTAAAAGAAGGTGTAGAGATCTCGGGGGGAACCTTCACACCTCTTGCTTTTGCTAAAGTCTGTTCACACGATCCGATTTTGGCAGATCCAATTCGCTTTAGACGTATGGAACGTAGTCTGTTACTGATAAAGCAATACTGCATTGGGCCATTGGCTTTGGCCCGCTTTACTCTTTAGTTGAAGTTGATTTAGTTCCCATATACAATCTAAGTCAAAAGACTATGAAACATCCATTGGAAGCGAATAGTCGATCTACAAAATTTTCCGACAAAATTCAATCGTGTGAACAGACTTTAGGGGAGCATTTGGAATTACAAGGATATGGAATGTATGATTCAAGCCTAATTAGACTGTTTACATTATAACGATAAGTCCGTACGCTGATATTGATATAAGCATTCAATTGCTAATAATAAATTGACCCATGTTTTTCGTACTAACTACAAATTTTTGCCTTCTTGCAGCAAGATGGCGGTTCGTTGATTTCGTCCGCCAGTTCGAAGGGATCAACGGAATAACAAGGAAGCGGTCTGGTACAGGTCGGGTCGGCGTCTCTAAACTCAAGATGTTTAGAGTACCTGGAGTTCTTTAGAACACTGACCATATCACAGCTGACTGCTTGGAAATTTGACTAGAAGAAATTATCGTATAAACTCAATCAATATTGACTATTGTCTACCTTACTCCCTGGTCCTCAGACCTTTTTGAGGTTTTTTGAGGCCGGTTGTACGAAAACTGGCTAGCGTTATCTACGAAAAGTGTTTTTTCAATTGCTCCAAAACTGCTTGTTGTTCAGTATAACCTGGATTAAACCTTGGTATTCTTATATTGGGATTGTCTTTAATAACTATTAGCTCCATTAATGCCTCCAAATCTGCAATTTCTGCTTTTCAAGCTTTTCATGCTTTTCAAGCATGTTTAAAACGGTTGAAAAAATGATTATCCGATGGAATGACAGCGCTATCCAGGTTTCGTAGAACCAGCTCCTGCTGTTTAACGGTTTAGCCTATTAAACTTAAAGGCTTTTTTCCACTGCTGTATACGGACGAGTTAAGACCCGTAATGCTTCCATACGAACTTACATCAAAAGTGTGTTTATGATCAAACTTGAAGGTTGCCGGACTTTCACTCATTGTACCTGCAATTTGGGGAAGCGTAAATGCACGTAAATCCTCACTGAAACTAGCTTTGAAACTATACCTTACTGCCTTACAAACCTTTGTACTTAACATAGCAGCATTTGTCGTCTGATTTCTTGCTGGTTTTGAACAACCGATATGTTGCGGAGACAAACTTGAGATCGCCTGAAAAATTGAAAAAAATGGTGAACGCAAACAGCGACAGTGTCATTACCGGCAATTAGTTAGACCAAGTCAAAGACTCCGTGGTCAACCAAGCTACGTATGTAGGCAAAAACCTAGAACTTACTTGAACTGAAACAGCTTTTTTCTACTAACTCGTTGTAAAAAACTTGAGTAAAAGTAATGAATTATGAAAGCAATGTCAAAGAATGATACCTAAAAGTTTCGCGAGTTCTTGATTTTCACAAGCAAGGTATCGGCTGGTGACCAAATAAGGCCCAGAGAAACCAACTTCTTTCGCCATGTCGACAAATGCTTTCCAATACAACGCACCACCAAATCCCTCACCTACGCAGTGAAAGCCAGTATACATATTTAGACATTGTGTATGAGAAAGTGTAAATGTAATTTACCTTATTAGTTATTGTTAATAATTGAAATGGTAGAGTCTAGCTAAATAAGTGCGTAATAAATGAATAATAGCAAATGGGATAAAAAAAATCATTTATAAATTATTGTCACATTGAAATGGTCTTACAACACAATATTTCCTTACCCCAGAGCTCCTTGTGATCTTTAATGTTTTGTGGCTGTTCACGATTAGCATACATATCACAGAAATATAATTCCTGGCCTTCCTGACAACAATTTAGCAATTCAGTTTGTACTCATGTGAGCACTTCATTTTCTCCATGACACTTGATTGTGCCAGGTAATAGATTAATACTGAGAAATTTACCCTCAAAACTCTGAAAGCCTCTTTGAAAACAGATTTCTTGTCGGGACACAAATTGATAACACAATTTGAACTGAAATATCATTGTTAAGAAATAAACTATCATGAGAAATATAATTGTGATCCACCAAGTGTAAAGATAGGTGAAGTCTGGGCGCACTACAAATTACAGCTAATTAGGTGCCATATTTTTAATATGAAGGGCAATTTCCTACAACATCCTGCCTCTTTTTGAAACTCAAGGTAACTTACACAATCAAGTCGCAGCTACTGTCTTCTACACCAGCTTCTTTGAGCTTTTCAATGTAACCAAGCTTGAACTCCACATTCGGTTTGCTAAATCCAAACTTTTCCATGTGGTAGGAAATGAATTTACTGGCAACTTCAACCTGAACGAAATCCATGACTACTCAATATAAGCCCAATGTATCTCAGCATCAAGAGTTTTCTTCCAATAGGCAAGTTACTCAATTATTCTTGAACTGTGATGGTTAAAATCCAAATCCCCAAATCCATCATCATTGCAGCTTTATATATCTGGAAAATTACCTGTTCTTCAGTCATATCCACGCCTGTCACAAAGCCATCCTTTCCAACAAGTTTACTCAAGATAAAGCAATCTCGACCAGCACCAGAGCCAAAATCTAGCACATTTGCACCTTCAATTGCCATAGGAAATGCCAGACCACAGCCATAATATCTGCACATTAGACATAAACATTGGACTTGGCTGTTTATTCTGAATACTCATATTTTGTGCACATTAAATACTTAATTGCACAAATACTGAAATTACTTAATTGCTAATTACTATATACCACTTGCTAAATAGCATTTAGGTTTTTACGATACATAGCGTAGCCAGACGTAGGCTCTAGCACCTGCTTCTACATCATTAAAACAAACTGAATACGGGACGATTGATATGTGAAAAATGGCCATTGTTATTTGGAATTGGTCACTTTGAGAAACAATTTTGAACAGAAAAGATGTGAATAGGATGTGATTTGTCAGATGTGTAGACAGTGTAGTCCATTTCATATCTACCTAGATTTGAATTGAAATACAAAAATACCTTGCTACAACTTCATCATGACACAAAGCGAGAGCTTCTTTGACTTGTTTTGGCATCTCGTCTACTAGAACACAAGCACTGCTCTTCAGATCAGCGTTGGTCTTTAAAATTTTGCCATAATACTCCTTCACGTTGTCTTTAATTTCGTTAGCCATCGTCCCAATTCTTAACGTGACTTTTATTGCAATTTCAATTACAAATATTTACTCAGCTGTTATATGAATTCGTAAACCGGAGATCAGTCATCGTCGAATTTCCGAGGAACTCTGTCGCCACACCTGAAGAAATCCAGGAAGTCTAGAAATTCTAGGAAGTAGGAAACTGGCAAACTGTATTTGAGGCAAAAACAAGTACAGAATCTAGAATGTGGTGGAAAACAAATCCGATAGCTTTAATTTACTAGTTGAATGGTCAACCTGATGAAACCAGTTAGTTCGAGATAGTTTTATATTTTAGATTCTTATGGTGATATATAAACTACACTGCATTAGCATATAGAAAAAATGAATCGTTTAAAAGGATTATCGCTCCGAGAGTCGCCCACGTTTTTTTGACTTGCCAGATTGTGTTGATGTCTTCCTTTTCCTACAAGCGACATAATATAGTAATTTAATATACTATCATTTAATCGACTATATTCCATCGTTTTCAACAAAGAAATGAGAGAAAACAGTTCAAAAGATCAATACTCTATCACCTTTTCCTTCCACTTGAATTAACCCCCTTTCTTTGAGGACATTCTTTCCGTTTGTGGTCTAAACTGCCACAGATGTGACAACCTCTCAAAGGCCTAAAAACAACATCGTGCAAAGCAACTAATCTTTATTGTGATACGACAACTGACAGATATATTTACGTGTACAGAATGAATTCCGTTTGTAAACCAGCATATTAAAAATCACGTTTGCATAAATTCCATGTGGGGTCACGTGAGCAATTAACAATCGAAAATTCTAAAAAGCACTCTTACCGCTGACAAACATGCTCGGGAAGTTCACAGCGATCACATGACTGGCAATGAATCCGACCTGATAAAGTACAAATGCAATAGACATCACTCATTATGATGTTCCATGCAATGATTCTACTACCAAGACCATGATGCTTTGCCAGAATCATAGCTAAATGCAGATAATACTTGCAAAGCATTCTGGTCTTGGAACACAGATCATCAATCATTATCTTAAAACGTCATAACGCCCAAGAAGTATAGAAACACTTTTAGAGCTGAGATGTGGATTGTTGCTGATATAATAGAAAAAGAATCGTGCTAAACTGCTTCATTAGAAAAGAGAAAAGACTTGTACTTCTATAGGATATACCATAAAAATAATAGACATGTTTCTATGAGATATACATATAGAAAAACCATTGAAAATGTGAAAATGAAAACCTAAATTCCCAACAATAAAATGAAAAACATTTTGGTCCAAACCGTCAAAACATGACTACAGGCTAAAACCATCAGATTTGCAGGGAATTCTGTACCTTTTTTAACGCATTTACCACACTGGCTGCAATGTATCCAAACGCGACCATCCTGCAACAGAGAATACCTTTTGTCAAGTTGGCAAAATGAGAATAAGCCCGTCGAAAAACATGTCATGTATATGTGTTTTATAGTATCGACGCTGTGTCTGTTAGACTATTTTTATGGTAATCTACATGTATCGACCATTTGATTTTGAGGTGTCTGTGGTGATTTGCAGTAAACAATACCTTGGAAGTACAATCATTGCATAACTGACAGTGCACATTATTGTCATCCACGTAACGTTCACACTTTTCACAATACCTACAATAGACCAAATTAAAACAGATATATAACGAAACCTTACTGGCAAAGAGTGGAAACACATATATATCATCCTAAGACTTTTAACACTTTACCGCTATTTTCCACGACAAACTCTTTAAAAATAGTGTATTTCAAAGAATTCGAAACTCTACCTGTATCCTTTCTCTGGAGGCAAAACTATATTTCGTAATGGGACGTTGGTGAAAATTCGGACAGGTGATGTTTTGGAACTGGTACCATGGTGTTTCTTGTACAAGGGATGATTGTCATAGTCAACCTATTATGAATAAATTTGCATTTATGAAATATGAAGCCATACCATTACAATTTACCATATCATACCATACCATACAATACCATATTACAATACTATATCATACCATACCATGTCATACTATACAATACCATATACCATACCATACCGTACTGTACCATACCATACCATACCATACCATACCATACCATACCATACCACATCTTACCATGTCATACAGCAGCATATCGTGCAACTTGAACCTTACTATTATCATACTACATCATTTCCCTCCTTACCTTAAACTCGCACATCTTAAACGATGGCAATTCTTGGATAATATGCTTTTCCATGAAATATGGAAAAATCCAAATAGTTGGTATTTTATACGGCTCCACAGAACCTGCTATGGCACAAAAAGAAATGACATGGAATGCATTTTTAAACACATTAATTTACATTACTATTCCTGTTAATTCTAAATACCTTTATCCTGTTTGCTATGACCAGCCAGTTTCCATAATTTCTTGACACTGGCTGCCAAAACTTCAACCAGCCCACCAAATGGTGGGTCAAGGATGATCAATGTTGATTTTGGTTCAGAATTTTGAAAGAAATTTTGCAGAAGTGACTTTCCTGAATCTCCCTCGAAAAAATGATGGTTGAACATGTTATAGTGGATAAATTGACCTTTTTCATTGAATTGCGCCTAAAATTATCCAAAAATAAAAGTTACTGTAATCAAGACTGGTACCACAGTAAATTGGCATCATGTACAAAACATACATATCTGTGATCTAAATCCATTAGTAAGCTATTGATTTTGCCATCTTTTTGTGCTTGAATTGCTTCATGTATTCTACAATATATAAGAATAATACTTCTTACAATCATATATAAAGTTTTTTCCAATATCTTAGAGCCTGCTTTTTAAATATAGTAAACTTGCAAATCAATTTATTTCTTCCATGTTGGAATGAAAAAGTGATCTATTAATTTCACTACAAGTTTTTACCGGGGAGTGCCAACGCATAAAATCTTTGTGTATCCTAGTTTGCCAAATGTTTCCAGAAGAAAGTTAACAGAAGAACTACTAAAAAGATATTGCTAAAATGAACAAAAGCGAATATCTTTCATTAGATTGTGGTAATTATTAAAACATAGTGAGGAAAAAGATGAAGGTTAAATAAGGTAAAAACCCATACTGCAAATGACTTCTTTTTGTCCAAAGGTTTGAAAAGATAACTTGGATTTGAAAGAGTTCTATCTGCCATTCCATTTTTCATTTCATGATCTTTATGCTTGTTTATCTCTTTCGGGAGAACTAATTGTTCACAAGTGTGGCAGTATGTCCGTTCAGCTTCACTTAAACATCTGATGCACTTGAGTCGTTTCCAACATTCAGCTTGACTGATTGCTGGTTTTGATGCCTCAATGATCTGTTTGTGTGCTTTCTGGGAGGCCAATGAAGGTGACTCATCTTCCCATTGAAAAAAGTTGCATTCCTTGCGATCCCGGCAAGCAGAGCACGAGAAGAATCTCCGAGGGGGTTTTCCTTCAAAATATCTTTCAAACAACAACATAGGCCCTAAAATTGTGAGAAACAACATTAATGCCTAATGTTTCATTATTTCACACAATAAGTATAAATCTGTCCTGAGTTTTAACGTGTCTTTTATTCACTGCATTATTTTGCTCTTATCAGAAATTGAAATTCTAGCACCGAGCACCTCTCCTCCAATCAATGCCTGGCTATATGTGCAATATTTGAACAGTAATACGTTAATAGCAATAGCTAAATAAGCTCTACTACAAATGACACAGTTGACGTATAGTTGAAGTATACTAACTTCAAATAAATCTCTCACAGTCTCACTCGGCAGAATATTTATTTCTCCATCTAATATATCTTACCGTGTGGACAGGAGGGTATATTCTTATTATTTTCTTCGGGTATAAACACCTCAACTCCCAATCTTTGATGAGAAGGATGCATGATTTATGAAAACAACTTGGTTTATACAGTATAAACACTAATAGTCTATACACACGTGGAACAATTTATCTGCAAATAAATTAATAAAAACAAACTTTAGATTCCATACATCAAAAGTGTACGCTCGGAATCGGTCGCCGTTACACAACATTTGCATTAAGCTCTCTGATTGGTTTAAACAGGAGGAAGTTCATTGGTCAAACTTTAACAATTTCTACAAAACTTGGTGTTGGAAAATTATTGCACACGGTGCAGAGCCACTTAGAATACTCTCAAATACCTTACATGAAGTTTTACTAAGTATATTAGAATAATACCCGGGGAATTACAGAACATAAGAAACATAACTATTGTTTTTCATTCGTACCCTGCTTTCATACACGCACAACGGTATATACTTTATTTTCTAAAACTAGCCATCAACCAAATTCGTTATGATTTATACAGATATGATTTCAGCGACTTCAAAACTTCGAAAAATTATTTGATTTGATATGACTTATCAGATCAGACCGGATGAATTTTGTATAGCTTTGCGAAATTGTGTTCAGCGGAGCCTTCCTTTTGTTTTTCCCCTCACTGTTTTATAGACAAAACACTATTCGGCTATCATTTGACACTGGGAAAATTACAAATTGCCCTTACGTAAATTTAGATTAAAAAATGAATATTGCTTTTCCCCGCCTAGTTCAGTATTTTGAACCACATTTTTTTTAGAAACAACAAGATCGCCATAAAGCTAGCTGCATGTATCATAATATTACAATACTACAGAATGTTTGTGGGTGAATTTGACCATTATATTAATTTGATATTCAGTTAAGTTCAAACGGTTATTTTTTCCACAAAAATAAACAAAAATAAATTAATTTGTGTCAAAAATAACCTGCGCTTAAAAGCCCTCCATTAACTTCAAAAACAACTAATTAAGCGCGGTTGTGTTTTCATCTGTGTAATGTTTCAACGCAAAGTGCAACAACATGATAGTGTTTTAATTTGAGTCATTTTTCGCACGGATCTTCGCTTTCCTGTCACCCTCCTACATCGTTTAAATATTTACAAAACGATTCATAATTAGCTAATACCAAAAATTAGCTACAGTAATGTAATAATATTTCCCCCATAAACTGCAATTTACCAGATGAAACCAGATTCGTTCACTACAATTAATTTATTGCATGCACCACGTGTTGTATATAAGCCGGCACAAATATGCCGAAGGCTAGTGCAGTCAGCTGAACACTACTGAAAAAATGGAGTTGCCTCGTTTATGCCAAGAATATACTAAAATGAAACTTTAAGTTGAAACTGTATTACAGAATTAAAGTAATTCCGAAAAATGTTAGCATAGTTAATACAATTTTACTCTGCATATTTCGAATCAAGATCGATTCATCTTCAGCCAAATTGTTTACAAGATTTTGCGTAACTTAACTATAAAGCGATACGCCTTGCGCAATCAATACGCGCTTTATATAGTTAATTTACGCAAAGTCTTGTAAACAATTCTCCTGAGATGAATCGATCTTGATTCGAAATATACAGAATAAAATTGTATACGTGTTTTGAAACAAGGTAACCCCGGTTGATGCCGAGATTGATAGGCTTGTGTAACAGAACTCTGAACAAAGTTTAATTGTGATTTACACGCTGCCTATGTCGGACAGTTTAAAGAGCAGTTGTAATCCATTTAAGATGGCCTGACCACAAATCAGTTTCGAATTATGTAAGTTCATGGTCGCGTTCATGGTCGCTGAACTTTATAACAGTTGGAGAGATTTACTATGAACTCGATGAAAGTTAAACTAAGCCATGTTTGGCAAAGACGAAACCACAGCTAATTTAAACAGGAACTTACCCAATTATGTAATTTAGGTGAAATAATTGCGGCAACTCTTAGAATCGAAATTGGAAGCACTAGTGCCTGATTAGTGAGGCTTTACATATAAAGTGAAAACAATTTGCTTAGTGAATTAAAACGAGTTTTTCGTAGTCAGTTTCTGCTGTGTCAGATTGATGGGAATTTGGAAAGATCTCTACGGAGTACGGCCCTGCATGCGCATCTCCAACACTCCTGATAGGTCAAAGTGTGTCAATATTCTTTCCTTGAATCTTCACAGCCTGGAAGGTTTTGATAATTCGATGTTATTATGAACTGAAGCGTTCAACAAAATATGCCAGTCATTCGCTATAGCATGTAACGCAATCCGTGCCATTTGACTTCGGGCTATGCAGAATTCACGATTTCTAATCATTAGCGCATTTACCGGTTGCGCACAATATGCCAGTGTTTTGCGCCATGCGTCACGTTTCAATGTATACCGCGAATGCGCGCACTTCGGGCGTTGCCTGTTTATTGTGACAGCCCGCTTGGGGGGTCGATAAAATCCAACCTCGACGATTTCTTTGCAAAAGATAAAAAATTAATTAAGACAATATATTGCGGGTTTGTTGAAGCGTTTCAACGCCGCGCTATGCAGATAGCTGTCAACTGAAAAATTTCGACATCAATTTATGATGATGATAAAATCGGCTAATCATTGCCTGTTATGAAATCTTTGGGTTGATTCCACAAAGCTTTTTCGTGCAGGAAATGACTGCGTAAACTAAAATAATGTGTATATTTGATGATTCTCACATTCTCGCACTCGTCTTGTATCTGAAGACGCGAATCTCTGAATAGAAGAATTCAGAGATGTAAAATTTGATTTACATAATGCAATACAATATGGCTACCATTAGGGCTAACCTTTTCTCACCGAATATTTTTACAGTCATACAGATGCCCAGTGCAGCCTTAGTGATATCCGAGTGCATGTATTTGCAGAAAATCAATGTTTTTTCTACCGATTCACTTATCCTCTGTTATATCAATATATTATGTCCCACCGAAGTAAAGTGAATTTCACCAATGTTCCCGTATATAAGAACTGACATAACTCGTCAGTATAGCTTTGTTTAACTTTGCTTTAGGTCGTTGTATTGATGCAAAGTCAAATTCAAATAGAAAAGACTATTAATTTGTTTGCTCTAACAACTGATAATCGACCCATCATATGTCATCCGCACCACTCTGATGCACGTCAAACGAAAGTCTTTTCTGCATTTTTTTCGAGAAACGATTAAAATGCGTTAAAAGTCATCTCAATCTGATAATTATCTGAATATGGTTGGCTTAAAAACTATAGAAAAAAGCGACAGGGAAAACAAGCGAAAACGGGCCTTGCATACGAGTTTGATCAAAAATTGTCACCAAATGGTACGAAGATTTATATCATTGTTTGTCTTTATACAAATATTTTCTATAGACTATAGCCATGTAAAAGCCTTTCATCCATGCGCATTTTGGATTTTGAAGAGTCTAAAGTTTCAAAAGCATTATGTCCAAGAGTAGTACTGATCTATAACCATGATGCCGTAGGAATCAGGTATATTTGGCATTTGTGAAGTGTGTAATCATTACACAGTTTATAGCAAGTTTAATGGTACAACATTCGGAACCAACTGTCGCCTTTGAACTTCCTGTGAATAATTCTCCCATGCATGCTTTCATTCCTCTTTGATCCGGATTCCGGCATGACACAGAAATGGAAGAGCTCAACGAGGGGCTAAATATACAAATACAAAGAGTTCTCTTTGAATAGTTTTCGTTTTGATATCATGTTTACTCGAGCTCAGAGCAATCAACAACATTACTGTCATCGATAGACGTTTTCGCGAATGCCATTCAGTATGCCACCCAATGCGGGCGAGCGTAGGTAAACTATATTATTGCTCAATCGTTGAAAACTGAATCAACGGCATTCCTTCAGGAAACCGTCGAGAATAGTTCTGGTAATTCGTTAATATGCCGAGCTTAGAATGACCCTTAGTCCTGAGATTGTACCAAACGATTGTAAAGATATTGTCAAACGATCGAGGCTTTGGAAGGCTTGTCAGGATGCTATTCAGACACAGCTTAATCCTTGGCTACAACTACCATAAAACAATCGAGCAATGATTGATAACCTTATATAGCCAACTGCATGTATGCAACTAGGGACGGTTCATAACAAGTGCATCACTTATAAGGGTGGTTTATCGACTATCAATGACCCCATATGGTAGCGATAAATGTTGCACATATAAAGCCAATTAATTTCAAATTTTTTTGAGAATTTGTAGCGAATGTCAGGGCGATAAGGTATAGTTGAATGTTGGCTGCGGTGAAATTTTTCCCAAATGAGATTCAGGAAGTTCACCTTTTGTTCGCTAAATGTTTAAGGTCTAAACCAGTTTTTGAAGAACACCTTTTCTGAATTAGCTGCAGCGTCGACGCGATGAGCCATAAACCACAAGGCAAAGTACTTTTGAAGTAATTTTTTCACATTTTTTGTAAGATCCATAATGTCTTATTGGGGAAAGACTACACCAGTATTCAGCGCACAATTAATATTCGCTTATCGTAACCGCATATAACTCGTATATATCTATGTTTTGATTTCAATCGATGGATACTGTAAATACTTTCCAAAATGTTGCTAAACTCTATTGACCAGATGGAAACTTTAAACATAATTATTATATAATAAATATCATGGTTTTAGTCTAATAATTCTAATAGCATAGTTTAAACCTGCCAATTCATGGCTTTATTTTTGGCCCACAAATTGACAGTTGAAGAGGCAAAGCTGTCGAAATACTAAATAAATATTAGAGCGATCTGGGCTTTCAGTAAAATCCCCGTCAGACTAACACGAGCCACCGCTTCGCTGCGGTTTTTGCATATCTTTGGACAGCATCGCCAAATGAATCGCGCAACGCTCGACGCAAAATCTCATCATTGACAAAGCAGACAAACCTAGCTTACTCTTGCGTCAAACACTCGCCAGCGACAGCCGAAGGATTCCAGAGCCACGCTGGTTCCTCACGCTGTCCGCACGTCTAACGCGAAACGTGTTTGTTATTAACACAAAACGTTTTTACTGCACGCTAATCGAGTTACTGTGCTCCGCCCACCCGTTATTGGATAGGGAGAAGCCCATCAAATACCAACGAATTATCTCGGTAAAGGTCCCCATCTTCAGGCTTTTAGACCGCGGCTTAGCCATTGCCAGGGGTTTGTGTAAACTGCGCACAATTTTGGTTTTGTGATACGGGATTTTGTGAAAGGCATCGTTGGTCGTTTAGCCTTCGGAGAAAGCTCGCTAAATGGCCTCGCGGCGTGCTTATTGAAAACACCGTTCTAAATGCTTTTAATACTTCCAAATATGGGAAGCGTGGCTTGTGGAGATTGGGCACGATGCAAACTCTGGACTCTGGATCATCGGCTACAGCGTGCCGCGGACTGAGAAATGCATGGGGATGAATTTGCACTTGCATCGGCTTATCTTTTTTTGTGCTGCTGATCCGAAGCGATTTCTTAAAATTTGTTTTCTAAAAACTGTTTTTTATCGATTGTTTGTGTTTACAGCTATATATAGTAAACCAACCTATATATATACGCTCGTAGTCGGGAAAATTTCACGATTGAACCGATTAAACCTTATGTAGGTTGAGTTAAAGGACCCGCTTCGATGTGCAAAGTAGTAAAAGTCCATAAATTTACTCAGTCAAGTTTCACGCCTGTCACATAATGACAGATGATCAAATAGAAGTACAGAAGCCGAAACGCAGCTCTATAAATAAGCCCACGAGGCTTGCTCGGAAAACTTCACGGCAAGTCATATATTCTATTTTCAGCCCAATTTATTATGATCCTCGATAAGGTTATCTAAAAAAAGAGTCAGTGAATGCATAGATTGTGGTTCGGTTAAGCTGACTGGATAGTTATATGTATGGTATATTGACGATTAGCTACCTGAACTTTCACACCCTGCTATAGCTTGCTTCATGATAAACTAGACGGAAACATAGGGCAAAGCGAAGGTTGAATTCTTAAATGTCCGCAAGGCCAGTTTATCGATTCGAATTCTTCGAATAAATTATGCGAACAAGAGCTCTGGACTTATCTGTGAGATGGCTCAATAATGGATCAATATCCGCAGAGGTCACTTTTTTGAATGTGTTACATCATATCTGAAAAACAATTGCATGTCAAGAAAGCCAATGATGCATTCTGATAACTTTACTATATATGCCAGTCCATACTAAATAAGGCTCTGAGCATTTTTCAGTTTGGCCCGTTTAATTTGCTCCGAAACATTCACCGAAAATAACTTTAATTTAATTAACCTTTTTTTCAAATATGATGTAACACATTTTGTCTTCTTCATGTATATATATTTCCTTTCGACAATAATAACAAATGCCCATCAAAAGGAAAGCTTATCCACCTCTTCATTGTATTGAGAAAAAAAAATCGGCCGCCACACGGAACTTTGATGATTAAAAACTAACCTTACACTCATATATTTCACTCGCTTTAAGTTTTATATTTCTTAGTACACACTCCATAGTATAAAAAACAGCCAATTATGTCATATTATGATCAGCATATCAAGATATTAGGCAAGATTTTTCTACTGCTTTCTACTCTATCGTAATAACCAGCGCGTGTCGACAACATTTCGATTTCAAGTTTCAGAATCCGGGCTTTCTTACGGGTTACGCCTTTGAAAAGATTGATGGTGTCTTGCAAACTGAATTTGCGCATCTGGCCTGTTATCTGCTAGGAGCTATCTTATCTAGGCGCTTGCCAAGTTCTTTTGATTGCGCTCTCGCGAGACTTGAACATCTGTAATGCAGGCAGCGTGTTTTCGAGCCGAAATACGCGTCGTTCCATGATTGTTGGCTTAAAAGTTTTGCCGGTGGCTCAAGCTGACCCCGGTCGCCTCAATCATTGGGTGATTTGACACGTTGTAAGAAAACTACACCTTGATTCTAACGAGATTCGTTAACAAACCTGTTGACAAGATAATTAAATTTGCTCACTAAAATTTTCATTTTCCTGCCTCGATTTCGTGGTCTGTCACGCTGATTCGATTAAGTCGTCTAATCTGTGTTTTGATTGGCCCAAATAGCGCGTATTATTGATGGTTAATCGCTCGGACAGCGTCGTGTCAGTTCTGATCAATTGTAAACGACGCGTTCCGATTGGCTGGGCCAAACTCGCTCAATCATTCGCTACTTGTCCGAGGGCCAAAGAGGATAAGTACGGTCGAGCTATCATGGAGTTACCGCACTATATGCATCGTGTGCGTGCGTTTATGAGATAAAACAACCATTTCACCAATAGCGCTGGGAAGATGAAGGATTCTGGCAGGGAAGAGAGTGATTTTTCAACCCAAACGAGAGAGAACGAAGCCGATGTATCCGAAGATGATGAGGTTCTGGTAAGCGAGCCGAAGAGGACCGTACACGATCACCCCTTCTCAATCGAGTCCATTTTGAACGGCAGGACAAGACGCGCTAGTCCAAAAGTAGCAAAAAACTCCGTGAGCCTGAAAGAAAGACGAGAAATTGAAGAGAACACGTTGCCTTTGAACGCCTTGGAAGAGTTTACAAGCAAAGCTTTTTCCACGATGAGGCCAGAGCGCTTGGCGGATCAGGACGAAGGTACAGCGTGTTGTTAAAATCTTTGTTTTGTTCGAGCTGTATTTCACAGCTTTGTAGGCGCAATTTACTCGTTTCCCACACCTTGCGGGCATGCGGCGAGCTAAATCGCGTATGAAAGTACACAATTTACACGAACAACTTTGTACAGTTCTTCAGCTAAACTACGGATACTTTGGCAAAATTCTACAGTCGTGTTCAACCGTAACCACATCTTTAGTCGTGAATAATTCGAGGGAACGTTATGGGGGGAATAGATATATTAATTAAACAGCGCTCTTTTTATGATTTCTATATGACAACCAAGACAAGGAAACAGCTTGCACACTGCAGTTCGCGGCCTAATGCGATTTGCGCTGATGGAATTAGGAAATTGCATGTATTTCCAAAGTTTACAATTCACGCGCAGCCTTTGCTAATAGCTAGCCAGACGCACAACATTGTGAAGATCGTTATGCTTCAAATTGATACAATCATTTGAAACAAACCACTCAGTTCTAGACTAATCTTTGGTATAGTGCAGTTTCGGAAAATATACTATGAATAATACGTAAAACCTGTTGTATTGCCACCGAGGATTAATCCGCAATTGTGGTCTACAGTCGTGCAAGTATTGTGTAGCTTTAGGTTGTAGCAAAGACGGCAAGCCTTATGTCAAAGTAATGAAACTGCAAATGAATAACAACCAATGAACAAATATTTCGGACAAGATAGAAAGCGTGAATCGTTTCGCAAATAGTTTTAATTGCAGACACAAAAAAAACTCCAAAAGCTCTTCAAAGATCATTGCCAGACATAACTTACCCTTTACTCTTTCAAGTAATGCGATTCTTTTTAACCTAATTCGGCCTGAGACAATAATAAGATTTAACTTCGAAACCGTATCAGAAAATCGCCGTGATTCTACCCAATTCGAAATTGATGCGAAAACAAAAAGGTTGCTCTTTAGGAGTAGGCCGGTTCGGTCCATGAATCATGCTCTTGTACTTCTAATTCTACTGAATTGGTGTCAGTCAAGACAGTCATTAATATAAAGCTGTGATTTTCAGTGAGCGTTCCTTAAAACTGTCTTCATGCCGAAGAAAACCTCTGCGAAAAAATACAAGAGTGAAGTCCATAAAGAATAAAGTTGGCTTTAGGCACGTTTTGTTGCACTAAACAGTCTTAGATAGTTGATGTGGAAATAATGCCAAAATAGAGTTTGAATTAATGAATTTAAAACTGAAAATATTTAATTGTAATCCAAATGTTTCTTCACACCTTGCCTAATGCGATTAAACACGGAAAGGAAATGCTGTTTCAAACTAAATATATGTGTACAAAATACATACAAAAGATAATGCTATTGTTTGTATGTTAATTAAAAAGGAAGAATCAACTTGAAAGAGCTAGTTTGCCAATTAGAAATCAAGCATAAACACATGCGTTGATATATTTGATCCCAGTCTTGCTTATATGATACACGTTTTGACTGAAATTAGCACTATTCAGGAAGGCTTACATTTGTCTTGCATGAAAACTAAACAAAGAGGACCAGAGAACAGGAAACATCGTCCTGATGTTGAAGAACGTGTGGACTATAAACTCTCAGTGATATACTAAGGGAATGATAACCTTTTCATAAAGCAGGATAGCTATATACTTATTAGAGGCACACGCGTCTTCTATTTTAACAAGAAATGGCTCAACTTTAAACAATTCGACTATAGAATAGGAGATGTTTCTTCTAAGTTAAATATGTGTACATTAAGATTAAGGAAACATGGCATGCAAAGCCAATAATTTGTCACCCTGTTTATCAAATCTTCACGACATATTTCACAAGGAATGATCAGGTAGAATACTTTAATTAGGGTAAGTCGAAGTAAAAGCTTATGTGATTTCTTTGTGACTTCGACTGACAATACGCTCTTGTATAGAGATTACATAGGCATATATATCAGAGCCTATATGGTTTCTGAGGGCTGTTTATCAAAATCTTGTTTAGTCAGCTGACAGGAAAAGCCCAAGTTAAACAAGTAGTTAGTTTTTTTCCATCAGTGTCATTTCGCTTGATGCGTTTTGACTGGAATATAGGAAATCCAGTTCTTTTATGTTAAATATATGTACAAGACTATACGCTCAATTAAATGGATATAGGAAATTGCCGTGTGAAATGCAGCACTTGTTTTTGTGCGTTGTGTATTTATGTGAAAATCGCCAGTTTGTTTGCGAATTAACTATTTAAATACGAGAAGATTTGCAGACGTGCGACTATCTTCGCAAACCATTGTTGATATTAGACGGGTTTTTATACCGACAATTTTAAGCGCAATAGATTTTCGCTTCGTTTCACGACGCCAAAGTCGAAATATACGAGCTCTCTGTTTGGATGAACTTCGAGCGAAAACACCTAAATTGCCATCGATAGTTGTCATTGCTTAAGTCAAGATTTCGAAAACCTTTGACAATATACATTAAATATGTGCATATAGCTTTGAAATTGTCATTCATGAATCATGTTAAATGATTGTGTGGAATATATTTTCTTATTATCCTAACTCTAGAGTAAGTAGAGTTTATATTCTATTAACAATAAACTTTAACTTCTAATTGTGTACATCACATGCATGCACTTCGATCTCTAGTGGCTTCTTCGTATAAATCTTTTTGAAAACGTTAGAGAGGTTTACACAATGGATTAACATTCACCGCGTCCAATTCCGATAAAGTTTTGAAATAACTAATGATAATGTTGACCGAAGTTTAATTATTGCTGGCGATAAAAGATAGATTCGGGAGCATGCAAGAAGAAAGACGTGAATAGCTTCACAATTTATCAAAAGAAAAGCTTCTCCACTGTCAACCTATAAGAAACTACGACAAAACATCTCGCGATTTCGCGAATTTTTCTCTGGCAACCGAGAAACCAACTTAGCTTTGGATATTTCATAAATTTGCCGCGCAGCGAACGTTTGTATGTTGAACTTGTTAAAGCATAGCTATATAACTATCGAATTCATCACTAAAGAACGGTTTCGACCATGTTAAATTAAGTGGATATCAGATTCAGTTCATATAGAAGAGAATTTAGGTTTGAAATATTTTAATTCTGATTGACAAAAGCCGCAGCTTGTCACGCCGGACATTTGAACTGCATCTAAACTGACTCCTTATCGATTTCGCGTATGGCAGAATCAATGCGGGTGCTAATTCTGTCAATCTCTAACCAAAACCGTCTGTAAAAATAAAAAATCAATGGCTATTAACCAAGCATAACAATTTGTTTTTTCAACACCATTACAGAACCTGTTATTATCCGCGAAAGGCTGAGAATTTTCACGTCGACCAAAGCGGCGACAACGAAGAAGACGCGAAGGAAAGCGCGCACTTGTTTCACGAACCAACAGATCTACGAGCTCGAGAGGCGCTTTCTCTACCAGAAATACCTCTCACCTCAAGACAGGGACGAACTCTCGGAGATGCTAAACCTCTCGAACGCGCAGGTCATTACGTGGTTCCAAAATCGACGCGCAAAACTCAAAAGGGACATCGAAGAGATGCGAAACGATCTCGCAGCGACCAGAACGCTCCACGCTTCGCAACCCGTTTGCACAGACTTCCACTGCAGATTTACCGATTGTAGGTGAAGACGCAAGTGTTGGGGTTGTATATAGGGCAAGCAAACGCATGCATAGCCAAAGGCACAGAACCGGCCAAGCTGGTTGTAGACCAAAACAAGACATTTCACGATTAATATTGTTTATATATTGTACCTGGATGTTGAACCGCGGACCAAATGATATCGAATTATACACATGCTAACAAGATGACCACTTCGAAATGTATCTTGTATACTTTGAAATTCTGGTCACATTGAGTTCGGGTCAATGTATCTTCTTATTGCCATCGCTTATATAATCAGTGCTTGATTATGGATACCCATTTCTATACCATACCGTTTACGGGCCTGAAATTTTCCCAACCTGACTTCATTGAAGCCTCATGCATACGTATATAGATAGATCTTTGGGGGCAAACGTTAAAAGTCGAACGAGAAGGCTTAAAGGCCTTAGATTCCGGTATATATGTATATATATATAGTTAAGTTGTTATTTCATTCGAAAGATGTGTTTTATGCATAGAGATGTAATATAATTAAATATTTAAATCATTATATATTACCGCCTTATCTATTGGCTTATATATATACTATATATGATTTCTTGCCTAAATTATTCAAATGGATCGATCGATCGGTGTGTGGTGATCGGTGAAAATGGTTAATTCATCTGCTTCGACATGCATGCATCAGAAGTTCTTTTTGGTACTGTGGAGCATTGAAAAATATGTCCCGGCTCAAAGTCTTATAATCACAAACAGTCTCGTACAGTTTTCATTTCTCCTACATATTTTCGCAGCCTCACTGTATAAATATAAACAGAAACATCACTGCCCGTATGTAATGGCAACAAATTTTTCGGATCGAAAATATTTTCCGGGTAATCCATCAATTGGAAGCATTTATTAGGGAATGATAGATGATTTTAGTTGTGATATCAGAGTTCAAGTCAACATCCCCTCATATTTGAACCTTGAATTAATTAGGCAAGATTCAGTACAGTCGTAGTCAGAAACATAATAACACCTCTTTCATTTTTCAAGTTGAATACAAATGGAAAGAAATTCAGTGTACATTTATAGCATGAACATCGCCGGACTGAATATTCTGATACATGTACACTTATCTGCATGGACGAATATGAAGAGAAGCTCAAGCATTTTAAGAACTGATAAGCAGCGAGTCTGCATGCCTGTGTACAGATAGCAATGACCCTGCAGCTGGTATTAAAGTTTATCAATTTAACGTCCAATGCAAAGAATTTCGCCTATGCTTTCCTGACAAAAATATATACATGCATGCATAATACATTGTTGTCGCTCAGGATCTCGTTCAATGCTTCACTGCAGTGTACATTATTGTTCCTTATAGCTATGAGGCAAAAGTGGGGCAGTGATCATGAGTTAGCTACAACGTACAGTGTCCAAATAACTCTTAGCTTGCAGACTGTTCTTCATTCTACTATGAAAACAAGTAAACAACGAAATGTGCATGCATGTATGTGCTATATTATACTTGTTTATAGTTGGTTAAACATTCGTATTTGTCCAGAATAACTCAAAAATGTTCAATAATTTTCGTTCATTTAAAATTCCGGAGGAACATCAGTTATTCTTCATCAGTTATCGGTTTCCTTTATCACGAAAAGTGCACGAGGTTTATCATATATAGCTATATACGATAGCCTATAATATATAAAGTGACCATATATATGCAATAATGTTTATCAGATAATGTTTACATTAGATGCAAATATTAAGTTTTTGATTGTTCGTTTAGTTACTAAAGAAGTCCATATAGTTACATATTTGTTCAGGTTCAAGTTTAGGAATATAAATATTTTCAGCCTGTAAACATACGTGCCTAGCTGTCTTATCAACTCCATGTAAACATTTTTACGCCTCGTGGGCCTTTCCAGTTGCAATAAAACACAATGGATTGAAAAACCGAATGTTTCTTATATAGCGTGCAATGCAGCAAAAACACTAATGAGAACTAAATATCGAGAGATCTTTGGGAATAGCTATTGGTTAGTTCGAGCTTGGTATGTATACTAGCTTGACCTGTCCCGGCATGTTCCTGCAGAGGACTATATTTCCTAGTTGGTAATCTATCTATTCAGTAGACATTTCTAGGGTTTTTTTTTATACTTTACAGTTGAATCGATAGGTTGGAAAGGTTAATGTATGTATAGAAGCCTGAGTCTGAGAAGTACTTGAATCTTAGAAAACGTCATGCATTTATACCTCTCAGTGTCTGAAAGTGAAGTGGTGCATTTATAGCCCACATCTAGCTGACATGCAGTGATCTAACTCCAATAAATTTTGAAGCCACAAAGGCTACATTGGAAACTCCCCCCCTGTTTTGAACAAATTTAATGAAAAAGACCTATATGATATCAGACTTTGCGAGAAATGTTACAATGCACTTATTCCAATAATATATACACTTATATTTAACGGCATATAATCGCTGGAAAAATCCTTCTTAAACATACATTGAGTTGAGACATGCATGTACACAATTCTACAGATTCCTTCAATCACTGGCTTCGTAAATATTTTGCTTATCAAAGAAATCAAATATGTTTTCATATCAACACGATATTTGCCTTTTTCTCTGGCTTGGTGATAAGCGGGCATATTATTTTGTTTATGATGGATCAGCTAAGACACATGCATTTTATTTATTTTCCTTGATTTTTTACATTTTTTAAGACTGATCCTTACCAATTGGCTTGCAGACATTATGCAAAATATTGCGAAAATAAACTATTTGGAAGGCCAATAAACTAAAAAAAGGAAGGCCAAAATTGGTAGCTCTGCATGGACGAAACGGGACACCGTCTCTGAATTTTCGTTCAAAAAATTGCTATTAAATGAGTCGGTATATAAACATTATATAATATATTGTCTTGGGAAGAGTGCTAAGTGATAAATCCTATTCATAGGAAGTGTGGGTGAGTCAGGATTTCGCTGGCTAGCAAAATTTCAGTGCCATTATCTAATCTGATAGTCTGATACAAAGGCTAGATTTATCAATTTCATAATAAAAACTTTCACGAATCCTCAAACTACGACGAAGAATTTGCACAACAGGGTTTGATAAGTATTATGATTTTGTCTATGAGTTACGGAAAATGCTTTTAACCTTCATGTCAATTTCAAGAAATCATCCAAGAGTTTTCCACAAACGACATATTTAGACAACCATACATGGAACATTAAGCTTTAATGACCTGAAGTGGATTGCAGACTGCCAGTAGCAGTCAGGTCAAATGCTCTTACATAAGTCAAAATTCGTCATAACGCCTCACAACTAGTCTATGTAGATACCTCTAATTACATGAGCACATCAGACCGTCATAATACCTCATAATGTAAACACTTATAGATTATACGCGATTCTCGTTTGCAAGCGAATCTATATATATAGGGCGGAAGACATGCTATTATATTTGGTGCCAGTAATTGTTCATGATGGTTGCGTTTGTTGTTGAGTCTGTTCAGCTATTACTTAACATGCCGAAATACAATTAGTCCCGTTATAAGAAACAGTAAACACCTACAGTCATCTAAATCGTGATTCATGATTGATACCTCGTCTGCATGCAAAAACAATGTAGGCAGACCTACTTCTATATATATGTGCCTAGAATGGCCAGTTCTCTACTCCAGTTGCTCGTGCTATTAAATTAAACGCGGCCATTACCAAATCCATTTTCCTCTGCAAAAAGAGGATTTTACCTTTTAGCAGCAGACGGATAGTTGGCGCGTTGAAGTATTTTCTATTGTCTCGCGGTAAGCTGCATAAGCCATTCCGTTCGGAATTATATAGGTGGCAATGTGCCATAATGCGCTCTTTTCTACTGTAAAGGAGTGTCCTGATGCCTTGCCTGTCCTAAAGCCGATTTGTCATCATAAGTACAGCTTGATATCATGTTATATATGATCAAGTCTCGAGAAATTTTATCTCAAATTCATTTCCATGCGGAAATCATGATAATTTGGTCTTCTTAATTAATTAATCAATCTTCCCGCGGAATCGACTTGTGGTGTTCTTTATGCTTGACAAAGTTGATGAAAACATTCTGAGAAGTCATGCAATGGCAGGGCAGGCTTCAACATTCGATTATCATAAATTGTGTAATATTTGTGTACTTTATACTTCCTCTAGTCGAAACTTCGAGAAGTGTTTTGTCTATTTTAGGCAGTTGTTATACCACATTTGATACTTTACACTTTACTTTATATGCATTTAACGCGAAGTAGCTTGTTAATTCACGAATTTGAGGTTCTTAAATATTCTTTGGAATCAATTCTTTTGGTACCAATAGCATCGTCTTTCAGGTAACTTAAATTCAAAATTGGGCATCAGTAATTTCTGACTAACGCTGGATCCGCCACTGTGAAATTAACTGTGCGATTCGACAAATATTATTCAACGTATAACGTTGTGTTTTTTCTTGCCTTTTGCCACGCATAGGATATCGTACACAAATTAACAGATGCGGAAGACTAAACTGTCATAGGTAATAACACGGATAAAATATTGACAGGTTTGCTTTTCCTAAACAAACTTTGCCTGTAATGGGAATAACGGCTGTTTCTCTTCTCAAATGAAAACATAATGGTAATCAAACAAACTGCTCTGTCGGTTTCACGATAACCGGAGCTCGAACCGGAGTTCCCAAGCCGTGGAAACGATAACCCATCGTACCGTTGTAATATTGCACTATTCTTTCCAACACCGGCGACCAACGTCATTGTAAAAAAAAATAAAGATCCAAAATTTCACAGCGAAGTAAATTGTAATGCCGCAGGAAAAGGAAGAAATTGCCACGCGAAAAGAATCAGTTGTGAATTTATAATAATGATGATTAATTAAATTTTTCAGACAACGCGACCATTAAGATCAGAAATGTTAAAGTGGCAATTTCGCATGGCGTGACAAAAGTTAGTTATTTAATCATTTGCAAACGTGATCTCCAAGTGTTTGTTCGCGTTAACACTAAGTAAACACGCGCTGAGGAATACAGGTGTGAATTTTTAAACGTCTTTCAGACATGTCGTTCTTGGCGCCATTAGTCGAACACCGCTAAAACAGATATCGAAAAGATAACGAATTGTGACATGTAAAGATCTGCAGGGGGGGGGGGGCTACAAGGCGAAGATCATATACGCAAAATCATACCCATCTAAAGTAACCCAGTTTCAATTTCTTTGACTTTCACCGTCAAATAATTTTCATCTTATTTGAAATGTACTTCCAATTAAAGAAGTGCGTTTAATTTAAAATTCTCTCAGGGCACTGGCTGCCACTGGCACTGACTAGATAGTTTAGAGGGGTGTTTTGCCGTAAGCGGCGAAAATTCACAAACCGGTCATATTTTTAATTAAAATTGAGTAATCCGTTAAGAATATGGCGGTGAAACTGCTTTTACCCTGCTAGGCAGATGTAAATAATAACATACATGAGTGCAGAGTTCTTGAAACACTTTAAAATACCAGAAATCTGTCTATACTGAAATACAACTCAGACTAGAGAGGCGATCTGGCCGTTTTTGTCGTAGAAAGGATGGCGCCTTTGGTACACGTGTAGGCTGGTAACCAGTTCGTCTTGTACGGAAAACCTCTTTAACCCCACCTTCGACGTTTTGCCGGAGTTTTGACGGGGAGCTTTCTTCAGAAACGTTACTTAGTGAGTTACTTAGTGTCAATTATCAATGCTAACCGGTACCGAAAAAGATGGATTTGTCAGTATCTAAATTTTCAGTCAACCCGACCCACATACTGCAAAGCCAATAATAAAACCGCTCATTATATTGATATTTAAGAATGAAATTCAAGGTTTTTGTCTCAGAAGCACGCGGTTCGTGACCCCCCCCCGTTCCCATTACGAAGGTTAAACTGTTAAAGTCCGTTTCCTAGACAGCCGGTTAGCATCAACTGCGCAAAATTCAAAAGCCTCTCCCATATAAAGCGTTTGAAGAGCTGCTTTTGAAATAATCTTACTCCTGCAAGTGCTTGGTTTCTCTGTGTGCCTTTAATCGACGTGTTATCAAGTGATTAAATTAACTCAGCAATTGTAAATAAGATGGATTGTTAGAACTAGATATCTCTCTTTAATAGCCGACAAAAGGCGCCTTGATTCTAAACTGCTTTTCATACCATAGTTATCGGCTACTTATCGACTTCCCACAAGTTATACACTCAGCCGTGACGCGTATATATTTGATCGCATGATATATGGTGTAGAACTCTATATTTAACTAATTATGTTTGCCGCGTTTTCATACATTCGTGTACTCTTCGGATAGTTGATTAGTTCATTGAGCAATTGCGTTGATAAAATCACCGATGTTAAGAACATCAGCTCGGCACGCGATCGGGTGGTGAAGATGTTAGCCCGCGAGAGGTTCTAAATAAATGGCAGTAAAGAAAACTGTCGTTCAGCTGTCGAAAACACGTCGAGGGCATGGGTTAATTAGGCATTCTAAGTTTTACATAAACGAAGAGGCGGAAACAGCTCCACTTCAGTGCGGCTTTTAACGCGATGGCTTTCCAATACTGCATGGGTGTCTACTGGGTGAAAAATAACCACAGGGCACTGACTAGATAGTTGAGACTTGAGAGGTGGCCCACTTCACATGGAGGTCGGTAAAGATTTGCCGATTTCTACCTTTCGAACTCATCGACAATGAGTCGAAATATCACCGCAAAATCACCATCTTTCTCGGCGTCTTGTTTCTCTCAGCTCTACGAGATGTTGCTTTTCAAAGCATATTTATGTTGTTTTCTGCAACAAGAGAGCATGATAAAATTTCTTTTCCAAGAATGATTATTATACATTCCTGTTTAATATGGCATGGACCAAGGTCTTTTTTCTTATGCCATGCATCTCTCCTATCTCTTTCTCGAAGGTATGAATAACAAGGTTGAAGTTTGTAAATTGTAATAATGTACAACTTGCGACCAGAAATGGGCGAACGTCAAAGAAGCGAACAATACCCACTTGTCTATATGGTGCGCTGTCAATATGCCACTGCTGATAAATTAATATGCGCAGCTGCAACGAGTCTAAGATGTACAAGGCGACAACGCATCAGCCAGGATGGCGGAAAAAACAATCGGTTTTTATCAACTTAATTCCACTAATACCTCTCAACTAATTGATTTCAACTGTGACATTAATTGAAAACTGTCCGGAAACTGGTCCCGCCTTGTTTTATTAAATGTTTTCTCTCATTAAGTCTTATCATCAGCTCATCTAGCAAACACGTTGTGCGGTCATGCAACCAAGCGCGCATTTCTATTCGACACGCGAGCGCACGCAATGAGACGTGCTTAATTAACGTACGCTGCGCATTAACAGTGATACTAATAGAATGAGTAATAAAACACAGTAAATTTTTATTTGTTTTACTAGGTTTTGGTCACATAACATTTGTTCGCAATATTACTTGGCAAATTAAAATACAATAATTTACAGTAAAATGCATCTTGTTTTTGAAAACGCTCCCAGCTGAATAATTTGAATAGATTTGTGAGTAATCAAATTCTATAAAATACGGTAATATACTGTATATAAAGTGTATATTTCGAACCAAAATGTATTGAATTGAATTGAATTTATTAATAATCTGGATAGCAGCTTACAAGAGCTGAAGTATACAGAATTATTTAAAGTAAGAATACCCAATATACAAATACACAGTAAAAATATTGAATTTACGAAAGGAAATTTACTTGGGAAATTATTTTTAAAAAAATTCTAAAAACTACTTTAACGAGTCATTATAAGCTACGATAATAAACGGTAAAAACGAGTTTCTAAAACGATTAGTTTTACAGTCAATTAGGTTGACATGGTGTTCATTATGGTGTATATTTATATAAATCCTGCTGTGCAAGTTCTAACTATTATAGTGTAGAAGATTAGTGTAAATCTACAAAATAACAAAAGCATGCACAAAGTCTAACTTCCTCTATCTAAATTTTGGATGTTTTACAAAGGACAAGGTTTTGTGAACTTTGCAAGCCTTTCTTTTAATTAGGGCTAGTCTATCAAATAAAATTCTTAAATCCCATCAAGTACATCTTGGTCTATCACCAGCAATAAACACATAATTTTTACATGATCATTAAACAGTAAATTATTGTTCATCATACCCAATCTTAAAAATGCCTATGAACTTCACACCATCTCAAGGTGTTATAGTTATAGTTGCCCTTTCCAATTACATTTGGTCAATTTGATTTGGCAGAAGTTTAAACTGAAACTAACTTTTCAAGACATCACTGTAGGTTGATTGCAAAATAATCAGACACTACATTACCCATCAGCACGTTTGTTAATTTCACACATCACACCATCTCGAGGTGTCATGATCGTTCTTTGGAGCATTCTATCAGTTTGATTAGGCAAAAGCTTGAGTTGAAACTTTTGAAGCAGTTTCACCAGGATTACTTTGGACTCAAACTTTGCAAATGTTTGCCCAATGCAATTACGAGGTCCAAGAGAAAAAGGAAAATATATTGTGCTCAAGTTTGGGATGCTTGCAGGATCAGCAAATCTTTCAGGATTGAAAACTTCAGGGTCTTTCCAAATTTCAGGATTCATAGCCATCATAAGGGAATAAGTAGAAAGCAAACTTCCTTTTGATATTTTATAACCTCCAATTGTAATCTCTTTACCTAAAATTCTTCCTGGAATGCCTATGACAACAGGGTGTTTCCGTAGACTTTCTGCCAATACCTGTCCAGTATATTTGAGTTTTGCTAAATCTTCAAACTCGACTTCCTCTCTGTCACCCAACACTTCTTTGATTTCATTCAAAAGCTTTTCTTCAACATGAGGGTTGCTCAAGATTTCATATAAGGTAAATGCGAATGAGTTTGCTGTTGTGTCTTGGCCAGCAAAAAATATTGTTATAAACTCATCAATGATGTCCATGCTTGTTAGGCTACCATCATTAATTAAAAGACTTAGCAAGTCATTAGGTGCTTCTTTTTTTCCAGCAAGTTCCTTCTTTCGTGCCAAAATACACTCTAACGCAAATTGTCGAAGGAATTTTGCTGCATTTATTTGAACTCTTTGCGAATCTTTCTGAAATATTTCGAATTGAAAAATCCCCAAAACTGCAGCAGGTAAAGGAATGTCTATGTTTGCTTGTACTCCTCTGAGATAGTTGCGAATTGCAGAGGGAAATGGTGATTCAGGGTCTTCAATTGCATTGGTATTGATGTTGAATGACACTTGACTAATAGCTTCAAGTGTCACATTTGTAAACTCTTTAACCATACTCACATGCTCTCCATCAGCAGCTACCTTGCCCACGCGAATCAAAAATCTATTGGAAACATTGTTAATATTTCCCATGAAATCTTTTAAGCATTTTCGGTGAAAAGCAGGGTTCATAATATGTCGTCTCTTACGCCATGATGACTTGTCAGTATTTGTAATTAAGCCATATCCCAGAGCTCTCTCGCCGAATATAAACCCCACTTTTTCATATACAAAGGATGCTTTGTGTAGATATTTGTGGTTGTTTATAAACACTTGTCGGACGTAACTTGGATCAGCAAGATATACCACAGCTCTGTGGAACAGCGTAAGCATAAAGATTGATCCATACTTGAATCGTTGTTCCACAACAAACTCAATAAATGTCCGGCCTGTCAGTTTCTTGTATTTCCATATGTCTGGAAGGTTGCCAAGTATGAAACTTGAACGAGGTGGTCCTGGCAAATGAGCGTAGCATTGGTGTAAATATTAAATGCAAGTATAGCATGAAACACAAGAACAAACAAGGAAATCCCGCCAAAATTACACCAAAAGGCAATAAAAGGTAGGTTGAAATGCAGAAATTCATTATTTTTTTCAACTTGAAACTACTTTTGTCTCTGTATATTACGCCTGATGATACTTGATCTGATGAAGATTATCCAAAACAGGGGAGGATTTTCAGGGGGGGGGGACGCACCCCGCCCTAAAATTCTGCTGAATTCTATCACGAGGAAAGGTTGTTTAAAATATTGTTCAAAAATCATCTCATTATGGCCATTTTAATTTGCTTTATCTACTGCTCATAAATTAACTTGCAATTATTTTCTTTTTCAACTGGTAATCAAATCACTTCACATTCAGAACTATATAAATTTATATAGCAGAATAATAGTATAACATAATATAGTATAGGATACAGTATAATAATAAATTAACCAATTTCATCTTTGACTTTCATATTTGTACTAACAAACATGTATTTATACATGCCCTTCTACAGTACGATTTCAATCAAAAGAAAGTGAAAAAAATTATTAATGAAAATTAAAAAAATAGTGAATTTATTATGCATTTGACGTCAAAAATTAATTATCCATAAGAATTAATGATTCTTACGATTGTTCACTTTACACACGACACCATCCCGAGGTTTCGTGGTCATCTTTTGGAGCATTCGATCAGTTTGATTGGGCAGAAGTTTAAATTGAAACTTTTGAAGAAGTTTCACCAGGATGACTTTGGACTGAAACTTTGCAAATGTTTGCCCAATACAATTTCGAGGACCAACAGAAAAAGGAAAATGAGTCATGCTTAAATTTGGAATGCTTGCAGGATCAACAAATCTCTCAGGGTCAAAAATTTCAGGGTCCTTCCAAATTTTTGGATCCATTGCAAAGAAAAGGTTATTGGAAGAAATAACACTTCCCTTTGGTATATGATAACCTCCAACTGTTATCTCTTTTTCTAAAATCCTAGATAGTGCACCTGCTGTGATAGGGTGTTTTCGTAGACTTTCCTCCAAAACCTGGCCAGTGAATTTGAGTTTTGCTAAATCTTCAAACTCAACTTCCTCTCTGTCACCCAGCACTTCTTTGATTTCATTCAAAAGCTTTGCTTCAACATGAGGGTTGCTCAAGATTTCATATAAGGTAAATGCTAATGAGTTTGCTGTTGTTTCTTGACCAGCAAAAAAAATTGTTAAAAATTCGTCAATTATCTCCTCCTTTGTTAGGCTACCATCATTAATTAGAAGACTGAGTAAGTCATTAGGTACATCCCTTTTTTCATCAATGGCCTGCTGTCGAGCTGAAATACAATCTGAAGCAAATTTTCGAAGAAACCGTGCTGAATTTATTATTACTCTTTGGGAATCCTTCTGAAATAGTTTAAATTGAAAAATTGCAAGAAATCTAGCGCTCAAGGGAAAGTCAAGTTGTTCTTGTACTCCCTTGAGGTAGTTACGAATTGCTGAGGGAAATGGTGATTCTGGATCTTCTATTGCATTGGTATTGATGTTGAATGACACTTGACTTATAGCTTCAAGTGTAACTTTTGAAAACTCTTCCACCATACTAACATGTGCACCACTATCAGCTACCTTGCCCATGTTTACTAAAAATCGTGTGGAAATGTTGTTGAAATTGGACATGAAATCCTTCAAGCATTTTCGGTGAAAAGCTGGGTTCATAATATGTCGTCTCTTACGCCACGAAGACTCGTCTGTATTTGTAACTAAGCCATATCCGAAAGCTCTCTCACCGAATACAAATCCTACTTTATCATAAACAAAAGATGACTTATGTAGATATCTGTGGTTATCTATAAATACTTGACGAACATAGCTTGGATCAGCAAGATATACCATAGGTCTGTGAAACAATGTAAGCACAAAGATAGATCCAAACTTGAATCGTTGCTCCATCACAAATTCACTAAATGTTCTGCCTGTCGCTTTCTTGTATTTCCATATGTCTGGAAGGTTGCCAAGTATGAAACTTGAACGAGGTGGTCCTGGCAAATGAGCGTAGCATTGGTGTAAATAATGCAGATATAGCATGAAACCCAAGAGCAGACAAAAAAATCCCGCAAAAATTACACCAAAAAGCCACAAAAGGAAGGTTAAAATTCCGAAATTCATGTTTTTATTTAACTCGAAATCGTTTGAAATCTTTCCCTGAGTACTTTTCCTAACTGGAAACTAGCCTTGAGCTCAAGGTAGACGTAAACGACTAAGGTCTGTAAATACGGCCAGCCCTTAGTGCACTCTCATTGGCTGGAGTCAAACGTAATCCCAACCTCGTGCCCAAGGTCTTCTGTGACGTAATCGCAATTTTCACAAAATCGTTAACCAATTAGAGTTGGAGAATTAAATTACTTGGTCTGTGGTCTGGGTTAGTGCGTTTAGGTCTTTAGGACAAATTCTGTTCACACCAGATTAAGAATTAAGATCAAACTGTGGTTCAAAACAGGGCCTAAACCCAGCCACTGACCCAGCCACTGACCCAGCCTCATTCCCAGGAGTTTAGGCTCCCATATTTTCATGCACCTGCATACTATTCTGTTTTTCTATGTAACGAACAAAATATATAAAAAATTTAGAGATTTTCAAAAGATGTAAATATAATAGCTAGCAAGGTGTAGCAGAAGGGGGCACAAGAGGTTCTGCACTACCCTTCAAGTAGGCTTGTCAGCAAATTTGGGGTATTTATTTATTTTACTAACTTTACAATTGGTAAGGACTAAGGACAACAGAACATTAATTCCCAATTAAGTCTCACCAAAAATTACATTATTAGAATAAACATATACATATAAAGTTACAAGAAGATATTAAAATTAATTTTTTAGAAAAATATAGGAACTGCATTTAGGGCCCGATAGTTGGTACATGTTTAAAGTAACATGTACTAGGAGTGTTTTTTTAAAAGCATATCAAAGTACAGAAATGTAAAATAACTAATTATTTTTATATATCGTAACATTGAAATGTATATTTAATTTTTTCCCAATAGAATTCAAATATTTTGTGAAGCACAATATTCTATAGTGTTAATCATTGACAGGTAAATTTAGAGTTTTAACCAATAAATCATCTAATAAAACTTCAATGGCCTGCACATCGGCTAACTTCACAGATCACACCATCTCGAGGTGTATTAGTGAATCTTCCTAACATTCTGTCAGTTTGATTTGGCAACAGCTTGAACTTAAACTTTTGAAATAATTTTGCCAAAATGACTTTGGACTCAAACTTTGCAAATGTTTGTCCAATGCAATTTCGAGGACCAACAGAGAAGGGAAAATGGGTCATGCTCAAGTTTGGGATGCTTCCAGGATTAGCAAATCTTTCTGGGTCAAAAACGTCAGGATCCTTCCAGGTTTCAGGATTCATTGCAAAGAAAAGGTTATTGGTGGCAACTGTACTTCCCTTAGGTATTTGATAACCTGCAATTGTGATTTCTTTTTCTAAAATCCTAGATAGTGCACCTGCTGTGATAGGGTGTTTTCGTAGACTTTCCTGCAAAACCTGGCCAGTGAAATTGAGTTTTGCTAAATCTTCAAATTCAACTTCCTCTCTGTCACCCAGCACTTCTTTGATTTCACTCAAAAGCTTTGCTTCAACATGAGGGTTGCTCAAGATTTCATATAAGGTAAATGCTAATGAGTTTGCTGTTGTTTCTTGACCAGCAAAAAAGATTGTTAAAAATTCATCAATTATCTCCTCCTTTGTTAGGCTACCATCATTAATTAAAAGACTGAGTAAGTCATTAGGTACATCCTTTTTTTCATCAATGGCCTGTTGTCGAGCTGAAATACAATCTGAAGCAAATTTTCGAAGAAACCGTGCTGAATTTATTATTACTCTTTGGGAATCCTTCTGAAATAGTTTAAATTGAAAAATTCCAAGAAATGTAGAGCTCAAAGGAAAATCGAATTGGTCTTGTACTCCCACAGGTAGCCCGCTATTGGATTTGCTTTTAGTTAAATATTAAATAAATTCTATGCAAAACGACATGAAGTGTCACCTTCCTTCATTCACTTCTGACATATTATCGCAGGCGCCAATTCGTGCGGTGCAGTGTAACCTTTATGTATATATTAATATAAGGTTGGCAACTCTTTGTCGTATTTTCACATTTACGAATTACATACACAAACTTACACATGAAAATACTCGTACTTAAACACAAAAATATATACAAAAAACTAAATCTATGTGGGAACTGACTCTCCTAAAACATTTCCGAAACATTTGTTTGTCTTTAAAGCCATTGCAAATATGTGAAATTTACGAAAATACAAACACTTTTTGGTTGAATTTTTTGAAAAGCCGTCGGGATCCCATCACCCTGCCCTACGTCACAGCAAACACGCAATATGATTGGCTTAGTTTTGAATTTTGAAATTTGTTTACGTTAACGGACTCAACCAGCCAATCATATTGCGTGTTTGCTGTGACGTAGGGCAGGGTGATGGGATCCCGACGGCTTTTCAAAAAATTCAACCAAAAAGTGTTTGTATTTTCGTAAATTTCACATATTTGCAATGGCTTTAAAGACAAACAAATGTTTCGGAAATGTTTTAGGAGAGTCAGTTCCCACATAGATTTAGTTTTTTGTATATATTTTTGTGTTTAAGTACGAGTATTTTCATGTGTAAGTTTGTGTATGTAATTCGTAAATGTGAAAATACGACAAAGAGTTGCCAACCTTATATTAATATATACATAAAGGTTACACTGCACCGCACGAATTGGCGCCTGCGATAATATGTCAGAAGTGAATGAAGGAAGGTGACACTTCATGTCGTTTTGCATAGAATTTATTTAATATTTAACTAAAAGCAAATCCAATAGCGGGCTACCTGTGGTACTCCTCTGGTGTAGTTGTAAATGGCAGAGGAAAATGGTGATTCTGGATCTCCAATTGCATTGGTATTGATGTTAAATGACACTTGACTTATAGCTTCAAGTGTAACTTTTGAAAACTCTTTGACCATACTAACATGTTCACCACTATCAGCTACCTTGCCCATGTGGACTAAAAATCGTCTGGAAATGTTGTTAAAATTGGACATGAAATCCTTCAAGCATTTTCGGTGAAAAGCTGGGTTCATAATATGTCGTTTCTTACGCCACGAAAACTCGTCTGTATTTGTAACTAAGCCATATCCCAGAGCTCTCTCACCGAATACAAATCCGACTTTATCATATATAAAAGATGATTTATGTAGATATCTGTGGTTATTTATAAATACTTCACGAACATAGCTTGGATCAGCAAGGTATACCATAGGTCTGTGAAACAATGTAAGCACAAAGATGGATCCATACTTGAATCGTTGTTCCATCACAAATTCACTAAATGTTCTGCCTGTCGCTTTCTTGTATTTCCACAATTCAGGAAGGTTGCCAAGTATGAAACTTGAACGAGTGGGTCCTGGCAAATGAGCGTAGCATTGGTGTAAATAATGCAGGTATAGCATGAAACACAAGACCATACACACAAACCCGGTCACAATTACACCAAGAAACCATAATAGAACGCCAAAATTCATATTTGCCTTCAAATTAAAAGTTGTAAGATGATCCAAGACGAAGTTAGCCTAAGGCCATAAACACATACCCTCGTTCGCGCAGTTGATGGCACCATTCCGTATATCACCAGTACATATTTACTTCCTCGCACCCAGGCGCGTTGTGCTTTGTTTTTCTTTGCGCGGATTTTTGCGGGGGATTTTGGCGGGAGAAGGGCGGGGATACCTTCCGCCAAATCCTCCTGGATAATCAATTCAGAACACTGCACCAAACGTGTGTGAAATGGAATGCCTGGATTGTTCTGAAACAGTATTCAGTCTATTACATATGCGTTGAACCATGCGTTTGAATTGTTTACATCATACGCAATATAATGATTTCATGTACTTTCGTATTAATGTACACTTTTCAGTTTTCAGACACTTTTACACGTTAAATCCCCTCAACTATCGTCATCACATATCAGAAAATAGGTATATACCTATGGATGAACGCGAAGAGTAGACGTGTCACGTGTGGTGTTCTAGCTACCCCTATACTTAAAGGTGGGGTAATCAGAACTGTTCTGAACTTTCACGTGACAGTGTTCTATTCCGTTCGATTCCGTTCCATTACTGCTCCTGAAGTACTCCGAACAATAAATGGCCGAGCAACCGTTAGGTACTTCTTCTGGGCCTGGGTGCTTTGCAATCATGTGACTTCCCCAAATGGCAGCAACTGAAAAAACGATGTATTGTATACGGTGCAACAACCCTAAACTGTCTCTATGACTCAACTCTCAAGAGCAACACTACAATAGCCTTTATGTTGCACCTTCCCGTTAACTGAGATCTTTTAATTTAACACGTCATAACAAAATGGTAATTTCTTCTATTTGTAGCGCGGACCGGATTTGTAGCGAAGAAATCAAGCGTGTACACAGGGCAATGGCAAAAGGGATAACACGAACATGCTATTAGGCTTGGTTTATATGTTGCATTACGGTCGCGTCGAATGCACTATGGCAATAGATCAGTAATGACATGATAAGCCTTATTAATTGCCATTATCATCTCGTTACCGTTGTCTGAGTACATTTGATGCGACCATTTAGTTATATATGTTTATGTGCAGTCCTTTGACTCCTCAGTTTCACGTTATAAATAAAAGATTATACATTCAACCAATTGATGATCGCCATAACAACACACCCCTTCCCTTTCTGCAATTCGACCAAAACATAAGTGCTTAGTATGCATATGAGTCAGTTTGTGAATGAGCTTGATCTTAAGTGGTGACACAAGTTGGAAAGAGTTAGTGTTAACACTAAATCATGAATTTCGGCATCTTAAACATACTTTCGTGGTTCCTCGGAGCTATTCTAGCAGGATTCGCTTGTCTGTTTATGTGTTTTGTGCTCTACTTGCATTACATTCACAAAAAAAACGCTCATTTGCCGGGTCCACCTCGTTCAAGCTTCATATTTGGTAACCTTCCTGAATTGTGGAAATACAAAAAAGCGACAGACGGGGGAACTTTGTTAGAATTCGTGCTGGAGAAACGTCTCGAATATGGACCCGTCCTTTTGTTGACTTGGTTTCATAGAGCAGTAGTTTACTTAGGCGATCCAAGCTATATTAGAGAAGTCTTTGTAAACAATCATACTCATTTACACAAGCCTCCTTTTATATACAACAAGTTCGGGTTTATCTTTGGCGAAAGGGGTATGGGATATGGTTTAGTTACAAACATCGACGAGTCATCATGGCGTAATAGACGGAATACTATGAGCGCCGCCTTTCATCGAAAATGTTTAAAAGATTTCACGACACATTTTAACGATGTTTCGAATCGATTTCTGATTCGCATTGACAAGGTGGCTGATAAAGGTGAGCCCGTTAGCATGGTTGCGGAATTTGCTAAAGTAACACTGGAAGCTATAAGCCAAGTGTCGTTTAACATCAATACTAATGCGATAGAAGATCCTGAATCACCATTTCCATCTGCAGTCCGCAACTACCTGCAAGGGGTACAAGCCAATCTCGACATTCCACTAAGTTCGGCCCTTTTAGGAATTTTTCAGTTTACACCATTCCAGAGCGCTTCCAAAAGAGTTCAAATAGACGCAGCCCGATTTCTACGAAAATTTGCCTTGGATTGTATTTCCACCAGAAAGAAGGACATTGCTGAGGAAAAGGATGTACCTAATGATTTGCTAAGTCTCTTGATTAATGACGGCAGCTTAACGAGCGAGGACATCACTGATGAATTTTTAACAGTCTTTTTGGCCGGCCAAGAAACAACAGCAAACTCATTGGCATTCACATTATATGAAATCTTGAGCAATCCTCATGTTGAAGCCAAACTTTTGAAAGAAATCAAGGACGTTATGGGTGACAGAGAGGAAGTTAAGTATGATGATTTAGCAAAACTTAAGTACACTGGCCAAATATTGGAAGAGAGTCTGCGAAAACACCCCATTGCCTCGACGCCTGTTAGAATTTTAGAAAAAGAGATCACGGTTGGAGGCTATCGAATACCGGAAGGAAATGGTATTGTAAGTTTTTCTATGTTGTTTGGCAGAAATCCAGAAATTTGGAATGATCCTGACGTCTTTGATCCTGAAAGATTTGCTGATCCTGCAAGTATCCCAAACCTGAGCATGATTCATTTTCCTTTTTCTGTTGGTCCTCGTAACTGCATTGGACAGACATTTGCGAAGTTTGAGTCTAAAGTCATCCTGGCGAAGCTATTTCAAAAATTTCAGTTCAAGCTTCTGCCAAATCAAACTGACAAGATCTTGGGCAGGCTGACCCTTTCCCCTAGAGACGGTGTAATGTGCAAAGTTAGAAGGCTCCCTGAGCAATGAATATTATATTCGCCTAATTGAAATGCATGTCCGGTATAAACAGATTCATCGTAAACGTCATATACATTGTTCATTATCAACATTATGTTAAATTGTCGGTACTTACTTAGTGATTAGCATAGAATCCTTAAATATTACCCCGATTCTGAACTAACCGATTAAGAAAGTCACTTTATTATTATTGAGTTTAGATTACTGCTATTGTCCCTTGCTACCCTGTGGCTGACAAGGCACTTAGTTGAAGCCCAGGTTACACGTCAGTAATACCATTCCGCGATCTATGTAAAGCCCAAAGGCACTTTTTTCAGTAATAATAAAGTTTACTAAAACTTAATTTCTAAAGTGTTTATGCGTATGACCTAGTCGCCAACCGGGCAAGCTGGAAAATCAGCTTGACGACGATGCCGGTGGAAATTGAACCCAGGTCGGGGGGTTCGATTTCCACCGTGGTAAAGTTAATTCTTCAGCTTGCGATGTTGGTGACTCAGAGCTAGATGAATTATGAATTATCCAATATCATTTGCCCAACAATTAATCACGACCATGCTGGATACGGCGCATTTTACTGCATTAAACCACCAACTCACCCTAACCACAGGAATTCGGGGGATTAGTTAAAAAAATGTGGAAGCAAATCTTGTTAACTGAAACTGCCGAGCCAGCCTTGCATGTTATGACATTTTCCTTGCCAAGAAAATATATACTGAAGGCTAGTTTCCACTCAAGAAAATTCTCCTTTGGATCGGACAGGACAGGACAGTTTCCTTTGTATGAACGCCGCCTGAGAACTCACCAACAAAGGAAATTTTCCTGTTCGTTCCGATCCAAAGGAGATTTTTCATGAGTGGAAACTAGCCTTGAGTAATAATATCGGTGACGTTTCCATACGGATACAAAAAGCATATATTGATGGAAAACAAAGAAAGTTGTAAATGAATATATTTAATTTCGTGCTGGTAACTTCGAAGTTTCCGCCAGCAATGTGTAGGATGCTACTGAGAGAAGAATGAGTTCTATGCCGTTAGTTTTTCATGTGAAGTCATAATTATTACAAGTTGGTCTAGTTCGCTTGTCCAAGTGGATTTAAACCCAGAAATGTGGTGAGGCGATGTAGATAAGAAGGGTCATGTAGAATTTAGAGATGGTCAGGTTCAACATTGCTTTCTTCTGATGATTGCCGTTCTTTTTATCATTACAAATGTAAATTTGATTCAAGAGATAGAATACAAAGATTTTTATAATTTTTTTCTGAAATTTAGTTTTACAAAAAATTGCAATCCTATTTTTACGTTAGCTGAACATATTTTGCGTCAGGAATTAATAAATGTGACCTAATAAGTCCTTAAAATAATTACGTGACTTAAATGCTATGAAGTATAAAATATGTTGGCCAAAGACTTAATCATTACAATCAAATTCAGTTTTCCTGGCACCTAACTTGCAAGGTTGTTAAATCATCAATTATACTATTCATTCTATTTGAGCGCACGAGCGTTGCCACAGTTTGATATAATATGGCTTGAAAAGCATGAGCAGCGAACACGGGGCCATTGTAACGCTTTGATCACGTAGCAGCATATCAGCTTCTTGCAATAAGATTGTCAGCTTGCTGTTGATCAGATATAATAGTCAAAAAAATATGTACATGTTTTGGATTTAAAACAGTAATGCCTAATGGGTTATGCACGTCTGCTAACCTCACACATCACACTGTCCCGTGGTGTCATTGTCATCCTGCCAAACATTCGATCAGTTTGATTAGGCAAAAGCTTGAACTGAAACTTTTGAAACAATTTCGCCAACATCACTTTGGATTCAAACCTTGCAAATGTTTGTCCAATGCAGTTACGTGGGCCAATAGAAAAGGGAAAATGAATCATGCTCAAGTTTGGGATACTTGCAGGATCATTAAATCTTTCAGGGTCAAAAACTTCAGGATCTTTCCAAATGTTTGGATTCAAAGCAAGCAGGAGGGAATTGGTGTTGACCACATTTCCCCTGGGAATTTGATAACCTCCAACTGTGATCTCTTTTCCTAAAACTCTCGCTGGCACACCGACAGCAATAGGATGTTTTCGTAAACTTTCCTCCACGACCTGGCCGGTGTATTTGAGTTTGGCCAAATCTTCAAATCCAACTTCCTCTCGCTCACCTAGCACCTCTTTGATTTCACTTAAGAGCTTTTCTTCAACATGAGTGTTGGTCAAGATTTCATATAATGTAAATGCCAGAGAGTTTGCTGTTGTTTCCCCACCAGCAATGAAGATTGTGATAAATTCATCAATAATTTCTTCCATTGTTAGGCTACCATCACGAATTAAAAGACTGAGCAAGTCATTAGGTACATCCTTTTTTTCATCAATATCCATGACTCGTTTGGAAATGCAATCAATGGCAAATTTTCGTAGGTATCGTGCTGCATCTATTTGAACTCTTTGTGAAGCACTCTGGAATAATTCAAACTGAAAGATTCCCAAAATGGCGGCACTTACCGGAATGTCAAAATTTGCTTGTACTCCATGAAGATACTGTCGAATTGCGAACAAAAATGGTGATTCAGGATCTTCAATCGTGTTTGTATTAACGTTGAACGATACCTGACCTATAGCTTCGAACGTAACTTTGGAAAATTCTTCAACCATGTTCACAAATTTCTCATCGACATCATCAACTACCTTGCCCATGCGAATTAAAAATCGGTTTGAAACATCGTTAAAATTTGTCATGAAATCTTTCAAGCATTTTCTATGGAAGGCAGGGTTCATAATGCGCCTTGTCTTACGCCATGATATCTTATCCGTATCTGTAATTAAGCCATATCCCATACCCCTCTCGCCAAATATAAACCCCATTTTGAAGTAATAAAAGGAGGGTTTCCGTAGGAATCGGTGGTTGTTTATAAATACTTGTCTAATGTAGGTTGGATCGCAAAAATATACCACAGCTTGGTGGAATAAAGTCATCATGAAGATAGGTCCATATTTGAATTGCTGTTCCATAACAAATTCGGCGGTTGTTTTGCCGGTGGTTTTTTGCCATTTCCAATAGTCGGGTATGTTGCCAAGTATGAAGCTTGAACGAGGTGGTCCGGGCAAGTGAGCATTTCGTTGGTGGATATAATGCAAGTAGAGCATAAAACACAAGAACAGACAAATGAATCCTGCCAAAAGTGCGCTGATACCCCATAAAACTAAGGACAAAATGGTAAAATTCATATTTTAACGAAGCATCTAGAACGAAGCATATATAATTCATTTATCGCGTAGCAGTTCTACTAAGCCTTGTACTAAATCTAAGCACCGAAAACATATCCTTTTTTTGTCAAATCGTGATCTTCATAAATACACTTCATACACACTGAGTGACTGAAGAGGAAACAGGCGTTTTCGGTTCACTGGCCAAAGCCGGGAAGCTTAGTTTTTTTACAGCCGGCAATATGTAATATGTTATGAAATTCTATACGTAACATCTGTCAGCGCGCTTTTCTGAACTCTGTCAACATCTTTGCACACGGCAAAAACAAATCGTCTGAATTAATAACCTTCATGGCCATTTCACAGTTGTCAGATGTGTATCAGTGTATGATAAACTGTCCGACAAAGGATTGCAGAATGCGTATTTAGAAGAAAAATTTAACTTTTTAAAGTTATTCATAGTTTTCTGTTTGATAGCGACAAAGAAATGCACAATTGTGAACCAGTGATTAGAGTTTCGGGTTGAAACACCATTTTCTGCGGTGTCGGTGGTTAATTCGTGATCAAATACTTGACAAATATTCTATAATATTTTATACTTTGTAAATTGTATTTTTTTTCCTGGAACTAGATCGAAGATTTGTATATAAAGATTTTTAAATCTTTTTAGATTTTTATTTTTTAAATCAAGAAAAAGCATGCACAAAGTCTACCTACAAACATTTAAAAAGAACCTAGGAGTTCCTCAATCTTGCGAAATTTGCAAGACTTCCTCAGTCTCAGTTTAAATCAAATAAATCTATTACATGCATCTTTAAATTACTATCAGTAAACATATCATTTATGCATAATCATTAATCAGTAAATTAATTCTCATCATACGTCATACCCAAAAGCACGCCTATGAACTTCACACATAACACCATCTCGAGGCATTAATCAGTTTGATTTTACAGACGTTTAAGCCGAAATTTTTCACTGTGGTTCAATATTTCAAACTTAATGTATGCACTGTATTTATGTTAAAATATATCAAAATGTATTTGTTGTTGTGTGATATAATGTCAAAGCCACTTTTGGTGAGTATGTTCCGCTCAAAGAGGTGTTTGTAAAACGCCGGATTGTTTCCTGACCACGTAACAATTTCTCACCAACTGTGAGAAAAACAATCCCTGGTCAAGATAAATCATATAAAAACCATTACCTTTAACTTTTAGTTTTCAGAATTCTAAGTTCTAAATTTTTTAGTTCATTTGAAACTCATTGCAAAACAATCAGACACATTTCCTATCACATCTGACTGAGAGCACGTTTGCGTATTTCACACATCACACCATCCCGAGGTGTCACTGTCGCTCTTTGAAGCATTCTATCAGTTTGATTGGGAAGAAGCTTGAGTTGAAACTTTTGAAGCAATTTTACCAAAATTACTTTAGACTCAAACTTTGCAAATGTTTGTCCAATGCAATTACGGGGACCAATAGAAAAAGGAAAATTGATCATGCTCAAGTTTGGGATGCTTGCAGGATCAGCAAATCTTTCTGGGTCAAAAACTTCTGGGTCTTTCCAAATTTTCGGATCCATTGCAAAAAAAAGAGTATTTGAAGAAATGGCACTTTCCCTTGGTATATGATAACCTCCAACTGTGATCTCCTTACTTAAAATTCTTGTCGGTACACCTGGTGCAATAGGGTGTTTTCGTAGATTTTCCTCCAATACTTGGCCAGTGTATTTGAGTTTTTTCAAATCTTCAAATTCAACTTCCTCTCTGTCACCCAGTACTTCTCTAATTTCATCTAAAAGCTTTGCTTCAACATCATGGTTAGTCAAGATTTCATACAATGCAAATGCCAGTGAGTTTGCTGTTGTTTCTTGGCCTGCAATGAAGACTGTAATGAATTCATCAATGATTTCCTCTCTGGTGAAACTACCGCTTGTAATCAAAACATTCAGCAAATCATTTGGTACATCCTTTTTCTCAGCAATGTCCTTTTGCCGAGTAGAAATACAATCAGAGGCAAACTTTCGAAGAAATCGTGCTGCATTTATTTCAATTCTTTGTGAATCTTTTTGAAATAACTTATACTGAAAAAGCCCCAAAACTGAAGAGGGAACAGGAATTTCAAAGTTTGCTTGGGATCCTCTGAGGTAGTTGCAAATTGCAAACAGAAATGGTGAATCAGGATCTTCAATTGCCATGGTATTGATGTTGAATGACACTTGACTTATAGCTTCAAGTGTGACTTTTGATAACTCTTTAACCATACTAACATGTTCACCACTATCAGCTACCTTGCCCATGCGAATCAAAAATCTCTCTGAAACATTGTTAAAATTTGTCATGAAATCTTTTAAACATTTTCGGTGAAAAGCTGGGTTCATTATGTACCGTCTCTTACGCCATGACGCTTCGTCAGTATTTGTAACTAAGCCATATCCCATACCTCTCTCGCCAAAAATAAAACCCATCTTATTGTAAAGAAAAGATGGTTTTTGTAGATATTTGTGATTGTCTATAAACACTTGTCGGACGTAGCTTGGATCAGCCAGATATACCACAGCTCTGTGGAACAGCGTAAGCATAAAGATTGATCCGTACTTGAATCGTTGTTCCACAACATATTCAATAAATGTCCGGCCTGTCAGTTTCTTGTATTTCCACACTTCAGGAAGGTTACCAAGTATGAAACTTGAACGAGGTGGTCCTGGCAAATGAGCGTAGCATTGGTGTAAATAATGCAGGTATACCATGAAACACAAGACCATACAGACAAACGCGATCAAAATTATACCAGTAAACCACAAAAAAAGAGTGAAAACGCCAAAATTCATGATTTTCTCAGGAGGAAGCAGGAAATGAGTCAAAGGAGGAGAACACACAATAATGAACATTAGATGAAGTATACAACATGATATGCAAATTTCTCAAAAAGTATGGAAACGCCTTCAACCCTCATTCCTCAACTGGTTATTTCCACGACTTTCAAATAAACCAAAAAAATAATTGACATAATGGCAAAAAAAACGCAAGACAAAATTAACAAACCTAAATTGATAGAATAAATTTAGGAATTTTATGTTAGGAGATATCCTGAAATTATTTACACAAAAAACAATATGTATAATGAATAATAAATAAAGGTGTCAAAATACAATTTTATACATTTTCTGGTTATAAACCTATTAGAATAGAGAGTGGATTTTTAAAATAAACAATTAGGCATTACAAGCTCAAGAGCAATAACTATAGCCTGAGTGAACACCTGAAATAATTTTACCTTAAAATAATGTACCTCATTGACACTCAATTGAAGTAAAAAAACTTGAAAAATTCATTTACATTTAGTTACCACTACAAACTTCGAAACTGTCTACTTCTGAAACTGCAGCTTTTAATATCAAAGGTTACTGTTATTTGAACAACTGCCAACAGGTACTTACCTGGCTTTAGCAAAAAAGTGCCTAACATGTTCCCAATGTCTTGCCAAAGTTCACTAGGCAAAACTAATTCTATAAACTAGTCCACCACAGCCACAGTATTTTATGCTTGAAAACTATTGAAATCCAAATATATAGCCACTCCCTAATTTCTGTAACCATAGATCTAATTGTGAAGTGCACATCACAATTGAAATAGGTCAAATAACATATAAATTAAAAATAAAAACCTATTTGTATTGAATATTAATGGCCATTTCAGGGTTTTTTCCGCAAAATTTTCAAAAAACACTGATTTAGGGTTAAAAAATGAAACTTAAAGGGAAAATTGTACATTTGACTCTACAAGAAATTTTTTTCTCGACTTCATTACATTTGTTCATATTATGAACAAGTTTAAAACTTGTCAGTCAACTGAATTACTCAGAAACATTTTGAAGAAAAATATAGATTTAGTTTGAAAATTTACTAACTATCGATTCAAATTTAATTCAAAGTTGTCTCGAGTTCTGTTTTATACCATCCTAAACCATAAATTTTGTCTGAACGGCAACGAAGTAAAGGTTAAAAGACCGCACGGTAAAATTCTAAGTCGAGTTTGACCAAGAAAGCTTCGAAAATAGCGCATTCAACTTGAATTTCGAAATAAAAACTCGTCATGATAGCAAAATTTACGCTTGCCTTGTTTTTCCAAAGCCTTCCTTGACTTGAAGCAGGTTCATTTGAGCCTTGGAAGATGATATCAACTTAGCAAAATGATGAATATCTTCTTTGAAGAGCGCCATAGTTGAAAAATGAAAAGGTCCTGCCTGAGAAGAAACAAGAAACACATTTTCCATGCTGTTGTGACGTCATTGCATGCTGCTCAGTAATTGGTCAGATTCTTGAGATCGCTCAGTTGTGATTGGTCAATTTTCAAAACTGAAAAATCAATGATCAAACCAATCAGAACAAAAATTTGTCTAAAGAAGGGCAGATCGTATGCAGAAAGATAAATTTTGCGCAAAAAATACAAGTTAACTTCAGTTAACATTTGTTTATCATCTCGCTTATAAATCCTACACGAATTTAATCCATGAGATCAGGTTAGGATTTAGGTTACGATTTAGAGTTAGGTTTATGGTCGATCCACTTGAATTCCATGGGATCTTTCGAAAACTGTTTGACTTTTTGGATAATTCTTTGAAAATTCTTCAATCATACTGACAGTCACAGTCACTCCCAATCACAGTTAATAGTGACCCAAATAATACTCATAGTGCGACACAAATGATATCCTCATGGACTACACTTTGAATCACAAACACCAGACTCTGGTCTTGATTCAGTTAGGGAGGTGGAATTATGTATTTAAAACAGATTAATATATTTGTATCTGGTCAAATTTATACATATTGACGCGGCCGTCTTTTATATATGTTAAAAAGCACTTACTCAAATTATTTAAATTCATCTAATGGGTCATCATCATCGCCATAACAACACATGAGTGCTTCAGTACGTAACAGCTCACGCTTGAGTTGCGACTTGCGACGACAGGAATGAATTAAAAAGAATCATGAATTTCAGCATTCTAACCTTACTTTTGTGGTTTTTCGGCGCTATTTTCGTTGTTTTTGCCTGTCTATTTTTGTGTTTCATGCTATATTTGCATAATATTCACCAACGAAACGCTCATTTGCCAGGACCACCTCGTTCAAGCTTCATATTTGGCAACCTTCCCGAATATTGGGAATGGCAGAAGGCGACAGACGGGGGAACTATGTTAGAATTCGTGCTGGAAAAACGTTTCGAATATGGACCGGTCATTTTGTTGACTTGGTTTCACAAAGCGGTAGTGTACTTGGGCGATCCCAGCTATATTAGAGAAGTCTTTGTAAATAATCAGAATCATTTGCACAAGCCTCCATTTTTTTACAACAAATTTGGGTTTATCTTTGGCGAAAGGGCTGCCGGATATGGTTTAATTACAAATACAGATAGGTTATCGTGGCACAGGAAAAGACACATCATGAACCCTGCCTTTCACAGGAAATGCTTGAAAGATTTCATCACAAACTTTAACGATGTTTCGAACCGATTTCTGATTCGCCTGGGCAAGATAGCCGATGACGGCGAGATTGTAAGTATGGCCGATGAATTTTCTAAAGTTACACTCGAAACCATAAGCCAAGTGTCGTTTAACTTTGATACCAATGCAATTGAAGACCATGAATCACCATTTCCATCTGCAGTACGCCACTACCTCCAAGGCGTACAAACAAATCTCGACATTCCAATAAGTCCTGTACTTTTAGGAATTTTTCAGTTCAAACTGTTCCAGAGTGCTTCCCAAAGAGTTCAAATCGAGGCTGTACGATTTCTTCGAAAATTTGCTAGCGATTGTATTTCTGTCCGCATGAAGGACATTGCTGAAGGAAGGGATGTACCTAACGACTTGCTAAATCTTTTGATTAATAATGGAAGCTTTACAATGGAGGAGATCATTGATGAATTCATAACAATCTTCATTGCTGGCCAAGAAACAACAGCAAACAGTTTAGCATTTATATTGTTTGAAATCTTGAGTAACTGTGATGTTGAAGCAAAGCTTTTGAATGAAATCAAAGAAGTGCTGGGTGACAGAAAGGAAGTTTTGTTTGAAGATTTAGCAATACTAAAGTACACTGGTCAGGTGATAGAGGAAACTCTACGAAAGCACCCCATCTCCTCGACACCGGTCGGGACGTTGGAGAAAGAGATCACGGTTGGAGGTTATCGAATACCGAAAGGAAATTATGTCATGAGTTTTTCAATGTTAGTCGCCAAGAACCCGGAAATTTGGAAGAATCCTGAAGTTTTCGACCCTGAAAGATTTGCTGATCCTGCAAGTATCCCGGGCCTGGGCATGATTCATTTTCCTTTTTCCATTGGCCCTCGTAACTGCATTGGACAAACCTTTGCAAAGTTCGAAATCAAAGTTCTTATCGTGAAGCTGTTTCAAACGTTTCAGTTCGAGTTACTGCCGAATCAAACCGATAAAATCTTGAACAGGTTATCCTTTGCGCCTCGAGATGGTGTTATGTGTAAAGTCAGAAGACTTGCGGACCAGTAAATATTAATAATTATTATTAATTATTTAAAAGAATTCACAGCCTCTGATTGGCTAATAGCCATTTGTGAAATCGTCATGTCCAGCGTGTGACCTTACAAGAGCGCTTTCTGAGGCCCTGTCCACACGTAGCGGGGTTTTTGAAAAACGGAGATTTTTTCCTCCGTTTTCAAAAAAATTCGCGTCCACACGTAGCGTATTCGAATCGTTTTTGCCCGTCCACACGTAAACGCGAAAACGAAGGAAATATGATAGCATAATGATAATGCCCAGCGTCGAGCATGCGCATTGCCTAGCAGAATTAATTCTTCCAAACAATCGCAGGCTCAAAATGCAATAACCTTGGTAGTAACAGCTATGTTAATTAGGGCATTTGGTAAAGCTACTTCGTATTTACTTTGAATTCGCTTCGTACTCGCTCTTTCTCGAAATAAAATATCAATAAAATGGCTAAATCTACAAAAGGAGCAACGAAATCTAAGGGAAAATCCAAACCTGACTCATTCGTTTGGACGGATGATGAAGTCGAGCTTCTCCTTAAAGTCTTGGATATATTCAAAACACGCGCCTTATCGAATATCGACTGGGCCCGACTAACAACGTCATCGTATTCGAAAACCTCCGTTTTCGCCCGTCCACACGTAAACATGAAAACGGCGTTTTCGAAAAACTCCACTCTGGAGAGCGTTTTTAAAAACCTCCGTTTTCGGTTACCGAAAACGCCGGTTACGTGTGGACGCAAGGCCAAAACGGATAAAAAAACCTCCGTTTTTAAAAATATCCGGATACGTGTGGACGGGGCCTGAGTTAATGTACCAGCTAACGCTTGAATAGCGACTACAAGAGAGAAGTATGAAGCTTCCCAATATGAAGCACCCCCCCCTGCCCCGTACCGCCGTACGCCTATGAAAATATATTTTATATTGGGTTTCATGAACTATATGACACTGAATATTCATTTCGTTATATTTGTAGCAATTACACTAGATAAGTTACACATGATGATTATATTTATGGCACAATCGCAGCAAATATTTAAAACTGGTTTTGCATGCTGTGTAATAGTTGAATTGTTTATTCTAAGTACATCCCGGTACAAATCGTGCATTGCTCACTGAGCTGTTTGAACTTTGAAATCTAAAGTCTGTAAAGTGCATGTGCATAATATATTTTGATTTTGTGAGACGTGGCATCGCCAATATGTCAAAATTGACAAATTGCCGAAAAGTTCCACGCGTTTAAATCGCGAAAATTTTGGCTGCAGTCTATTCCTAATTTCGTAAAATTAAAACCATTTGTTTCCTGGACATTGATGACAAACTTGTCAATAAACACGTTTCTAAGACGTTGCATATGAAAAGATTTCAATCGGTTCAGAGTTCATAAATATAAATATTCATGCTTTAAAATATCTCGATGGGATTCGACAAGGTTTTTTTTCTATCAAATAATATCTATTTTAATAAATTATATTTACCATTAATGAGATTAATCTGGCAATCAAACATTGTCATTCTTAAAACCGATATATATATCGCGCGAAGCATGTGCGTTATTGGGCTCAAAACGAAAGATTCGTCAGTAAAAATCCAGTCATCAAGACCAGGGTTGTTGCAGCTCGCGTGTTTGAGGCTAAAAATACAAAAATGTAATGATATAATATTTTACGATAAATATGGCCAATATGGTTGTCTAACTTGTCTCAGAATTTGGAAACCTCGGACATTGAGTGCGCAAGGGTTGAATGGTGTTCTATTTCGGGCCTTATATTCAAACAGTTGATCTCATAATAAAAGCCAAAAATCATTTTTTAATTTGTCGGGCATTTATGAATGAACTTAAGGTCGACTGAATAAGAATTTCGAAAGGTTCCAATTCAAATGCTAGGTTGGAAGAACAAATTAAAACAAAAGATGTGGTTATTTGGGTATCACGAAGGATTTAGCGGAAAACCTCCTTCTAAAAATACGATCAGTCAGTTTATATCACACCTCGCCCCCCCCTCCCCAGTAGACATCGTATCATTCACGTGCACGTACCGTGATCATGGGGGGAGTAGGCTGAGTAGGACGAGTAGGACGAGTAGGTTCACTGGTATCGCATTCGTCATCGGACACTGGTTTGAAGTCTTTCAATTCACTTGGCCATCTCTTCTTCAGATTTTCAAAATCTTTCCCAAGATCGGAACTTTTATCATCTATACAAGGACAATAGTAAAAATGCTCTTACAACTTCTCAAAAAGTGCAAGAAGTTGTCATTTCAAAACTTCGTGTTCAAATACTAGAAGAGGATTAATAATTGGAATAGTGGAAGAAAAAATTACAATGTTCAGCAAAAGTAACATAACTCTTGCATTTGAATGCTTACCAATTAGAAGAAAGGTCGTTGTTTGACATTTCTGCCTAAAAGTAGTAATGGGCGTATAGTGGACTACTCTCCAATGATTGATCCCGAGTGTCGTGGCTAAGAGCTTGGTGAAATCGTCAAATCTATTAAAAATGACCAAATAAATAACTCACATGCTTGACAGCCTATAAAATTTGGATCAATGATAATGTCGACAGTTATAGCCGCCACTACAGTCAATCTTATATTGTATTGCCGTTGTCTGAAGCTTCAGCTTATTATATACCTTGCTGTTGTATTCTGGAACGTTAAACGCTTCTCAACAAAACTTTTGCTGATCAGCTTCATGTTGGCACAGCCTATTCGGGATCCTCCACCATCTTTGGCGTGAACAACAATGGAACGACCTAGAACTGTACGAAATTTATAAATGAGCTGAGTTAACTTCAAATTTAAGAGCCACAAACCATGCAAGGTGTGAATTATCAGCTTCCAATGAGCATGCAATGACATTTCACGCATTAACTGAGAGTAAATGCTCTCTAAAACGTTCCAATAAGAACATACGTAAGTTACAAGCAATGCCTTACTTGTGTTCATGCTAGCAAAGTAATTTTCTGACTCGGTAAAACGATTCTTTCCGCCACTGATGCTGTATTTTCCAACTTTACTTGACAAGTCTCCAAGTTCGCAACGTAACAAGTTCATTGGGCCACAGGTCTTTGAATAGTTTGCCTGAAATTCAGATAAGATAAGTCAGACAGCCCTAAATAACCCTTCTTCAAGTAAGGTAAGATTCAGAAGATTTCAAGACACGATTCTGGTCGATTCTGCCGGAGCACTGTGCACAAAACTTGTCATTGGTCTCATGCTGTTGTTACACGATGCCACTGTAATGAATTGACACACTATTATGGAAGGTATCCAAGCCTTCAGCTTAAAACATATAATTACATAGGATCCAACCAGAGTCTGACAGAAGATTTTCTCAAAATATACCAGCCGATTGTAATTAGTGCCGTCAAGAAAACAAAGTTGGTCCATGAACGAAAACAGAAGGCTCAGCACTTGATTGCACGTGTTTGTTTAACTTCTTTGGTTTCACTTGACTGTGCCTGTTTTATTACCTTTAAGCTAACTTTGTATGGATTATAATGAGTTTGAGCGGATTTACACCTCTCCCCGACTTGAGATGTTTGGTCTCGGACTATGTCTTTAGCATGAACGTGCCAGTTGTGACTATCCGTTTTCTAAGTGGGATAAAATTAAATGTTTTTATTAATATCATTAAAAATTATCATCAAGTGTTTGTTTGAATATAGGAGGGTATTTAGTTGTGTGCAATGGGTAGGGGCATGCTGGCCTCCTAGCCTTGTAGACATTCAGGGCAGGAAGGTGATCTAAATTTTCATTTATCTATATCTTGGATTTTCATGCAGGGGCCCTCATTGAACAAATAAGTTAGGACATTTTAGGTCTTTTTTTACTTATTTTGGACAAATTTCACTTGAAACCTTCTTGACAAATTATTGGCGCAGATAACCAACCCTGGCTCAGCCCACCGGCACCGTGATCCACACTACGAGTGCCTCGTTTCTTTGGGTGATCAGCTTACCCCCCCCCCCCCCCCTAATTCCACAAGAATGAGGTCTACAGAACTTACAACGTGAGAACCATTCATGTATTTCAGATCCAAAAAGAATGACGTGATGTGACTTGCACCATGCTTTTTGACAAAACTTGCTTGTTCCTAAAAGAAACAATGGATATGATGAGTGTCTACCAAAGGGAATTGTTTTCAAGCGGTACCCAAAGGTTTGCTTATTAAATGATGATCAACAATTCTTGGAAAGACTCATTCGGCAATCCCCGTACCCCTTCGTCAACAGTCGATGTTGTTTTAATCCTGTATTTCTCGTTTAGAGCAACTCTCCGGCAACTCATTTCACCGAGTTAAAACTCACTGGATACCACAAAAACAATCAACGGGGCCCGTTGTATGAAGGCTGGATAGCGCTATCCGCCGTTTAGTGTTTCTTCAATCAGTGCAAAAATTCTGAAGCAATTGAAAAAAACACTCTCCGATTGATAGCGCTATCCAGCTTTCGTATAACCGCCGCCTAAAGCTTACCACCACAATAGAGCCATTGAACTCAGGTCCAATAAAGTTTGCTTTCACATCAAAGTGGAAAGTTTCATTCTTCGGGTTGATGTTCGAGCACACCCATCGACTACCGTTGTTAAAATGAATGACCATAGAACGAAAGAGAATGCTATTTGCTCCAAACAACGGTAGATTGTAGTCTTTACGGACAAACGAAAGCGTGTCATTAGGGCCAATAGTTCCGTATTTGCCGCTCAGGTCACCAACCTCGTATTGATCGACAGTACCTGATGAAGAAAAAGGTAACCTAAGAATCCTACGATTTAACGAAACGTGAGATGATTTTGATGTATTAAACCGGCTTTATGAAAGTCTTTATGAAACCGAACAAGATCTTCAAAGCACACACGAGAATGCTTGCTGAATGCAGAGGTGCTTCAGAGCAGAGGTCTCAGAGCTTTGCTTTTGGTATTTTTTTAACAATACACACTAGATTTATACAATCTTTCCCTTCAGTAACCCTTAGGACCATTGTCTATTTCGACTTTGGGAAGAGTAAGACTAGTGTGGTCAAAAAGCGCAATTCTTATCGGCAGAATGGAGATAGCTCCAGATGGCATTCAACGGTAGGATACATGTGCGACGTTTTATCTTAGATGATCATCTTAGTTTTATCTTTTAGCTTAGTAATTTCGATAAAGAAGAGGACGTTTACCTTTCCCTGGCGAAGCAGACTTAGTATCGTACGGTTTCCAATGTCCAGACAGGTAAGTACCAGCACACATACCCCTTGTGTTTTGATAATGTGTGAGCACTTTATCCAGCACTCTGTACACGTGAACATGGTAAGTGTTCGCTTTAGCATCCAGTCCTTTTATATCGGTAGTAACCACTGTTGGGGCGAGCTCCGAGTCTTGTTTGAAGTGGAACATGCCTTTCACGCCGTCGATATCGAACGTAACGTCAGCTTCGATCGGAACAACTTCGGAAACCATACCACATATGATTGGCTCGCTGTTTCTTTTTAGAACCAAAGTCTTGCCGATTACATTCTTAGCCCCATCCAGGGGAAGGTCGCTCAAGCAGAAGTGCAGTCGCTCGCTTGAAGGCCCCTTACGTGCAAGAGGAACGTTCACACGACGAGATATAACACGGCTGGTTGTTTTTTTGCAATCTTTCCCCTCAAACGAAGGCCTTCCATCCTCAGGCAAAGATGAGTCTGCGATCTCAAGTGTCAAATTGTAAGATCCCTTAGTCGCATCATTCGAATAAAACAGATCAATATCAACCGTGGTATCCATAGACGCGTTTCCCCGGGGTTGGCGCAGTCTCACCGTACCTGTGACCCCGGAGATAACGCCCCGAAATGTTGCCACTGCTGTGATGACGTCGTCGTAATCTATCAACGCGCATGCCCATGGAATTGTACCGTTTACATAGAGAACAACTGTGCTGCCGAATATACTGTTATGGCCATCTAGGGGTAGATTTGAATCGTGTAGGACACTCGTTGAGGAATTTAAGTGACCGTGTTTACCAGAGAGGTCCCCAACAGCACACATATCATGCATCTTTGCGTTGCAACTTGTGGTGTAATTCTCCCGGGAACTTTTCCCTGTCGGGTCAAACATTCGACCGATGTAAAGGTCTGTGCAGGTATGCATTCGGTTACCGCGGTACACAACGGGGTACTGATGGATTCTCCATATCAAATCGGAGGTTATTCCAGTAAGATTCGTCGAGATACGAGTGTAGCCATTTGTACCTCGCGTGAAGCCTATTTCACCCCTGATGCCACTCATGTCAAACACTGCTCGCAGATGAAGGGAACTTACAGCAGTGATTGATGAAAGCGTTAGAACTAAAAAAACGTTGCAAAAATACACTTTTCAACGAGGGTAACATTTCGACAACAACTTCGGGAACTAAATGCCATGTTAAAAGATTAAAAAGCAATAAAGTAGGCTAATACCAACATACCCAGAAAAATAATTGCTTGACGTTCTTGAAGTGACTGCATGGTGATCGATGTGGTCAAAGAAATTGTATATCCCCTTCCTAACTTCTTTCGGCACTCACTAATCACTATAAAAAAAGGAATAATTTATTAAAATACAATCCTTCTAATCCAGGTTGGATACTCAGTATATCTGGAATCAATGGATGGAAATTTGGAATTTTGAAACACCAAATTATTAATTACCAAATTCTCGCTCGACACGAGATGCCTCTGGTAGTTGAGGATGGCTCGAGACTACACGATGCTACGGTAATACGATGAAATAAAATGAAAACTGCAAACGTTGCTTAAATTGAGAGTTGATTGCGCGACCAGCCAAAATTACTTTGATGTAGAATACACTATACAGAGTAAATGGCCTGAAACTTCGAGTTTCGAAACCAATTTGCGAAGACCCGAGCAGTAAGAGTTATCGTGCGTTTATGAAGAGAGACAAATCAATATGTTGCTATATATACCATAGCCATTCACAAAAGCGGAAGAGTGGAGGTGTATAATTGCGCAAAACTCAGACTATCCAGTGTTACGAAATAAAAGGCACATTATTTTAACCGCCCATATATTTGATTCGCATTTAGTTCCTCAATTAATTTCAATGTGTGTGCTGGACCGTTTTTGTCCTATGCAGAGGTGAACGGTGAAACGGAAAGGGTTAGGAAACCGCACAATATACAACGCAAAATTCGAATTGAAAAGCAGCAGCACTTTCAATCGCCCACTACTTCGCTTTTTCGTGAAGACTTTAACACTCCTCCACAATTTAAAAAGAAAGAGATCACGAAATCCATTAACGATTAACGATTACCATAATTATATAATAATGAATAGGAAATGAATTTTCTCTTGGACTAACTGTCCTTTCAAAATGAATGAATCGAATGATATCACTTGATCTATCCACTCGGCATTTTTGGGGCTGCGAGGGACACCAGCTTGCGATCTAGCCTACATTTTCAGACCGGCCACTAAAGCTAGCTGCGTCAGTTGATGGTCCGTTGTTACATTTTGAGAGTTAATTAAATCAGGTCGTAGAGCGCGTAATGCGGGTCGTGAACAATGGCATCCCAATATCAAGTGGATTATTGTAACTTGACGATTCTCCTGGTCATGCACTGCACGAAATCTGCGGTCAAGAACTGTGCGTGATATGGGACGTATTTGCATGCCTAAAAATGGCAGCGAAACTGACCTATTAAACCTACGCGCGGTTGCATCGTCGGATAACTTGGTTCTCGTGATGGCGTTTAGCTTCCCTTGCAACAAAGTTACTAAAAACAATCTCCGGGCCAAGTGTTACACATTAAATATACAACACCCAGACAACGCCTCAATTTGGCAATCATTCATAGCCTTTGGAATTCCTTAAAAAAAGTGTCATCATTATAAATCGCCTACAAAACCTTGTCGAAGCAAGCTATAGTCAACCAAATTATGCCATTTTTCCACATATGCTATTTGTGTACATAAAACCCAGCTTTATGTAACTCTCGTAACTGTTCGTTGCAATACATATGTGAGCATTGTCTATATATAATACATCTGTATATGTATACATTCCTAACAAGTTAGGCGACGTCACAGAAAAAGTCTGTTGCGTGAAACTTGGACAAGTTGGTGATAATCTGTTTAGGTATAAGCACAAACATTAAATTACAAATATACTGTCGCAATTCATATATTCCAAGAATCATAACCACATACATCAAAAACAGTTAGGAGCCAATAACGTATTTCAGTCCATATATAACAAAAGTAAGTCAGGAAAGACTAAGTGCTTTCGCTGGTAAAACGTTGCCCACGTTCGATGATTCTTCCGGCATCGGAAATGACTAACTTCGTCTAAATGTTTTCAGTACAGAACCTTATTAGGATGTTGCGTTTTATTTTAAGTGTTTAACCACAATAATCTTCACGTGGCCCTTCGTCCCTCAGCACTTATTTTACAATTTTTGAGCTGTTGACGGGAGAAAAATAAAGCCATACTTGCAGGCAGTTTATTAATCGTGAGCTAAAGTATTTGCCGAAGTTATTTTAACACTATTTCATTCAAATTCGACCAAGAGTCAATTCAATGCATGAAGAAATAATCAGCCGACAATATCTACACAGATACGCTTGAGAAACGAGCATTCAATCGGGCTTAATCAAGAAGTTTTTCTTCAATTCAAATTGCATTCATTTTAACCGGAGCCTTTTTAACTGGTCTTCAAAGTTCAAAGATGAACGTAGCTACCTTAAGACCATCGAATTACGAGGAAATACCAGTAAATATATACGAAACAAGCCTTCAATACAGGGTGAGTAAAAAAAACCTGACACCTTTGAAATTCAAATTAGTTGCAATATGTCTGTAATAGGCTGTAATGAGACAGAAGTTGCCTAAAATATCTTATGGGTATACGAAGCATATCAAACAAGTGAACCCATTAGCTAATTACCCTTGAACATAAAGTTTGTTCCCTTTGGGAGTTAAAATGCATTCTAAGCTCTGTAATAAAAAAGAACGTGGAATTAGTTCAATTGGTTTAAACACTTTCGCAATTAACCACGTCTTGTTGATTGTGCACAATGGGAATTGTCAAATTCCAGCCATACTGAGTTCGCGGCTAATTTGAATTTCAAAGGTGTCCGTTTTTTTTGACTCACCCTGTATATAAGTTGAAGACCATATTATTCAGAATTTCCAATTAATGCCCCATTTATTCTATATTTACTTTTCCTTTTGTATATATAGACGCATCAAAGCAAGGCGGTGTCTAATTAGCTAGATCATTTAAATTTGACTCAAACTTATCTGTATAAGATTATATACTCTTTAGAAATTTAGCCGACATCCAGTGTTTCTGTCCGCGCCCATATAAGCAAGACGTGATGTCGAAACGCAAGCAAGCTATACGCAACTATTGTATGGCACCACCCATCTCTGCATGAGAAAACGATAATTGCTTTAGCTAGCCACGTTTGACGTTTACGCGTGTACTTCTGGGGCCGGTTGTATCAAGCCCGTTTAGCTTAAACGGTGCATGGATAAGTTCAAAATAGAAAGCAAGTTTATCGTTTTATTCAAGAAGCAAACTAAATGTTTTAAACCTTAATACAAAGATACTGTTTACAACTATATATTTAGTGCATAAAATTCAAGTTGACTCATTCAAGAGAGATGTAAAAGTGTTATTTAATTTTGACTTATCCGCCGTTTAAGCTAAACGGCCTTGATACAACCGGGCCCTGTATTTCACAACAGCATTATATATATATATAGGTTAAAATACCTAAGTTGCTCTCGACTGATGAAAACGTGTTTCTTACGTGTTTTAAACGTGTTTAAAGAGCTATAACAATATGCAAAGCAATGTTCATCATTTACAGGGTGAAACCGTTTATCTTCACATAGGAACCGTTTATTTGACCGAAAAACTGATTTAGGATGCAGTTCACTGTCAAGAATAATAAGTGGTTTACAGTTCTTAGACTACAGTTAACTTTTAACTGTAGTTAAAGACAGAATTGGCGGTGGCCAATCAGAGTGTATTCCTGAGTTAACTATAAGTCTAGGATTTAACTATCCAAAATGTAGTTGAAGAGTTTTATACAACCGGCCCCTTCATACAAAAGGGTTCAGTGTTAAATGCCCGAGAATCGAAACTTTGCCAGAGAATGTATATATACTCAAAAACCCTATTGGCAGAAATTAAATACTATATACATAGCTATAGTCCACGGATCCAAAGTACTCTTTAATAAAACAAAGACATATTATATACTACATAAAGCTCTTCCAATCGGTATTTATAGTTGTCTCTTCTTATCAAGTTTATATCCGACTTTGTCTTTGAAAACAATGACACTTTGACTATGCCGAGTTTTAAATGCACGTAAAGTATATAGGCAACATTATAGTCTTAAATTAAGAGTTTTCAATTTCTCTACTCAGTATAATAACGTAAACAAATTCTTTGTGTACAACACTATATTTCATCAAATCACTATCAGGGAGGCTGTCATAATATGTTAATATCATTTTTTTTATCTTTAAGCTTCTATATATACTTGAATACGACATAGTAATTTATACCGATGAATGTATGAACAACTTGAAATATACGAAATTTGAAATTATCGAATTGTGCATATACACTACCCGTTGTTATATATAACTATAAGTAAAAAATAAGGCTAGTTTTCATATAATGTATGCATGTAAAATAGCATTATATGTATGAGTAATAAAATTACTTTATGCATGACCTGCAATATTTCGCTTATAATATACTTTTTGAAGTTCGGTTTTCTTACGTCATATAATTTTTTTACGTTATATTACAAAGAATTATGTCATATTTCGCATAACAACGAATTACCACATGTGAATTAGGTATACGATGAATAATGGCGAAATATGTTGTATGAAAAAACAAACAAAAACATGGAAACTTACATTATTTAAAATTTTGACAATTTCAACGATTCTTTTCGACGATTTCTTCTCGGTCCAAGGTATACTTGTCGCCTTTAATTCCCACTTCCAAATACTTCAGTGAATTGCTGTAAATGATCAAGATAACAGTGATTTAAAGGTAGCAACAATCAGTATATAAGTATCACGAATACGACAGGCCGTCAACAACATAGAACTATATGCATGAAAAACATTCAAAGGTCCTAATATATACGGCCATGCATGGGGGAACCGTTTAAACAGCTGATGATTAACGTGTAGGATATTCGTGAGACTGACTAAATATTTGTATACCTTGGCATTTCTGTTCGTGATTAACCGGAGTGGCTGAACGACAGCCTAATTGATTCAACAGTGAATCAGTGATATATGAAAGATATGTTATTTACTTCCAATATTGCTTAAGTGTGCATGATAAAAGACTGACATGCACTCGGCGTGGGAACTTGATTATTAGTTATCATTATATATTAGTGCATTAATAAATATCTCAAACGACAAATTTCTATTAGTTTTGCCTAGAATTTTGTGCTCATTCTCAATGTAATTTTTACTCATAGTATATACTGAGACAAAACACGATATTTCCTTAAGCAGCGTTAAAGGAACCATCATATATTCAAATTCCCTGTTGACTATGCCTTCTTCCGAGGATTCACACCAACGCAACCTACGTATGTATATATATTTTCCCGGAAAAAAAATAGCAAGTATGCCTTTTCTCCGTCCAGAAACTTAACTCTTAAGTCTAAGATTAACATTTTTGAGCAAAGAAAACCGCGGTGTATCCGTGATCGCAACACGTCGCTTAGCAAAACAGGAAACGAAATTACCTGATGAAGCGGCCGCCTGAAATGACGCCACCACACGCTCGAGTATTTTTAATCTGCGCTGTAATTTTTCAAAACTTCACAGATATTTCAAAGACTACAAAATACGATAAATATTCTTCCAGATAAGCCACGGTTGAAACTGTAAATTCTCGGCTTTATGACAGAATGATCATTCATTCCAGAAGATATTTATAGGAACTTGTTATCGTAATTTAGTGGCAATTTTCATTCTTAGCGGTAATTTCAACTATTTCTTAACTCTAGGCAAAGTAAATGAGACCGAATATTCAACTTAATCTGCAATATTCAACCGAATATTCAACTTAATTTTCCCTCTTCAAAAGATCTTCGAAACAAAACGCTTGAAATGTCACGACATAGTCAGTGCTGCCAAAGTAGTGAACACCGGGTACAAATTTGAATCAAATTATTTGAAAACAATGGGACGCCATGGTACACCTACGTGTCTATATGAAAGACCTCGTTATCAGATGAACTGTTCCTTGCAGTGTATTCTCGTCATGTCTATTAACAATTTGGCATATTCGCTCCTTTCCTGAAGAGTCGTATTTCCTAAGTAGTTTTCATTAATATTAGTTAGTACATTAATAAATATCCGTGGTTATATACCCTATACAACTGATATATAGTTATATATGTATATAGTTGCATGTTCACCAGGTAAAATTAACACAAAAGTATCAATAAATTTCTATTAGTTTTGCCTAGAATTTTGTGCTCATTCTCAATGCGATTTTTACTAAAAGTATACTGAAACAAAACACGATATTTCTTTTAAGCAGCGTTAAAGGAACGATGCATGAACTGAGTTCAAATTCCCTTTTAACTACCTTCATTGGCTTCCTTGATTCACACCAACGCAACTGTATTTTCCCGGAAAAAAATAGCAAGTACGCCTTTTCTCCGCCCAGAAACTTAAGTATAAGATTAACACTTTTGAGGAAGGAAAACTGTTGGTGAGTCAAGGATCGCAACGCGTCGCTATAGCAAGTCGGGAAACGAAATTACCTGAAACGTCCGCCTGAAATTACGCAACTACACGCTCGAGTATTTTTAATCTGCGCTGTAATTTTTCAAAACTTGACAGATATTTCAAAGACTACAAAATACGATCAATATTCTTTTAGATAAGCCACGGTTAAAACTGCAAAGTCTCGGCTTTATGACAGAATGATCATGCATTCTTTCCAGATATTTGTAGGGACTTGTTATCGTAATTTAGTGGCAATTTTCATTCTTAGGGGTAATTTCAACTATTTCTTAACTCTAGGCAAAGTAAATGAGACCGAATATTTAACTTAATCTGCAATATTCAACCGAATATTCAACTTAATTTTCCCTCTTCGAAAGATCTTCGAAACAAAACGCTTGAAATGTCACGACATAGTCAGTGCTGCCAAAGTAGTGAACACCGGGTACAAATTTGAATCAAATTATTTAAAAACAATGGCACGCCATGGTACACCTACGTGTCTACCTCGTTATCAGATGTACTGTTCCTTGCAGTGTATTCTCGTAATGTCTATATTAACAATCTGGTATATTTGCTGCCTTCACGAAGAGTCGTATTTCCTGACTAGTTTTCATTAATATTAGTTAGTACATTAATAAATATCTGTGGTTATATACCCTATACAACTGATATATAGTTATATATATATATAGTGGCATGTTCACCATGTAAAATTAATACAAGAGTATCAATAAATTTCAAGTAGTTTTGCCTAGAATTTTGTGCTCATTCTCAATGCGATTTTTACTCAAAGTATACTGAAACAAAACACGATATTTCTTTTAAGCAGCGTTAAAGGAACCATGCATGAACTGAGTTCAAATTCCCTTTTAACTACCTTCATTGGCTTCATTGGCTTCATTGGCTTCATTGGCCTTGATTCACACCAACGCAACTGTATTTTCCCGGAAAAAAATAGCAAGTACGCCTTTTCTCCGCCCAAAAACTTAAGTATAAGATTAACACTTTTGAGCAAGGAAAACTGTCGGTGAGTCAAGGATCGCAACGCGTCGCTATAGCAAATCGGGAAACGAAATTACCTGAAACGTCCGCCTGAAATGACGCCACCACACGCCTGAGTATTTTTAATCTGCGCTGTAATTTTTCAAAACTTCACAGATATCTCAAAGACTACAAAATACGATCAATGTTCATCTAGATAAGCCACGGTTGAAACTGTAAATTCTCGGCTTTATGACAGAATTATCATTCTTTCCAGATATTTGTAGGGACTTGTTATCGTAATTTAGTGGCAATTTTCATTCTTAGGGGTAATTTCAACTGTCAATTTCAATTTTTTCTCTTCGAAAGGTCTTCGAAACAAAACGCTTGAAATGTCACGACATAGTTGCTGCCAAAGTAGTGAACACCGCGTACAAATTTAAATCAAATTATTTGAAAACAATGGCACGCTATGGTACACCTACGTGTCTATAAAAGACCTTGTTATCAGATGTACTTTTCATGCAGTGTATTCTCGTCAGGTCTATTAACAATTTGGCATATTTGCTCCTTTCCTGAAGAGTCGTATCAAAAAAAAGTCACGTTCCTACTGTTTAGCAAGATATTCCTGTCTTAGGGGCTGTTCATGAGCCCGGTTACCCGAGATTCAACAAAGCGTGAGATGATTTTGAGGTATTGAAATGAGCAGATAACATGATCCTGGCAGTCGTATAATCACCACAACAATAGCATGTCCTTGTTTGGTGTCATAAAGACTTATTTCAACACCTCAAAGTCCTCTCATGCTTCGTTGAATCTCGAATAACCGGGCTCATGTAAGCAAGCCCCTATAATCCCACAAGATTGCCTGGTGATATAGAATCCGTAATGTAAACAAACCATTTGCTTTACTTCTGCCGGCCGGTATATTCCATATAAAATATGTACTGTTTGCATATCTTACACTGATCCAAGTTGGCCTTGGCGCCCATTTAATTTTCATTCCAAACATTTCCTAAGATAACATGTATATATGTCTAGACATGTATGTTAGCTTTATAAAATTTCAGCCTTGACCGAAGTGCTAATTACATGAATACTTCGAATTTTTTCCGGCTTTATATCGTCCACAATAAGCGCTCACAGAATACCTGTGGCAGACCTCTGAGCCCTCGCATATACGTGCAGTTATATCAAATAGCACTTAAGCCTAAACTACTTAGAGTTACTACAGTTTGAACGACCTAAACAGCTCCTGAACTCATTGTAAACGACCCTGGAATGGAAACCACCCGACTATAACGAATACTGCCTGTCTGGTATTCGAAATATCAATCGTTTGTGTTCACTAGAAAATTCGGGAAGTGTTTATATATAATGGTATACAAATCATGTTTTCAAGACCCTGAGGGTCCTTGCATGCAGAGTCCAGAGAGCGAGTTTTCTGGTAGAGAAGTTCGTTGACTAATTTGCTCTATATGCTAATGTGAACGGTGTACTGAAAAGCTCTGTTTCTTTGACAACCTGGCCGATTTCAATACAGAAAATAGAGAAAAAATTACACCCACTGTTTCTCTGTCAGTAAAAACGACTTGTTCACGGACCAATTACGACAAAATGATAACCAAGCTTAGGATTTCGTTAAAACACACAACGAAATCAAAAGACTAGCAAGAGAACAGCAAGAGATCTCGTTCCTAGGGACAAGGACGCACCGAAACCCTGGAAACGAAGTTGACAAATAATTACCGCTTCCTCATGCAAGGGTTGTAGTTTAAAAGAGACCAGCAATTAACGTTTGCTTATTCGAATATCAGTTAAAATCGTCTTTTGCACGACGATTGGAAGGCTTTGGGTAAATTTAAACGTCGTGATGCAATGACCTCGACAGGTTTTATCGCTGAAGAAAGTGATTGCATCTTAGGGAGACCCAGTCAACTTTTCGTATACCGTGAGAATACAAAACCTTTCGAATGAACCTTTCATTTCTGCGCTCGCACAATAAATTCGCGTTACATTCAGAGCTGCTTCGCCGAACGAGAAAATATAATTTAACGATACAAGAAAATTTACTGACCACCTGCTGGAACGATGAATTCATTAACATCGATATTGGTTGACAGCTGTTAATAGCTGAGGCTATTTTATAATTATGATGAATCAATTGACCAACTCATAGTCATCTAGCTAACGAATAACTAGTTTCAAAATATATTTGCAGAGAAAATTTCCACCGAGGTGCTGACAGCCTTATGAATACATACACGGTAATCGTCGTCATCACACATTACAATGACATGACACAAATTTTGTCTTCAGAATAAAGTGATAAAACTTTAAAACATAACTACGCGATACCTTTTCTGTTTATCTCGTAGCCTTTGTCAGAACTGAGCTGGGAAAAGCCACCAAATATTCAAGGGAATAAACTCCTTCGGGAAGGCCCCACAGCACGACACGAGTGATCTTAGTTTCGCAAACGAGATTATGCATGTATATACATTAAATATTTGCATACATAATCCCATTTATGTTCGGGGTTAAGTAGCATATGTCAAGGGTAACACGCAAAAATCCTAATTGAGAGGTCAAATGATCAAATCCAAACACGAATTGTCCACCTTGGGGTTGTTTATTTGCTCGGTAGAATCACAAACTGAATTGACCTGTATCCTGAAAGGCTTTTCGTCGCAAGGTTCTTAGAACAATACCTGATAAGTTCAGATACTAATTCAGACACGGTAGCTGCTAGAAATTTAGTAGTCTTCAAATAATTTTATTTTTTACACGATACGTTTATCGGTACACAGAGTTTGTATTTGCGTAAAATGCAGTAAATTTCCCTTTTTTTAATAGTGTTGATGGCCGCTATTAGTTTTCTCTCAGTGGCATATCTGCGTCCTCAGCAGGTACATTGACACGAGATGTGACAAATTTGTAATAGTTAACCTGCACCGTAAAACGAGAACGAACGAATATGCAGGTATGCTAATGTTTTCATTGAAATTACGAAAAGCTGATTGGTTTGCATATTTAAACATGTACGAATGGACGAAAGCGACGAACGAATGAACGACAAAAAGTCGCTTGCTTGTACTAAACATGTTTTCAACCGTATTGAATGCTTGTATATTTTTTTCTGTCGTTGTGCTGATAGAAAAACTACATTTCGGCTCATTCAATCAAGGATGGTGGAAGATAGTCTTAACTTAAGGCCGTAAAGAAGATACACACATACATGTATTACCATTAGATATATATTTGGGGATATACAATACACATGCAATGCATGCGCACGTAAAAATCTCACATCTTGTAACTGCATGAAAACGCCTAAAGAATTGAAATTTCATCACATTTTTTATTTGAGCCTAATAGGTGATCATAACAGAAAGGAATTTCATGTGATAGAAATTATTTAGCGTTAAGTTTAACTCGACTTTGTGATATTATTGTAATTTCCATAACATGCCAGTTAAAACGTATATTCAAATCCCAGGAGCATAATAAGTTCCATAGCCACAGTAAACTTAAATGCAAATCAGCAGTAACTGCTATATTACGATAACTAAATTATTGTCGTCAGTCGCTTCGATCTCGCTTGTCTGCTCTTCCATTGCGGCATTTATCACCGGTATATACATTGAATATATTGCCTGAACGGCGTTGTGCAAATTTAATAGCACTATATGTTTAAAACCTCTACGTCGTCTGCCATGCTTTTTCAAACAGCTCATTCGTAGTTCGCACAATTGCAAATCCACCTGGAATTGCATATAAATACACGTATATGCAAATGTCTTAAAACACATGAAGAAATGCTTAAGAATTGTTGTAATAATTGCATTGAGGCTACTTAACACGACCTTGATTAACTATAAAATTCAATTGAGTTTACGAATTGACGACTTCGGTAAAATACTCAGGGTTCTATATATAATATTATTCAACTTAGTTATTCCTCAGTTTGGGATGTTACCATTACAGTTCATCAATCATCGTCATCTTGTTGCATGCCCCCTGTTTTAACCGTACATGCAATATACACGATATCACAACACAAAATTACCTCACCAAAATATGCATGCTATGGCTTAAAGTTTACAAACAAATATGATAATAAACTTGTTTTAGCCAATAGAAACCATCTATTTGAACGATTGTGAACCGTACTCTCGTTCAGTTAATGAGGCTACTCGTACGTTCTCGTTCTACGGTGCAGGTTAACTAATCGAATGCGACGCAGTGAAATTTCATTGTGGCCGATGCCATTTCGAAGTTTGAAATACGCTTGTCTATACTGATATCTACACCACATGCTATGTTATTGTTAACAGAGGAATTCCAGAGTATTAAATTTGGACATGACATCGTTCGGTTCAGTGTGAACGAAGTCTAAAATGTTTCGAGAGTAGAGTTTGAAAATTAAAATATATTTATCAATAATCAACTAACATGAACATGATTTAGAAGATTTCAGGCAGTTATACAGCCGTTATACATGTAGTTGGTCATGCAAAACGCACAACAACCATGACTAAAATAACAACAAATTCCTGCCAGAATCATGGTATATACTCATTCATATGCCTAAATCTCAGGTAATCTGGATCACGTGAAGATCCTCGAAATAAGCCTCAAAAGCCTAAAAATTCTCAATTTCTAAACGGCTGTTAAACCCAAACGACTTGAAGGGCCCTATGAGTTTCCTTGAGACACATCCTGATCTTTGAAACGGAGCTTATATCAATCTGCTTGCAGTGAGATATATCTAGCAACTGTAATTTGCGACATTTCTCGACGATGTCGCGAACCGACTTGACCGTTATTGCATTACAACTACTCAGGTTTAGAGTTCTCAGAACATGACGCGATGAACTTCCACAAATGTGTTGTGCTATAACTTCGTCATTGACTGTCTGTAAGTCTTTTAAGAAAAGTCGCTGCAGGTTGGAATGACCGTCTAAAATGCCAGAAATCCACAGTGGACTCAATTCGGGTTGACCGTTATCACGAAAGGTCGTAAAATTGAGATCGATACAGGAGAGTTGAGAACAGAAAGAACTGAATCGGCCAACAAACGATTGAGCATCATTCGGATCCTCGGTTAAGCAGTTCAACTCCGAAAGGATCGGGTCAATATTTTCACAATGTGCTAAGATTAACTCTTTAAGCGACCTACAGTGTTTACATAAGACAGACAGACGAACATTGGCCATTCCTGATAGGTTTAAATATTCTAGTTGATTTCCGCGTTTAATGAGAAGCTTCTCAACATCTTTGAAGAGAAATTCATCGTCATCAGATGTACCGCCACTGAGGTCGAGCGACCTTAAATGCGTCAAGTCAGTCAAATAGTCCAAAAGCAACTTGCTCAAATGGCACGTGAAGTTCAACCGTAGCGATGTCATCTTCGGACAAAGTTCAAAAAGTACTTTCAGATCAGAATCTTCAAAGTGCGTGGAAGAAACGTCGAGATGTTCGACGTCCAAGATAGACAGGTTCAGACCAGCTAATCCTGGATGATTTCCTCCCGAAATATCGGCAAAGCAAAGTTTCTTTAGTCTCGGAAGCCGCACGAGAATCGTGGACAAACTTTTCCTCGTGACAGAAGTTGCAGACACGTTTAAATGAACGATATCGGAAGAACCGAGTTCCTTCGGATTTTCCTTCGTTAATAGACCTTCGATTCCGACATCTGTGACCTTTGGACACGAGTTGATGACCAATTCTTGTATGTTGTGACAGTGTTTTGCAAGGTTATGCAACAATTGGTCCGTGCATCCTCGGCAGTTAGACAGTTGCAAGCTTTTCAAGGATTTTAGCAATGGTAAGGTTTCGTTCAGACAGGATGTGGACAACCGTGAACAACCGTTCATGTTTAAGTGTGTCAGCCTCTAAGTGTGTCGGTTACAAATGAAAATATTTTTAACTTGTGAATATTTGTCAGAATACTGCAATGGGGAAAATCAACTGGAAGGGCCATGTAACCATTTACAAAAAAGCCCTTTTGCACATAGTAATCAGATCAATGCAACCATGAAGACAGCAAAGCTGTTGTTTTGGAGATAGGATATCATGATAAGTACTTTCCAAGGTCATGTTTCCTTGAAAATAATACATAATTCTAAGACTGAAAGATTATTGGCATGCCATTGGGTGACTAATGCTTCCACAGCCCAAGCCACTGCCATTTTCACTTTCCAGAGTGGCCTGAGGCCTAACACATATCTCAAGTTAACTGATCTCAAGTCATCAGTCCAGACATTTTAATTAACTGGACTAATGACTGTAATGTGTCTAAAATGGATATTGCCCCACATCTGATATTAATCTAATAATTCTATGATAATTCCAAAGTTGGATCATACTGTTTCTTAAGAAAGCTGTAATACTGAGGCAAACATGTAGATACAGTTTTACATGTAGATCATGTATAATTCATAATTACCTTACAGCGACGACCGACCAGCTTTAAAACCTGGTCGGTGACCATTGATTGACATCTGCTGAGATCCAACTTTGTGAAGTTCTCATGCAAAAGCAGAGGAAAGTACGAGGCCTTTAACAACTGCTTGTCATACAATATATTGAGAAGTTCTTGAATTAGGGTTGAATCTGTATATTAAGAAGATTATATGCAAGTTAAAATATGTAACTTAACAGATTTATCTACCTCACATTTGGAAATTAAGCAAGACTATTTCGCAGTTCCATGATAAGTAACACGATTGTGCTAGTTTAAACTGGCAGTAAAATGCCAGTCATTTATATTCATTCTCTATAAAGCATCGGTCAGAAAACTCACTTAAATCATTAAAAGGTCCTATGGCATACAAATACTTGTAAAAGTCATCTTCCAAGGCACTTTGACACCATATTGCCATATTATCGGCGACAGATTGGATGCAAAGCCGCGACAAGCTAAAAATTTCCATTAAAAAGTTTAAAATGTATTAAATGTTGCAAACTTGTGTTCCAATTTGGTAATTTGATACATTTCTTGTGACGAGCCTAACGTACAATGTCCCCTTCTATCCTCAACTTTCACAGCGAGTTCTTATGATTTCTATCATATTAAAATGGACAATGGATGTGGACATTCATTAGCTCGACTCTGCTTAGAAACCGTAGCAGAAAATATTGCATTGGCGTGCGAAAATTCAGCAATAAATGGTTGTTACGTGTATTCTGAGGTCGCTTTCTCCCAATTAAGTGAGTGATGACTGATGAATGAATCTGGTGAATTTTAGGTTTAAAACTTCAGCTGTTAAAAAAAGGTGTATAGCACATCTATAAAGAGGCATCAGGATGGTAGATAGAAGCTTAGTTGGGTGGGGTGTCCATATTCATATATTTGTCTTATGCCCGACTGATTTCTTTGGAACGTTATTGTTCCTATGTATGTAAACCAGGGTATATGAAGATATAACTCCCCCCCCCCTACAGCCCTGAGTGCATTTTGTTTGTACTAGTCTACACTTAGAATAGTTGGAACCAAACCACCACAACCACCACCCTTTAAGACCATTGTGGATAAAAAGGCCAACATTACTACCACTGTCAACTCATGTGACCACTTTTCACAATGATCACTTATTTTCATAGATGGTAGACACATACAAGAAATTTTGGATATTGCCTTTTCTAAAGGCATTTTGTCACAGAAACATTTTGGATTACTTGTCCATCCGAATGTTTTAAAGCTGGATTTAAGCAAATACAGCCATAGTTTAGTCACTGATCAAGTACTGCTACAACTTCCTTGCAAGGTTTGTCAATATTGTACTATACAATTGAAATGTATAATTCGTGACATTGAAGTGAGTATATACAGTTTTTAATATACCTTATTAAACCACTAAATTTTTTTATTGTTGTTATATATAGAAATTGGTCAGTTTGAATCTTCAAAACTGTGATCAAATATCATCACAATGTCTGAACCAAAGTCTGCAGAATCTGCCATGTCTCACAAATCTAAATTTATCGCATTGTCTTAAATGTTGTGACTCTGTCCTGGAAAACATTGCTAAATGCTGCCCTAACTTAGAGAAACTCAACTTAGAAATGTGTCAGGATGTTACAGATCGTGGGATTCAAGCTTTTCTCAAGCCATTTACCAGCTCTGCAAAACCTCCAAAGATATCACATTTAAATGTATCATCAACCTCTGTAACCACAACGAGCTTCTTGATCTTGTTAAATGGCCTACCACTTCTACATTCACTGTCATTTGCCCAGCTTCTTGGCACTAAAAAACTCTCTTCTGCGAACTGCAATTCTATTGAACAAAAACATGTCCAGTTCCAACTTCAGCACTTGGACATGCTGGGCACACAATTTTTCTATTATCAGATTGGCCAAGTAGACCTTATTCTTCAAAATTGCCACAATCTCAGAGGTCTCAAACTAAGCTTTGAAATCGATGAACCCGATGTGCATAACTATCCGGAAGTATTCTTCATGAAAACCGCGAAACATCCCACGCTGGAATCATTCCACCTCAGTGCCTTACAAGGACCTCATTTGCAATCACAGCTATTTGCATTGCGCTATTTCGAGTTTGAACGAATCGAGAATTACCTGAAAGAGATTGACAACCAACTGACATCGCTACACTTAGCTGATGTAAAAAACCTCAAGATATCTACGTTTTTTAATTTTAACTCGCTGAAGCATCTAACCCTGTCACGTTGTCAATTCATTCAACCTTTGAAAACCTCAGCAAAACTAAGCGATTTCTGTTCATTGCAATACATCGGTCTAGAAAGTCTCGACTTCCAGAAAGAAATCTCGTTGGATCTCAAGCAAAAATTTCTGTACCAGCAACTGATGTCCCACCCAAAACTTCTACGTCTTTCTTTGAGATCGGTTCCAATCGAAGAAGAATATTTAATGAAGATTCTCCGTAGCTCTTCTGGACTTCACCTGGAAGAGCTGATATTGTCCTGCTATGATAACGTCATTGTTAACACAATCGGCCAGATCGAAAAGAGTTGTCCAAATTTGAAACGGCTCGAGTTGAACCATTGCTGGGTTGTCACCTGGTATGACATTTGTCAGTTCAACGAACGAATGAAGACGATTGGAAGAGAACTTGAAGTTGTTACAAATGAACAAAACGATTTAATATGATTAATATATTGGAATTATATACTGGACTGCTAACTTGAAATCTGTGACTTGAAAAATTTGTAACGCAAAAAAGCTATTAATTGCAGTATTGAGAGTCGTACTTTTTTGTCTGTCCGTCTTACTTATAAATGGATGACTGCGTATTACCTTTTACCAGCGGGGTCAAGGGGGAAGAAGTTGGTGCCCTTTCCATTCAAAGGATTGTACTGCAGTTTGTTTATAAATTTGCTTTACACAACTCTAGATATGCAGCAAATGTTCAAGAGTAGTACAATCAATTGGTGGAAAACCCTCAAATACCGAAATATTCATCTAAGCCAAAATTCGCGGGACTTTACCTACAGACACGCGCCCGCAAATTTTGGCTTCATTCGCGGGTGGATGAAGCAAAAACTTGCTGGACTTTACCAAAGTGCCGCGAATTTTGACTTCACAAAAGCAATGAGGAGTTTTCGCTCCAGTTGTTTATTAGAGTTCACTGTTCCTACCTAACACGGAAATGGATCTCACGAGATACCGGCAAAAAGCACCAGGACAAAACATCCTGTATCACACAGATGTCACGCGCGCGCTCTCATGACTGAACACTTGGCTCGGGAGCAAATATGTTTTCAACAATTATCTTCGTACTTTTCACGCTTGCTGTGTCTCATGCCCAACAAATACCGGACGAGAAATGGTCGTACGTGAATGTTCGTGAAAATGCCTTCATGTTCTGGTGGTTTTACGGCGCGCAGACGGAAGATCCCGCCACTCGCATGTCAAAACCTTTGGTGTTGTGGATTCAAGGGGGCCCTGGAGCTTCCGGGACAGGATTTGGGAATTTTGAAGAACTCGGCCCCGAGGATACGAACGGCAAGAAGAGGGAATATACTTGGCTGAAAGTTGCGAACGTGTTGTTTGTTGATAATCCAGTCGGATCAGGATTTAGCTATGTTACCGATGATAACGCTTATACTACAAACGTTACAGGTTGGTAACACGTAAACGGGGAAGTCAAACCTTGGGGAACTGGGAATAGGCACTTAGCCGGCAGATAGGCTCATGCTAAAATCGGCACCGTCCTGCTGTTTCTCTAGTTAGCAATATTATGTCAAAATCCTGACACATCTGCTCGAACACTTTCCCAAATATTCCTCTTGTATGAAGATTTTATAATACCAAGGCACGTTTACATTTGCAAATATTTGCTGCTATTTCATGTGCGATTTTCTTCTTCTGATGGATGTGAACGAGTGAATTCGTCACGCATGTTCGTACACATCAGCTCGCACCACTGAGCTATATAATAATTATTATATAGCTCAGTGGCTCGTGCAGATCAGAGCATTCGTCACTTATTATACTCGTCCACATGATTAACATCTGCTCTTATTCATATCCGAAGGAATTGCCGCAGATCTTTTAACTATGTTCAAGTCCTTCTTGGAAGATTTGCCAGTTTTCAAGAAAATTCCATTCTACATCTTCTGCGAATCGTACGGCGGCAAAATGACTTCAGCGTTTGGAGTTACGCTTCTCGAGGCGGTTCAGCAAGGAGAAATCCAGGTTGACTTTAGGGGGGTCGCCCTAGGAGACTCCTGGATATCCCCCGTGGACACCGTGCTCACATGGGGCCCCTATCTGTACACGTTCTCGCTCCTCGACAAGTCTGACTTGAGCGTCGTGGACGGATATGCACAAAAAACCGCGAACGCTTTTAATTCGGGGCAATTCGCAGAGTCGACCGCTTTATGGGGTGATGTTGAAGGAGCGATTGCAAGACTGACTGATAATGTTAACATTTACAACGTCTTGCAACACAACACCAAAGCACCATTTAAAGGTTACGCCTTGAAAAAGTTGAAAGATAAAAGAATATTTCGAGCATACTGGCACAATGTCGGGCGGCTGCAAGAACAAAGCTTATCCGATTTCATGAACGGTCCAATCAGAAAGAAGCTCGGTATCATTCCCGACAACGTCACGTGGGGCGCACAGTCGATGGACGTCTTCGCAAAACAAACCGTGGATTTCATGAAGCCCACAATCAAGGAGGTCTCGCAGCTGGTGAACAGCGGTCTGATGGTTGCAGTCTACGAGGGTCAACTCGATATTATCTGTGATACGATTGGTGCCGAGATTTGGATAAACAAAATCGCTTGGTCTGGGCTGAAAAATTTCACTCAAGTCGCCAAGATTCCCCTCTACGCGCCGTCTCAGAAACAGGCCAAAAATACCGGAGCCTTCGTCAAGGAGTACAAGAATTTTCATTTTTACATCATTTTAAAGGCCGGTCACATGGTACCGGCCGATGCTCCGGAAATGGCGCTCTCTATGGTTGAGAGAATCCTGGGTACGGAAAGGATGGATAAACGAGCTCATCCTCGTTCCCAGCACGCGAAAAACCCGGAAACGAGGATGAATCGAGCTTAGCTGTGTAACGTAATCTCTACGGTTTCGGCTTATTGACTGGAAAGATGAATAAATAGACCCAAGCAACGTCTTATACATACTTGGTAATTTAAAGTGTAAACTTGTTTAAGGCATGTGTATGTTCATAATTAGAATTATTTTAACAGTATGGCCGAATGAATGTAGTATTGTATAAACTTGACCAAGATAGTAAAAATTCTCCTCCTTGGACCTTGGTTGAATGTCTCGGCAGGCCTGCTTCATACATGATACGTCGTGCTTCTCACGTGCCAAACCTCTGGTACGACGTAAAATACCGTTTTACACACACCTATAGGTATCTCACCTCAAATGTTAATATCACTTAGCTAACTAATGTCGTTGGTTTACCTAAATTCATTTAAACGTTCCATCTTAAAATACTACGCCAAGACGCTGGAATTTTACGCCAAAAATGCCGCTTTATCATTTCCTATGGTGGATGCATCATTAAGTTCTGACCCTTCTGGTCTCGGCCAACTTACGCCATCGCCATTTGGTGGATGGGAAGATGGCATGATGATCGACCATAGCCCCCTTAAAAAAATCAAAATCATCAGACACTGGAGGGATTCTTTTTCGCGGCAGCTAGTTCTATGCCTTTTACGCTCGGGAATGCGAGTACTGAATAGTGTGGCTTTACAGTGCCGTGTTTTTTCTTATGTCCTAATTTATCGGCGATTGTCAGCAGTGATACGAATTAGATATGATTTTATTAAGTTATAGTTCACACAGCACCTCATGAATAAATAGTCAGTGACAGTAGACATCACCGATAAATTACGATATATGTCGAAACCATGCTTAAAAGATACAGAAATACAGAATAGATTTCACAAACCTGCCATGACCAAGACCTAGTACAATCTTCCAGTTTCTGATCATTCCGTAATGAAATGGATTAAAAAATGTCTAAAAATAAAGGAAACACGCCACTTACAAATGACTGCAATAACGTGATCAGCCGTCATCAGAAAATCAGAGTTTTCATGGCAGAAATTTATGAAAGAATACAACTCACTTTTCCTTCCTTCTTCATTTTCTTTCTCTTGGCTCTGTTAATATAAACTTCTACAGACGTTTCTCCTCTCGTTATTAAAATCATGTGCCAGCCCGCCAGTGCTCCAACGGCCACAGCCACACAAGAACACAACATAAATTCAAATATGACTATATTATGTAAGCTTTCTTCCTCTGGTTTTGTAATTTTTGGTTCCTAGGATTTGCAAAAGATCGACTTGAGGGGAGCTGTGATTTCGTTCGTTTAAACTCACAAGCTAGTATCTTCCTTGCAAAGCTAATCTCCTCCCTTATTTCTCTAGGTACTTTCATTGCGATTACTGACTCAAAGTGTAATCAAGGTAGCTTATAGAAGCATTTGTGTCCAGTCACGCAAGTTGGACCATTGAATGGTTAGACACAGATTATAATATAGTGACGTATTAATTCGCAATACAAATTTCCTTACTAGATGACGTTTTAAAAAATATTTTTCTGCAGCCGTCGTGGGTCGAGGAATTCCGATATTAAAATACTCTTTAAACATCTAAAGAAAATAGAATTAGAGCATCACAAATCCGAGGCGGGAAATCTCTACAAGCCTAGCCATAATTATTAGATGTGCGTCCCCTATCAGAGTGTGAAGACATCTAGGGGTACACTAGCTGCGGTGCAGACGCTTCGAATTACAAAGGAACACACACATTAATATTAATTTCTGAAAGTGTCCACGTGACTGAACAAGGTTCGGCAGACGCTTAGGCCACTATTTGTTGAATGTTAGTTTCTCATCCGGAGCTTCAGCTTAAGTTGGTGCGGGCGGGCGGCCATTACCATTATGCCATTATAGGCTGGGTGTTCCCCCTCAGGAAAATTTCTTCTGGACAAGCGCGCGTGTAATATAGTGCGTACCGAAAAATACAGAAGTCGTTGTGTAGTGTGTACGTTTTGTACAGCTGTAATCGTTTTAAATCTTTTGATGTGCAACTTGGTTACACCACGTCAACAAAACGAAGTACAAGGTATATTGCAACACAACAGGTAACAACTTGTTGTAACTTCCGGTACGTGAAATTTCACAATTCGCATTTAATATCTTAAAAACATTTGGTTTGCGAACGTTTCTAACAGTCTTTCTCTCAATAAATTTAGTTGACAAGAGTCTGAAGACTTCACAAAATTTATAATAATGGTCAAAAATGGCCATAATGGCAATAATGGCGAAAAAGACTGTCGTCTAAAAAAGCATGCGGGCGGGGGATGAGAAACTAATATTCAACAAATAGTGGCCTTATGTGTTATGCTTATATGCTTATGTTCCTTTGTAATTCGAAGCGTCTGCACCGCAGGGTAGGGGTACACCCCTCCTTGAGGGAACGGTATATCGTTCCTGAAAACCATGTAACTTTGCAAGCAATGTTCAAACTTATCTCCTATATTACAAACTTGTTTTCAACAATCGTAAATTAGTTGAATATTTGCAAGTTGTCTGAGTATTTTTATTTGTACTTACGTTCTTAGCAAAATCGTCAAAATGACTGAAAAATGTTGGAAATAACGTGAGGGACACATAAATCGTCCCAAGACACATGTAGACACAAAACATGAAGAAATATCTATGGTTGAAATGTCCAACACAATTATTAATCCATGCTAAAATGAGTTAAGAAAAATATGCTCTGATATAATGCCTCTTCTACATTTTCTTATCATTATGGATAGAAATCAAGACATTGTTAATGCCAAGAGGATACGACAATGGTGGTCCATCTTTAGAATACACCTAAAAGTGGAAATTATTTCAAAAATATTCAGTTCTTACATTTGGAATGTTATGTGCAAAAGATAAGATTTTGAAGAATGATTTCCTAATAGTGAAAGGGTAATCATCCATATATAAATGTTAAAGCTAAGCTGAAATGCTACTGAATACATATTAATTGTGACTTGTTTCACATCGGTGTTGAGAAACCAGTGAAAATTGATAGGATTTAATGTTAAAGATGAGAAATTTACCATACTTATTACAAACACTGCAATGATGAGTTCTTGGTGGCTTGGGTTGAATACCTTAATTTAAGAAAATCATTTTGTGCCAATTGGCTCAATACTTGTACTCCCATGCACCATGCACAATTTGACACAGAATATTGGTTGTTTTTAATAATATTAAACTGGCTGATACATTATTACACATGTTTCTCTTGTTCATACATTTTGTACAAACTTGTATATCTCTAAGGGCAACAGCTTTTTTTCCCTAAAAAATGCAGTAAATCAAATTAGCCTCTGAACATCAGAATAGCCTATAAGAAGGGCTCAAGGGTAAGGGTGCAAATCCTGGGGGATGGAAGGGACATGTCCCGCAACCTCTTTGGCTTATAGCTTAGGAAAAGTATCACTACAACTTAGTCCATTTAGTTTATCCCCCCACTTTTCAACACAGACCCGGCCTTCCCACAAGAAAGCCTTTTTAATTTGAAATTTAACTAGCTTGAAATTATTGAGCAAAATTGTTTCAACTTACAGAAGGTGGATAACCTGGATTAGTTGAAACAGCTTTGTAATAATGAAATGAGATGTTCAACAACAGCCAGTGACCACAGATCAAGTGACAGATACTAAACATGGTGCTTTCATATTCAAGGACAATTGGCATCACATAAACATAAAATATCACCACAACACCAGATATTAAGAAGCTCACTAGTATGACCAAGCCCTGAAAAAGATATTCCAGCAATCGATCATGTTCATTGAATGTTTTACTCTATCTAATGACACGTTTACTTCATTTTAATACAAAACTATAGTCAATATCAATACAATATCAAAAGAAAACCTTGGCAAATGTAAATTGATAAACAATGAAATGAATGAACATGAATTGTTAAGCCTAATACTTTTTGAAACATACCCGTCCTAGCCATCCAGCAAAGTGATCAACGATCCATATTATGGGTTCAAATGCACAATCAGCAACCGGTGAATCGGATTGAAAGGCATTGTAAGTCAGAGTGTATATTGTGAATACAATAGCCTTTGGATAGAACCAGAGCCGTTTGATAAAACAGACTATCATCATCGAGCTTCTAGCATAGCAAATAACAAAATGGAAAGCGATATTCGCCTGCAATTTACCTCACAACATTTTTTAGAATTTCTGAACTTTCTTTCTCAATAATTTGCAACAAAACTTTATTCTTGAAACTTGAAAGTTCGGTCTGAACGTACAGGGGGGATGAGACCGTACGAAATGGAGTAAGAATAGGTTCGCCTGTGTACAGTGCATGAAATCCTAACAAGAGATCCGATTGTTTAAATCCGATTGTTTTGTCAATATTGACCTCTGAAACCACTAATTGTTGCGCCATGTCAGCACAGATCTCTGCTTGATTTGTCAGATTTGCTTGAAGGCCATTCTATCATTTCCAAAAAGCGTGCCCACTAAGCCACAAAATGAACATGAAACTAAAGCAACAGTAACTGTACGTCTGAGTAGTTCAGTCTCGAAGAACTCGTGATTAATCTTTGTGTCAATTACTGTATTTTACATTAAAAGGACTTCTCCTTTAAGTCATTCTCTAAGTTATATATAAAGTTTCTCCCAAAAAATAATTTAATTCCCTACAGAAAGAACAATAGTTCCCGCTACATAATATATTCGTAAGTTAAGTGTCTTTCTTCTACTATAAGTTACGCTACTTTGTACAAGTTTAAACAGCATGAAATAGTCAACACTTTTTCATCAGTATAAGTCCTCCAGGCAAACTCTGGTTTGGAACAAATACGTCATTATATTTCATGTCAAATTCAAAAATTCTTCCTCAGTTTTGATGGCCAACGAAGGAATAGTAAAACTATGAATTTTGAGTTAATTAATCCGAGTCTGAGGAATGTCAGATTCAAAACGAGTAATACTAGTGAAATTTCCTATTACCCAAGACCCTTAAAATCACATAATGTCAAGAAGGAAATAATGGAGCTCGACCAATGGTACGTCTGACGTATTGCATTTTCAACAGTGATCAACCCATTCAACGATGCTTCACAATTATCTTTTAAACCGAGCCTAATTATTCGGCCTCGACGAATTGCAAAGCGCTGGAAAATATTCAAAACCTCGATGCACCATTCGGTCCGTCGCCAATGAATTCGTGCCCCAAAGCGTTTGCGCATTTGCCACAGGAAACCTCAAGAAAAAAAGAAAGATGCTTAGCAACCGGTTAGCCAGTTAATTGCGTGGTTAGGAGAACGAAGGATTGGAATAGAACCGGTATTAGAAAAACGGAAAGTCAGCTTCTGCTACGGAATCGCAAAAACGCAAATTCGATTAGTTAACCTTGCTAGAAATAGGAATTATATTCGCTCCTAAAATATATTCTACCTCGTTTTCCAAACCAAACATGGTAGTGCATGCAAAGTCAAATAATCCACATATAATATATATATCAGTGGTAGACCGAGCAGAGGGCTGGTACTTGCAGCATAATCACTGGTGTGAATAAGTTTACGTTATTGCAGCGATCATCGATTATCATTGATTGTAGTGATCGATCCCGACTCACTTTCATGGCCTTGGCTTGACTGCTCTGTTGTGGAACAGTTTCAATTTCCTTTTTTACACTATCTTCGTGAATGGTCTCTGTGAAGGCGGGCCAAGGCGTGTTGTGGGCGTACTTGCTCTTGGCATGAAACAACTCATTGCCACACTTCACGCATTTGTAAATACCTAAGGACGATGGATAAAGCAACAAAGTATCATATTACATCGAAGAACAACACAGCATCGAGCATTCTTATTTTTTATCCATTTCATTTCCATCTTTAATTTTCAGCAATTTTCTTTCTACCTATTTCCAGACCCTAGCTGAACAAATCTATATTCAAAATGGCGTCTACAGCATAGACAGACCACTTTATTTAGCCCAGTAAGATCGACTTCTACTGCTCTTAGTTCTTTAGATTTTGTCACTTGTATGTATCTATATTCTGTCAAAAGTACAAATACAAATGAATTCCAGTCCTATTCAGCACAAGGGCAAGTCAGTAAATAGCAAACAAAAGGACAATAGGATCATAAACGGCTAATAGCGAACCGATTAGATTGTTCCGTTTTTACCTGCATTATTTACCAAGAAACTTACTGATTTACTGCTATTTACAGTAACATGTGATTATTGGTTGGACGAAGGTTTCACTGTAGCTGTATTTACATTAAAATATTTACCAACTTCAAAATGATCCTTGTATTTTTCACTGCCATTCCACGTACAAAACGCCATGACACAAGTAAATTCGAAGCTGGACACGAAAGCAGCTGAGATACTTGCGTTAGGAAGGCTACAGTCGCACAATTAGTCACGGAAAGAACTATTTACGGGAGAGCAGACTCAGAAGAGAAAAGCTGAGAGCTCACATCTCACTCGCCTGCCTCAAATAATATTCATGACTGCAAAATACAGAGTACTAACATCCAGTAACAACATCCGGTAACAACATTTATTGACTTAATACATTTTCGTTTTTGTCAGTAAGGGAACACCAGGGGAGCTGACGCAATGATTTATTTTTATTAATCGGTTATTGACCGTACAAATAACAATATGCTGCTACAGCGACAGTATGTAGTCGTAGCTTTGACTTTTGTAACTTTTGGTGGTATTTGCCAGTCGTGTAGCATAACTGCTGATTATGATTGGCACTCTACGGCTGAGCTGACCAGACTGGCGCCTCTTGTGTTGTATGGCAAAGTTGTAGCCACGAGCAACCGAACGATACATAAACACGAATACAACGCAACATTGAATGTTACTCGTGTTTACAAAGGCGAATTGAAGCTATTGAACCGTTCTCAAATCGAGGTTGCGGGGTTTTCCTATCCAGCAGCGTGTAGATCAGAAGTTTTCGTTGGAGACGAATACATATTCTTCCTGAATGTTGAGCCTTTTAGAGCTCGCTATGATGACATCTCGTCGGCCATAATGAAATACTCAAACGCGTCATTTCAGGAAATACTAGAAGGGCTATGTTGTCCTCAAACCAAAGGTTTTTAGATTTAATTAAAAATGTTTTAAAGAAGATTACTGTGTATCAGTACAACGCCAGCAAAAAACTTACGACGTATATTTCCGCAATGGGACGCCCCCGCCCCTTCCATAACATTGATGTAATAATTGTGCATGATATTAAATATGGTGTATTTTCTAGCTACGGTGACAATACATGGTGTGGTATGCTAAAATACCTGAGGTTAAAATGCTGCTTACTTTGTAATAAGCAGAAAATATGCGCAAAAACGGACTCAAAATCTTCTTATGTTTGTTTTCGTTCTTCAGATTGTCCACGACAAAATTTCACCTGTAGCCGTGGCTCTGTTTTGGCTCAGACAACAACTTGGCTTTTTCTCTTGTAAGTTTATATCTTTGCGATGCTTTCATTTAGAATACTTACCATGCCCTAATAAACTATATGATGTGTCTTTTTCTCTAGGATGTTTTGGGTATTATTGGTTGGATGACGTAGCTAACAGCTTCATTCTTCGCGACAGCCAGATTTGGCAGAAACCTTAGCAGAATACAACTTTCAAAATTGAATCAAGTAACATTGTTCGCCTCGTGATGACACTATGTGATGTAAATATATCTAATATACTTGTTCGTACCATCAGTCTTTATCTTTTGCGCAAGTGACGTCATAGTTCACCGGGCAATCGAACGTTAACATGGAACGCAACTGAGACCAAAATTAAACTGGACCAATATAAAAATTACGTTTATGTGAAAATGTTCAACGTTTAACTATTTAACTTAGAATCACCTTGAGACTGTCCTTAAAGAAATCAAATAAGTACAGCTCATAAATACTGTATGTACAACAGGTCCTGAGGGCCTCGAAAATTGTGCTAATGCATACGTAAGTTGTTAGAATCTAACAGCTGATGAATTGTGAGATTGTACCTAATCTTTTGCAGTCGAGCATTAAATTCTGTCGTTTTCTATCCTATTCAATGAAAGTCACTTAAAACAGGCAAAGTATGGCAAGGAACACGATAACAAAAGACAGATAGTTTTTTGGTGCTCTGCTTGGACACACAAAATTCTCATCAGAGTCAAACTCGCCTATTGAACCCTGATCTGAGGAGGATTCTTTGTAAAAATGAAATAGACCGAGCTCGCGTTCCTGGCTCGTCCAAGGCTTTAATGCGTAACCATGGATACGAGAAATATCACGTATCGGGTCACTCGGCCTTTTAGCAGAGGTAAAATAAGAACCACTGTCTGTTCCCGCGTCATACGGGACGACGGGGAAGATATCTTTAACGTCCAACCACTTCCCGTTCTCTCGATTGCAAAGGTCAACGTCATACGCACCAACGAACCAATCAGGCGAAGGCGAAATTTTAACGATGATTGAAATGAATGGACGAATGGCGTGAACCTGGAAAGATTCTGTGACTAACGAGTTGCCCTCTGGGAGAAGGGGGTGACGGTGGATGACAGCAAGTGACGTTGTTCTATTCTTCACCAGTTTCTCTATTTCTTTTTGAAGTTCACCAGTATTCCCTAGATAGTACATAGAACTTTCAAATTAATCTTATAAAACACACCTTACCATGAAAAAGCAATAGGCTTGTACCAATACTATTTGTACAAAACTATTTCCATCTTTCAAACCAATTTTACATGGACAAAAAACTAAATCTTGATTCCATAAACCTTTTCAGCTTGCATGCAAATTAACCCATTTCAGATGTTGTGACTATGGAATAGCCAATAAAACTTAACCATTTCAGACGATGTGACTTGAAATGGTTTTATTGGCTTAATTTGAATACAAGCTGAAAAGGTCTATTAACACACACATATATTTGTACAAGACAACAAATGATACCCCATTCACTTCTGAAGAAAAGCATAGTTATGGTATGAACATGCAGTCATTTAATTTAATATTTTCTGATTAAGTGCATTAAATTAATTAAATTTACAGTAAATTTACAGTATGCATTATTCTATGGTCATTGTTCTTATATGGTAAATTTACAGTATGCATTGTTGGCTAATGATCATAAAATAAATAGGTCTATAAACTATGAATTGCATGTATGTAAGACAGTTAAAAATTTATGTTTGAACTACCAGCCAGCATAACCAACCAACTCACACAGCAAGCAACTAACTCACTGTGATTCAATTTCAAGCTGAATCCTATTAAAATCTACCAACTCACATGAAATTCAAGAATACAAAAAGCACACATATTAAGGTAGACCAGCCTAATAAAGATATTTCCCTTATCGAAGCTTTGTTAGGACAGTTATCTTCATCAATAACATGCTGAGGCGATGCATCAGGAAAACTATGCTGGAATGAAATTCTTATGTAAGCAATATCGATCCCATTCAAATCACTAATACCCTTTTCATCTAAGGTAGCAATCTTTTCACGTGGGTTTGATGGCACTACAAGCGAATGATTATGTTGCGACCGAACAGCAGTCCCAGCATCATATGGGACTAGCTGGATACGTAATGGCTCTCTAACCCATTCTCCAGACTTGTTACACAAATTGATATTACTGATACCAACAAACCAATCTGGGGAGGGTTCTACCCTGACAACAACAGACACCAGGGTGTGAGACCTGTCTAATGTGTAGCCACTTTGGGGGTTTTCAGTATCGGGTAGCAGAGCGTCACCCAAAGGACCGATGGTGTTAGTCTTTGGTTTGATCTGTTCGGTTGCGGTTTTCCATTTTTCAATGTGTTTCTGGATCTCTTTAGAGAGTTCCATGTAATCTCCTAGCAAAGAACAACACCATCAGTCATTAGCTCTGCGGATCCAAGTTTGCTGTAACAACACCACTCATTGACATGCTTGCACCAGTCATAATGGCTTGATGTAGACCCAGATACAAGATCTACCTACTTTTGTATTTTATTTTGTTATGTGCTAAATAATGAAGTATTTCTATAGTATAGTATATCTGTCTAAACTCTAGTAGAGTCCAATATTCAATTTTGTTTGTGTGATTTTGAAATGAACTATTATTGGATCACAGAAAAGGATGATTTGTAGGATAAAGTGAAATGAGCTTAGATCTATCAAACCTATGTACATTTGATTCAATAATTCGTAAGTGGACTCGTAAAATCCGTGGCCAATATTCATATAATATAAACTAAAGAACGCATAATTTCGCATAATTTATTAGTTTGTAACCACTTTTAGTAACAAACACGCTATACTGAAACAAAAGTACAACAACAACTGCATTTATTGCTATACACATATTTGAGAAATCTAGTTTTTAAACCAACCTTCCTCCGCGACGTTTTTAACACCAAGCGATGCTCTTTCTCCTGTTTCCCACATTTGGTAGCATTTGTTATGAACGGCACCGATAAAGCCAGTAAATTGTGCACCAGCTGGGCGCGAAGATGAGTTTTTCCATTCTCCTTGAAACTGAAGTCTGTACGTCGCTGTGCCACGGCAGGGCATGCTTTCTGCATGCAAAACACATTCAAAGAACAAGGCTAGCAAGCACAGAACATCGTGAAGCGAGGGCATTCTTGTGTTGAAGCGAAAACTGCGTGGAATCATCAAATAGAATTCAAAGGACGCTGCTACGAAATGTGTCAATTTTTCAAACAAGGAATTTCTAAGAGTGACAATTACTAGTTTATAATATATGCATAGATATTTATAGATACATATATTTGCATATGGAATTTTTGTGGAATAGTCATGCAAAATAAATGAAGTCATGCACAATATAATATTCGGTATTAAATTATAGTCAAATAGACGTCTTATCATCTGTAATGGTTCATTACAAAAAATTGCTTTTCATGACGTTATTTTTATTAAACGAGAAAAGGTTTTATGCTACGCGAAGTTTGATTGGCTCGTTAATTTTGCGGGGCCAATCAAACTTCGTGTAACATCAGGCTTTCCGCGTTTGACGTCATTAGACGTCTTAAGGTACACGCTGCCACGCTGCTCCCTGGTTATATTATGTGAGTCAAGTGTTATAGAATAGATCTCATTCACTATTCATACGGTTATATCTAAATCCGTTAGAGAAACAGAAAATTGGAAACACCCCCCAAAATGATGGGTATACCGGCGTACTCGTGAGCAGGGCACATTTGTTTTGTCGACCAGCCTCGTATTTTGGGATGTACTATTGAAAAACGAGGCTATAAAGTTTCCAGTGTAAATTATTTCAAACCCCGGGGAAGAAAATCATCTGACTGTAATTCTGCAGCAACGACGCCAAGATCAAGTTTCAAAATGCAAATTTACCACAATAAAAACAACTTAGTGAAAGTAAACGACGATCAATCATGGAAGTATTTTGCAATGATGCAATGCATCGATTGCATCCATCAATAACATGATGGAAACTGCTCGGTGATGAAAACGTATAGATATACAACAGCTAACGTCAAAGGGCGTGATGACGTTTTCAGTGTGAAAAAATTTAATTTAAAATAAAGAAAACACACAAGTGGCTTCGTCAGGAGAACTAATATATGGACGAATAAGTGTTTTTACAAAGAAGCGTTCTTTCTTTCACTAGATTCTTGTAAAAAACTATATTGCAACTCAAGTACCTATGTCACTATTAACTCGAGTAACAATATCACTGTTAACTCGAGTTTGTTAAGCGAGCTTTCAACTTTGTAAATTTTCCGAAGGCGTTTCGATATTGTGCTTGCAATTCTCAGAATAATCAGTTATAGATATAGCAGAAACACTTTTCTCTCCATAAATAGACAATTTGGAAACTGTGTACATAAATACTTCGTAACCCCTTTCAATTCAACTCAATTGAACTCACTAGCGTAGCCAGCCTGACGATTTGTCCCGCTATGCTAATATTCCTGTGATCTTTGATTGTGAAAACAATAAATTTCTAAAGAAATGAATAATTATAATAACTCGAAATTTACATAGCGGGATAAAATCGTCAGGCTGGCTACGCCACTGATTGAACTAAGAAACGGTACCAGTAATAAATTGATAATGTACGCTACGAAGGCAAAAGCAAACCTTGGTTATACAGGAAACACAATGCTGAACAAGTAAAAATCATTTCCTTGGTTTTGCGAAAAGATGAATGCATTATATATTTTTTTAGTCATATTTTTTTAGTTTGTCGTTAGCTTTTTCAAACTAAAACATGCATATAGACAATCTGTAAAACAATCGTCTCATTTATTTAACGTAAAATACCCTCAGGCCTCGCAGCTAGCGAGTACATGCCGATATATTAGTTACTGTTGATATTACATTTTGTGTCTCTTTAATTCAATCAAGTCTATGTTTTCGTCAGTTTCACTGAAAACTGAAAAGATAAGTTACAAACTGAGAGTCTTTCACAGGCGTTAATAGAAGCAACAACTGCCAACAAGACACTTCTGTCTTTTGCTTACGGAAGAGGTTCTTGCAAGGACCCCAATAGCATGCAAGGACAGAACCTCTTTGTCGCGTGTCAATTCTTTTTCCAGCTAAGAGTGAGAGCAAACACAATACTTTTCTCAAGTAGATCCTTTAGACACCTCGTCATCTATTCAATATTCAGCTCAATTTATTTATAAAGACAGTGAAAAATTACATGTATACTATGCACATACGTTCACGCATGCACATAAAAGTTTAAAATCATTCAAATTATTATTAAATCAACGAGTAAATAGATGTATATGTATATGTATATGCATACAATTAATAAAATTAAAATTGTTTGTATAACAACTATATATAACCGTTACCTACGCGTGCGTGCATGGCAGAAACGCGATATTGCATGGAAACTTTCGTCCTTGACCTTGCGCGAGGCTCTTTCGCACGTCAACGCGTCAAAGATCTTGAAATGTAGAACGAGAGACGTCACGAAGGCTTGAACTTCGGTTAAGAGGGAGATATTTTGATAAAATTTAGGAAGGAATTTTTTACCAAAAAATTACCGCGTAGAAAAAAGGTCACTGAGTCAGTCGGTGTTTAAATGTCGAATGACCAGTTGCTTTGTCTATTTTTCCCAGTTTGAACAACTTTCAAGTTAGTGAATGTTATTGCATGTGTGATACACCAAACGTTTTTTAAATTTGTACAATCATGATTGTATTTGCATGAGGTAAAACAGAGGCAACGACCTTGGCTAAGTGAAAAACACCCTTTTAATTCGTTCGTCATTCTTTATCATTTCTTTATCATCCGAAAAAAGAACGCTCCTTAGATGCCACCACTACAGAATACTATGGAAGGTTTTGCGCAAGATTGCATGGTGACCACAAAGGGCCTATACGGAATTTCCTTTCTATATATAAAATTAAATTTACATTAGTTTGTTATACGCACTTTAAAATGCAAACACAACGCCCAATTTGCCCCTGGTATAAGATGACCGTGGTCTGAATCGGGTCAGTCAAACTTGGTCTTCGATATAGATCACCCAGGAGCCAAACGAAACGATGTTGAAATTCTCTCTGGTGGTGATTTTGTTCCAGATAGTGTTTGTTGATGTTCTGCAAACTAGTGGTGCCGAAGCACTTTGCTGCGAAGATATCAGATACGATGTTGAATATCGTATGCTTGCGTACGCTATACTGTGTTCAAATTATAATCCAAACCTCGGGACATGCTGCCGTGCCATAGAACTGGACATTCGCATGCATCAAGTCGCGTACAGAACGCTGTGTTCAAACAACGGTAAAATTGAAAACTTGTATTGTCTAAGCAGTTTAAAAATATCATATAACAAAACAAGTCATTTTATTTCGTCTAATATCTTATCACTGTTCTCATTACATGATCGGTTCCACCACTGCTTTTAGGCTCAGAGATCGACCCTTGCTTGACGAATCCATGCGATGCTAATGCTATTTGTCTCCGTAATTCAACTTACAACACATGCATCTGTAAACCTGGTTATACCGGTCCAGGAACCAATTGTACAAGTAAGAAAATATGGCAAACTTTCATTTTTTGGATTTTGTAACCAATTTTCGCGTTATTATCTAAAACAACGTGTAATATTTCTTGTATCATCCCAGAGATCGACCCTTGTGCGTCCAATCCATGCGAGGTAGATGCCGTTTGTGTCCAGCATTCTTTTTACCACACTTGCACATGTAAACCTGGTTATACTGGGCCAGCAACGAATTGTTCAAGTAAGGAGAAAATGCAAGCTTGCATGTTCTGTAATGCGTGCACGCAAAGACGTCATTGCTATAAACTATAAATCAAGACAGTTCGAATAACATTGGTTGAATGATATCATCTAGAGATCGACCCTTGTTTGTCTAATCCATGTGGCAACAATAGCATCTGTGTCAGTACTCCTGACGGCAGTTACTACACCTGCACTTGCAAACCTGGTTTCGTTGGTCCAGGAACCAATTGTACAAGTAAGATGCAATAAGACTTACTTGGATTTCAAAGTTATTATTGTTATATTCTAAAACAACCTGTCACATATGTTGTGTTATCTCAGAGATCGACCCTTGTTCATCTAATCCATGCGATGTTAATGCCATTTGTGTCCGTGATTCTGACCACTACATCTGCATCTGTAAACCTGGTTATACTGGTCCAGGAACCAACTGTACAAGTAAGGGAGAATAACAAGTGTTGGTGCTCTGTTTAGAGACGAGCGTTTTTTAGTGCTCGCCCAGCCACTTGAACATCTTAAGGCCCGTTTACACTTGCGATTTTTGTTGCGATTTTCTTCTTTTGATAGATGGGAACGAGTAATAAGTTACGAATGCTCTGATGTGTACGAGCCTCTATTTGAGCAACCGTAACTACTGAATTCACCCGTTCACATCGATCAACAGACGAAAATCGCACATATAATTGGCCAAATAGCAGCAATCGTCTAATCCATGCGACTTTAATGCTATATGCACTATAGTCACTCTAACTACTACACATCCAAGCGTATAAACCTGGTTATACTGGCCCAGGAACCAATTGTAAAAGAAAGGGAAAATAGCAAACTTTCATGTTCTTTACGATTTTGAAGGCGCCAAAACAAGCAATAACATTTCTTGTATTTCCCCAGAGATCAACTATTGCTCGTCCAATCCTTGCGATGTCAACGCTGTTTGTGTCAGCCATTCAATCCACTACACTTGCACATGTAAACCTGGTTATACTGGTCCAGGAATGAATTGTTTAAGTAAGGAGAAAATGCAAGCTTGCATGTTCTGTAATGCGTGTTTTAAAGACGTCATTGCTATAAACTATAAATTAAGACAGCTCGAATAACATTGGTTAAATTATATCATCTAGAGATCGATCCTTGTTTGTCTAATCCATGTGGCAACAATAGCATTTGTGTCAGTACTCCTGACGGCAGTTACTACACCTGCACTTGCGAACCTGGTTTTGTTGGTCCAGGAACCAATTGTACAAGTAAGATGCAATAAGACTTACTTGGATTTCAAAGTTCCTATTGTTATAATCTAAAACAACCTGTGACATATGTTGTGTTATCTCAGAGATCGATCCTTGTTCATCTAATCCATGCGACGTTAATGCAATTTGTGTCAGTGATTCTGACCACCACATCTGCATCTGTAAACCTGGTTATACTGGTCCAGGAACCAACTGTACAAGTAAGAAAAAATGACAAACTACACTGTTCTGATGCGATGTCAAAGACGATACTGTTTACGTTTGAAACGATGTATAACTTTTGTTGAAAATCTTAGAGATCAACTATTGCTCGTCCAATCCTTGCGACGTCAACGCTGTTTGTTTCAGTAACACTTACAACTACACATGCACCTGTAAACCTGGTTATACTGGTCCAGGAACAAATTGTACAAGTAAGAGAAAACAAAAAACTTCAAGTGTTCTTATGCAATTTCAAAGACAATAATGTTAATGTTTAAAACGATTTAGAACTTGTATTTTAAAACGTAGAGATCAACTATTGCTCGTCCAATCCTTGCGATGTCAATGCTGTTTGTGTCAGCCATTCAATCCACTACACTTGCACATGTAAACCTGGTTATACTGGCCCAGGAACCAATTGTACAAGTAAGAGAAAAGAGCAAACTTTCTGTTACGATTGCTAAAACAACTTAAAATTTATAATAAAATTCATTGTATCATCCCAGAGATCAACCCTTGCTCGTCCAATCCTTGCGATGTCAACGCTCTTTGTGTCAGTAACACTTACAACTACACATGCACCTGTAAACCTGGTTATACTGGTCCAGGAACCAATTGTACAAGTAAGAGAAAAAAGCATCAAGTTCTTTTACCATTTCAAAGATCGACTTTGTTGTTGATGTCTGAAATAACAAAACTTTTGTTGAACTTCTTCGAGGTCAGCTATGATTCCATGCTCGTCCAATTCAGGCGAATATAATTCTATTTGTGCCAAAAATTTAGACTTATGAGATTACTACGTTCATTACGTTCTACAACTCAAAAATTCACGTTCTACAATTGTTCACATAATAGTACGATAATTAATAACATTCTTTTAATTTTGCATAGCGATATCACAATATAATAGTTAAGGTCTGTTCACACGATCCAATTTTGTTGGATCCAATTCACATTTGACGTATGAAATTTAGTCGGCTATTGGTGAAGCCGTAGTACATTGGCTTCAGTGGATTTGCTGCTGATTTACATTACAAGACAACAAACTATAAAACATCCATCAGAAGTGAATTGGATCCAACAAAAATTGGATCCTGTAAACAGACCTTTAAAGTTTCTATTATTCTAGTTTTCACTTCATTTATTTTTCCGTTACCATAGTCATTGCTCCAAGTTGTGCCTATCTCTATAATACGTCAGGAGTGAGAAAAGATGGTGTTTATACCATCAATCCTGATGGTTTGGGATCGTTTAAAGTCAGATGTGATATGAGCACAGACGGGGGAGGCTGGACCGTGTTTCAAAGAAGACAAGATGGAAGTCAAGATTTCTATCTTGGATGGTCAGACTATAAAGCTGGCTTTGGTGATCTTAACGGCGAGTTCTGGTTGGGCCTTGATAAAATACATCGTTTAACCAAATCTGGTCAAAATGTTTTGAGAATTGATTTGACAGATTTTAACAACGCCGAACTTTACGCCAAATATGATAATTTTAATGTTGCTAATGAAAGTACGGATTACAGATTAAACATTGGAAATTTCTCAGGTAAATGAAGACTCAGGCTCAGTGAATTAAACTGAATATAAAAACTTCAACTTCCACTTCGAAGAATAATTTGGAGCCGCTTAACATGCTAGTGTTGTTTTTTCTTAAAGGTGACACAAGTGACTCACTTCGCGCTCACAACAGCATGAAGTTCACCACCAAGGGTCACGACAATGATCATAACACGGCTTTTAACTGTGGTGTACTTTACCGGGGTGGTTGGTGGTACAACCACTGTCTCAAATCCAACCTGAATGGGGTCTACTACCATGACCCAGTGCTTCGCTACACCGGTATCGTATGGAACGACAAGATTCATAAGAAAGCAGATATGAAAATGCGTTCATTCTACTGACAATCTGTAAAACATCTATCTAAGGCACAGTAGTACTCTCAGGCCTCGCCGCTAGTGATTAAAAACTGCATAGCAGCAGTATATAGATATTTCATTTTTTATAGCTGATATAGTCTTTACAGCAATAGTGCAAAGTTTACATGCGGATATATTAGTTACTGCTGCTCCAAGACCAGCCACGTACCCAGGCGCTTTAGTGGAAAAATAATCGAGCGCACGGGGGTGCTTGGGGCGCTCTCCCTTTTCTTCAGCTGACCTCTATACAACAGCTGAATGCAACGTTATATATTTTACTACTGAAGTACCTTGGTGCGAGGCTGATGCCGCCCATCCTCGTTCACACGCAACCTCGCAAGCCAGGCTCTTTCACCTGCTCACACTCAGAACGCGAAAAACCTTGGAACGTGGATGACGGTGCGCTACGTCACAACGTGGGAGTTACAACAGGTTGTGACAGAGAGTTATTGTGTCTTATCTTTTCCTCGTTACTGAGAGGTCGACGAAGGTCGACGACATCAAACCAATTTTATTTACTTCCCCCTTTTTATCGGTTACGTAAGATAAAGACAACACTTCCTCATGGCTGGGTAACCACAAGTAGAGTATTGTTGAGCGATCTCGTAAGAGATGCTGAACTTCCGATAAAACGTTTCCGGGAGACCAGGTGTAGCCCTTTATGGGGCAATATTTTGCCCTTTTAAGCCAATGAAGCTATGAACAATAACCAGTAGCGGCGGAATACGTTTCATATTGGGGAGGGGAGGCTAATATTCGAAATTGCACGAGGAAATTACTCCTGTCAATATTTTGAACATGTGTTAAGTTCATATATTAAATTGAGTAATTACAATTCGTAATTGTCGTGAACGAGTTATTTTCACCGATGAGAAATAGTCCAGATGTAAATTTGCCTTTATTTCTGTATTCAAATCGGTCATTGTTGCCTGCACTCATCCACACAAAACGAACAGAAATTAAATACTCTATCACATCAGCCACGTCCTTGACATGTTCACGACTCTTACGACTATTCCAGGCCGATTAGCAATTCTAAATGGACTATTTCTTGATTTGAATTGTGAGCGAACTGTAGTTGGTCGCTGGAAGTTGTCAAGTTGTTAGTTGTATGTGGATATTTAAATGAGTCAGAGGAGTCTTAACCTAAATCCAACCCACCCTACCACCGTCGTTGACAATCCATAGTATATGCCCTTGCGAAGCAGTCCAACATCTCGTTCTTTATAGCTTATTCAAATTAAAGTCAAAACAGACAATTTGGAATACACTATATGACTATAATAATTAATAATCCTAATTTTAACACAATAAAATCGCCAGTACGTTGCGAATACAAACATACAATGGCAATCATGAGTTGACAAAACGTATGCGTGTGTATTAATTTAGTCAATTTATCTCTGTTTCCAAGTAACTTAAAAACACCGAATAAACAACAAACTAAGACGATGTACAACAGTCAGTCGGTAATACAATCGATATCAAGGATAATTTGAATACGTGCTTCCGGTATGAAAGCAAAAACGCCTACTACATGCTTGAAGATGTATTTATGACAGACTCGAACAGCAGGCATCCACTCGTATTCAACAGGCTAGACACGAACTGGCTGTCAGTTTGACAAGTTTATATATATTATCACAATTTTCATACGCTATTTCGACGTGAAAACATGTCTCGTTCTTTGTTAAAGCTGGTGGTTTTAGCTTTTGTCTATTTATCGCACGGAAGCCAGGCTAAGCCGTGTAATGGCTCGGCGAAATATACGTTGACTTTCAAAGGAGAATGGTCTAAAGCGTCTCATCCAAAAGACTTTCCTTCGAATCCCCATTTCTCGTCCGTTGTCGGTTGCAGCCATAAAAGTACATACGTAATGTGGAGACCAGGGCAAAACGCGACCAAGGGAGTGCAAAATTTGGCAGAAACAGGTGTGAATACTTCTTAAATAAAATCAATATTTGTTCGGCTTTTCAATTGCACACAACGTTAAGTTGCTTCATTACCGCATTAAGTCCCTAACCTACTTTTTAGCATTGCGCATCTTGTTAAAAGTAGCAAGCGAGGCTTACAAGTGATCAACTTTGTGTATATAATTTATATAAAGCTTCGTAAATATTGATATTTTATGCATACAAATGGCTAAAAGCAAAAGGCTACAAATATGATTCTCATGAAAATATTGTGCTACACTTCCGTCTTGCACTGATGCGTATCTTTCGTCGCGAACTTGAGCAAGTACTGAATAAAATTGCAATAACTATTATATCTTCTTTTTTGCTATTTAACTTCAACTGTAATTGTAACCGTTTGTGGTTATTATATTAATCATACTGATTGTACTCGCTAATGTCATGAGATCCTCAAATAACAATTTTGATTATACTCGATTTGATAAATATTTTTCCATCTGGAGTCGACCACCAAGTGCTAAATCTGTCACGTGACTGAAACCCAGCTATAGACTTTCCTTCTTCATTCCTTTTCATTCATAGTTTACATTTCCATTTTCCACTCAATATCTTTCTTCCACATCATATTCCAATTTCCTCATTGTATTTTATTAATTTATATTGTATTGTGTTGTTACAGTATTGTATTGTTTGGCATAGACGTTGCTGTAAATAGTGTTTAAATTTTGAAATTATATAACATATAGATAGGACCCCACTGAAAAACACTTCGGTGACGTGGGTATCCTGGTTAAATATGAAGTTAATAATAATAGTAATAATAACAAGCTGGTATCAACTTTCGTTCAGGTCTTAATACTCTTAACACCTATGTTTCAGGTGCTTACTCTGAATTAAACAAGGAGATGGACAAACAAATATCGTTGAAGAAAGCTCACAGTAGATACCGTGGTGCAGGAATCAGTCCTGGTACAGCAAGTCGAATAGTCACTAACATTGAAGTCACCTCAGAATATCCTCTTGTGTCCTTCATTACCATGATAGCGCCCTCACCTGATTGGTTCGTTGGTGTTCGCGACTTTGATTTATGCGACACAACATCCGGGGAATGGCTTGACTCGAGAGCACGTGACCTTCCCCCGTACGATGCAGGAACTGACAGTGGGCTCAAATTTGACAGTTCTGATGACCCAACCTCGCCACATATGACTATTCATCTTCTCACAAATAACACACCAGGCTCCTTTCAAGACGATAAGCCCGTCAAAAGATTTGGAACTTTCACCTTCAAGAAGCAGACTTCGGAACCAACAGGCACAGCTAACCCATGTACAAACTTCAATGTATCTTTGCTTTTGATGTTATGTTTCCTAAACATCATTCGCATTCTATAAGCGTTCATATGACACTTTGAACACAAGACCGATAAAATATTGACTGACGCTAGTTAAGTTTTAGCTTCCAATAATGTGCCTAACATCATAGAGTCAATTATTTTCTTCATATCTTCACAAAATTAGTTTAATGAAATCGTACGACATGCTTGATGCTCATGTATATCCGATGTTAATACGTTTTAACGCGCACTGAACCTTGCCTGTAATCAGTATAGTTCTTTAATAAAAAGCGTGTAAAATTGATCGATCATTAAAAAAACAATCAATAGGTATATTATGGAGCAAAATTGGTTTCTTACTTCGCATATAAACGTGCGGGTCCGAAGCGTTTCGAGGGGCGGAAAAATAATTTCAGCAATGACTTCCAGTATTTAAGACCCTGGGTACGAGGTTGTATTGCTCAGTGTTTTAGGCGGGAAAAATGACAGACATCAAGATCAACTATTTGCAAAGATTATCGAAATTTATTATCCTATAACTATTTTTCCTTTGTCCAATATTGTTTTATCAACAATGTTTTATGTCTGAATTAGGAAAATTTAAAAAAATACATCGTAGTGCATCGTGAATACGAGTGAATGCTAATTTATGCATGGCCTTGAATGCTCTTTAAATGGTCTCGATGTTTGTTGCTTATGACAACAGCAGTGTCAAGTCCCCGCCTGTTACTTCTCGATTGCTCTTACTTCTTACAGTTTTCTGCTTCAACATGTCAATATGACTCGGGACATATTGACATGTTGAAGCAGAAAACTGTAAGAAAATGATGTTTACTTACTTAAACTTGATAACACTGCAATTTTGGCTGTTCTGGCATTAAATTCTTTAGATAATGAGGTTAGATAGTGTTAGTCTGAAAGGACGTCTGTCGGCTAAGATAATGTTTCTTTCCAAATATTGCCCCGATTTGTCGGCACCAGGAATGCCTTTATTCAGTGCCGCACACGTGAGCTATTAGCCGAGCTAAAGACCACGCGTGGCTGTTAGCACAGCAAAAAAAAGTCTAAATCCTTATAGATGTCATCTTTGAAAAACGAAGAAAACAAATCGAAACAACGTAGTTTTCCCGCATATTTTAGTATGCACTTGTAGACCTGGATGTTAAATAATGAAAATTTAGAAGCATTTCAAATTTTTCGTGCGTGCACTGAGTGCGTATAAAAAACGCGTAACTGGAAAGCAGCTCTTAAAGGCTGGAAGTTGTCAAGTTGTATACGGATATTTAAAGGCGTCAGAGGAGTCTTAAGGTCGACACAGACCGGACGCAAAGCGGCAACGCAACGCGAATTTTCAGTTTTCAGAAGCATATAAATTAAATTCTGGGATCAAAATTTGGAATCTATGGACGCTGGAGCAATCAAAATTTATGATTTTTATGTAATCTACAAGAAAATTTTGATAAGTTAAAATTTATTTGCTTTTGAAAAATATAAAACGTTGAAAATTCGCGCCGCGTTGCCAATTCGCGTCCTGTCTGTGTGGGCCTTTAGCCCTGATTCCATCCCATTTTACCGCCGCCGTTGACAATCCTATAGTATATGCAAATGCAAAGCAGTCCAACATCTCGTTCTTATTCAAATGAAAGTCAAAACAGACAATTTATGAATACACCGAATTAATAAGCCTAATTTCAACACAATAAACTCACCAATAAGTTGCGAATACAAATATACAATGGCAGTCATGAGTTGACAAAACGTATCGGTGTGTAAAGTAAAAAGCAAATTCCGAACAAACAAGACATCTTGAGAATCAAAATATAATTCAAACAAGACACAGATTGAGACTGTAAATTTTCGACTTTATTACAAAGTTTTGTATGCGTGTGTATTAATTCGGTTTTATCTCGGTTTCCAAGTAACTTAAAAACACCGAATAAACAACAAACTCAGTCGGTAATGCAATCGATATCATGGATAAAATTGAATACGTGCTTCCGCCGGTATGAAAGCAAAAACGCCCACTACATGCTGGAAGATGTATTTATGACAGACCGTCGGACAGCAGGCATCCACTTACAAGTCGTTATTCAGCAGGTTAGACACGAACTGGCTTTCAGGTTGAGAACTGAGTTTATCAGTTTATATTATCACAATTTTCATACGCTATTTCGACGTGAAAACATGTCTCGTTCTTTGCTAAAGCTGGTGGTTGTAGCTTTTGTCTATTTATCGCACGGAAGCCAGGCTAAGTCGTGTAAAGGCTGGGCGAAATATACTTTGACTTTCCAAGGAGAATGGTCTAGCGCGTCTCATCCAAAAGACTTTCCTTCAGATCCACATTTCTCGTCTCTCGTCGGTTGCAGCCATAAAAGTACATATGTAATGTGGACACCAGGGAAAAAAGCGTCCCAGGGAGTGCAAAATGTGGCAGAAACAGGTGTGAATACTTCTGACATATTATTTGCCTTTCTATACGTACAGACTGTACAGTATTTAAAATCGCTTCATTACTTCTTCTTATATATTCCTAAAGGCTAGTTTCCACTCAAACAGGACAAGAAAGTTTCCATTGTATAAACGCCGCCTGAGAGATCGCCAATAAAGGAAGTTTTCCTGTCCGTCCCGATCCAAAGGAGATTTTTCCTGAGTGGAAACTATATAGCCTTTTAATCACTGCGCAAGCCTCACTTCGAATAATCTTTGAACGAACTTTGTGTACATAAAGTTTTGAAAGCACTAATATTCCCATGTTAAAAGCAAAAGCTACAAATTTTAAAGGGTCTCATGACAAATTTATGCCACTTCCGTCTTGCAAGCTTCGCTTATATAACCTTTGAAATCTTAGTGACATCAAGGCGTTTAGCCCAAGTAAATAGGGAATAACTATTATTATTTATCGTGATGGAAATAACAACAAAAATAAAAACTGAACAACAGCAGTTTACCTATGAAAGCCCGGCACACTTGTCTTAGCTGGCCTTATAGCCGATGTAACGACCCGCGAGTGTCAGCAACTACTAACTTCGAGGGAAGAAGAATTATTCCTCAGCTCAGCAAATAGATCTCGTTTGTGCATGGGAGGCATAGGTTTACAAAGAGTTCGTATCAGAGAAATCTTTCAATGTTTTTTTAAAAGCACAAAAGTAGCTCTTAGCCGCAAAAAAGAATACGAGGCTGCTGACCACGAGTCAACACAACAAGCTTGTGTTGACTAACATTCTTTCATGTTTTAATCCTCAATACTCATCCAATTTTATATTAAAGGTGCTTTTAGTGTATTGGAGAGTGAAATGGACACTCAAATATCGTCGAAGAACGCCCATAAGAGATACCGTCGTCCTACAATTCGTCCTGGCACAGCAAAGCAAACCATCCCTGACATCGAAGTCACCTCAGAATATCCTCTTGTGTCCTTCATTACCATGATAGCGCCCTCACCTGATTGGTTCGTTGGTGTCCACGACTACGATTTATGCAACAGAACATCCGGGGAATGGCTGGACTCGAGAGCACGTGATCTTCCCCCGTATGATGCAGGAACTGACAGTGGGCTCACCTTTAAAAGTCCAAATGACCCAACCTCACCACATGTAAATATTCACATCCTCACAAATAACACAGAAGGCTCCTTTAAAGGCGATAAGCCCGTCAAGAGATTTGGAACTTTCACTTTCACGAAGACTTCGGAAAACACCACCGCTCTACCAACAGAAAAAACAACAAAAAATACAACAGGAAACACAACAGAAAACCCAACAGGCACAGCTAACCCATGTACAAATTTCAATGTATCTTTGTTTTTGATGTTATGTTTCCTAAACATCATTCGCATTTTATAAGCGTTCATATGACACTTTGAACACAAGACCGATAAAATATTGACTGACGCTAGTTAAGTTTTAGCTTCCAATAATGTGCGTAACATCATAAAGTCAATTATATCCTTCATATTTTCACAATAATAGTTGAATGAAATCGTACAAACTACAAAACACTTAATGCTCATGTATATCCGAATAAATCCAATATATGTTTTAACGCACAACCTTGCCTGCCTGTAATTAATATAGTTCTTTAAAAGCTTGTAAAATGAGTTGATTATTAAAAAAACAAAGGTATATTATGGAGCAAAATTGGTTTCTTACATCGCATATAGGTGTATACAGGTTAAAAAGTGTTTTAGGAGTGAAAACTGACGGAGGCCATCCATCATCAACTATCTGCTAAGATTATTGATATTTATTATCTGTCAAACTATTTTTCTTTTGCCATGCAATATTGTTTTATCAACAAATGAATGTTTTATGCCTGAATTTGGGAAATTTAGAGAAATGCATCATAGTGCGCCGTGAGCATGAATAACATCAATGCATGACCTTGAATACTCTTCAAAATGATCGCCCCCACAATTAATGATCTTCGAGGAAAATATTGATGCTTGGTGCCTATGACAACTCTGATTCAGTTACTGAGAGATAAAAGGATATAATTTTGTTTGTCTGACATGCATGTAAAAATTGACATGATAGCACAATTAAACACTACCAAAAAAGTTGATATATTAGGGACTCCACAGACTGGGGATTTAGTTGTCGACGACTATTTGTGTGTGAAAACTTTTGTTTCAATTGTCGACTGCTTTTAATCTCCGCGTTATTTCGGTTGCTAAATCAGTATTTGAGCACCAGTGTGTGGATCCTTTATCAGACTTATTTAGTTGTCGATAACTTTTAGTTGTGTATCACAAATAGTTGTCGACAACTAAATCCCTAGTCTGCGGAGGCCCTTACTGAATTCATTGTACTCTATACGCGGAACAGATTCAAGCCCCCGTCGGTTACTTCTAGATCTCGGTTGCCAACTCCGGAAATGTTCAGTGACACGTTGGAGCTGAGAAGTGCGCCCCGTTCGACCATTATTTGCAAGAAAATATACATTTTTTTTCTTTAACTCGACAGAACTGCAATTATGGCTATACTGCCGTTATCTGCATAAAAGGTTAAATAAATGTTTGTATCTCAATATTTCCCGCACAAGGAAGTTTTGCTATTTAAGGTAGCTGATGAAACAACATCATCATTCGGATATATTCAGGATGTTTCCGCCGGCTTGCTCACGTCCTAAGGAAAATATCTCTAGAAAGCTTGTCAAAAAGCTATTTCTGCAGGGTTTGGAGAACTATAGGACTAACAACAAGTCAACAACACACGGTTACAACTGAGCAATAATAGAATGGCTGAACATTTTTTGGAAGTTAGACTTCGTGTTACGATCATGAGACAGATCATGTATTGCGTTAAACAGGAACATAAAAATATTGTGTTTTTTAAAATACCGACATCGAGAAACGGCATTTCATTTCAAGCTTTCGTAAACAATATTTTGCATACCTCACCCAGGGTGTGTATAGAGTGGGTGTATAGAGTGGGTTTTAGTATACCGAACCAATCGCATTTTATGTCATTGTTTTGACCTCAGTACGTATTTATGGTAATTTGGTAAAACCAAACGTGTTATTAAAACCAATTGTCTCGTAGTAGAATTACCCATTCGTCAATAGCGACACTCAGAAGTGCATGAAGTGTCCAATTGTAACCTCTCTCTCTTAAAGTCAAGCATTCTGCAATTTAAAAATATGGCCATCAAATATGCTTTGTGGTCCATCATTGTTTACCTCGTCTGTACTGTACCGTCTGCTAAGGCAATCAACTGCAAAGGCTCGGCAAAATATACGTTGACTTTTAAAGGAGAATGGTCCAGCTCGTCTCATCCAAAAGACTTTCCTTCGAATCCACATTTCTCATCTCTTGTTGGCTGTAGTCATAATGCTTCCTACGTGATGTGGAGACCAGGGGAAAAAGCAAGTACGGGAGTGAAAAACGTCGCAGAAACTGGTAGGAATTTTAAACTGAGTTCTAGACTTTTATTATTAGTTCATTTCAATCACGAAAAACGCAAAGATGATTTCAACCGCGTGTGAAAGACGCACATACACTTCTCATAGCAAACATATAAACAATATTGTAGGATGCCGCAGAAATATAACATATGCTTCGAGTGTTACAGAGTATGTTTCAGAGAAAAGTCTATATTGTATGCTTGTCTTAAAAAATAATCTAAAACTACTTGTTTCCAGCATGAACTAGCGAAGCAACTGAAGCAGGTTAATATCTTACCTTATCAGTTTAAACGTCATGCATGTGAAAGGCAATATATTTATATCATCATATGATGCGTTAAAAAAGGCTATAAACATGTCGTAATATGACGAAGCGAAAGTGAAATTGTATGTTTACAAAGCCCATAGTTGAAATTATATAAACAGCACGAAGTCTTTTAAACAATGCAAGACATTCCAAAAAATTAAGTAAAAAAATTAGGTCGTGACATTTGCCTCCGATATCATCTACTAATATACCAGTCCTGTATAAAGTAATAATGCAATGCGACGGCCCAACATCTTATAGATAGGTCAGTGTAAAAAGTAAACGATATTAACTGACTTAAAAGCCGATCAGTTCGTCGGATAGTAGGCACTGGGTAAATTGTAATTGTAATAATTGTTGCCAGTTGCTCCAACAGAGACTCTTTATATATGTAAAATACGAATCTAAGCACTCTATAAATACACCTGCAGGCAAACATAGCAGGTGATCAGACACTCAAGGTCGCCAGTTTGTGACTACGCAAAATTGCTTAGATTACTAAGATGCATACAAATAGTCCGATACAAAGCACTTGATATTTCTAAAGCCAAAGCTCGTTTAGACTTGCGATTTTTGCTGCGATTTTATAGTAAGATTTTCTTCTTTTGAAAGATGTGAACGAGTGAATTAGTTACTGATGTTCAAATTGGAGCTTGTGCACATCAAGGCATTCATAACTAACCACTCGTTCGCATCTATCAAAAGAAGAAAATCGCATATATAATATAGATAAGAGTGATGAGTTCCTGTGGTCAACAAACTTTCTTCGTTTCTTGAAATATAACGTGCACAACCTATCTATCTTTTTAGGTAGTTACTCTGAATTAAACAAGGAGATGGACAATCAAATATCGTCGAAGAAAGCTCACATTAGATACCGTGGTGCGGGAATCAGTCCTGGTACAGCAAGTCGAATAATCACTAACATCGAAGTCACCTCAGATTATCCTCTTGTGTCCTTCATTACCATGATAGCCCCCTCACCTGATTGGTTCGTTGGTGTTCGCGACTTTGACCTATGCAACACAACATCCGGGGAATGGTTGGACTCGAGAACACGTGATCTTCCACCGTACGATTCGGGAACTGACAGTGGGCTCAACTTTAAAAGTTCCAATGACCCAACCATACCTCCAGAAAATATTCATCTTCTTACGAACGACACAGAGGGCTCGTTCAAAGGCGATAAACCCGTACAGAAGTTTGGAACGTTCACTTTTGTAAAGACTTCAGAAGACGCAGGGGTAACCACGACATCTGCTGCAACGTCTACAGCCTCTCCGACAAAAGCCTTATCAACAACTCCTCCGAAGGAAGCCAAGGCTAAGTCGTGCAAAGGCTGGGCGGAATATACGTTAACCTTCAAAGGAGAATGGTCAAGTGCTTCTCATCCAAAAGACTTCCCGTCCAACCCTCATTTCTCATCTCTTGTTGGCTGTAGTCATAATGCTTCCTACGTGATGTGGAGACCAGGGGAAAAAGCAAGTACGGGAGTGAAAAACGTCGCAGAAACAGGTAGGAATTTTTAGGTTTCTTCATTTGAATAAAGAACACCGCACTATCATGATGATAACATTTAGTAAAAGAGTGACAGCATGTGTGTCTGATCAGAGTTGCAAATATAGTTCAGCCTTCCGCCGGTAGGATTTCAAGTTTTGAAAACCTTCCTCAAAATGACGTTACGTAACTTATTCAAGTGGTACAGCTAGCACAATGAAATATTTGGTACATGCATGTGATCAATTATAGAGTGTTCAACTTTGAACCTTCATTACAAACCACATTCAAAGCAAACGTCCTCACAAACGTCCTCACAAACCTCATTCAAAGCAAACCTTCCTCACGAGTGGTACCCATGTACCCGCAGCTTTTTTGCATCTCTGTGTCTGATTTCATTATACAGGAATTTTAAATATACCATAATTCCGTAAAAGTTAAACTACCTGTTTTTACGAGGTGCCGCGAAATTAGTTATAATACAAGTGATATTTTTTAAAGTAAGGATTAGCCGATATATTCATAAACTGACTCTCATTTATTGCTTAATTAATAACGTGCACAACCTATCTATCTTCTTAGGTAGTTACTCTGAATTAAACAAGGAGATGGACAATCAAATATCGTCGAAGAAAGCTCACATTAGATACCGTGGTGCGGGAATCAGTCCTGGTACAGCAAGTCGAATAATCACTAACATCGAAGTCACCTCAGATTATCCTCTTGTGTCCTTCATTACCATGATAGCCCCCTCACCTGATTGGTTCGTTGGTGTTCGCGACTTCGACCTATGCAACACAACATCCGGGGAATGGCTGGACTCGAGAGCACGTGATCTTCCACCGTACGATTCGGGAACTGACAGTGGGCTTAACTTTAAAAGCTCCAATGACCCAACCATACCTCCAGAAAATATTCATCTTCTTACGAACGACACAGAAGGCTCTTTCAAGGGCGATAAACCCGTACAGAAGTTCGGAACTTTCACCTTTAAGAAGACCTTTGATTCAAACCCGATAAAAAAGTCCTCTTCATCTGAAGTCCTGCAGCCAAGCAAAAGCCAATATCAGCCAAATATGCCTGTGAAAAGTTCAGACATCGCTATTTCACACGATGTCATGACAAGCTCTACACCGCTACTACCCGTAGAAAATATCCGAAGTACAAAACAATATGTTCAAACTCTAGATCTGACACTGAATCCAACGTCAACTTCAACGATTATCGCTATGAAAAGTTCAAGCATGAAGATTTATTCCAATACCAAAGACAGAAGGAGCTCCTCGCAACAAGCAGACATGGAACACGCACCCAGTGCAAAAACTACGGGTCCAGCACAAATGCTGAACCAAACAGCGACGATTACCGCGACATTCAGCTCCCAGATAACTCCAACGTTTAGCACCACAAGTGGAACATCTTCAGTGGAACAATTCAGTTTTATCTATATCGTTTTTTCTCTCTTTGTAAACCTGTTGTTGTAACTGCGAGAATTAGTATATAACGTAGCAGTTGGTAGCTAAAATGATTGACAAAGTTTAGTTGTAGCCTTTTGCAGTATCTGCAGCAATGGCCAAGATCAATATTTAGTTTTGTTCTGGTCTGGCCAAGCGGTCTTTGCAAATGTCAAGAAACCACTTAATTGCCGCTCTTTTACGAACTTTTGGAAATATGCCAGGTTGTGGCTTATAAGGCCAATAAAAATACAAACTTTATAAGTGTTCTATGTACATGCAATTTCCAATTCCACTCCTAAAATTTTGGCTACCAACATCACTTATATAGCTGTACTGTATATATACTAGATACTTATATGGGGATCACGTTTCCAACTTGCGAAAATTTAAATATAATTTTTCTTTTTATACGGGTATACTCGATTTTTATCCATTTGGATATAGCCTAAACGTCATAAACGGTTAGACTCTAGTGACAAAATGTCAGCGAATTCACATATAGGTGTAGGATTTTTGTCAGCATTGGGCAATGAATGAGAAAATATTTTGGAAATCGTGACCACTTTGAGCACGATCATCTTTGTTCACAAATATTCTTGTACGTGTTGCCTATTTGGTTCATTTACTTAACAAAGCATCTGATTATTTTTTTATCGTTGAAAATTATTGAGGAGGTGTCACATTCCCTCTACACCCTTCCGGTCACCACGTTCCTGGTTTCAACACCACCTCTAATATTGTGAAGAAATTTGATGTGTTATGACGTGTCCCTGCATGGTCATCCAAGGCTTAGATCACTAGATCAGTCTAACCTAGTTCCTGTTGAATTCTGCCTTAAAAAAGTGTTCATATAGTTTGCGCGATATCTTGCTTTATATAGTACATTTATTAAATTACATCAGACGTTTAAAAATAGCCATTAAAATATTATGTAAAGGTCATGGAAACCCTACCAACTTCATCCTTTCATAATGAATTCAAAGTCTTTCATAATTTTTGGCATACATTTTTTCATACTTAATAATCAAATTAAGCCTCATTCCGAACCTCATTCTGGATACCCAACTTGTTCAGTGCGTAAGTATTCTTTCTAGTTAGGTTCCAAGGTTCCGCTGTAACGAGCCAATCGCAAAACACCATTATGCATATATATTGGATGCAGCTGAATGCAACAAAGACTTTAGACTATATTCAGTATCATTAATTGTTCCGTTGTCAAAGTGTTAATATAACCGATTGTTTCACTCATTAAATTAGTATTACTCGTTATCCATTACAACACCGCTAAAGTAAAGTTCCCATTCGATAATTACTCTGTGTGATATCGAAAACTATGGCCGTTAATTATGCTCTGTGGTTCGGCGTGGTGTACCTCGTCTGTACTGTATCGTCTGCTAAGGCAATGAATTGCAATGGAACGGCAAGATATACGTTGACTTTTCAAGGAGAATGGTCTAGCTCGTCACATCCAAAAGACTTTCCCCCGAATCCACATTTCTCACCTCCTGTTGGCTGTAGTCATAATGCTTCTTATGTTATGTGGATACCCGGGAGAAACGCGTCTGAGGGAGTGGACGTGGTAGCAAGAACTGGTATGAACGCCAAAGGTTTTTACTTTAAACAGGAATGCGTTTTCATAATTTCATTTGAAGATGCACAACTAATGCACATACCTTCAATTTTTAGCATACAAGCACGATTTCATGAAAGGTTTTAGTAGCATAATTACATAAATGTATAAAAACGTGTCTTTAGAAAGGGTTAACGGCCTAACTGATGGTAATCGTACGAGTGCTATTTTTAAAGTTGAAAATTGCTGAATGCAAACATTTGAAAGAGATCTGTTAAACACACATGACTCATGGTTAAGTTTCAATCTGATGTTTGTATGTATATATGTTAGCCGGTTTCCAAGATGGACGTAGATATAAAAACACATAAACATATTTATAAAATAAGAAAAGTAATGAAAAATATAAAGTAAATACGATAACCAAGGAGCAGCGTGTTCAAACAACCTTGCATCAAAAGGTATAGTAACTGCCTAAAAACTTCTCGACGTTTCGACCTTAAAAGTAGACTCCGATTGAGTAATCATTGGCTGAGAAGGTATTATGCCAAGCGCAGGGAACGCTTTAATATAAGTTAGATAGAGTCAACCAATTTAGATTTTGAACATCTACTTATGTACACCAATTCGCACAAAAAAATACCAGAAAGACTGAGAATCGTAGCTATGTATAAAAATATTAATGGTCCCCCAGCACTCGTTTTACTTCTGAAGAAAGACATTTTAAATGTGAGCGACTGTTAACGTTATACTTATTTAAAAGCCGATACCTCGGGCTGTATCGGACAATCTATACGTTGTAATCACTCTCTCCGTCGCTCTCGATTGGTAAAAGAAGAGCAGACAATATAACCCTAGTTCGCTTCTTGATCTATCTCATGAATCAACCTACGTTTTAGGTCGTACCCCTGCCTTAAACAACGAAATGGACATGGAGATAGCATTAAAGAACGTCCACAAGAAATACCAGGGTGGCCCCGTCTCTCCTGGCACAGGTGAAGACGTCATCCGTAACATTGAAGTTACCTCAGATTATCCTCTTGTGTCCTTCATTACCATGATAGCCCCCTCACCTGATTGGTTCGTTGGTGTTCACGACTTCGACCTATGCAACACAACATCCGGGGAATGGCTGGACTTGAGAGCACGTGATCTCCCGCTATACGATGCGGGAACTGACAGTGGGCCCAAATTTGTAAGTGAGGATGTCAAAACTATACCTCGAGAAACGATTAGCCTCATCACAAACAACACAGAAGGCTCCTTAAAAGGCGATAAACCTCTGAAACGGTTCGGAACTTTCACCTTTGAAAAGACCTTTGATTCTAACGCGGCGGTAAAGCCCTCTTCATCTAACATCCTTAAGCCAAGCACTGAGAGCCAATATCAGCCAAGCAAGAGCCAATATCAGTCAAGTATGCCTGTGAAACGTTCACTGAAAATAACACCAACGACTAGCGAGATGAGAGGTTCTTCAACACAAGTACTGAACCAAACAGCAACGACTATCCAAACCCCAACTCCGACACAGACGTGTGCAGCTTCTTCGTTTAAAGAGTTCAGCTTTATCCACGCCGTTTTTGCTCTGATAATAGTAAACCTACTATTGTAACTATCCACCATTTAGAATCTTAACTAATATGCATAGTGTTTAGACTAACGCCTGTATTCAAAAAGCTTACGCGCACTGACGCAGATCGAGTGTGACAGACTGAGATAGTCCTTTCTTAATCAATGGAAAACTTTAAGTTAAGTAAAACATTGCGATCTCCGACTCAATGAGTGTGAGCGAGGTTTTAAAATACAGGCGAAAGATTTAAACGAATTTGTACTTGAAACAAAACAGACTTGCCGTAACTCAATTGAATTTTAGTCATGCGAGTGCCAAATTCACTTTGCAGTACGTCTGAGAGCTGTGATTCGATAATCGTGCTTTTAGGGGCTTCTTGCAAAATATAAAAAAAATGTTGTTAATAATAAGCACTAGAGTGAGAGAGCTGTTTTTCGAAGCCTGGAGTGCGATATGCACCAAATACTGAGCTGTTTTTCGGGCTCTAGAAATACTTGATGGGTATCAAAACTATAAACTATATGAACCTAACAGTTAGTAAAGATTAACCCTACTTCAAGGGAACTAAGCTCCACAGGCTAGGAATCTATTTGTCGACAACTATTTCATCGGACTTATTTAGTCGTCGATAACTTTTAGTTGACGATCACAAATAGTTGTCTACAACTAAATCCCAAGTCTGTGGAGGCCCTAAGTTAACTAAACCAGCTTACCTAACATCAAGCAATTTTAGAGTAACTTTAGAGTAAAGTATGACTATCTGGTAGACAGCGGTATCAAACTTTCGTACACTGCTAAAGCTTGCCAACATGACATGTGTTGCCAGGTTTTAACTTATACTAGAGGTGCAACAAAGTTGATATTGATAATGGAAACTAATGTAACATTGTCTAAATACATATGTGAATCTAATTTCGCCGATATAACTGCATGCAATTTGTAATGAAGACTTGCCATTATCTCTGAAGGTAATTTGCAGGAATCGACTGATATATAAGAGTAGAATAAACTCAGCATTCATTCATTCAACTCCGCGTTTGTTTCGAAAACAGTAAGTATTTTGCACGCATGGCAATTGATGTGGCAATGCATGGTGCCACACGTTTGCCTTCCAGAAGTTAACTGCATGTGACAAAATTGGATCGTGTACGTGATCAAAAGTTAATCTCGTTCCCGATCGGAAATAATACCCAGTCAGGCCTCCAGGCTCCAACTAATATGGCGCGGCTCTGTGACGCACTGCGTGGGGATTGTTCGGATTATGACTGCGTGGGTTGCGAAAGTTGGCCGTCACATTATTAAATATTAGACCAGGCGGCTTTCAGTTTTATCCCAAATAAAGGTGTACGAAGCAAGCCTCCTATATGTCGCAGAGATTTTGAAATGCCGCAAATCGTCTCATAAGCGATCGTTACTCTTTGAAACCATAGAATTACTGTGCGTTCCTGGGAAAAAGGCAATTTTACTGTCTCGAAATATGAATCTAGTCCGCGTGACATAAACATCCGGCCTTTTTTTTTGAAAACTATATTCCTGCTATGGCTACGTAAACAGTTTTGCTTTTACGAACCAATCACGATAGGCCAATGTTTGCGAATTTAAAACCAGTCTGGCATAAAACAAACTGACTTGACAATAATTGTCTTGCAAGTATTTATACCGCTTCTTGACGACACCTGCGTTTAATTTCCGTATATTTCGAAGGTCAAAGGAATACTCCACAAGCCGAAATTATGGTCTTTGGGTTTGCTTCATGGTTCGGCGTTATTTACCTCGTCTGTACTGTATCTTCTGCTAAAGCTAAGGCAATGCAGTGCAAAGGCACGGCAAAATATACGTTGACCTTCCAAGGAGAATGGTCTCAGGCTTCTCATCCCAGCGACTTCCCGAGCTCTTCAACACCACATTTCTCATCTCCTGTTGGCTGTAGTCATAATGCTTCTTATGTTATGTGGATACCCGGGGGAAACGCGAGCAAAGGAGTTAAAGATGTGGCGGAAAGAGGTACGAATACTTATGGTTATACATGCAGGAACACGCTTATACCACAATATTTACGATCAAGGATACACACACATTTAAGCCTGGTCGACAGTGTGCAAAATGCTTTTTGTCTATCGGAAAATAATACAGTAGATCCCCTATTCTTATGAGCTCTGGTAATGATTTAATTGGTTTCAAATGAAAAGTAAAACTTCCTGTTTTGTAGGAGTATAGCTTTATAAATATAGGCGAAATACGTTATAATAATACGAGTATTGTTCCCAATCATTCTGATTTATGGAATATTGAATACCGACGTGCTGGCCTTATGTTGTAATACTATGACTATATGTTAGCTATGTTTAACAAACCTACGACTTGTTCGGACCTATATTATATAGCCTTGCCCAGGAAATTTAAGGCACTTTCAGTTTGACTTTAACACAGCTTATTATGCGAAAGTACTTGAGCCCCATTTTACAGTGTAAACGGGGTTTCGAGGGAACCGACAGTCGTAAATAGTACGACTGAGAACGACTGAGACGAACCATTACAAACATTTGCTAAATGAATCATTTCACGAAAGGATTACAATCAGTTCGGCCGCCAATGCATGTTTAGACTCACTGTTTCTCGCAGTGCTCTCTACAACAACTTTGCCAAATATCACATGCTGAGATTATAATGGTAAATTGTCGAAGGCTGGATCATATAGCGATATAATATATGACATAGTGAGTGATGGTGCATGCAAGTGCGGAGGTAGTGTCAAGCACCATTTTCATTTTCCACGTCTAAGGAAAAATGCTTTAAATGTAAAACGACAATGATTTGAAAGCCAATACATCAGGTCGTATCACTTGGCTTCTTGGACAGCAGGAGATTTCCAGTGGCCAGCTAACTTTAGCTCATTGCTCAATCCATAACACCCATCCTATCTTATCTTTTAGGTAGTATCACTGAAATAAACAAAGAAATGGACGCCCAGATTACATTAAAAAGAGCCCACAAGAGGTACAGTGGTAGGTCCATCTATCCTGGCACTGGACAGCGAGTCATCACTAACATCGAAGTCACCTCAGATTATCCTCTTGTGTCTTTCATTACCATGATAGCCCCCTCACCTGATTGGTTCGTTGGTGTTCACGACTTTGACCTATGCAACACAACATCCGGGGAATGGCGGGACTTGAGGGAACGTTATCTCCCGCTGTACGATGCGGGAACGGATAGTGGGCCCAGGTTTACAAGTTCCGATAGCGAAACCAGACCTCCAGAAAGGATTTTCATTATCACAAACAACACCGAAGGTTCCTTGAAAGGCGATAAGCCTCTAAAACGTTTCGGAACGTTTACCTTTGTAAAGACTTTTGATTCCAACGAAGTAGTGAAGCCCTCCCCATCCAACATCCTTAAGCCAAGCACTGAGAGCCAATATCAGCCAACCAAGAGCAAATATCAGTCAAATATGCCTGTGAAAAGTTCATTGAAAATAACGCCAACGACTAGCGCCACAAGAATTTCCTCAACACAAGTGCTGAACCAAACAGCAACGAGTAACCAAACCTCAACTCCGACAGGCACATCTGCGGCCTCTTCATTTAAAGAGTTCAGTTTTATGCATGCCGTTTTTGCTCTGATATTTGCAGACCTGTTATTGTAAACTATCTAAACCAACAGCATGTTGCAATAATTATGATTTTATTTTCTCACAACACACCTGCAAAACTTAAGGTGGCTCCCTACAGTTTTAGGAATATTGAAAACTAATGATTTAGATTGAAATTTTTAGCAGGAAATTTCTTGCTAAACGAAATGAAATTTTGCAGATATATTAACCAACATTCTAACAATCGAAAATTGTCATCACGTATGACGTCATTACCGTTGTTATGGTAACAATTGCGATTCAATATGGCCGTTATTTTACCTATTCACGCATTTTACTCGAAAACAAGTTCGGTTACCCCAATTTTTTATTTTATAAAAAGTTTTCTTTCAAAAAAATGGGAAATTTGAGCAAGTTTAAAAAAATTCTATAGAGCCAAAAAATTTCTATAACGAAAAATCACGTTTTTCAATTTTTAATAATTTTGGCTCTATAGAATTTTTTAAACTGGCTCAAATTTTCCATTTTTTTGTAAGAAAACTTTTTATAAAATAAAAAATTGGGGTAACCGAACTTGTTTTCGAGTAAAATGCGCGAATAGGTAAAATGTCGGCCATATTGAATCGCTATTGTTACCATAACAATGGTAATGACGTCATGCTTATGGGCAATTTCTGACTGTTAGAATGTTGGTTAATATATCTGGGAAATTTCTTTTCCTTAGCAAGAAATCTCGTGCTAAAATTTTAAATCGAAACCACAAGTTTTCAATATTTTAAAAAATTGTAGGGAGCCACCTTAAAAGAACTAATATACATTATATGCACGTAGTGTGCATAATTATAGTGTAGCAAGATTTAAACGGACTTTTATTGAAAACCCAACAGGCTTGGCTATATTGTGAGCGATATTTGAGAGGCAAGTTGTTCTCTACCCCTCTGTCTTTACCCCTACATATACCGCGATAGCTAAATAATAATTTAGACTAATCATATTAGTAAAATTGGAGTAATAAATTGTGAGTGAAACTAACGATGGCCGGAACCACGAAACGTTCTCTGAAAAATGATACGAATGGGCCTGAATACCAGGAGGAAATAATTATTACTAGAAATTAATATACTGAATAATTTACGAAGTAAATTTATTCAAATCAGCTGGTTCGCCGCAAAAGCGAAACCGAAACAACAACAGAATCAAACCTGTAAGACGAAAGATATTGACAACATCGTATTAGAGGTGCGTTATACGTACGTATTTTATTTTTTCTAGGTATCCGCTGTGTAAGTTTAGATTTAATGTAATAGTAGAGATGTGGGTTATCAGTTATCAAACAGTCTAACCAACTAAAAGACACTATTTTACAGTAAATTATACCGAAGTAATTGAAGTCGCTGCCGTGTTTCGTCACGACAACGAGGTCTGTGAAAATCCACGTCTCGTCAAAGTTGTCAAACTGTAGTTTTCGTCTACCAATTAGGCAGTTTTAAAGAAGAATGCGATTCATTTTGTCTTTTAAATTTCTTGATTTGCTTTGATCATGACCGCAAGATAGGTGCGAGACTGCGAGGAAATCCTTAGACCTTGAGCAATGATTTCAATTAAATTTCAAATTCAACAGGATTCAACATGCATGTTCGATCAGATTTACTGACATTGTCGCCAATCAGTCGTTGCCTTTGACATAAATAATTTTTGCATGCCATCAAAATAACAATCTTGGAGTCTGGCATTTACCTAAATATCTAGGGATTTTGTATTGCACGTATCGTTAAATACAAGGCTAAGTTTTTAGTTAATCTGATTCTGCGCATCCGTAATTCCGGAATAATGGGTAAAACTACCTGTTTGTTATAAGCAATATTTAAACATTGCAAAGATTTCAGTTATTACTGTTGTTTAATAACTGAATTCATAATCCGACTCCGAAACCAGACGACTGAGACGAGTATATTGATTAAGATGGTCCAATGACACACCGATAAGAAAGTATCGACCAGGGGCCGGTTCACGTCGGTTGTATAAAACTCTTTAACCACATTTGCATAGTTAAATCCTAGTTAACTAGGCCAATTCCGTCCTTTAAGTACAGTTAAAAGTTAACTAGTCTTTTATACAACTGGCCCCTGTATTACTACCACTTGTATCGTTTCCGACTTTGAGCTTGCGCTATTTATGATCAGTGTGCATACGAAAAAGTACATGTACTTCGTGTACTCATTCATTTAGCGTACTTCACTATACCAAGCATTAGCATGATGATTTTCTGCGAACAAAGAAATTTGATAATACATAAAATTATATAATGCGCATGCAAGAAGTAAAAGAAAGAACCATTATTACTGTTTTAAAATTTAATATTTATTTTTAGGAATAAGCAACAATATTACTTGTTCATTAAATTGAAGTTGCTATAAAATACAAAGTGATTTCTTTAGTGTAGGGAATGGTTGTTTAAAACTCTTAACTACATGTTGAGAAGTTAATTAAGTCGGAGTTAACTATAATTCGATTCTGATTGTCCAATTCTGCCACTAACCGTAGTAGTTAAAGATAATACCTTTTTATACAACTGGCTCAATGTCATTATAATACTTAATTATATTTGGAGGACTTTTAATGCCTGTATTACAGTATCGAATTTTTCCAATACAATACAATTTAATTTCATAAAATTGGTTCCAATTTACTTAGTATTAATAAATTGCTATAGTCACTGAAGTGTCACCGCATCGAACATCGAACTAACCTTCGTAATGGACACAAGATACAAAAATAACTTAACTTTGCATGAATTACAGGTTTGATTCGTGAACTGATTATAGGATGTAAAGCTAGGTAAATATATGTCCAATATGCCCATATGCCCAGTCACTATATTGTTATACTGTTATTTCTATAGAAACGCGTCCTACAATCTGACTGCCATATTATCATTATGGACGTAAAGAAAGGACATTGCTGGCGCTGTGAAAGAGCAACCAGAGATTTTTTTGAAGAATGCAGCCAGTGCAAGATTGCTAACTATTGCAGTAAGAAATGTCTGAAAGATGATCGGTACAGACACAATCCAGAATGCGAGGTATGGCGTCCCAAGGAATGTAACAACCCCGGCTGTTTCGTGAAAGAAGGATTAAAGGAGGTAATACCAATTTTGAAAGTCCTCTTAGGCAACTTTGCAGCCACACAACTTATAGAACTTCATACTTTGTTTAATTCAGTTGGCGCTTAGCTTTTGATCTTATCTTCCAACCAGCCTTCGCTTCCACTGTGCTTGATGCCCTTTCTTCAAATTTCACTCCACACTTCTTCTTCATTCTTTTCAGCAATAGGAATGACACAACGGCAGAGGCAAAGCTGCATGGGGCACTTCCCTCAACATAAGTGTGTATATATAATTCCACTCGAAATTAAGACCCTTTAAACCTCTAGAATTCACCTGCATTGAGTGAAGTGCAAAAATCATAATTAATTTTCCCTCAACATAGGTCTTTGGATAATGAGAAGAAGGTATAGTCTCTTTACTAGTCATGCATCTAAAGTTTTTACTCTATATTTTATTGCAGTGCTCAGGATGTAGTGATGCGTGGTATTGCGGAAAATCGTGTCAGGCTAATGACCGCAGCAGTCACAAAAAGCTTTGCCAAAAGCTTGTGAAAAATGTTAAAGATGCTGCCGCAAAACAGCGCGACTACTTCAAGAAGCGATCTGGTGGACCAATTGCTCGACCATATTATGTTGGAAACACCCTTGCTATTGACATGCTCAACCTTCAGGAAAATGAGTGTGATGTGAAGTTGGACAAAAGCAAACAAGCTATCAACTTGAAAAGCGATTTCCGCATTTTGCACGCCGGGTGTGGTAACCTGCGGCATACCATCCTAACAACAGCATCACTGCCCGAAGATTTTAAGGGGAAAATTTCCATGACACTGAACGATTTTGATCCCTTTGTTCAAGCAAGGAATGTTCTTTTTCTGTGCATGATGGTCGTATTCGCGGCAAAACCTGGTATTGCTGAACTAATAACAACATTCTGGTATTCACTACACCTTTCCAGTAGTCAGTTCGATTTTTTGATAGAATGTTTGACAAAACTCGCCGGTTTCAACAGCGCTGCTTTGGCCAGTGTTACCAAAGGTCTATTGAACATTTCCGACGATCACATGGCGCAAATAAGAGAGGTTTGGCGCGGATGGCTTAGTCTTCAATGTGAGAAAAGTTCTCCTAAGTACATTAACCTGAAAATGACGCGTGACGTATTTCGTAATGCTATGAATCGTGATCCTAAACAGAACTTTAACAAATGGGCATTTCTTCTAAAACGACAAGCCCCAGAGGAATGCGTGAAATCTCTCGAAAAGTGGCTTGAGGATGAAAACTTCCAAGCATCATCTGAAACACTGCGATACGACAACCCAACTTTGACCGGTTTTAACATATTTGATGGTAAAGATTACACCTTAACAGAGGCATTAGAAACCCTGAAATTTCCAAGGCGACACGAATTTGTATATTGCGTATCCGGAAAATTATCTGTATTTGGAGAATGGGACCAGTTGCTTGTTCAGAAACACAATTTGAACAAATCTTTAGTGCTCCGCTTCCACTCGTACATTACAAGTCTCATAGAGAAAACCATTTCGCTTTTTAAAGACAAACGCTTGTCAATCGATGTTCATGTGTGCAATTACATGGAAATTCCATCTCTGTTACCATCAGATGCTCAGTTCGATCGCATTTTCACTTCCAACATCGCAGATTTTCACGGAACGAAAACGGTGCTGAAAACCTTTAAACCTCTTTTGAAAACCAGTAACAAAAAAGCTGTTCTTGTTACTCAATATCAAACCTGGCATTTCGCGCTCGATGAAGCCGTAGTCGAGCGGAATCTTAAACTTCCCATCGATGGAACATACAATCAGTTGTTGCTGGCCGCCAGAAACGATACTGGAAGAAAAGACGTCGATGAGATGCTGAAAAGCTATTCCAAGGTGAAGGGAAATTCAATGTTTTGCATGATGGACGAGGCATCTGCTGTTGATACACAGTCAATGGTTGATGCTATGAGTAGAATTGGCATTGATGAGTATTTAACACAGGAGTATTTCAATAACATGGTGTATTTCGTTACTTATTTGCGAGCTGATCTCATGGCCTGTGATCCATGTTTACCTGGAGAAAAAGTGGTCTCATTTCAAGATGTGACAAGCACGGAAGGATTTAGGATGAGAGATTTTAGGCGTGAATTGAATAGCGTGGTGCCATTTTCATATCGACGAAACGCCAGGCCAGTGAACTTACTAAAGGCGCTTCAACGCATGGTTGAATGGCGATTGCCTGATGACTAGAATCACTGTACAACTCAATTTGAAAATCTTGAAATGCTGAAGCAAACATAACTATACATCAATCATATCGATAATTGTCCAAAACTGTATCAAACATGCATCGTAACTGTATCCGATATCACAGTAAAAACCCAACGGCAACGCTCCAAAATATCTGAATCACAACAATTAACCAAGTGCGGCATCTTCAGACTTCGGTTAAACTGTTATGTTTTATGCATACCGTTTTTGCTCTGATATATACGTGTAAAACGGTAATTGTAACTTTTTGCAAGCAATAGCATAATATAACAAATAATAATGTATATAGAAAGCTAAATTTTGAACGAAATGTTTCCCGAAACTCAAAATGTTTACCTGATAGTTAACTGATAGATAACTGATAGACAAATTAACGCCATAGCTTAATTTTGTCTGTTCCGTGGAGCAAAATTTTTACATGTATGTCTTATCAACGTAGTTTTAGATTATTAGATATAAAAAACACTAAATTTTAACCTCAGTTATTCTAAATTAACCAATCAAAACGCACAAGCTACTACTTGAGTGGTGGTTCGTTAAAAGAATGTACATGCACTGACGCACGACATTTTCCAAATATCATGATTATGAAATAAAAACTTGTTTTCTTAGTGTCACTTCAATTAGTCCTGGGACAGGTTGTTCAGACCCCAACTGGCGCGGCTCCGTGACGCACTGCGTGGGGATTGTTCGGATTATGACTGCGTGGGTTGCGAAAGTTGGCCGTCACATTAATATTAGACCAGGCGGCTTTCAGTTCAGTATCCCAAATAAAGGTGTACGAAGCAAGCCTCCTATGTGTCGCAAGGACTTTGAAATACTGCAAATCGTCGCATAAGCGATCGTTACTTTTTGAAACCATAGAATTACTGGGCATTTGAAGGTAGTATTTGTCATAAGTATTTGTTTCTGGGAAAAAAGCCAATTTTACTGTCTCGAAATATGATTCTCGTCCGCCTGACATAAACATCCGGTCTTTTTTAAAAACCGGCCTCGACTGAAACTGTAATCTTCCTTTGGCTACGTAAACAATTTCGCTTTTACGAACCAATCGCGATAGCCCAATGTTTGCGAATTTAAAACTAAAATAAACAAACTGACTTGACAATAATTGTCCTGTAAGTATTTATACTGCTTCTTAACGACACCTGCGTTTAATTTCCGTATCTTTCGAAGGTCAAAGGAATACTCCACAAGCCGAAATTATGGTCTTTGGTTTTGCTCTGTGGTTCGGCGTTGTTTACCTCGTCTGTACTGTATCGTCTGCTAAGGCAAAGCAGTGCAAAGGCACGGCAAAATATACGTTGACATTTCAAGGTGAATGGAACAGCACGTCACATCCACAAGACTTTCCTCCGAATCCACATTTCTCATCTCCTGTTGGCTGTAGTCACAATGCTTCTTATGTTATGTGGATACCCGGGGAAAACGCGAGCAAAGGAGTAAAAGATGTGGCGGAAGCAGGTACGAATACTTATGGTTATACAGGAACACGCTTATACCACAATATTTACGATCAAGGATACACACACATTTAAGCCTGTTCGACAGTGTGCAAAATGCTTTTTGTCTATCGGAAAATAATACAGTAGATCCCCTATTCTTATGAGCTCTGTTAATGATTTAATTGGTTTCAAATCAAAAGTAAAACTTCCTGTTTTGTAGGAGTATAGCTTTAAAAATAATATACGAGTATTGTTCCTAATCATTCTGATGTTGCGGAATACTTAATACCAGCGACATGCAGGCCTTATGTTGTAATACTGTGTTAGCTACGTTTAACAAAGCGACGACTTGTCCGGGCCTATTGGTTTCAAATGAAAAGTAAGACTTCCTGTTTTGTAGCTTTATAAATATAGGCGAAATAAGTTACAATGATACGAGTATTGTTCCTAATCATTCTGAGCTACGACTTGTCCGGGCCTATATATCAACCTCGTACCCAGAGTCTTTACTCTACTCGTGGGGAACATTCGTATTAAATAGTACGAGAAGAACCATCACAAACATTGTGCTAAATTGATCATTTCATGAAAGGATTACAATCAGTTCAGCCGCCAATGCACAACGTAATGTTGCTGGCCTGCAGTTTGTGAATTCGTTTTGATTTAAATAATGCATGTTTAGACTCACTGTTCCTTGCGGTGCTCTACAACGACTTTGTCAAATATCACACGCTGAGGTTATATAATATAATGGTAAATTGTCGAAGGCTAGATCATAGCGATATGATATAAGACATGGTGAGTGATGGTGCATGCAAGTGCGGAAGTAGTGTCATGCAAAACGACAATGATTTGAAAGCCGATACATCAGGTAGCTCGTTGCTCAATCCATAACGCGCATCCTATCTTATCTTTTAGGTAGTATCACTGCAATAAACAAAGAAATGGACGCCCAGATTACATTAAAAAGAGCCCACAAGAGGTACAGTGGTAGTTCCATCTATCCTGGCACTGGAAAGCGAGTCATCACTAACATCGAAGTCACCTCAGATTATCCTCTTGTGTCCTTCATTACCATGATAGCCCCCTCACCTGATTGGTTCGTTGGTGTTCACGACTTTGACCTATGCAACACAACATCCGGGGAATGGCGGGACTCGAGGGAACGTTATCTCCCGCTGTACGATGCGGGAACTGACAGTGGGCCCAGGTTTACAAGTCCCAATAACGAAACCAGACCTCCAGAAAGGATTTTCATTATCACAAACAACACAGAAGGTTCCTTGAAAGGCGATAAACCTCTAAAACGTTTCGGAACGTTTACCTTTGGAAAGACTTTTGATTCCAACGAAGTGAAGCCCTCTCCGTCCAAAACCATGCAAGCAATTACCTCAACAAAGAGTCACCCCACAAGTATGGGATCTAAACAGTTCGGTTTTACCCATGCCGTTTTTACCCTGATACTTATAAACTTGTTATTGTAACTTTCTTAGACAAATGCATGCATGAAGGTATATTTAGCAATATTTAGCTAGATTTTAGACCAGATTTTAGACCCTGAATCCCCTGATACATGTTCACGTGTTATTTTAACTTTTATTAGACAAATGCATGCATAACTAGCATAAGGTATATTTAGCTAGACTTTAGACCAGATTTTAGACGCTGATACTTGTTAACTTGTTATTGTAACTTTCATAGACAAATGCATGCATATACATCAACGTATAATTAGCTAGATTTTAAACCAGATTTGGTTTCGAAACCAAGTGTGTTTGGAATAGTTAAGCTCATTTAATTTGATTGAACGATACGCCATGTTGATTGAGACTTTTAATATCCAACTGATAACGACTAGGGACAGTCGAAAAGCGTTTTGAAAGTTTGACTAGCGACGATTATTTGGAATATTATAGTCTCATGCCAACTTACTATCAATACCACTGTGCTTTGTGACTTTAATTTCTTTAGCCTTTGTGATGTCCCGCGGGAAATCAAGATCCTGTTAACGAAACTAGTTTCAATAACATACACGCATGTAACTGAACGTTAGGTTCACAGAATATATTTCTAGTGCGCGTGACATGATCATAAATTTAGGTTTCCTGTGTTTCTTCGAATCTCATGCCTTGATGGACAGACGTTGTCAGCTTCCAAGTTTTAATAAACAATATCTTGGAACTCATGCTGTCTCATAGAGAGCGCGTGAGGTGTGCTTCACAGGACCTTTTCTCCACGACCCAATCGTAAGATGCCACTCTATAGTAATTTATAGAAAGAAATTCTCGAGACAAAGACTCAAACTTCCGTTGTTTATACCGAAATTGTTATTCAACCTAACTGCTTCCTTGTAGCATAACTGCGTACTTGTTGTTAAGTCTACAGTTCTTATAACGTGAAGTTACAAATCAAGAACTTCTCTTTTGAAGTTATCGCAAAGTCATCACACTCGCCAAGTCGAGAAATGGCCATCGGTTGTATTCTGTGGTTGAGCGTCGTTTACCTCTCATGCACTGTGCGGTTTGCCCAGGCAATACAATGCAAAGGCGCGGCAAATTACACTCTTACTTTCCAAGGAGAATGGTCTAGAGCGTCAGATCCAACAAATTTTCCTTCGAATGCACATTTCTCATCTCTTGTTGGCTGTAGTCATAATGTTTCCTATGTGATGTGGAGAACAGGGGAAAAGGCCACCGCGGGAGTGAAAAATTTCACAGAAACTGGTAGGAAGCCTTATGGTCTTCTTTTTAAGGTTTAGGAAGTACCTTTTGTAGGTAGTGACGAAATATGCCTTATCTTCCTAGTATATAGGGATTATAGAATCTGGAAAAATATTAAAGGCAACATGTTGCGATTAGACAAATTTCAAACAGGCTAATTATATAAATTATATGTAATCTAACATACTTGTTAACATAAAAAATGCTCGCAAACAAAGCACGCATTTCTGGCATAACACTCGAAGTAGAAATCGTCATCTCGAGGTTACAATTGGTAAATGAGCAACAAATTTTATACTCAGGTAGCTTTAGTCCACTGTTTAGTGTACAATACGCAACTTGTCGTATACGATTTAGGTGGATATTTGAGATTGTACAATGAAATAGACGATCAGATAGCATTGAAGAACGCCCATAAGCGATACACTGATGGTTCACGCATTCCTGGTACAGCTAACCTGTCCATCACTAACATCGAAGTCAACCCAGAATATCCTTTCCTGTCGTTCATTTCCAAGATTTCGCCTTCACCTGACTGGTTCGTTGGGGTCTACGACTATAATTTATGCAACACAACCACAGGACTATGGAAAGAGTCAGAAACACGTGTTCCTCCTGCGTTCGATGCAGGAACTGACAGTGGGCACACTTTTGAAAGTCTCGATAAACCAACCATACCGCAACAAAATATCAGCATACATATGAATTACACAGGTAAAAGATTCGCGATTATTTCTATTTCAAAAATTACGACCACCGGGAAATCAACGATTACTCCAACATTGCGTTCACGTGTTACCTCAACATCAAGTGATACCCCAACATCACGTGTTGCCCCAACATCACGCGTTACCTCAACATCAAGTGTTACCCCAACATCACGTGTTGCCCCAACATCACGTGTTGCCCCAACATCACGTGTTACCTCAAGATCACGTGTTGCCCCAACATCACGCGTTACCTCAACATCAAGTCTTGCCCAAACACCACGTGTTGCCCCAACATCACGTGTTGCCTCAACATCACGTGTTGCCCCAATATCAAGTGTTGCCCCAACATCAAGTGTTATCCCAACATCACGTATTGCCCCAACATTACGTGTTGGCCTAACATCACGTGTTGCCCAAACATCACGTGTTACCTCAACATCAAATGTTGCCCAAACACCACGTGTTGCCCCAATATCACGTGTTACCCAAACATCACGTGCTACCCCAACAATAAGCGTTACCCCAACATCACGTGTTGCCCTAACATCACGTGTTGCCTCAACATCACGTGTTGCTCCAACATCAAGTGTTGCCCCAACATCAAGTGTTATCCCAACATCACGTGTTGCCCCAACATCACGTGTTGGCCTGACATCACGCGTTGCCCAAACATCCCGTGTTACCTCAACATCAAATGTTGCCCAAACACCACGTATGGCCCCAACATCACGTGTTACCCAAACATCACGTGCTACCCCAACATTAAGTGTTGCCCCAACATCAAGTGTTGCCCCAACATCACGTGTTGCCACAACAGCACGTGTTGCCCCAATATCACGTATTGCCCCAACATCACGCGTTAATTCAACATCAAGTGTTGCCCCAACATCACGTGTTACCTCAATATCACGTGTTGCCCCAACATCACGCGTTACCTCAACATCAAGTGTTGCCCAAATACCACGTGTTGCCCCAACATCAAGTGTTGCCTCAACATCAAGTGTTATCCCAACATCACGTGTTACCTCAACATCAAGTGTTGCCCAAACACCACGTGTTGCCCCAACATCAAGTGTTGCCCCAACATCACGTGTTGCCCCAACATCACGTGTCACCTCAACATCAAGTGTTGCCCCAACATCACGTGTTACCTCAACATCAAGTGCTGCCCAAACATCACGTGTTACTTCAACATCAAGTGTTGCCCCAACATCACATGTCACCTCAACATCAAGTATTGCGATGACCACCACACCAACTTCCTCAGGGACAAGCGCGAAATTTTCAGTTAAAAAGTTTGGTTTTATTCATGTCGTTTTTGCCCTGATACTTAACCTGTTTTGCAACCTTCTTATATAGAACTATAGTTTTACCGAAAACTTCGTTCCTAGGCCATTTTATGACTGACAGATTGGCATTCGCATCGAAAGACTTTCTTTTATTAATAACCAAATTTAAAAAATGATCTGTATGTCTAAGAATGATCCTCTCTGCATGCGCTAAGTTTTGCCCTACAATTATATACACGTAAAAAACACACAAGCTGTAACTTGATGTTTTTTCCACAACGCAAATTTTTCACAAATATATTCACCAATCAAACTTCTTTAAAGTCGCCCCAATAGACTTGTCTCAAAAATAACGTCAAGTTTAGGAAGTCCAATGGCAATGTTGCACGAAGTTTGATCGGCTCCTTATTTTTGATCGGCTTCGCAAATATACAAAAATTTAATTAAAATGAATCGCACTGTGCTTTGTGACATTCATTTCTTTAGCCTGTGTGACGCCCCCCCCCGGGGGAAATCAAGATCCTGTTAACGAAACTAGTTTCAATAACATACACGCATGTAACTGAACGTTACGTTTACAGAATATATTTCTAGTGCGCGTGACATGATCATAAATTTAAGTTTTCTGTGTTTCTTCGAATCTCCTGCCTTGATGGACATGCGTTGTCAACTTGCAAGTTTTGATAAACAATATCCTGGAACTCATGCTGTCTCATAGAGTGCGCATAGGGTGTGCTTCACACGGCTTTCTCTTCGCTAGCCAATCGTAAGATGCCACTCTATAGTAATTTTTAAAAAAAATTCACGAGGCAAAGACTTAAACTTCCGTTGTTTATACCGAAATTGTTATTTAAACTAACTGCTTCCTTGTAGCATAACTCGGTGCTCGTTGTTAAGTCACAAATCAAGAACTTCTCTTTTGAAGTTGTCGCAAAGTCATCGCACTTGCCAAAGTCTATATATGGCCATCGGTTGTGTTCTGTGGTTGAGCGTCGTTTACCTCTCATGCACTGTGCGGTTTGCCCAGGCAATACAATGCAAAGGCACGGCAAATTACACTCTTACTTTTCAAGGAGAATGGTCAAATGGGTCACATCCAACAAACTTTCCTTCGAATGCACATTTCTCATCTCTCGTTGGCTGTAGTCATAATGCTTCCTACGTGATGTGGAGACCGGGGGAAAAGGCCACTACGGGAGTGGAGAATTTCACAGAAACTGGTAGGAAGCCTTTAAGGTCTTTCTAAGGTTTTAAATAGCAGAATTCCGTTGAAAGAAGTACCTTTTTGTAGGTAGTGACGAAATCATTATGCCTTATCTTTCTATAGTGGGGATTATAGAATCTGGAGAAATATTAAAGGCAATATGTTGCTGCGATTAGACAAATTTCAAACAGGCTAAATTATATGTAATTCTAACGTACTTGTTTACATAAAAAATGCTCGCAAACAAAGCACGTATTTCTGGCATAACTCTCGAAGTAGAATTTGTCATCTCGAGTTGGATACAAGGTTGCAATTCAGTGGTAAATGGGCAACAAATTTTATACTCAGGTAGCTTTAGTCCACTGTTTAGTGTACAATACGCAACTTGTCCTACGTTTTAGGTGGATATTTGAAATTATACAATGAAATAGACGATCAGATAGCATTGAAGAACGCCCAAAAGAGATACACTGATGGTTCACGCATTCCTGGTACAGCTAACCTGTCCATCACTAACATCGAAGTCAACCCAGAATATTCTTTCCTGTCGTTCGTTTCCAAGATTTCGCCTTCACCTGATTGGTTCGTTGGCATCCACGACTGTAATTTATGCAACACAACCACAGGACAATGGAAAGAGTCATTGAAACTTCTCATCTTCCATTTATTTAATGCCCGTTAATGGTAAAACCATTTTTGTCAGATGTATTGTCGTCTCTTTGGGAAGAGGCATTAAAATTTGTCTATCATTAGACTTCTACCGAAGTAAACGTAATCAGGTTTGCATATTGGGAATGTCCCTTTCTTCGGCAAAAGATATCAAAATTGCTGTAACGAATCGAACCTGGATTAATAATGGATGATCAGCTAATCAATGGATGATTTATTCAATTGATGATTTGTCAATTTTCATAAACAAGTTTTCCAACCTCTGCATAGCAAGATTGCGCGGGGATGCTTGGGAAGGTACCACGTGAGATTACACTTTAAAGCTACTGACCTAGATATAGAAGATGGAGTCTATACATAGGCACTCAAACAATTTTAACGAATGTCAAAAATTAATTTTAGTTGCTTGTTAATTTAGTTGCAAATTTGGGTAGAAATTTCCATTAACATTTGTGAACCAACTATTTTACAAAATAATGAATGTTCATCGTTATGCCCAATCTATGACAATAACAACCGTTATGTCGGGGTAATATTTATAATTATTACACGGGGTAATACTTGTACGATAATTATTCTAACTAATTTACACTCGTTATATATATATATATATATATATATTTTTATGTTTGTGCCACAGACATGACACACTTTATTTTGGTTATTTTCTTGTGAAAAATTCTCAAAACGCAAAAGGTAAATAAGTTTTACAAGAAAAAATGTTACAAATGTCCAACGAAAGTTAAAACCGACAAAGGTTTAAAACCTTAGTCAGAAACTGCATCATGGTGCAATGTTGCTGCAGCCAAAAAATGTGAAAGAGATGAGAAAAACAAAACTAACTGTTTGAACTACTTTCAACAAACTATATTCAACTATAAAGACCAGAATGCCTTGCAAGTATTGCCCTGGAATTATCCACAATTCTGGCAAGACATCATGGACTAAATAGCTGAATACTACACTGGATAAATCTATATTGTTGCTAACTATAGAGGAGCAATTTAAAAATATCGAAATCAGAATTCGGTAGCTCTGGATGAGAAATTTTATTCCTAAAATTTAGAATCAAACGGTAAGGGTTTTAATCGATGGCTGCCCGTTTTAACCACTACCACTGATCTGAAAGGATGAACTGGGTATATTTTTAATGTAATCACAAACCTAATATGCTGTACCGGCAAACTTGGAGAAAGAGGGAGCTCTGTATCATAATCTGGAGTGAGCGAAGCCAAACAAACATGGCGATCAGCTAATTCTGGTTGACAGATTATAACATCAAATAAGTTATTATTTCGTAAAATCATAATATTATGTGTATTAATGTACAAACATGAAATTTTGGCACACCCCATGCGACCTGCTCAAAGCCTGCCTTGCGGGCTCCTTGGGTACATCCGTAGCACCGGGTAAACGTTCCCAAATGATGAATACAGAAATGAGATGATTGTGCTGTGCTGAGCACTACCACACAAACATGGCTGTGAAAAATGTTGTTTCAACTTCCAAATACAAGTTCCAAAACAACAATACTGCCATCACGCATGTTTAATTCTGTTTTCATCAACTGAGAACTAGCAACCTTTTGCCCCCGAGCATGGTGTGATTATGATAAGTACGTCACGTACCAAAATGGTCAGAAACGTGAGGAACCAAAATGGCTGCGAAGACCTTCACCAGGCTATGTTTACGTGCATAGTAAAATATATTTGCCAACAATTTGATCACGCACGAAGTCGATAAATTAGTCCCATTCAATGTGATCAATAAAAAATCTAGTTGTAAAATTTACCCATGGAATGTTTAGAATGCTCTATCCGCGCTCAAAACCGCCTCTGGCATATAGGTTATTTATCGTTACCAAACGCTACCAAAATATTTATTATATGTCTACGCCATTTGACGGCGAAAATAAATTATTTAAATTGCATAACTCTACCAAAATTTTGATTTGCGCCAACCATGCCTGGTTGCTGCATACCGACGGCACCCCCCTGCGCCATCATATTCCTGTTCATCATACCGGGGGGTGAAACCATGTTCATTTGCCCTACGCCATTTCCCATCATGTTCATTGGCATTCCCATCTGATTCCCGCCGTACATTGCGGTCTGCTGCATTCCTCCGGTGTTACCATAGTAACCCATGCCAGGTGACGACATCTGTGGGGGCACGGTGTGTTGCATGTACAGCTGATTCATACTGGGCTGATGAGGTTTCTCCTTCTGGGAGACTGGGGCGAGATTATCTAAGCTGATGTCTACACCGCTGTTCGACCACGTGGTTAACTTCGACGATGCGCTAGAGACCTGGTAACAAGAAGATAAGTACATAGTTGAGCTCAGTAGCGAGGCGAATACATTTGCAATTATTATGGTACCTTGTCTATTTCAGGCCTTGTCTATTTAAGAGGCTGCCACGCTGCTCCCTGGTTATATTGCAACCTACCTTGAGACTTGTTATGCTTCGACATTCTTCTTTTGATGGATGCAAACGAGCGAATAGTTATAAGTACTGTGATTTATACCTGCTCTTACATGAATCTCGGTAACTTATCCACTCGTTCAGATATACCAAAAGAAGAAAATCGCAGATACAACCTCAAGTGCCGAGGTATTTAGACTTGTTTACAAGTACAGCGGCGAATGTAAAAATACCATTTGCTTTTGTCATTTTCTATTTACAATAAAACTGCGCCATGTCGCCGGATGGTATCAAACATGGGCTGTTCCGAAATTAAGATCATTACAGGAGAAACTACATGGGTATTCAAAAAATTTAAAGAAGAATTTGAAACAGCTCGTTATGCAGAAACGGGACTAACTTCATCTTGCCAAATAGGAAAACCTGAAGAAAATGCCATATTTCATTTTTCTACTTGCCTGTTGCGTATTCTTTGTTGGATTGCTGGTCATGGACGACTTGGAAACATTAGCTGACGACTGTGGTGACATCATGCCTTGTTGTGATGACATCATGTTTCCCATCACAGGTGATGGGGTCATTGTCCCCCCACCCATCATATTCTGGCCACCGCCCATCATCCCGGCACCACCCATCATTGGTGCCCCAGTCATCATCATGGGTTGCCCACCCATGCTAGGGTTGCCACCACCCATTGTGGATAAACCACCCATCATGGGTGTACCCCCTTGGTTGCCTGCCATCATGGGTACACCCCCTTGGTTGCCTGCCATCATAGGTGCACCCCCTTGGTTGCCTGCCATCATGGGTGTACCCCCTTGGTTGCCTGCCATCATGGGTGTACCCCCTTGGTTGCCTGCCATCATGGGTACACCTCCTTGGTTGCCTGCCATCATGGGTACATTACTCATCATTCCACTCATAGGCGAGGTGGTTTTCAACATGTTTGAACCAGCATTCTGTGTTTGCATAGCTGGCTGGATCGTTGGTTGCATCGAGGTTGGCATACCCTACAGGGAAAGCAGAACGGTTAAGAATATTGACTATCTGGGCCGGTTGTACGAAAGTAATTTAACCTTGGTGTATTTTTGGACCGAAGTTTTACAAAGGAGGTCGCTTATCTCCATGGCTTTCTATCTCCTACAGCGTTGCATGAGACAAGATGACTGAAAGTTTTTCACTTACTTGCAAGTTAACTGCTTGTTGCGTTTGAAAAGGCATAGAAACATTAGCGCCCATGCTTGGCTTTGATAAGAGATCTTGATTCGAGCTCGAAGCTGATGCGAAATCTTGAAAGAGGTCCGCGTCGCCGTTCTGAGCAGATTGCGGCGCCTTCGCGGACGATTGAAAGTCCGCGAAATCATCCTTGTTCGGAGAAGCGGGTTTCGCTTCCGAGAATGCGCTAAAATCTGCGAAATCGTTCGCGTTGTTGTGATTCGCGCCCTCGAAACTTCCGAAAACGCCGCCGTCGCTGTTTCGGTTCGGGTCGGAATGAAACGGTGGGATGCTCGCGACTGGCCGGCTCTCCGAGGACGAGAACAAGTCGACGAGCTCGTTCCCAGCCGAGCTCTGTGTTGGTTGCGCTTGTTCCCTCAAAGTCGTTTCACCGCTGGAGTTTCTGGTCTGGTCCCTCTGTACCTGAGCGTAAGTGGCCGCAGCACCGAGATCCACTTTCCGCACGGCCTTCTTCAACACCGGGCTCTCTTCTTTCTGTGGTATGCGCTCTTTTTTCCCAAAGGCGTCCTCTCCTTCCTCCTCGTCACTAAGATATTAGAATTTTTGGTCAATTGAAATATATACAGGATAACAAGGGATCAGACACAAACAAAGACAGACCCATACAAACTTATCATCTCACAAAAGATGAAATTGACAAGTGATGTAGTAAATAACCATGATAAATATTTGTGATTCTAAATTCCGTCATACCTCTTATTAGAGACATCATCTTTATAATCTCCATCCTTATTCCCAGAATAAGTTCTTTCTCTGAACTTTCTAAACGAGCTCTTCTTTGTTGTTTTATCGTCAAATTCATTGAAAGCATCATCAAAATTCTTTGGCTCTGCATTGTACCTATCACCTAAAGGAAATTGGAAAGTTTAGAATAACATACATGCCTCTAAAAATGATGTTTTGATGGGTAAAAATGCTAAGGCTGTGTTCAGCTGAGTGCCTTGCACTGTTACCTATCACTTATTTTTAAACACCTTGTTGAACATGATGCTTCCAAATGAAATTAGGATTTAGAATAACATAGATGCCTCTAAAAATGATGTTTTGATGGATAAAAACACTAAGGCTGTGTTCAGCTGAGTGCCTTGCACTGTTGCCTATCACTTATTTTTAAACACCTTGTTGAACATGATGCTTCCAAATGAAATTAGGAATGGTGCCCCAAGAATGGGCACTAGCTCCAAACATTTAACAAGGGCACTGTGCTTAGCATGTTTTACAACCCAGCATTTTGACTTTGCAAAAGGTCGACTGATGAATGTCACATTTGCAAACAACTTACTGTAGTCATATTTCCGTGAAACCTCATCACAAGAAACCCCTTTGTATTTGTCCCTTGATTTCTTTGCTTTTTTTCTCTCATCCCGTAATCTTTGGTCATCCTGGATAATTTCTATTAATTCTTTCACTTTATGTCGAACTAGGAAGTGATTTGTGTATGGTCAGTGGTGATAATGTAAAACGGTCAAAGGTAGCATTCTTGTAATTTTTTGCAATACTTGTTAAACTATAGAAAAGGCAAACTGCAAACTAGAAGTGTTTTAGACTAAAAATGATTGTAAATATACGAGAATATAGCCATTACAATGTAATGCACAGAGCAAGGTTGAAGCATCCTCAAACAGCAGCAAACCAACTGCCTATAATATACTTAAAACTTCTCAACTTTTTGACCAAGGGGCTACATGTAGAGAATTAGTGTGACAGTTTCTAAGCCACTCTGGTTGAAATGTGAAGTGGTCTTGTTTAATTTAGGCAGTTGGTGTACCATGGGTTAACCAGTTAACATGTCAATCTTTGTGCGTTGACCCAAAAAATTGTAATCAAAACTAAATGGTCCAGCAAACTGTCAACAACAGCAAATTTGCAGCAAATTGGTGGTACAACTCTGCCAGTAACCCATTAGACTGGTACAGCAAACTGTATTACTTAGACTGATGACAGACAGATAACTTCACATGTCAATGGAAGAATACTATCATCCAATGTGTGAAACAAGAGAAAACATTAATTTCAATAAAGTTAAGTCCAAGGTGGATGCAAATTACTCTTAAATTCCAGAACTACAGGGAGTTTATCTCCTGCTGAAAACTTTTTTAAAGCTACCAGCTGGGGTTCTATCATACACAAAAGATTGCATAAGATTTTTTCACAATACTCTAAAGCATGGCTATTTATACAAATATTTTCAATTTCAGATGTAAAAATCCGAAGGAATTGAACTCATCAGGTTCTATAAATGATTCACAAAGTCTTGTGAACTATTTCCTGCATTCTCTTGAAAGCATATTTCAATGAGTTCATTGTTTCAAACGTTCTTTTATACCAGAATACTCAATCAATTTTAATAATACAAATATGTATGATAAGAATTCGGCTGAAACGATACAATCAATTAACTATTTTACTATGCTATTGTATGAAAAACATTAAGATTTTCACTTTGACAGGTTCTTAGAAAAGTACGAATAGGCTTTTTCACTATACTCGAAATCTGACACTTTATTCGTGGCAGAAAGCTATCGCATAAAAGCCGATTGCAGATTCAAAAATTTCGGAACGGTATTTCATAATTATGGCATGCAAATACGAAGTATTTTTACTCACTGTTTATTCCTTGATCCCGCCCGTGTTCGTCGATATGTTGATAGTCTTCCAACTGTCTCATGTCATAAATATGGTCTCTTGAACTAGTCACGACTCGCTCTGAGCCATTCCGAAGCAAATACGACAACAACAACAGCGACTGAAACACAACAAATACTGAATAAACACAAATAAAGCGTTTTAAGTGAATGCTTTGACATTTGGACAAAACGATGGGCCATTTTCCGATAAAACGCTTCCTTAATGACTACGGACCTTGTATACCCGTCGCCAATTCTTTTTTTCCTGCAGCATTCTCTTCCAAAGCATAGACATGACTTCGGGAAAATGTTCATACGTAAACGTATACTTCGCTATTTCGGTCATTATAGAACCGTGCGGACCCCACGTATCATCATTCGTCGCTTCTCTTACTTTCGACTCGACTTCAGAATAATTCATGACCATATTGGTCCTAAAATCAAAGCGTTGTATACATCATAACATGTAACAACAATTACAACTCGACAGAATAAAATGCTTAGCCGGTATCAAGCTAATTGGGTTTTGAAAACAGCGAGATTTTTATACTTACACTTTGTCCTGGAGTTCGCGAATTTTCCACATTATTGTGCTAGAAGTATATTATAAATATGATAAAAGTATATTTTCTATGATTGTCTTTATGATGGCAGATGCAAAGGGATTCAAAACGCTTCCCTTTGCGAAGGAATCAAGATGGCGGATATCAATGAAATTGACAGTGACCTTCGAAATCGTGACGTCATAATATTTCCGTCTCAAACTTTAAAATCCAAAGTCACTCGAATTCTCAAGTAGTCACAACAAACTTTCGAAATTTACATTTAGAATTAACTAATTTGTTATAATTCATGCTTTTATTGTATTTTCCATAAAAGTCCTCAAATGTTTCTGTAACAATATATAAAAATTAGAGCTACGATATTTACATTTCCGAACCATAAATTATATGAGGTAACTGTTGGTATGCAGCGATGTTGCAATATTTAGGTTTTCTCTTTCAGGGATGCTTATCATGCTTTTATACAAACAAACCGATAAGTTGGGCGGCCATGACGTAGCACATTTTCCTTATTGTTCCTATCGTTTTTTTCAAAGAAAGGTTTCCGTTATAGATTAATTGAAGGCGGACAAAAAATAAAAAAAAGTTCGCTCAAGAGTCAAGCATCTTTTCCCTGAGAATTCCAAGTGCCATGGCCCATGACAGGATATTGAGCAATCATGTCAGTGGGGACTGGTATAACCAGCATTAATCAATTTAGAAGTTCCCGAAATAGTGTAAGGCTTGTCACGGGGTGTCTTAAATCCCAATTAGACTTAAAAACCATAAACATTGAATTGAATTTTTACTGCATGGGATATTTCTTCAAGCTACATTTGGCGGGATTCGCACATTTTATACTTGGTATTAACGAGTTTCAAGCCTACCTCTTTAATGTGACCACCGGTTCAGAAATTTTCACACTTCATACAAGAATCGAAGTGAAGTAAAATTAACCATGCACATCTCTCAAACACAAGGCTGATATACCTCGTTTATTTTATATACTTCAACTACCATTTACCGCATGACAATGCCTTAATTAAGTATAATGTATACAATATTTTTTCAGGCAATTTGAACGTGACTTGAACAAACACTTAAAATTATTACTCCAAATTGAACTCACACCACTAGAATACATATAGCTATACACAACACTATCCTACGGGAAAATGAAAGGATATTGAATACGATATACATCAATTTTAGAAGACAGCCAGACAAGCCTTATTCATAAGCCTAGTTTGCAGAAAATAAAGTGCGTGTCATTCACTATATATAATGTAGAAACGGTTGCATGAAATAATGTCAGTTGATATATAATTATAATTATCAAGTAATGATATCTTATATGACTTTATTTCCTCCTGTTTGTTTTCTTGGATTTCTGGACGCCCCTTTTCGCCCCTTTCACAATTCCTTTGAACTGTCCCGACATTTTGGCGCGTTTTCTAAAACGAACAAAAGATTAGGAGTACCTTGAAAAACTCATGAAAGATGTGCTGGGAGAGAGTTACATGTAAATACCTTTTGTTCAAAGATTGTGTATTGAGAGGAAGGTAGGCATACGGATCTGGTTTCCCCTTCTTTTTCACGTCACCGCCAGCTTTCTACATGAAGAAAGATTAACGACGTTTAATTTTTATGGCGGCCCTGTTTTGTTGAGAAATTCCGCCAGCGAGGCAGGAACCTTTCTTAATCATAATACCGTGGACGACGAGGCCTTCTTTTGGCAAGCGGAGAAGTTTTCTCATTTACTTTAGCTAGTTAAAGAATCGATTATGTTGGTTGTCGTTGGGATACGATTGAGCATATAATGAAGAATGGAGAGGAGTGTCTCGCCAGGATTTGCCAACAACACCAATTTGACTAGATTACGCTCATTACCTTCGCCCGATATTCTTCACCAAACTCTCCGCTATGTTTTGATCGTTTACCAAAAGTATCTTCCATTTCATCTTCTTCCATCATCTTCCTCTTGTTTCCCTATACGTGAAAATGAAACCAAAATAACTTCGTGTCCGGTATCAAAAACGCGCACGCGGGCACGATCACGCAAGCAATCATATGACGTCATAGAGAAGTGAATTCCTCCAGTGTCCGGAAAGGAACTTTCCATTCCAACTTTTGCTTTCTGAAGCAAACGGAAACGAAACAATCCTTGATAAAAGGCGGCAAACAAGGATAGTTCAACCGTAGAAAGGCCAGCGTTTATGGTAGGTTTTTTCGGTTGTTGTTTTAAATGTTTTCAAACCCAATTTCCCCTTTATTTCCATGCAAAGTGTTCATCAAACCAGAACGAGCTATTCATTGACTGTGTCGTTTGACAATGACCTTGAAATATATATATTTGGTCGAAATAATGCTGTAAACCTAAGGTCTTGTTTACATTTATTATTTCGACATTTTTCGTTTACAGTTAAAAAAGCCAAGGTAGTTTTGGATAATGTGGCAAGCGAAACAGTTCCTGGCAAACCGTCCTAAAACAAGTCTCTTTCTGGGCACGACTTTGTTTCTTGGCTCTTTACCTATCACAATATTCGCAAGTATCGTTCTTTGTGTATCCCTAGCCCTCGGCGCAGCGTTTATCTTATTACAGGGCACTGTTTTGGTCGTTACACTCGCGGGTCTAACGACGACGCTCGCCGGGCCGATTTGCGTAGCGGCAATCGTGACCCTGGTATTTTATGCCGGACGGAGGTTTCTTCTCGCGTTACGACGTCTACGCTTAGGCATGCTAACCTCATCAAGACAGATCTTAGAAAAATTTCAGTTGCACCCGGGATATGAGGCCAATACCCGGAACAAAGACGGGCACATTCCACCGGGAGAAGGTCCCGGGGATAAAACGCCGAAGGTTAAGCACTACAAATGCGAGTTTTGTCGCGCGCATCGACACGACCTTTGCGTGTCGCGGAAACGGCCGCAAACCAAGTCAATACGGAACGCTGGCCAACAGACGGCTCAATCAGAAACCGGAGAAGACACGTAGATACGTCATATAAGCCATAATAAAAGTAAGAGAGACGCAACAAAACAACATCTATTGTTACCATTAAATATTTTGAAAAAACACAACGAATGAACGAACCTTTAACGGCGGTTCCATCTCAGTGTCTTCGCTTAATACTGGCGAACCTAGCACAAAATAGTTTGAAATTCTTAACATAAGTTTACGCGATATTGTAAAGAGTGTTCAGAAAAAGCATTAGGATTGATTGGCTTTCTCTTGTGCTTTGGGGTTTTTCCTCCGGTATATGGGTTTATCTTCCGGTCGTAGCCTGTTTAACACAGTCACCGCTGACAATGAGGGCAGAAGGTCAATCAGTGGTAGGCTGTTATAGGACACTTCTGTTATCTAGCTATGTAAAAAACGAGGTTTTCTATGGGAATTAGTGTACGAGAGTTAGGAGTAATTTCTCGCGTTTCTTACCTAAACGTTTTTCTAAATTCTTGGAACTTTCTTCCTTGTCTTCGGGTATAATCAAGCGGCCATCTTCGGCCACCTCAAATCCGGAATCTCTCGACCTTCTGTTGACTGGAGCAGTTGCTGCAAGATATTGGACAACTTAGACCACCTTAACTGTTGAATGCAGATAAAACTAGGGTGTATCATAATATATTTGGGACATCCCTCCCTGCACGACCGTTGGCGAATGTCAGTCAGGACGGGGGTGAGAACCATATCTGAATTCATCCTCGACATGCATTACCACTAACATCATATATCGTTATCGTCGCTAAAACCAAAACCTGCACAATACGTAATACCCTCGATCTTCGACTACACCACAAAAAGAAGATGTACAAACCTGTAACATGTTGAGAAATACTTGAACTCAGTAAATCAAGAGGTTCGTCAGGTTCATCTTCACGAATGAATGCTTTAGAAAAAGGCGGCTTCTTCGATTTTTGGTCCTGAAAATTTCACGCAAAAAATCACACAATCATCTCTCTTATGGGATTATATGTTCCGAAATAATAAAATGCATCACTTTCTTCATTAAAGCCTGAAAATATGTGGGAAAATGTGGATCTAAATGTTCACCTTTCTGGTTGAGAAAGCTGTCTCGCCATCATCATCATCATTTTCATCGTCAGATCCAAACATAAGTTCCTCATAACTACATATAAAAACACAAGTTCATTTGCAAACTATCATGCAGGCAGCCATGTTGGAAAGAATCCTTATGGCGAAAACATAGCGCTCTCAAAAGAGATGCTTGGTTTAACAGTTTAGGATTCGTTTCGTGTAATTTCACCTTGTATGAAGATTGCTTCAAAATACTGGTTACAATGGCACGATATCGACTGAATTATGAAACTGACCTGTCAATCTTTGAACGCTTTTCATCAGGTTTCTAAACCGTAAAAAATGGAAACTCTTATAACGTGAGTGAATTTTACTCTTCTAACGTGAGTAACTTTACTCTTCTAACGTGAGTAACTTTACTCTTCTAACGTGAGTAACTTTACTCTTCTAACGTGAATAACTTTACTCTTCTAACGTGAGTAACTTTACTCTTCTAACGTGAGTGAATTTTACTCTTCTAACGTGAGTAACTTTACTCTTCTAACGTGAGTAACTTTACTCTTCTAACGTGAGTAACTTTACTCTTCTAACGTGAGTAACTTTACTCTTCTAACGTGAGTAACTTTACTCTTCTAACGCGAGTAACTTTACTCTTCTAACGTGAGTAACTTTACTCTTCTAACGTGAGTAACTTTACTCTTCTAACGTGAGTAACTTTACTCTTTTAACGTGAGTAACTTTACTCTTCTAACGTGAGTAACTTTACTCTTCTAACGTGAGTAATTTTACTCTTCTAACGCGAGTAACTTTACTCTTCTAACGTGAGTAACTTTACTCTTCTAACGTGAGTAACTTTACTCTTCTAACGTGAGTAACTTTACTCTTCTAACGTGAGTAACTTTACTCTTCTAACGTGAGTAACTTTACTCTTCTAACGTGAGTAACTTTACTCTTCTAACGTGAGTAACTTTACTCTTCTAACGTGAGTAACTTTACTCTTCTAACGTGAGTAATTTTACTCTTCTAACGTGAGTAATTTTACTCTTCTAACGTGAGTAACTTTACTCTTCTAACGTGAGTAACTTTACTCTTCTAACATGAGTAACTTTACTCTTCTAACGTGAGTAACTTTACTCTTCTAACGTGAGTAACTTTACTCTTCTAATGTGAGTAACTTTACTCTTATAACGTGAGTAACTTTACTCTTCTAACTTGAGTAACTTTACTCTTCTAACGTGAGTAACTTTATTCTTCTAACGTGAGTAACTTTACTCTTCTAACGTGAGTAACTTTACTCTTCTAACGTGAGTAACTTTACTCTTCTAACGTGAGTAACTTTACTCTTCTAACGTGAGTAACTTTACTCTTCTAACGTGAGTAACTTTACTCTTCTAACGTGAGTAATTTTACTCTTCTAACGTGAGTAATTTTACTCTTCTAACGTGAGTAACTTTACTCTTCTAACGTGAGTAACTTTACTCTTCTAACATGAGTAACTTTACTCTTCTAACGTGAGTAACTTTACTCTTCTAACGTGAGTAACTTTACTCTTCTAATGTGAGTAACTTTACTCTTATAACGTGAGTAACTTTACTCTTCTAACTTGAGTAACTTTATTCTTCTAACGTGAGTAACTTTACTCTTCTAACGTGAGTAACTTTACTCTTCTAACGTGAGTAACTTTACTCTTCTAACGTGAGTAACTTTACTCTTCTAATGTGAGTAACTTTACTCTTCTAACGTGAGTAACTTTACTCTTCTAACGTGAGTAACTTTACTCTTCTAACGTGAGTAACTTTACTCTTCTAACGTGAGTAACTTTACTCTTCTAACGTGAGTAACTTTACTCTTCTAACGTGAGTAACTTTACTCTTCTAACGTGAGTAACTTTACTCTTCTAACGTGAGTAATTTTACTCTTCTAACGTGAGTAACTTTACTCTTCTAACGTGAGTAACTTTACTCTTCTAACGTGAGTAACTTTACTCTTCTAACGTGAGTAACTTTACTCTTCTAACGTGAGTAACTTTACTCTTCTAACGTGAGTAACTTTACTCTTCTAACGTGAGTAACTTTACTCTTCTAACGTGAGTAACTTTACTCTTCTAACGTGAGTAATTTTACTCTTCTAACGTGAGTAACTTTACTCTTCTAACGTGAGTAATTTTACTCTTCTAACGTGAGTAACTTTACTCTTCTAACGTGAGTAACTTTACTCTTCTAACGTGAGTAACTTTACTCTTCTAACGTGAGTAACTTTGCTCTTCTAACGTGAGTAACTTTACTCTTCTAACGTGAGTAACTTTATTCTTCTAACGTGAGTAATTTTACTCTTCTAACGTGAGTAATTTTACTCTTTAACAGGGAGTAAATTCTACTCTTGTAACGTGGGTAAATTTTACTCTATAAAGGTGTAAATTCTAATTTCACATATAAAAAACCCACAAAATGGAGTAGGGCCCATGTCAAACGTGGCTCCTCTCATGCGCCGAACCTAAGTCTTTGTTTGTTTAAGCTCGTTTGTATTAGGTTCGGCGCATGAGAAGAGAGACGTTTGTTCTAAGCCTAAATGTTTGCGCACGTTTTTTTTGAAAAACCGACTCTAGGCGAGAATCGGTTGTTGCAAAACGTGGGTCAAGGGAAAACAATGTGTTCAAACGCATCTTACCATTCTATTGCTGTAACCTTCGCTCTTTTTACGTTTTCCTCTCTCGACCCGTTTGTGAATATTTCGAACAAATTTACGATGTTTCTCAGGCACCAAACCGTGAATAACCTTAAATCTAAAACACAAATTCGTTCGCTTGTTTTATCGACTTGTTTGAGTATCCACCATGAGCCATGTACGCAAAAATCATTGTTTTGGTTCTTCCAGAACTCGTCTCCAAGACTCCAACTCACCCGAATTTCCTGATCAGTCTTTCAAACAACACCTGAGCTTTGAAACGAAACTTATTTCTACTATCCTCGTTCCAGTTAACAAGACTCGACACCTAAAAATACATGACCTTGTTTATTACACTTCCCTAATTCTTTGGCGCATCTTGTGTTCTCTCTCTACACGTATCACTGATCTGGTCTTCTTGTAGCGATATTCCACAATATACGGCTTGGCATGTCATTTAGACATTTACTTACAGCTACTGTAGGTCATCCTATACTAAACATGTTTACTCGTTCGGGGGAATGATTGATCATAGGCCATAGCTATATATACACTTGAACACTTTATAGTGAGGGTAATATGACCTCGCCGTTATCTTTCAAGCAAAGCAGCCAGCATCCCTTTTCATCGTTTTGACTGTACGGCTTGCATGCAAGAACTTCGCCCAAATTTCGTATGTTTTCATTTAAAACGATTTGAACAATGACATCGTGAGATTGATGCAGCTAACTATGAGTTAATATATAGGAGAAGATGTATACATACATGAAATCCCGTGAAAATTTAAATTTCATGCATTTGGGCTGTTTAACGATTATCTTAGAATTCCGTCTATTCCGTAATTCACTTACTAAATCTTGAAGGAATGGCGCGAATTCGTCAGCGCTTGTTACGCTTATGGCGACCTAAAATAAAGGCATGGTTTCTGCTGTTAACTTTGCACAATTCAATACAAACAATTCATCACAACATTAACGACAGTTTACGGCTTTCCACGCGAGGCGGGAAATTTTCTTTCGAGTTTCTTTTCAATTGTGCATGATCAGACAAGTGAATCTGCTTCGGTCGATTCTCACAATTTTAAAGAAAATTGAGCGAAATATTTCGTTCGATCGCAGATTTCCGCCTGATATATATTGGAGAAAACCGCTCTAAGACGCACCTTAAAAAACCCAAGAGCTGATTTAACTACTTCTCGTTTGTTCGACAGCAAAAGGTTGGTCAATGTCTTAATAAGCTGGTCGAGAACTTGTACCGAGTAAGAACCTAAAACCAAATTTGAAGCCATTATTAACCAGTTAAATAGAACCATATCAAACTAGCTGTTTTACCCAATTTGATATGAGACCAAAAACCTCACCTCTGTATTCATACACGATTTTCGAAATTGCTATGATTGTTCCGCTGACCATGTTAGGTGAGCCACCAAAACCAGCTACTAATGTTTCCAAATAGTTCTCAATGCAAGCTACAAATTAAACAGAGCGTTGACTGCCATTAAAGCCAAGAAAATCAGGCATTGGGGAAACAAAAATATCAGATTTGATCGCTTCATCAGTTAAGCTGACTAAAAGAACCATTAAATTCTTGAAATCTATATCATGCGCCCACCTTGAGTACTTTGGTCTGAACAGCGGATATATGTTTCTGCTATTTCAACTAATAACTTCAAAGAGGCTATTCTCGCCTTCGAGTTCACTTCTTTCACAGACAGTATAACCTTTTGTGATGTAAACAAAATATCGAATCAATATGATTTCACACAAAACATATGAATTCTATTGAATGTACGCTTGCATGTACCAAGAAAGATTTACCTCCGGTATAATTGCATTCAAGAATACTTCTTGACCCGGCTGAAGTTTCTTCACAACTTGTATAAGACATCGCAGACGAGGCTAGAATGACATGCAAACGATATTGAAGAATAAAATGTCTCACGTAATCATTCACAGGTTGGTAAAATGCATGCAAAGACTATAGGTTTTTATAACTGTCCTTCACATATCATTACCGCTTTTGAAACGGAAGATGCAGTGGTTAAATTTTTCGTCAAAACATCCTGGATTTTTGTGAGGTGACTCGTGCTAAATTCATCCGCAGATTTTGAGCTGCAAATTTCCTCCAACACTCGATAGGACTTCTTCTGAAGTCTTGTGTCTTTTGCCTGCAATTTGAAGCGAATAATCGCATGCTCAATTACTCTTTAGACATGCATATGTCATGCACAACACCAATCTTTATAAACTATGCCAGTGTTGCAATATATTAATCCAATTAATATGTGTATTCCACATCACTCACTTTTAACCAAGGCACTATGGTTTTGTATAAACCTTTAACAGACTCTTTATCCAAATACTGAACCATAGAAATCACCAAGTCCATCAACAAATGTCTAAAACCAATTAAACAATGTCTTTTGATCATCGTATTACCATGGATAATAAAATCTGTCTTTTAACTATCCATGGTATTACTAAACGCTTCGGTAGTTTACATGCATAGGTTCCCAACAGCTTGCAGTAAGATACCAAAGATTACATTGAAAAAGATGTTATAAAGTCATAAAATTCCTTTGAAAACTAGTTGTTTCAACTATCAAACAGCTCACCTCTTTTCTTGAGGTGTTTCATCAGGCTTCGCTTTCTCGACTGCCTTTTGAAAGAACTGTTTTATCAGCTGAAAGAAGAAAAGCACCGAGTCTATTACTTTGGCCTTCGTAAACCATGTATACTGTACGATTTATGACGGAATATAATGAAGACCAACAGCAGGACGCTTAACTTAGGATCTGAGGGAGCCAATTCTGTATATACACTATACCTGTTGATCCGTGATTTGAAGATAACACTTCAAGGTCTGTAAGATGGGTAGAGAAATTGAGTCGTTCTTCTCTTCAAAAGACGTATAAATATTAAAGAGGATGGGAAGATAGTTCTTGGCAAATCTTGACAATTCCTTGATATTCTCCTCTGTGAAACATAAAAAAACAATGCATGAGAATTAACATACTCCAGTGGTAGACTCATATCTACTGTACGTCGCCTCCTGAGAGATGTAATTCGTGCATTACGAACCGTTATCAAGATTTTTCGAGATTAGAATTCGAATTGTTTGGCAAATCCTTGGCCGCAGTTCCGCTCTCTCGTTCAACATTGATCCTAAAGTTTTCGCCACAGATTTGAAATTCTATAAGGGAAGATTGTATATGGAATAAAGCAATGTTATGCAGATATAACAAATTAATATTGAACTAGAGAGAAATGAAATATGGGGTTTTAACCTGAATTAGGTCTGTCGGCTTGGTGCAAAACGCAGGCATAAGATCCCAAATCTGAGAAAATAAAAGAGCGAGGAATGATTCATTGCAAACGTAATTCGTCACACATAAACGAAGGAACCTTTACTGAACACTGTTCATGCTGTTGACAGATATTCTGTTTTCATTCTCGTCTGAATGGATGGTCGAGCATTAAAAGTTGCAAAAAGCTGCGGGTGTGCGGGTAAAACCAAGGAAAATGATGTGAAATTGAGCACCCTGGAGCACCCGATTCAATAGTGGAAACAAATACTTCTGCAATCATCTAGAAATGTATGGCACTACGACAAGTGTTTCCACTGAAGTTTTTTACCTGTGACGATAATGTGTCCAGAACTTTCGCCTCTAACTCACTACCTCCGTTTCTTAGATTTTCAGCTGTTAACACAAAACAACACACTCTTTTTATATAATAACTGCATTTTACACGGAAAGAGGAAATAACGGCCGTTTGTCACAGCTTATAATATATGGAGTATTTATTTCTACCAGGTTTTTTTTACCTTTCGCTAGCAGGGAGTTTGCAAGCGGCAAAAGCTTTTGAAAGAAATAAACCATCTCCGTTTCCTGCACATGGTCCCTCATAACTGGCAACAACCAACTTCTTGGAAACTCGTACACATTTCTTAAAAAAAATTAAACTTATTACTAATAGGAAGAGTTGATGCTGACCACGAACTTTGCAACCAAAGTAATCCGAATTTCCCAAATGAATTAGGGGATGGAGGGATGTTCGACTACGAGAGAGAGTTCAATTTATCCATCCAGTTAATTTCATCTTACTTACGTGTCTTTTTCCAAATCCAAAGGAACAACACTTAATACAAATCTGAAAGTGAATCAATCATAAACATTTGCATGTATACAGTAAACTTTTTATACGTTTTAATATTGAAATCAAACAGTATTGGTGGGCATGAAATTGCTCATTTGCGCATAGTTTTTATTAAAGCTATATTTTAGTGTTATTTTTTATTGAATTATCTTATTTTTGTAAGCAGTGTCTTTGTCTTACTTTGGCCCAATAGTTTGAAATGCCGTTCCGACAGTTTTCGCGATTTCTTTACGACACCGAATGCCATGGCTGTTGTGAAGATTACACAGCGATATGAGGCATTTCTTCAGCCTTTCTGGACACAACTTGCCAAATATCTGAAAAAGCAACCAAGTAGATACCATGACCTTCTACAATATCACACACACCACACATTAACACACATTACCACACACTTACTGTGCATGTACACCTTGCATTAACATACTAACTTTACTATCATTTAAAATACTTTACCTGAATAAATTTGCTTGTAACATCAAGTATCAAACTCCAAGATTCCTGATATCTCAATTTCAATCCGGACTCGAGACATCTGAAAATAATTTTGATGTCAAAGTGTAAACCAAGGCTACCCCTTTTTTGCCGCGGTTAAGATCAGCAATACCGATAGGTTTCATCACTGACATGTAAATATGAATAACAAGCTCAAACTAGCCTAAAGCCGGTTTTCCAATAGCGATATTTTTCGCGCGAAGCGACTTTATTGCTTTGTATTTGAACAATATGTTCCAAATGGTTGCAGTTGAAATGTCGCTTCGCGCGAAAAATATCGCTAGTGGAAAACCGGCTTAAAGCCTGGTTTCCATTTGGCCCTATTTGGCATGGTGGATGATGTGATCGAATGTATTTCTATGCGTGTGCAGTCAACAATGAGCGATTAGATGCAACAATAAAGACAACGTTACATCTGGACTATTTTTCATCGATGAAAATGACTTGATCACGAAATGGAGACCGCGCTTAACTTTGAAGGGATATGATTGTTAGAGGCTTAGAACGCATGGATGAAAGGCTTCTTTGATTTAAATTTTTAGCCTACCGTAATATTATCAGCACAGGAGAAGTAGAGACTTCCATGTTTTCCAAATCTTTGCATAACTTTACAGCAACCGGAGCAATGCATTCTTCCAGCATGCACTATGACGGTACAATTTTAAAAGACTTGGTTACAAACATTTAAATTTTTTCATAAAGAAATTAAAGAATAATTCTTTTCATTAACCACACAATATAATTATAAAGTAATCATGCGGTTGAAGGAAATAAATTGAGACGAAAGCGTATTTTTCTATCTTTGTTTATAATCGGTTTCTCGTTGGGGGAAAACAGGCCGTGCATGCAAATATCCTTTCAACTCCTTCTGGATAAGAAAAACAGTTGCATGCAGCTTAATGTGGGCCGAAACAATTGTTGCTGACAAACCTTCATTGCATTGGCAGCTGTCGTCCTGACAACCGAGTGATGGGACAGTAGAAACGTCATGCATAATGAGAACAGTTTAACACATGAATCAGCACACAGTTCTGCGTTTAACCTGAAATATTTGAATAATGATCATTCATTAGTCTTGAAATCGTTCATCAGGCCAAACTGTATCTCAATTGCACTTTTTAAGCATTTGAAACCCCAGTTGCATAGAACTTCAAGTCTAACCATTTTGCACTCGCGTCGTCTTTTATAACTTTTACTAGAAGTATATACGTTAATTCTGTTCGTTTTAATGTTATCATAATAATTTTAAAGAGGAAACTCAGCGTTTAACTTGATTTTAAGAAGAATGAAGATTGGAATCTGGTATATTCAACTCTACATGAAATTACCAAACTTTTCATACTTTTGGAAGCTGCAATAAGCTTTTTCCATAAGCGTTAACCAGGCAATTGCTTGCTGCTCGTCAACTGCATTTGGTTGATAGTCAAAGAGAGCCTAAAAAATATTAAGAATCGAAGCTTCAATGGTAAAAAAAAAGGCTTTTGTTATATTTTATCAGCCCTTGCTTACATTAATCAGTTGTCCGTTAAGGTCGGATGTGACGGTTGTTGATCCAGGATTTCCTTCAAACATGTTGTGCAGAACTTGCATGCAATTCATGGATAACATCTAGAATTGATTTTAGCATTGTTAACACTAAGTATTATGCGAGGCAGTAAAGGTGCATGAATGAAATTCTCTGAATGATTGTACGTACAATATTTCCAAATGTCATAAGCTTCAGCATTGTTTCACACAGTGATTTCACTTGCTAAATGAGAAAAACAAGAGAAACTTTACATAAGCTTGATATGCACTGCCTGCTGTGTCTGTGTTCAGATTACCTAAATTCACTGTGCTTACCTGACAGGGTAATGATAGCATTATATTTCTCAATAGTCCAAGAATATGAAGAACTGACACTGCTTGAGCAGTCCCTGAAACATGTTTAAAACTGCTGCATGAAAAAATGCAAAAAGTTGATAGCCATGCTTAACAAATTGTCAGCTGTCAGTATAGACCTCCACTGGGGCACGAAGGATAATGCTTTGGCATAATTCATAACATTCTTTAAAGGAGAGTCTTTAAAATATTCAAGTTGATGTCACAATATTATGATACCTTTATATTTCTCAAGTTCTTGAATACAAAATTTGCTTGTTGCCTGACATGCAGGGTGAAATTCAGAACCATTAGGCCTTGACCTGATTATTTCAGCAACCGACTCATGTGAACATTTTCGCACCTTTAACAAAAAGATTAGCTTTGTTACAGTATGCAGTACAGTTCCTAAACTATAAGAAAGTTAAATATAAAAACCTTTGGTTTAGGATGGACAGTGAAGCTTAACAGTCCTTGGTATGACTTTAAAGTTGAGGGCTCTGACCAAATGGCTGCTTCTTGGGCCTTCAAAGCAGTTGACAAGCATGTGACAAGCTATAAAGATGAAAATAATTAGTCAATATTGTGCAGTTAAGTGCAATTTATATCAGCTGATATCCAGAGTAATAAAGTTTTTCAGAAGCCAGTGAAGTCAGATATTTTGACACTTCAATGTAACATCCAATGATTTCAGGTCACAACATGGCTGAATTTCATTAAAGAATACTTACAGACTTCAGTAGTGCTGTTGACTGCGAGTCTGATTTGACAGCCAGGATACTCAAAAGCACCTGACATATGGCTGAAAACTTCACCTGTAAAACTGACTGAGGGACTCTAGGAGTGAAAGAAGTAATAATGCAAAAAACTCACTGGCAACATTTTTTTATTTTAAGAGATTGAAACCACAATTGAACATCTGCCTGCCAAGATAATTATCTATAGTTCTTTATATTATAATAATTTCAGTCTGTACCTTTTTATTACAAGAGCAAGAAGAAAGGCAATGGCAGATAAAGACTTGTCATCCTCTGTTGTTTCAAGAGCAGTCATCTGACAACAAGATTAATGACAACATATTAAGCATAAAAGGACCAGAGTAATACAAGATACAATTAAGCTACATGAACATGGCAACAACCTTATTCCTTGGTACAGTGATCTGTAATCTGTGTCTGAATTAAGGAATGAAACATATTAAACCTACCAACGCTGCAAAATATTCTGTTTCTGTTTCATTGCCACCATTTTTTCTTATCACCTTAAAATTTAAAATGCATTGTTATAACTGTCTACAACATCCAATTCGATCTGAACTGGACCAATAGTAATTAAATTAACTGATGGTACTAATTTTATGAATTATATACCTCAGTAACAGCAGCAAGAACAGCACAAATCTGTAAGAATACAACATCATATTCATAAAACAAAAATGGAGTTTGATCTGCAGGAGTGCAAAAATTTAGGTGGGGGTACCAAAAACAAAGGGGGCACCATCCATTTAGGGAGATGGCCCGACAGGGCAGGTGCAACCAAGTACGTCTCAATGGCATCAGATTACTGCATAGGAATGCATGCTATCATGCTTAGTATTAGTCATAGATTCGAACAATATTCTGCTATTGAAGGTCTAAGAATGCTTCTTCAATAATACAATATTAGTCTTACTTCTTGATGATTGGCCCCTGGTGACTGCCAAAACCTCTTCAAAACACCGGAAAATGTGGGGTTAGAACAATCTGTCAATCCACTAATGCTAACAGTAGCCATAGACCTTCCTGTGGTCTCGGCATCATCCAAAACAGTGCCATCATCGTCTATATTTTCGTTGTGTATAGCCAGAGCCTCGACAGTGAGACCAGATCCTGATTGGCGATCTTGTCTAAACCCCTGCCTTGCAGCGTCTCTATGGGACCTGATCGTTGGGTTAGATGAACAACTTTGTCGTTTGGCCCAGTTTTTCTTCTTAATTTTCCGTATTTTGACCATTTTTTTAAGCTAAATACACGATGCCTTTCTTTGTTGTTTTGGAAAATTTTTCTTCCATGTGAGTACTTGAGCGTGCACCTCTGCCTGGCAGCGGTCGCCTTCCCAGAAATTATGGCTATTTATGTATTAGCATCCCTCCCCTAAGATTATTGTACAACTATGTCAAATCCGGCGAGAAAGTAAACGCTCCAAAGAAAAAAATACTATACCTTGAAGTCAATTCAGAATATGAAGAAAGTATTTGGTTACATTACGCAGTACGCACTGGACAGCATCTTCACTGACCAAAATGTTTGGAGATGAAGGGTTCTGACTTCTGCAATTCTGCTGTTGACTGCCGTGTTGCACCAGTGGCAGTGAACTCAACTACATACTGGAACAATATGTAGATTAATTATGAAACCCAGACCAGTATATAATAGCTGGAGTTCACCGCTGTAATGCACTGTCCATGTCCTGTTAGAGTGTTAGTTCAATTCGTTCGACGCAAGGCAGGGACCGCGGAGCGTTAGGTTGTTCAGCATGTTTGGCGCTCATATACAAACTGTCATTAAACAATATAACCAATGCTTTGGTTATGATGTCAAATTTTTTGACATAGATAACCACGCTGTTTTAATGGTTAAATGCTTGCCCAATGTAAAGTTTCCAGCATGTTTGGCGCTCATATACAAACATTAAACAATATATTCATGCTTTGCTTATGAGTTATGATGTCAATTTTTTTGAAATGGATAACCACGCTGTTTTAATGGTCAAATGCTTGTCCTATGTAAAGTTTCCAGCATGTTTGGCGCTCATATACAAACATTACTGAAACAATATAACCATGCTTTGGTTATGATGTCAAATTTTTTGACATAGATAACCACGCTGTTTTAATGGTCAAATGCTTGTCCTATGTAAAGTTTCCAGCATGTTTGGCGCTCATATACAAACAATAAACAATATAACCATGCTTTGGTTATGGTGTCAAATATTTTGACATGGATAACCACGCTGTTTTAATGGTCAAATGCTTGTCCAATGTAAAGTTTCCAGCATGTTTGGCGCTCATATACAAATATTAAACAATATAACCATGCTTTGGTTATGATGTCAAATATTTTGACATCGATAACCACGCTGTTTTAATGGTCAAATGCTTGTCCTATGTAAAGTTTCCAGCATGTTTGGCGCTCATATACAAACATTATACAATATAACCATGCTTTGGTTATGATGTCAAATATTTTGAAATGGATAACCACGCTGTTTTAATGGTCAAATGCTTGTCCAATGTAAAGTTTCCAGCATGTTTGGCGCTCATATACGAACATTAAACAATATAACCATATTTTGGTTATGATGTGAAATATTTTGAAATGGATAACCACGCTGTTTTAATGGTCAAATGCTTGTCCAATGTAAAGTTTCCAGCATGTTTGGCGCTCATATACAAACTGTCATTAAACAATATAACCATGCTTTGGTTATGATGTCAAATATTTTGAAATGGATAACCACGCTGTTTTAATGGTCAAATGCTTGCCCTATGTAAAGTTTCCAGCATTTTGGCGCTTGTATTGCTTGTAAATTTGAGCGAACTAAAAAATATTCGAAATTAAAGACTAATTACGGAAAAATTATTGGTATGGGGCTAAAGCCAAGCGAGCCACCCTGCTCCGCGGTCCCTGCAAGGGCATTTTCCTAACTTAGGTGGTACTCGTGCAGAGGGTTAACTACGACTGGCTGTGGTCTGCCTTGGAAACATCAAGGAAAATATAGTCCAGATACAACGAACGAAGCAAACAGACCATAAGAGAGGAATGTGTTACGAAGTACGTGAGAGAGCGCTAGCAACAGTGTTGTCGTCTGAGGTATGTTCTGGGGTAGCTTGATCCACCACAGGTCTGGGATTTGGAGTCACATTTTTGGTTATTGGTACCTGTTGTGGTATTGCTTTATCTAGCTGGGGTGGTGATAAATCAGGTGATGAGCCGGGTGGCTGGCTTATGATTACAACCCAGCCATAGGCCTTCGGACGCTGTGGATGATTCCGTAATATCAGTTCCTGTGGTGTAGGACTGTTGGAAAAAATTTAAGAGCATCATGATCTGTATAAAGCAACCAGCAACCTGCATGGCGGTGGGAAACTAATGAACTAATCTCTTTATTAACTTGATTCTTGAACATTTACTGAACGGTGAAAAGAATCGATATGAATCCAGCCCACAGCCACAGGCGCAGTCGAGTTCCAGTACTCTAATGACTTTTACTTTCGGTAATTGACTTCAAAATATCGTTCTATAGGTATCATCATAATTTTTTTATGGTTTTAAGTTCAATCAGTTCGCATAATCACATTACTAAACGGCATTTCTTCTATTGTAACTGACTTGGTTTTCAATGAACTAAATTTCACAGGTCCTTGATTTATCACCAGTTTTTATAGCTGAACGAGTTCTTAATCTATGTCTTAATCAACCTGTAAAAATAAATTATTATAGGCAATTGTAAATATAGAAAAATATAGATAAAATAACATTGCAAATACTGAGCTATTCAGTTATTTTGGTAAGTTCTTTAAAATGTTTCATCGTGTTTCACCTCGCTTGGTTAAACCTTTCCTCTGCCTATACGCATGATGACTCATTGCGTTGTGTATATGAAAAGCATTATATTTTGTTCTATATATAACTGAGTATCTGAAATATCAGAATTTAGGAAAAATACGGGATATAACAAACAACTTATTACTGTAAAAACTGACTAAAACTCGACTATGCATCATTGAACATATATCTAATCAAGTTCGTGCATGCATGTAGATCGTGTAAATATTCGTCTCGTGCTTGTCTTAACTTGTGCTGGTACCCAGTGTGAATGGTGAATGAGAAATCTCATGCCTCATAAGCACGGCATGACTCATAAGACATATATGCACAAATAATTGAAGTGTGAAACCATAGATGAACAATCTGATTCCTATATTCTCGTTGGAGCTAGGAAAGACGAATTCTCAACTCTTGAAAAGTGCTGAGTTTTGGTATGATGTTGGTCAGAAAGCTGTCCGCTGTTCTCTTCTTTTTGTGCTCATCGCTAGTAATCGGTGAGAGTGTACGAAAGGATTTCAACACAGAAAAGAAAGCCATTGGTGGCCCCCAAGAACCTGAATATATTGCAAAAGAACTTGGTGAGATGGTTCAAAACCTTATCAAGGCTCCGGGTAGAAGAGATATAGGTAGGTTTCAGTTGGCAAGGAGTTTCGTCATTACACCAGGGGAGAGGGAAAACTATGGAAGCTTTCCTTTAATTAAGCACCCAAAATGGTTAAACCGCGGTCATGCATGTTTTGAACATTATTATTATTATTTTTTATATATTTTTATTTCTCATTCGTTATAATCGAAAATAAAGTTTCCATTACTATTATATATTATTATTATTTTTACTTGTATAAGTCGTGTCCACTGACCTATACTATAGAATAGGTCAGTGGTCGCATCTTATTTTCTCTCGTTTAAATGGCCCAAATGTACTAAAATGCAAGAAAAAACATTAAATGCTTCCAAGACGGCAATTTTGCGATGTTATTTGGACATTCAAAGTCGCACTGGTTTTATAATTACTTTAACATAAAGTCGGAAATATATCATGCAAAATTATTGTCTTGTTTTATATAACTTTACTCATATCTTAGGCTTGACTGATGTTCTTTGATGCATGCGACCATGCAATAAGTTTTTTATATATATTCGTGTTACATGAGCCTTTCTCTGCACGTTTTTTTAAAATATATAGGCCAGTTTGCGTATCTATATCTACAGCCGATAACATCAGAGGTCATAACTCTGAAAAACCAAGATGTTAAGAGAATTTTAGAAGGAGCTGAAGGAACCAAAGAAATTCCAGCATACGTTTGGCCCGCAAAAAACGTGCAGAGCAATTTCAGGCTAGCTACACCTGATTATAGCCAACCTACAGCAACGAACCACGGCCACTCAGAGTATCAACTGTTAGTTCAAAATGGAATGACCTCGATGATAAACGAATTTAAAGAAGCAAATCATAAAGAGTGTCCACAATATATAATCCTCTATTCCGAGCTCCTACCCTGCTCCTATCCACCAAACCCAGTGGCAACAGAACCGCGTTGTTCTGGCATGGTAACGACAGCAAGAAGAGAGGTCACAGCTGCTTGTCAGAGCAGAACAGCGTTTTACCTCTATACCAGAAGAGAGACGCCTTCAAATGCACCAAAAGCCATGACAAAGTTCATTACCCAATCGAAAGGCGCTTACAAGATAATATGGAAATATCCCACAAAAACACCTATCGAAAAAAGTGTTGAAATGCACAACAGTAAAATGTCTAATCATGGAGTACAATTATATTAACCAATGCGATATTTATCACTTATGAAGTATATGCACACACTTCACAAACATTAATATATATGTATCTTGGCAGCGTATAGAATTAGTTCATTATACGTAAATTTGAAGTTACAGAGTCTGTGTACATGCATGTACTAAAGCAGGCTACCAAGCCAGAACATTTCTCAAACAACGCTATATTTAGACGCATTTACCATTTCTTCATCTAACGCTTTATGGAGTATGATAAAGTTACTTTCTTTAGACTTATTACAATAGCACAGGGACCGCGGAGCAGGGTGGCTCGCTGGGCTTTAGCCCCACCAATAATTTTTCCCTAATTAGTCTTTAATTTCGAATATTTTTTAGTTCGCTCAAATTTACCAGCAATACAAGCGCCAAAATGCTGGAAACTTTACATAGGGCAAGCATTTGACCATTAAAACAGTGTGGCTATCCATTTCAAAATATTTGACATCATAACCAAAGCATGGTTATATTGTTTAATGTTTGTATATGAGCGCCAAACATGCTGGAAACTTTACATAGGACAAGCATTTGATTTGACCATTAAAACAGCGTGGTTATCCATTTCAAAAAATTTGACATCATAACCAAAACATGATTGTATTGTTTAATGTTTGTTATGAACGCCAAATATGCTGGAAACTTTACATAGGTCGAGCATTTGACAATTAAAAGAGCGTGG